AAAAAAAAAAAAAAAAAAGAGAGAGAGAAAGAAGAAAAAGAAAATAAGCTTCTCTTATCTACTATCTAGTATATTCCCTATTCTCAATTATCTAACTCCTTAATTACTGGACAGGTAAGAGAAGCAAGACTTGTGGACTTATATAGTGCCTTATATCTGTTACTAAAGTCACAGTAAGCCCTGTGATTCTTCTACTTATATACTGTGTAACTTCTATTCTACCAGCCAGGTAGCTGAATAGTATGCCGAAAGTTACTACTATAATTATTGGAATAACAGGACTGCATAGTGAGATCCCGGGATATAATCAGAATAGTATTGATATATAAAGGCTGGCCTGTATACAGCTATAGAAGTAATTAATAGTCTATATATAGATATTAATCCAGTACTTATCTAAGAAGTATAAATTAATTCTTTAATAATATTAAATTTATAGTAAGGGAATCTCCAAACTTACTTTTAATTATTGGTATAATATAATTGCTACAGTATCGTATTTTCTCTTATAATAAGTTATATAGTTATATAATATTTCCCACTCTTCTTATTATATGTATAACAGATTAAAGCAAGGAGAGTATTACTATATATATCTATAACAGCACTGTCTCTAGGATTATATTTAATAATTATCTAAGAGTACAGTTTCTTCTAAGGGAACCAAGATAGATATATTTAGTTTACTGAAGAGATAATTTATATATACTATTATTAAATTTATTATTTGAAAAGAAAAGAGAAGGAATAGAAAGAATTCTTATAACTTAGAGAACAGTACTGAAGTAAAGGACTTAATAAATTATATATTCTATTATATAAATCACATAAAGCTAATAACTAGCTTCTAATAAAGTAAGTTATATACTCTGTATAATAATACTATTTAGAAAGTAATACTGAGTCCTTATTCCTCACTGGAATTCATACAATTAATCCTACACAGGAGAGAAAGAGAGGGCCTTATATTATAGAACTGACTTATAGGCAGCCCTATATCATGGAAAGCTCTGCCTAAGACATCGCTGCCAAGCCTTTACCACACAAATATTTTGTATAATGTGTTATTTCTGTTAATTAGCTATTTCTTCTTGTTCAATAGGCACGCTTAGGTTAGAACAATCTATTCGTCCCGTAACAGTTACTTTATTTAATAAAGTATTAAAAAGATAGAATTCTATTAAGTTCTTATATCTTAAATTAGTATAAGCTTTAGACTATCTATTTAAAGATTCTGAAATATCTTCTAATATTAGGGGCTTCTGTGTATAAAAATTACAAGAAAATATATCTTATTTAAGGTATAAGAAATCTTATACTTCTAATATCATATATTTATCTTTACTAATAATAACTGTCAGTTAGTCTACTTTATTTCTATAGTATTATTTAGCGGAACTGCTTTAAGGTAATCAAGAAGCTGGTTTAGGCTAAGCTAGATAATATATATAAGATATAGAGTTTAGATAATATTAATATTATTAGATAAGAATTACTAAAAAGAATTAATTAATATTTTATTATTTAATATATTATTAGTTATTATTCTAAAAACTTAATTCTGAATTTAAAGCTCTATTAGTATTTTAAGAAGAATACTACTTAGTTTTAAGCCTATATATAATCTATAAAAAAACTTAAATTTAAGAAGTATTTCTTGATATATCTAGTCTATATTAATAAAATAGTTAGTTATAGCTATAAATACCTGGAAAAAAAAAAGTCTAATAATTAAGCATAATTAATATCTTTAAGCCTGGAGAAAGTATCTAAAGAAGATTTTACTAGCAGTTCTTAATAAGTATCTCTAGCCGGTAATATATAGTTCTTATAGATAGAATTAAAGAAGTAAATAGTGCAGTATAGGCTATTTAAATTAAGCTTATAAAAGTTAAATACTTAATTAGATAAAAGAGAAGCCAATTAATTAAGAGAAATAATAGAATCTTCTCTTTCCAAGCTTCTTATAAAAAAGGAATATTGGTCAGAGTAGGCTCCTAGTAAAAGAAAATTATTTAGTTATTAAAATAGAAGAATAGAACTAGAATATATCTTTTTTTAGAGAAATCTTATTAGTTCTTTCTTCTGTCTATTCTTAAACTTCAGACAGGCAGCAGTCTTTAGATATCTTATTATAGTTATTATACTATAATGCCTTTCCTTTCTATTCTTTTTCCTAGAATAAAAATGCTCAAGAACCTGCCTGTAATATTTATATATAATCTTTAGTACATTATCTACACTATATATAACCTGATTATAGTGCTTCTAAATATCTGAAAGATGGTTTAAATCCCAACTTATCCTACTAGTTAACCTGTAATCAGTCTGTAGCCACCAGTCTATCCATTCACTATAACTTATAATATTATAGAGTATGTATATCTTTCTTCTATCAGGCCCAACATGTTTAAGAAAGAAAGGAATTATAAGAGAAATAGCCAGCCAGAGAAATAAAGAATCGGTAATATTAAATATTTAAAGATATAAAGTATATTAGATTATCTATCTTCTTATTATATAAAGATAGTAGAAAGTCAGACTACTAGCTTTAGAATATAGCAAAATAAGTATATAATAGATAAGTAATAAGAAAAAGAGAATATTATAAAAGAAGATTAACTTAACTATAATATACAGTAGCTGAGTAAGTCTATATATAGATTAAAAGAAAATATTAAGCTAGTTACTAATTAGATAGATATCAGAAGTTAAATAATTAGATCTAATAAAGCTTAATAAAGTCTAATAAAGCCTACTAGAATCTACTAATAACTCTCCTGAGCCTATTAATATCTATTAAAACCTATTAAAATCTAGTAAAAGTCTATTGATGCCTATAAAAACTTAGTAAAAGCCTATAGATAGACTATTTCCAGTCTACTTAATTTTAGAAGTCCTCAAAAAATTTTATATAGTCAGATAAAGTAATATAATTATAATAAAAAACTAAATTTATATAAAGTTATATTTTTATATAACTATTTAAATTTAGTATATAAAGAATAGAGAATCTTAGCTTTAATTTAATATAGAAAGTTAATAGATTAAAGCTAAAGTAAAAATTTTTTTTATTATATATTTTTTTCTTTCCAGAAAATATATTTACTCTTATCTAGATTAAATATATATTTTACTATATTTATATTAAGCTTACTCTTGAGCCACCTAAATATCACTAAAATAAGCTAATATTTAAAAATTTTATAGATAATTAATTTAAAATAAGTTATAATTAATTTAATTTCCAGAATATTTCTTAAAATTACTAATGTCTTTAGGCGATATTATAAAGAAATCCAGTAGATAAACTAGAACAGGTAGAAAAAATAGTATATTAATTTAATTATTTAGCAGCTTTATAAATACCAAGAATTAGATTTTATATATAAATAGGCTTCTATAGGGGCTCATAGGGGGCCTATTATGGGCCTGGGGGTTGGGCTTGGGCCCAAAATCTCAATCCCCGGCCCATAGTGGGTTGGGCCTTGGGCTGAAGATCTGGGCCCAAGGTTGGGCTCTGCCGAAGTCTAATCTTGACTGCTTCTTCTTCTCTTCCTCAACTACTAATGGGTAAAGCCCTCAGGGGCTGAAGGAGTGGGTGATCCGGCCAAGCCGCTAGGCGATCACGTGTCTCCTATAGATTCATATTAAAGTGTTATGAATCTATACGAGACCACGTGATCCTAGTGGCTTGGCCGGGATCACCGGCTCCCAACCCCTGAAGGCTTCACCTATTAGTTGAGAGAGAGGAAGCAGTCAAGGTAGTTGATATAGTCGTCCATAGAATTGAGATCTATCGGAATGGCATCCGGTCCTCAGTAGGCTACGTACGTGTAGCTGATACAGCCTCATCCTGCCCATCTTTCCCCTGAGATCACAACAAAATCACAACAATTTTTTGTTGTGGTTTCAGGGAATGATAGAATTTGAAAGGAGACAAGACGTAAATTGAGCATTACCTTGCCTGAATATATACAGGAAGGAGAGATTCTCAGGGGTGAAAACCCGCGCACGCTTGCCAAGGCGCTAGCTATACACCACCTATACGCCATACCTTCAACACTTATAATCAGACAAAATTAGCAACCCAAACATCCATGGCCCTAACTCCTTTCCGACCCCCCTGGATACCCTCCAAGCTTGCCTCACACGCATCCCGTAACGCAAGAACCACCGCCCGTTCCCTCTCATCACTCACTTGCCCCTCTACTTCCCTTTCGAAAGAGGAAGAAAGACAAGTAGAGACTTCCCATTGTCCATCCAACAAACCCTCACTACCTTGTACGTGGGTCTCACTCTCCAGATGCCATCCGGCAGCCAGGGCTAGCTCGGTAAGCTGCTTTGGCCCCAGCACCGTGCGGACGTTCGAGACGCTGCCCTTAGACTTACGGCACTCCAGCGCTGCCTGGGTGAGCGCAGCTAATACGTGAGGCTGAGCAGAGGGGTGCGTCGCTACCAATGACCACTCAGCAAGGAGAAGACGCTTGCTATGCTGCTTGAGGGCACAAAATGTGGAAAGGATGAGTGAGGGGGAGGCGAAGTACCATAGGCAGTGGGCGAGCACTGTTGCGTCGAAGGTCTTAGGGTTGCTGGCGGGCGGTGAGGAAGTGGAGGATGGAGAGGAGAGGGAGGAGAGGTAGTCCAGGGGGGATTGTTGGACCCAAGTAATCCGCCTACCCAGTGGGCCTTGCGAGATGTGACCCTGTGCTTGGCCGAGAGTATATGGGGCACCTGCAGGAGCCATCAGTTGGCTGCCTTCACTCGCACCACCAGGACAGGCAGCAGGGTAAGAAAGGCGACAGGACTCACCATAATTCAATTCCGCCGGATCGACTGCCACCACCCTCCCCTGCTCGCCCACAGCATTGGCAAGGACAGTCGTGCAGTCCCCCTGCCCGCATCCTAGTTCCAGCACCTTGGAGTTAGCGGGAATATTCCAGTGCTGCAGGAGCACCAGGCGGTGAGAGGTTTGGGAGTGCTGGATGCTGAACTGGGTGGGGTCATGTAGGGAGACACGGGCGATAAAGGCAGCGTCGAGTTGAGTGGACATGCTGTACTTGATGGGTTTTGGGCACAAGACGGCTGAGTAGGTTTTGCTACTGAAGAGCTGCGGATGGGGACATCTTATAATGTCAGACTTGGAGGCCGCAAAATTAGTATGGGTAAGCTACTGCCCAACCCCGCCTTTTAGATTGACCCACATCTCCTTATCTAACAGATTGGCCCTGCCCACCAGTGTTCAACATATAGGTCCCATTCCATGTGCGGGAGAATCCTAAGCGCAGTAGGCCGCCGGGTTACGTGAGGTGTACTGGGGCTACAGGTGACCACTGACTCGAAGAGTCACTAGACATACCTAGAGACGGGATCCATTCTATGTTAACAATGATGCCGATTTAAAGTAACATAGCCATCCTGCCCCGCTCATTCCCTCCTTCTCACCAACTCAAACCCAAAGCTCGGTGCTATATCAATCTGCATAAAGCTCACATGGCACGCCACGCGCTGGCACCTGAGCTCCACCACTAGACTCTTTGCCCCGCTGGGACAGGCGAACTCCAGTGTTGTGCTGTTCGGCTTGGCTGTGAGGTCTAGCACGCCGAGCAGCTCTCCGCGCACGGGAAGGGTTGAATACGATAAGGTGTCATAATCGAGCTTGTCCATACTGGAAGAGACGGTGGCTGAGGAGGCTGAGGGTGCGATAAGCTGCCAGACTTCAATTTCCGTTATATCCCCCTTGGTTGTGAGGTCCTTGGCACGCGCAGAGAACTCGGGAGGCGCCCGCCAGGAGAGCGCGCTGGTGTTGACGCTGGTGGAGGGGATGGGGAAGCGCATAATTGTCGAGTCCTTCTCTTGCGTTAGAAGCTGCACACAGAGCGGTAAACGCAGAGAATAGGCGGATGGCTTATTGAAGGGAATGAGGAAGGAGAGTACAGAATGCGGACCTCGACAGTAACATAGACCTGCACCCCCTGACCCCACGTGGCATTCTTCAACTTCCGGCTCACCCGTGCAATTCTATCCGGCCAAGTGTGGTGATAAACCTGGGGAGGGGGGATGAATTTCGCTGCCCTGTGCAATCCCAGCCTAGCGTCGCCATAAGGGAGGACCTCGAGTTCAGAATCAGAGAATGGATAGGCTTGATGCTTTGATAGTATAGAAGGAAGGAGAGCAATGTTCACAGCTGATAGCAGTGCTAGGGCGAACGAGAAGTAGAGGATGAGCCAGGGCAGCTGGGAGGGCTTGGATGGCGCGAGGGCGGGGAGGTTGTCCGAGGCTTCCAGCAAGGGGGCAGAGTAGTCGGAGGAGGAGGAGCGCTTCTCAAGGGTTGCGCTGGACCCCTCGCCATCATCATGTAGCGAAAGGGGCGCATACTGGGAAGAGCTAGACTTTGCTTTGGAGGACATGGCGAGGAGCGGTCAAAGAGAGTAGGGCAGGGCAAGCAAGAAGAGAGAGAAGGCGCGCCGAGGGTGAAAGCGGGTAATAGTAAAGCATAACAGCCCAGAAAGTGGGACTGCATGGCGCCGCCAGAGATAGTAGGGTTACAGTCCATCAGAAACTCGGCCCGGAAGCGGGACCGGTCAACCTATTGCTTAAAAGTGGGGGCAAAGTAGGGAATTTTTGACGACTAGGTTAAAAGGATTAATCCATGGCCTAAGGGCCATGAATACACTATTCCTAACGGGTCACACAACCTTTATAACTGTCCACGTATACCACCTGACGCCACCCAACTCGGCGACCAGCCATTTTAAGGGTGTGACCGTGACGGCTCCTTCCGGCAGGTAGGAAGGGCCCGAAACCCTAAAACTTCACCTTGTCCTCGCTCTCTGCACCGTGCTGCACTTAACCTCTGTCCACCATGCCCTCCCTCCTCTCCGCAATCACCTTCCTGCTTGCCCTCAGCATCAGCATCAACCTCACATCTGCTGCGCACGCCGGCTTCCACGTCCAGTTCCCATGGATGACCCGCGGTAAAAACCCCAGGACCCGGCCAGAGATAGATCGGTACAACCCTTTCTGCGGTATATTTCTCCCTGCCTCCGGTCTAGTAGCAGCGTAGGCTGATACAAAGAAGGGGAGATAGTGCATAACCCCCAATAATACTCCCGCCGCTCCCGCAGTTTTCTCTCGTTCTCCGGCCATCCTGGGGACCTTGTGACGGCCCTCTATACCCGATATTGAGTACCAGGGAAGAGGGACGACTTCCCCTATATCATCCTGCAGGATGTGCCTATCCAGCCTTCGGGGCAGCTCTGTGTGAACGTCACGATACCCTTTCAGACCAAGGTCGACGAGATGGGAGTCATGTACTTCGAGGCGGTGGATCCGAAGACGGGGAATTTGGAACACCATGTCAGTTGCTCCGGCTTACGAATAGTTTAGCTAATGCTGATACAAAGACAGTGTTCTGATGTCAAGATGGTTGATATGGTGGCTCTTCCGGAGGATCATCCGGCTATGTGTGCGGCTAACAACGAGACGCTTATCCCGATGCCGGATGAGTACTTGTAGATGCACGCTGAAAAGCTGTAATGTCCTGCAAGCATCATGTGTAGTTCGCTTCTAAACGTACAACTTTGCATCCCTCTCTCATCTTAACGTACAATGGCTCAACAGAACGGCACTCTATTAACTTGAAATAAAGCAGATATCCAGCTTGCTAGCTCCTCTACTCGTTCCTATTAAATCACTCGTAGTGCTACTGCTATCTATAGCGGTACAAGATGTAGAGAGACTGGACATAATACACATACGTGCAGAAAAGATACTCGAGATACTGCTTGATATACTCTGTTTATATATATATACTCTGCTACATAATGAACGTGGTGGAAAGAATAGGCTTAAAGAGGGCGTAAAGTTAATGGGTTGCGACGCTCGCCTGTAGAACATGTTATAGACATTTGTATAGCTTCCATGTGCGACTTATCCCCAGCCGAGCGGTGACTAGACGTGCACAAACTCGTCTTCATCCACTCTGTATATGTGGCGCTTCTCGCCCGTATCAGAGCGATAGACATGGTTGATTGACTCCTCGGGTGCGGCGAGCTAAATCAGCCTTGTGCTGCTCCTCGTCCGCATCAGAGCGGTACACATGGTTGACTGACCCCTCCTCTGCATCAGAGCGATACACATGGTTGATTGACTCCTCAGCGCGGCGAGCCAAATCAGCGGTGGGAACCACGGCGGACTAGAGAGGGAGGATGTTCAGGCTGAGGCTGGCGAAGCTGAGCATGGTGATAGTGAAACGCAATGTTGGAGTTTGGCGGTGGGTGGATGCTTTCATTGGGCGAGGCGAAGAGATGGCTCGTTGATGTGATGTTGTTAGTGCTCGTCATGCCCTTGGGAATTTATGCGTTTCGCGATCGAAAGTTAACAAGGGTTATGAGTGAGTTGAAATGCTGACTCAAAATGCTGACTAGAATCCTCCCCTCGTCTAGTCGACCATCACTACTAAAAAGAGAGGAGTAGCACATGCTTTGGTCGTAATGCATGGTGTGGTCCGCTAGATAATTAGTAGAGATAAGGACTTCTTACATATTTCTTGCCACCTGCCTCTTCGGTCCTAACTGCAAGAGGGGGGCGACAACCCATCACGCGAATCTCCTTGAACTTCATTGACTAGCCACCTGGCAAGCAAGATCCCGGTGCCTATCTAGGTACTTTCATTACGAGTAGGGTAGTGTGATTTGTGGAGCCACAACTGCCCTGCATGTGCTTCTCTGCTTACTGGCACTCTCTACATCATTAATGAAATCCTTCGAATGAAGGTTCTGGTGAATAAAGTATACAGCCACAGATGTGTTAAACACTGTTAGCCCACGCCTGATGCTGAACAAATCCCGTCTCCCTCTGCTACCCTGAACGCACCATCCTACCAGCACACCAAGACGTTCCCCAAGTCCCTGGCACCCCAATTACGCGGCCCCTCCCTCGGCCTGCTCGCAGCGCTGAGCGTATGCCTCGTCCTGAATTTAGGCGCCCTCCTCTTCTCCCTCCGCATCTTAACGCGCGGAAGGCAGGGATACAGTGCGCCACATCCCAGCTTCTCCTCGCACTCATGACTAACGCACAGTAGCCTACCTCGCCGGCGACCGACCTCGCGAGCTCCCCCTAAAGGTCCGCACCATCCAAGCCACCTTCCACAACGACCCCTCTCACTACGGGGTGGAAGGTATCACGGCTATGGCTGAATGGAACGCAATTCGCCCTCCTGGCAAGGGTTTCGTTTTTCTAGGGGAGGAGCACTTCGCATTTGGTGTGTCGATGTGGCACCAGATGCACTGCCTTAACCACATACGCGCGGTGCTGGTCAACGAGGATAACAGGTCGGACCATACGGCGCACTGCTTCCATTACCTACGGCAGGGTATTCTCTGCGCCGCTGACACAACCCTAGAGTCGGGCGGCACGAGCATGGATTTGGCTAATGGGGATAAAGTCGCTACGGGAGCAGGAACTGTGCATACCTGCCGGGACTGGAGACAGGTGCATGATTGGATGGAGAGCCAGCATAAGGAGTGGACTTCGGACATGTACGAGAGGATTCAGGAGGCTAGTTAATAATATAGTCGGTATAGATCCGTGGACAAAACGCAACAATACATCTCAACAATATATTGGTATATGCGACTACAAGACAAGAATCGAAACAGATTTGTGCCGACATTGAAGAAAGCTTATGTACCACTGACTGACGATAAATGAGAAGAAGATAATTTGAGAAATGCAAGGAGTGACATACTATGGATTCACCTACAGACATGGACAATGCACCCCACTTGATCAGCTAAGTCAATTTTGGAACGGCCCGTTCCTCGGAACCCGACCCAACTTTGATCGGTTCGTCGGTCAATGAACATCATGAGAGATCAGCAGAATCAAGCATTCTTGATCCAACCAGATGCTGCACGCTTATCACCGACGCCTCACTGTCCACGGATCTTCTCGGCAAACTTGGCTGCCAGATCACCCGCCAACTGTTTCAGCGACCCGAACCCCATGATTTCTAAGACACTCATCGTTAGTCCAAACACTTGCTTGATCCACCTTCGCAACTCAATCGCCATCAGCGAATCTAGGCCGATCTGAGCAAGCGTAAGGCCAATATTGACCTCCTCATCTGGTTTGAGCATTAAGTCATGGATCTTCTTCCCAACCTCAAGTGCGAGGAAATCAATACTCTCCCCGCTTATGAGTGTCGCCATACTGCCTTCGTCCCCAATCTCGGACACACGACCCAGGAATGTCTTCAGTGCGCTCGACTTCGAGGCTTCTTTCCCATCACTGGCGTTGTCGCTGGGCCGCAAATTGTGGTAAAGGCCCATGCGCCGATTGTGGCGCCAGCTGGCGCGGTTATGTGGGTCTGCGAGGTCCTGCTCGGAGCGCAGACCCATAAAGACTTGAGACCTGTTAACCCATGGCGTTGATGGTGTAGCCGTCAGACCCGGATTCCAGCTAGAGGACGGCGTGGAGTCGATGAGACCGAGCTCCACAAAGTCGAGAAATTCGCGCTCCCTCAAGGTATATATACCTTGCGCCTTCATGTTCTTTTTGGCTTGCGGGTTCTCGGCGACAAAGCCTATACCCTCAATGGGACATATGTTCAAGACTGAGGCAGGCAGTCCGAGTGAGTGTCTGTATTGGCAAAATGCCTCCAGGAAAGTCCCTGTGGCGAGATAGTTGCCCTGTCCGGGCTGGTCCACTGCAGTAAGAATGGAGCTAGCGAGCCAGAAGAAATCTAGCTGGTGGTCCTTCAAGGAGTTATGGAGATTCCACGTCCCCTTAACCTTGGGTTGGTTGACATCGACCCAATCTGAATATGTCATATCTAATAGAGGTGCGTCCTGACGCTGTGTGAGCCGAATCCGCCACCAATGAAGAATCGGGGTCATTTAACTCACTTTCAGCACCATGGCCAGCTGGAATACACCCTTGATAGCCTTCTTCGAACTGGCGATGGCCTTTTCAATATCCTCGATATTTTCCACGCTCCCAGTTACCGCATGGACACCGCATCCCATATCTTCGAGCTCCCGGAATAGGCTCTTGCTCTCTTCATCCTTGCCGGCGCGTCTGGAAAGGAAGGTCAAGTCGGTTGCACCATGCTCCGCCATCCAAGTTGCAATGGATCGGCCAAGGCCACCCGTTCCACCCACTAGAAGATACGTCGCCGTTGAGTCCAGCGTAATGGCTCGCGACGGTAGCACGTTCTTCAGCTCGAACGGATGATAGCGACCAACGCAAACCTTGCCGTCATTGACCACAAACTCCTTCTCCGCATGGAGGCTTCCCTCATCCTTTGTGGTACGAATTTTCTTAAATACACCGTGTACAAGTTCTTCGAACTGAGCCTCGTTTGTGTCGATCTCGAGAGTGAACAATGGTAGTGAAAGCTCCGTCCGGACCGTTCGAGCGACGCCGAGTGTCTGCGCCGACCGCGGGTCTTTGCACCTCACCTGGATTGGATGACTCAGCCATAGGACCTTCTCGTCGTCAAGGTGCCGTATCAATGCCTGGAATGCGGCGAGACTATGCGGCGACATGTCTTCATCGAAGAAGTAGCTCTCCAGTCCTAGGCAGGCGATGATGTCCCAGCCCTTGGGGGGCATCTGCTCCCCCAGCTTGCACGTCTGGGCATCCCAGCCAACGTCCAGCAGATACAATTTGAGCCGCTTCACAATGTCCGCTTCGGGGTTCTGGCAAAGCAAGGTGACAGCTCGGTCAATATTCTGGACGCCTGCCTTCCTCGAGGGCTGTGAGATGATTGTCGCTGCCAACCGGTATGGCACGTCCTGGTCCGGTACAGCGGCATCGGCGCCTGTGAAGCCAGCCGCCTTCAGGTCTGCATCCCACCTCTCGGGCTGCACATACGGCTCCCAGTTGCGACCGTCGGCCTCGCCAAGCCACCATCCGACGAAGTTGCCAAAGATGTAGTTGGGCGACTTGATGAGAGAGCACAGTTCGGTAAGGATTAGGAATCCATCTGGCTTGAGAAGCGGTTCCAGGTTAGACAGCGTTTCCTTCAATGAAGCCGTCGCGTGCACGACATTAGGGGCAAGGATGAGGTCGTACGACGAGGCTTCGAAGCCTTGCGCTAGGCCGTCTTGGGAGATGTCGAATGTCTTGAACTGCATGTTGGGCGCGTAGGCGAAGCGTTCCTTGGCCTGTGGGAAGAAGCCTGCTGAGACATCGGTAAAGGTGTATGCGGAGTAGGGAGGAAGGCTGCTCCCATGGACAAGATCGCGGAGTGTTCGCTCGGTAGTGCCGCCTGTGCCTGCGCCTACTTCGAGGATGCGAAGGTTTGGTCGGTTGCTGGAGAGCAGGCGTACAAATTCGCCGTATCCGAAGCTCACGGAGTTGTAGAGTTCTGCCAGGACGTCGTCTTGCATCAGTAAGTCCAAAGTGTCGGCTTCGCCTGTGAAGATACGGTCTGCATTATCGCAAATGCGCTTGATGCCTACTGAGAATGCGTGCTGGCCGGGAAGTTTCAAGATCTTCGCATATGTGTCTTCGATGAGCCTCTGCCGCTCCACGCGCGGCATTTTTACGTATTCTCTGTCATTCTCGACAAGTGCGTACTGTCCAGCCTCAGCCATGCGAACCTGCAACGTGAGCCACTCACGGTATTTGGCAAGGTGCGGGTGGCAAGGCTCGATGCTAACAACCTTGTCCACCGACTCTAGCACACAGAGCAAAGTCAGGTGCTCTTCGAGTGCGATCTCAGTCTGAGGTCGGCGCGGTTTGTCGAAAAGGGTGCTGGCATCCACGAAGTCGAAGTCAGGAAGCCACTGCAGGCGGGCTCCAGCATGAACATCAACAAGATCCGTCGCCTCTGCCTCCAGAGGAGCCAGTTGCAGCCCAGACATGCGCAATGCTAACTTGCCGTCTTCTGTAACGCACTCCACGCCGTTAGTGAAGTCTTGTGCCCTGGCCCTCATGCTGGTCGACCCGCTGGAGATCTCAATGTTCTCAACCACGACGGGTACCTCCAGCTGGTCGAGGTTGCGGCACAGGCCGCGAGCACCAGCTACGATCAATAGTTGAATACATGCGTCTATGGCCGTAGGGTGCAGCGCAAAGGGCCTCTTGTTCTCCTGGGGCTCGGTGCTCATGACTCGAGCCTCTGCAAGGGGGTCTGTCGCCGAGGACGTAATATCAGCAAGACGCTGAAACTCAGGTCCAAAAATGACTCCTATCCGCGCCATGGCTTCGTAGAATCGCGTGGTGGTGAGCTTTCGAGGCAGTCTTCTCTCAACGGTAGAGTCTGGCTTCCAAATGGATGTTCCCGTTTCATCCATCGGCGATACTTGGCCAGCACAGTGTGTCAGCCAGGACTCGCCGTGACACGAAACGATGGAGAAGTCGTACCAGGAGGTCCTCTCAGCCCGGTCACCCATGTGAGGGTGCAATACTGTCACTAACTCTACTGGCTTTGAATCGGGCAACACGAGGGCCTTGCGGGCTTCGACTCGTCGTAGACGGTAGCCCGCGTCGACTCCTGTAGTTTGTCGGATTGCCTCTCCCACCATAGCAATGTAGCCAGCTAGAGGAAACACGACATCCTGGCGGATCTTATGGTCTGCAATCCAGGCCACGTCTTCAAGACTGAGCATGTTCCGCCATATAGGCGAGAAATCGGGCGATTCAACCGACCGCTCCCCTAGGAGACAGTGATGTGGGAATCTGCGCTGGCGCCAGGCGCTGGACAGCCGGCTTTCATACCAGTATGATCCGCTATGGTCCCAGGGATACACGGGCAGTCCACACAGAGCTTTGCTATTCTTGGGAAAGAGAGCCTTGACATCCAGGGGCACAGCCTCCTGATACATCTTGCCAACAGCAGACAGGAGGTTCTTGGCGCTGTCCTGGTGCCGGATCTGGCATGGGGTGTAATTGCACAGTTTCGATAACGCCGCACAGATTTCGCGGAGCGGTCCAGCAAGTGTCGAGTGAGGGCCCACTTCTAGGAATACATTGTTCCCCGTAGCTTCTCGAGTGAGCAGGTTCGTCATGGCAGAGTGAAATCTGACGGGGGAGGTCAGATTGTCAACCCAGTACTCAGGGCCAAAAGCGGCTGAATCATCTATGGGTTTGCAGGTAACACTCGAGAGGAACAGAGCCCTGTTTCCATGACATGGGATACTAGTTTTGTTCTCAGCTTGGAGCAGCTCCAAGTACTCCTTCCCCAATGGCTTCATGTGATCTGCAACGACGATGTTAGTAAACAGCAGAAAGAAAACTGGAGTGTTTCAAACGCACGAGAATGGTACGCCATCTCAACTTTCAGGAGACGGGCAAATACATCTGGCATTTCTCTCCTCAAGGATGTCAGTACATCCTCAAGGACTTCCCGATCACCCGAGATGGTTGTGCTGCTGGGGCTGTTTTCGCAAGCGATGCAAACACCGGGACGCAGGAACGGCAACATATCGGCAGCTGATAGTCCCACAGCTGCCATGGCACCACCGGAACTGCCACCATTCTTGGTGATATATCCGCGATAGTAAGCTGCAGCTAGGGCATACTCGAGAGTGATGTGCCCAGCAGCATACGCCGCTGCGATCTCGCCGCTCGAGTGACCCACAACTGCAGTGGGTTTCATGCCGAGTCGTTTTAGCTGATGGTATAACGCTACCTGAAATGCAGTGCAAAGCGGTTGCGCCAGCTCGGCACGGTTGATATAGCTGAGCTCAACTGGTTTCTGGAGCTCCTCTATGTTGGTAAAAGTTAGTAAAGAGTCAGACTCCGATTCAACGCTTCAACATACCAAGTATAGACCAACATGGAGGCTTCCTTAGGCTCTGCAGTATGCTATCCATGGCTGCCAAGTCATCCCGGAAGCTAGCACTCGTCTGAATGAGCTGCTTCCCCATCCCAGCCCACTGGGCACCTTGGCCGCTGAAGATCATAGTAATGGCCGGAGGGGACATAGGGGCCTTGGCGAAGCCTGATGTTTCGATCTCGCCATTATGCCATATGGCAAATGCCCGCTGAGGAAGCCTTTCTCGGTGGACGGCTAATGTATAAGCAATGTCGGAGATGGCTCCCGGGTGGTCACGTGCGTACGTCTTATAAGCATCAATCTCTCCTCTCAGGGAGACCTGAGTATTGGCAGAGAAGAGAAGGAGTTGCGGGCTTGAGGTTGCCGGAGAATGAATAACGCCATCTATGCGGCTAGTTCTATTGGCAGCATGACCAAGGCCAAGATGTTGGGGCACAGATTCGATAATAACCTGAAATTGTTAGTGCTATGACAGGGAATATGTGACTGGTGTGCAATACGTGAGCATTAGAGCCACCGATACCGAAAGAATTGATGCTGATCCTTTCTGCCTTCTCAGATGGAAAGGGTGTTGGTTCTACCGGGACGACGAGCTTCTTTTCCACGAATGGAACTAGGAATTGTTAGACCACAAATCCAACTAAAGGGTATATTAGCTTACTCTTGGGGTTTGGCTTCTTGAACTTGATATTTGGAGGGATTGTCCTATGCTCTAAAGCCAGAACACCTTTGATCAAGCTAGTGATGCCTGAACAACCTTCGGAATGCCCAACGTTAGGCTTAACGGAACCAATATACACTCCCTGTTCACCGAAGACGTTGCCCACTGCTTTGGTCTCGATGGGATCGCCTGTTGCGGTGCCAGTGCCGTGGCACTTGGATGCGTGTTACTCAAAGGTCTGGTATCGTTCCTTTTGTCCATGGAAGCTTGAAACATACCTCGACGAAAGCAGTTTCACAGGGATCCAGCCCGGAATGATCATAAACCTGGCGCATGAGGGCTTCATGCGCCTCAGCACTGGGGCTCATAATTCCCATACTCCTACCATCACTGTTGGAACCTGTTCCCCTAATGATAGCCCGGATGGGATTTCCATCACGGAGAGCATCATCAAGGCGTTTGACATAAATGGCCGTGATGCCCTCAGCTCGAGCAAAACCGTCGGCCGATTCATCAAAGGTCTTGCACGAACCTTCCGGTGAAAGAATGCCCTCTCCAAAGAAATTCGACGTCAGTGTTGGAGCTAGAATAAGACTGGTTCCTCCAACAATTGCGCCAGACACGTCACCTGCCTGTAGCGCCCGGCAAGCCTCGTGGAGGGCGACGAGCGATGCTGAGCAGGCTGTCTTTATCACCACACTGTGGATTGCATTAGCAAGTTTAGTTACCGACGGAAACAAAGAGCCAAAAGAAAAAAAGGAGTGGAAAGTAGAACAACTTAGTTTAAGGGGTACTTTCAAGGGTCGCTGAGAGAAAAGCTTACCTTGGCCCTCGTAAGTCATACTCATATGATACTCGATTAGCCAATATCATGTCGCTGTATCCAAGCACATTATAGCTTCGAGTATGCTGCGGCTCCCTAAGGCTAATCTCCATCCAATCGTGACCGAAGTTCCCAATATAGCAACCAACGTTCCGACCACGATAGTTAGTTTCTCCAGCGTCTTCTAGACACTCTCGTGTGACTTCCAAAAGCTGACGTTGCTGCGGGTCGCATTTCTCTAGTTCAGTCTTGGTCATGGAAAAGAAAGAAGCGTCGAGACTGGATAGGTCTTCATCTAGGAAGTACCCATGCATTGTCTTGATCGGGTCTCTGCCGTCGAGGGAGCCGTTGAAGCCAAAGATATTGTATCTACTGGTCGGAATGGGCGTCCGAGCATCTTTGCCGTTGACCAGGAGATCCCAGAAAGAGTCACCATCACGAATCCCACCAGGGAGACGCAATCCTATCCCGCAAATCGCTATCGGGTCGGTGAACGTTGGAAAGTTAGGCTTGCCTTCATTCACATTGACACGATCGGAGTCAGAAGAGTCAAAAGGCCCTGAGGCAGGCGATGTACCCCGAGTTGAGGCACTTCCCTCTACCGACAATGAGAAGTCGTGCTGGGAGAAAGCCATGTTCTATTTCTAATATATAAAAGAGATGGGATACCAATAGTGAATGATATGTGTCTGAATCAGGGCTCGAGCACAGAAGAAGTCCGCTTCGAGTGGTGTTGAACCCTTATATATGTTGGCACCCGGGCATGACATCAGGATACGCTACTCTATCACGCAAATTCGAGCTTCTCTCCCAATTGCCACCCTAGCGTGATAATCTATCCTGAGACGGTACAACCAGTGTTTACGTTAAACAAGTTGTCATCACACTATGGAGTGATTCGACACTTTCCGAGGCAAAAGAGGGATTCCAGGTCTGTCGAAGGGATTTGCCCCGCTTCCTCCACCAAAGACAGCCCGTGCTTGAAGAATGGGCAAATTCACTTGGACCTCTTCTGGTGTGGGCAGCTCGCTAGCTTTAGGTGGGGGTTTCTCAGAGACAGTCCAATGGCTGGTAGTTGACTATCAAAGAACGTGATTATGTTTGTCAAGCATCTATGAGAGTTACTACGTCAACCTAGAATGATCGCGAGCCCTTCCTAGAATAGTAGTATATCGCGAGAACAGATGAGACAAACAGGGATGCATATTATGTCTGCAGTGGAGGTTTGTCTAAGACACCGGAATCCGTCGATAACTTTGACAGCATATTAGATACAAGGCAGTTTCATTGGCTTGCGAATTCGTATCTTTCCGTATCAGAAAAGTGTGTGTGGAGATGACCCTCGTGTGCGGGCCAAAAGGGTACGACGCGGACGAGACCGAATGGTGGAATAAGTCGCCTAGATCTCGTATCAAGATGTACCTTAGGAAATTTGGTTTGCTAGTCGATACTACGAATGGTGATAATGTCTAATTGTGATGTACCCACATCAGTATAAGCATCGGCCCTCGCCATCACCGATTCCGATGCCTCTGTTGTTCTGAAGTATTTCAGTGATGCTCTCTGTCGTCTCATCCCATCTTCGTGCTCTCCTCCTAAATCTCCAAGTCCAGCTTACTCCGTAATTTAACCAATTGGTCGACATTGCATCTCCAAGCATGGCTGTCAACGGGAAAGTCATCGATGGTACTGATGGCAAGTATGTTGCCGCGGGCATCGACATGAGTGACCTGTTCCCTGCCTCATTTCCTACTGATGTCAAGACGGTCCACCTGGAGACTCTCTCTCTGGCAAAGCTCTTGGAAAGAGACGAAAATGAACTACGGCGCATCTACGACAATTGCAAGAACCCGGGTTTCTTCCAGCTCGACCTCACTGACGATGAGCAGGGCGTTCAGCTCCTGCGAGACGCTGTCGACTGCGCTCGTTTGATGAAAAGGCTTCTGCCCAACATGAGCGTGGAGGAGAAAAGGACTTACAAGCAGCACACCCGAGTTGGTGTTTATAGCAAGGGGTATGGGCTCGCTCTACTGCGTCTCTAGCTAGCCAGTTGTTTAACATTGAGCAGATACCAAGTCTACGAGATCCTACCGAATGGACAACCCAAGTATAATGAGACGGTCAATGTAAGTCGTTTAGCCCCCAGTTATCCTCGCTGAGCTCCTAGACCCTGGCTAACTCTTTTATTTAGTTTCCGATGACGGAGATGCTAGGCTACGGCGGTGCCCCTGTAGACCTTCCTGACTGGCTCAGCCCGCACCAGGAGCTCTTTCAGCGGACCATGCGAAGTGGGAACAAAATTGCCAACATTGTCCTGGCTGCCCTTGAGGTGGGACTGCAGGTGCCGCCCGGCGCACTCACCGACGCGCACCACATCCAGGACCCCTCAGATGATTTCCTCCGCCTGCTGCGCTATCCAGGTCTGCAGCCCGATCAGCCGCGCGACGACCTTCGTTTTCCTGCCCATAAGGACTTCACTTCGCTTGGCATATTGTTCACCTGGCTGGGGGGGCTTCAGCTACCTGCCTCGGCGGCTGCCCCTAGCATCACGTCCGGCACCATGACGGGTCCCTTGGACATCATCGAGGATTCCTGGCGCTGGGTCAAACCAGTGCCCGGGACTGCCATTGTCAACGTTGGCAACGCGCTCGAGATTCTGACCAACAAGGCGCTGACGTCGGGCCTGCATCGCGTGGTACGAGCGCCCGGTGAACAGGTGCCGTTCGACCGCTACAGTGTCCTGATTGGCACACGCCCTGCCAACAATTTCTCCATGAAACCGCTGCAGAGCCCGCAGATCTCACCCGTCTTGGATCCTTCCGCTGCTGAGATCGCCAAGATGACCAGCGGCCAGTGGGGGACGCACAATATCGGCAGCTTCAACAATTGGGTAAAGGCACGAAAGGAGCGCCAGGACGTTCTCATTATCCCGTGAGAATCTCGGGCAGCACGTCAGACCCCTCACAGTGAGGTTACATTGCATTTTGTATCAACTGAGACACGTTTTCAGACCCCATATATTTAGTCTCCACTCGTTTAGTCAAGACAATGTTAGTGAAATCATGATAGGCATGCTTATAAGTAAACCTGTTATTGAACAATGATAAGCAATATACGAGAGACTACCAAGTTATTACACTAACTTTCGTATGATTAGCTAAAAGGAAGTTCCCCAATAAGACTGACATTGAATATAACGCGCTTTGACCACCGGGACCGGACGGACGGGAAGTCAGGACTTCCGGAGTGGGACCCGCCCGCCACAGGGCTGAAGAGGGGTGTCCTTGGCAAATGGCTTGGCCAAAGCTTACCTTTCCCATCATTGCAGATCCCTGCCTTTCCAGGTGATGGTTCCAGGATGATCACTTCCGCGGTTCTCTTTTTTTACCACCAATGTTGAGCGTGTATTGTCGCGTAATAACCGACCCCTTGCTTCCTAATTGTCCTCCACCTCCTAAAACTATACCTGTTCGATAAGCAAAAGTAATTGCGGGGCTACACGTCGGACTCAATTCAAGCCCGACGCAGCTAATGATTTCCCACACTAGATCCGATCCCCCAAATCTTGTGGCAAAATAATGGATACTCTTTAGCGGTTGCGGCCAATATCTACAATCACGTAGCCATCCAGGGAATACATACCCAGATTAGAAATAAATCAAAACTTCTACAGGATGGTGGGAGGACCGTGCATGCTCTGTGTGCCGTTGCTCTCACGCTGGAAGGAATCAGTCTTTGTAAGTTGCATCCGAAAAGAAACGCTAATAGAACGGGATTACTTCATATCCAGGTATCTGCTGCAGGGTATTGTCTATTTAGAAAGGTCACAACCTTGCATGAAACAGGAGTTAGGCCATAGAAGTTATACCTACTAGGCGTACAGACAGAGCAGCATCAGAGAGCAAAATCTTGCGGTAGTTAATGTTATTCAGCTTCAAATGATTGTCCTACTCGTAATATCACTTAGCGTCTGTGTAGAAACACCTCCTGAAAAGCCTTCTATTTACAGTTCAGGGAATTGTACTTCTATTTACCGAGAAGCGTCTTGCTCGATATACAGGAATCACCACGGCACAATCCGCATCTGGCCCTCCTCATGCTCCCACTGCATGCCGTGATCAAACTTGCCTTCATCATCTCCAAGCAGCTGCACGATACTCTCAGCTCCGGCCTGCGGCTCCTTTCCCCAAGCAATATAATTGGAGAACGCCGTCTTCAGCAAACCTGGGTTTGAGATGAAGAAGCGAATACGAGGCTTCGTGTCCCCGGCGGCGACGCGCTCGTTCTCACCCACCTGCAGGTGCGCCGTCAGCCCGTTCATACCCACCTTGCTGGCACCGTAAGGCGGCACGCGGCCCATCCGCCGGGGCGACAACACGTTGGTGATGCTGCCTAGCCCTGATGTGACATTGATGACCTTGGGCGTGGCCGATTGGTGCAACAACGGGGTGAAAGCGTACGTAACAACAGCCACAGATGTAATATGGACATTCATGTAGTCGTTGTAAGTGGTGCGCATAGCGGACAGCTCTGTGTCCTGATGACCTAGACGGACGAAACCTGCATTGTTAATGAGGACTGCAATAGCAGCAGGAACGGAGTCAGTTAGCCTCATTAGTGCGTTTGGTGTCCCGCAGTGGGGGCTTGAACGAAATGTGGCATTCTTACCGTCGAGCCGCCCGTACTTGGTCTCAACATGTTTGACCGTGGCCGCGATTTGGTCGTCGTTGGTCACGTCCAGCTCCACCAGGTCGACATTGGCTTTGACCCCGAGCTCACGGAGCTTATTGATTGCCGATATGCCCCTCTCGATGTCTCGCGCGCAGAGAACGTATGTGTTTGACGGATACCGTAAGCCGGCGACTTCAATGACAGCAAGGCCGAGGCCTTGGTTGGCTCCCGTGACCAGCACGATCTTGGAGTTGTTCGTATCAATGGCCATTTTCGTTGAGAGTTGAGTCATATCACGGTAGAGAAACTCACAAAGATAGGTAAATGAAGACGAGAAGGATCGTGGCAGGGCTGAGGAAGAGCTTTTTCAACCTCGTGCTCGTCCCGTGAGCAGTCCGGAGTTAAGAGTGGGGTTCCTTCCGACTTCCATTTCATTTTATTTTATTTTTGATGTGAATCTATACGAGGCACGTGACTTCCTAGTGGCTTGGCCGATCACCGAACTCCATCTCCTGAAGGCTTGACCCATTAGTTGTAAGAAGAAGCGGTTGAGATAGTCGATAGAGCCATCCATAGGATTGAGTATCTATCGGAATGGCATCCGATCCTCAGTAGGCCACGCACGTGTAGCTGATACAACCTCATCCTGCTCATCTTTCCCCTGAGGTCACAACAATTTTCTTTCGTTTTATTTTCTTTCACTTCATTTCAATCGACGCGATGTGATTCGTTCTCGCAGATTGGCCCCAATTCTGGGATAGACCCAGAGGTGCGCATTGATGTTACAACATAGACAGCATCTTCTATTTTAAACTCGCTCCACAAGGTGGGGACTTTCTAATAATTCTTACCATACGCCACCATCCCAGTCGGCCGCGTCCTGCAGGATGACGGGATTCCATCAGTAGACCTCCCCGCGCGTGGCGTAAAACGGCGGTTTCGGCCAATACCTTTGCTGGGGTTTGACTGTCTTAGCACAGGACTCTACGCCCCCACTCTCGTTTACTCCGACAGGGATCCTCATCCTACTATATGCTCATGCACAGTACTCGCAACGTAGAGAAAAGGAAAAGGAAGAAATGGCTTAACGACAAGGCAACTTCTTACCGTGTTAGCACCACACTTAGGGCCAATCTGTCGTCTGACTTTATCACCTAATTTCTCTCGTCGAGTTAAACACGAGGAAGAAAAGATACGATACCTCCAGGTTCAATATCCCAACGGATTGAGTTAGTGCTTCTAATAGACTTGGGCTATTAGGGTTGTTGAAGACAATGGAAACATATATAATAGAGGATGTTTGGAAACCGCCCCAGGGAAAAAATCACTTATTGCTGTTGTTTTCACGGAGATTCGACTAAGGAGCTGTCCGAGTCTCTCATTCGTAGTTGTACAAAATGCTGCGTGCAACATTGATATCAGTGGCTGTCTGTATAGCGGCCTATAATGATGCAGCGGCAGCTGCTTACTTGCAGCATTTCGTCTCATGCGACATATCCCTGGCCAGCATAGGGCTATCTAAGGACTCGCAGATTTTCTTCCCCAACAGCTCTGGGTGGGATAACGAGACCATCCGCTGGACTGCCTATATGGCTCCCACATATTCTGTTGCAATCCGACCAATCCATGAGTCGGATGTGCAGGCTCTGGTGCGTCAAATATTTTTTCTTCCCGTCCAATCTTTGCTGACTGTAAACAGATTAAGTTCGCCACCCGCTGCAACATCCCATTTCTGGCCAGCTCGGCCCAGCATGGGTTCACGACTACACTGGGTGAGTTGCAGAACGGGTTAGAGATCGATTTGTCGGCCTTTCGCAATGTGTCCGTCAATGCCGAGGAGAACACCCTGACCGTTGGCGGCGGTGTGCGCTTCATGGACGTGTTCGACCCTGTCTTCAATGCTGGCAAGGAGATTAGTAAGTTGCGCATTCTTGAATTACTCCGTAAACCCCGCTGTATTTAACGAGCTGACCATATTGCAGGCACCGGATCAGGAGCCTGCGTCGGCATGATTTCACCTACGTTAGGGGGCGGTGTCGGCCGCCTCAGCGGTATACACGGCATTATCTCGGATCAATTACTGAGCGTACGCATGGTGACCGCCAACGGCAGCATGGTGACCGCATCAGAGAAGGAGAATCCGGACCTGTTCTGGGCCATGCGGGGTGCTGGCGGCAACTTTGGCATTGTTGTCGAGGCCGTGTATCAGGTGACCGATCTGACCTCTGAATATGTGGTCAATATGGACTATGCATTCTCATCCAAGGACACCGGTACTATCATTGACTATCTTGCCTCGTTTGGTACAGACATGCCCGCCAAGTTGTCGTTCATTATCGAGGCACTCTATAATGAGGAGCTGTTCGGAGGGGTATGTTACCCCTTGCGTTTGTCTATGCAGCTTGCTATAGAGTATTAACACATACCTTTTCCAGTTCGCCGTCGTTGTCAGTGGGCTTTACAACGGCCCCCTGAGCGAGGCCGAACAGTTGCTCGCGCCGCTCCTACGCAATGTTACACCGATTAAGCAAAATGTAAGCATTGTTCCAGAAAACGAACTAGTCTACACAGCGACCTTTGGCTCGCAAGGTAATCCCACTATCGCCTGCACTGGAAAGGGAGCCAATCGCAGCGTCTTCGGTGGTGCCATTAACACGTACGACAAGGCTACGTATGTTAGCTTCGTTAAGGCCTTCGAAGATCTCGTTACTACCAAAACCGATTTGCGAGGCAGCGTGTTTTTCATCGAACACTTCAGCAATGTCAAGGTTCAGAAGGTCCCAGATGACTCTTCGGCGTACCCTTGGCGCAATATCACTGCACACCTGTACGTATTGCCCTATGTTTCATTGTTACGTAGCCGTAGTAGACGGGTAATACTAACAAATATCAGCCTTTTCAATTATGCCTGGAAAGATCCAGCAAACCAGCAAGTCGTCGACCAGTTCGGCAAACAGTGGCGCGCAGCATTCCAGAACACATCGGGATTCAACCCACCGCAACTGTATGTCAACTACGGACACGGGGATGAAAGTAACGAGATGCTTTACTCGCACAGGAAGCTACCAAGATTACAGGCTCTTAAGAAACAGTGGGACCCAGAGAACGTATTCCGATTCCATCATGACCTAACTGTGGCCTGAACAGCTTATCACGAGCCCTTAGAAAACGTAAGTAGCCGTGCACTGTACCGCCAACTGTCTTCTAGAATGTACATTTTGTGAAGCAGTCTTGCTTTTATTTTTATGTATTTACAGTGCTTATTTATATTTTCGCGCAATTTGTTTTCTTCTCCTTCCATTACCCCTATAGGTAAATCTATTATAAGGATAAAAACTCGTTTACATCAGCTACTAGCTCGAGCTTCCACATATTGTTCACAAAGGACAGGCCCCGTTATCGAGACCCGTAAACAACTGGCGCCGACAATCACTAGCAGGCGTATCCACAATTAGAGTCTCCCATAAGCCCCCAAAGCGACCCAATTCTAATGGTCCCGACTCGCCCCAAGTGACAGCAGCGACCTACTGAGCGGACAAGGGCGAGCGGGCGGAGCCATCACTGATAGCTATGGTTTGCAGGTCGGATGCTTCGCGACATGCCTTTGCTAGGCGAATGTGGGCGGTTAGATAGGACATATTGGTGGGTCTGTCTATATAGTTGGGAGGTTGGTGATCACATATAGGGAGATCACTGTCGTTAATGCTGCGGGTATAGTGGACGGCCATGTGTTGTAGGTTTGTCGTGTAAGTGCAGTCTAGGGAGCCAGTAGCGCAGCTTGCGAGCCCGTTGTTTGGTGTTAATATGCAGAATCTCGTGGCAGAGATAAGGAACAGATGATGTGCCAGTCAGTGCTCACCAGACGCCACTATACCCTTCGCTTGGTTTTCGGACGACCTGGTTCACATCACTTCTGCAGTTCATTAGTTCTAGCCGACTAGTGAGAAAATCCGCAACACTGCTTTCTACCTGGGAGAGGACTCGACTGCCCTACACAGGGCTGCCGGCCGTCATACTTGAGCTTCTGCACCCAGCAGAAATCGCACGATATGCGCAGCTAGTGTGACCCGCTCCTAATTCCTCTTCAAGCTTTTATCTAATTCGCTTCGTGCCACTCCCCCCCACGGTACTTCGTGACATGTGTTAGGGCCGCGAGGTTTAAGGGCCCGTGGATGATCCAAGCGCAGTTGCTATTCATGGAAGAAGAATGCAGTGCGGATCAGCCCGGAGTTCCGGCCAAATACGAGGGCCAGTCTCGGGGCCAGTCTCGAGACCCGTCTAGGATAGCATCCTTTAGATGAAATAGAGCCCATCTGAAAATATAGTACAGCAAGTTATTACGTTCATGAATGCAGATAGAATTTTTCAGTTTCTTTCTTTTCGTTTCTTTTCTTTCTTTTTTTTTTTCTTTCCCTTTTCCCTTTTCCCTCTTCTCCTTTTTCCTTTTCCTTTTTTTTCTATCTCTTTCGTCTTTTCTTCCATTTCTTTTTTGTCCTTTTGCGGTGGGCACGTCTCGGCCCCTTCAGTGAAATTCGTTATCTCCGTGGAAGGTAGGCCACCCTGTCAATTTATTTATGGCAGCAATGGCGTAAGGTTTGTTCAAGTTATCATAGAAATGCTCATATTTTTGTGAAGATCTCATTATCTGCTCGATAGCCCGTTGAGATGACGGTGGCTTTATCCAACCCCGCCGCAGCGCCGGTGAGGTAAGTTGGTCTCTCAAGGAGTAGCAGTCCCTCTCCATTTGATTTTCCTTGGACTAATTCTATTTACAACAGCACAAAAGCATATATGTCAGTTATAGGAGGTACCTGCGCGCTCTTGTGTACCGTGGGCTTTGTCGTTGCCTTCGGTGTCTTCCAAGGATACTACACCGAGCACGTCCTTCGAGGTATGAGCGAGTTCGACATCTCCTGGATTGGGTCTGCTTCAATTTTCCTATTGTACATATCAGCGCCCATCTGCGGCGTTCTGGTTGATAAGTTTGGACCCAAGGTAATTGATTGTCCTTCGGAGTTTTGACAACGCTTCACGCCGGTGACTCGTGCTAGGTTCTGCTCATCGGCGGTTCGATCGGAGTCCTCGTGGCTATTTTTATGATTTCTCTCTGTTCCCAGTACTACCAAATTTTCTTGGCTCAGGCTGTGCTTCTTGGAATTAGTATGGGCTTCGTCACATGGCCACCTTTGGCTGTTGTTTCACGCCATCTTCCACACCATCGTGGCCTGGCCTTGGGTGTTATCACTGGAGGTTCTTCAGTGGGCGGAGTAGTCTGGCCGATCATGATCGAGCAACTTCTTACCAAGCGAAACCTCGGGTTTCCGTGGACCGTACGCGTGCTGGGTTTCACTATGCTGCCTCTTCTGGCATTTGCATGCATTTCTGTCACTGAGCCACCAAACCAAAACCAACCCAGGCCAGTTCTGGAGACGACTGTTGAGGGAGGTTCGGTATTTCCACTGCCGAAGCCTGAGGATGCCTCCCAATCATTATTCAGGAAACCGGTCTTTATCTCTCTATGCATTGGGTTCGGCCTCGGCTTCTTGGGCCTGTTCAACCCCTTCTTCTATATCTCGTCGTACGCGTCTGGCCATGGCGCTTCGGCACAAACCTCCTTTTACATGATCTCCATCATCAATGCAGCATCCCTCTTTGGCCGCGTTATTCCCGGAATAATGGCTGACCGTTTAGGGCATTATAACGTGATGATATTCGTACTATTCACCTCGGGAATTATCTCGTTCTGCTGGACCTCAGTTCATAACCTGACCGGGCTTATCATCTGGTCCATAGCATATGGGTTTTCTTCCGGAGTAAGTTGTGAGCTAGCATCCTTTACTTTAATTAGCAAACTATTCAACTTTGCTCATTTCACATTTTGCAGGCTATCCTGAGTCTTCAAGGTGCCTGCGTGGGGAAGATTGCGACTCCCCAAAATCAAGGCAAGGCAATCGGCTTCTTGCAGGGTTCTTTGGCTCTAACGTAAGTGGGTCATCACTAACTGGAACGAACCACATCTCACTCGCTTTTACATGTAGTGTTCTGGTAGGCTCGCCAATCGGCGGCCAACTGCTTGGTCACTATGGATACTTATCACTATCAATGTTTACGGGCGCTACGCTTGTTGTGGGATCAATGGTTATGGGCTATGCGAGACTGTGTATTGATCGGAGAATTATGATATCTGTCTAGGGAAGTTCATTATTCGCGGCTGACCTTTATAGTTTAGGGGTGACTTCTACCGGTCTCCATATGCACAAGGATGCAGAGACTGCCGGTAATTAAAAGGTTAGCTAGAGCATTGAGATATCCAGAGACTTCAATGACTAAGCGTATTTTGATAACTTTGCTACCCAATACAACATCTGCAGTAACTGTAAGGGACTCTGCTGAATCAATATTGATTAGGTAGTCTATCACCAAGAGACTAAGCTAAAGAGAGGAAAAGAAAAGAAAACATGAAGCTATTGTGTGTTGCCCTTATGGACCAAGTGTCACGTGACTAACACTCATTCACTGATTGCCTAAACCTCTATCTGTGGCAGTCACAACGTGCCAAAGAGCAATGTTGTAGATAGATATATAGAAGCCAGCAAATAGGTGTGTTGAAAAGCTAGGCTTGACTAGGTACGGGGATATCCTTCTGTCTGGCACAACAACCCCTAGTAGGTTAGGTTAGGTTATATTTAACGGCCGTGGTTCACCGCCGAGGCATGTGACCCACCATCACCTATTGGGGCAAAGGCCGCCAGGGGATCAGCCCTGGGTGTCTCTAACTAGCTGCTAGTTCTAGTTCTATGTACATGTAGGGGACTTTGGCGCGTTTACATGGCTGCTGTAGTCAAGAAACGAGGAAAAGTAAAGGGCCTGCGATAGCAGGTAGAGGGATAATGCCAGCCGCACAGGTCCGCCTACACTCCATAATCCATTCTGCCTCCACTACGTAGGTTTTTCTTTTTTTTTTTTTTAAAAAAAAAAAAAAAACGGAAGAAAATATTGAAAAGAAGGAGATATGTTATCTCAGTCTTGCCGAGATGGAAGGTGTTGTGGACAAATATCCTCAAAGAAACAGGTCTCAGATAGCCATGTAGCTAGTTTAAACACACCTGGTATACTGGTGACGCGTGCTACTGCACGCCGTAAGCCCTGAAACAATGAGAAATCAGTAGAAGCAAAGAGTCGCATCCGAGTTTGTATTTTGAATTTATTGACTGATAAGGATTGCAGAAGAAAAGGTGGCCCAGTCATACAAGATACTATAGATTGGGTCTGTAAAGTAGAAGGAAGGGAGAAGAATGAGTATTTGTTTTAGGTAACTGAAAACAAGAAACAAATAAGTTTCCGGAGAGTACTATTTCAAGAAGACAAATATGCTTCTCTTTTACTCTGGACATAAGCAGTTATGGAGATGATTCTAAAAGCAGGAAGCTATATTGTCAGCTGTTTCCCCTAAAAGGCCAGCACAACACTCAACTATTGTTCATAAGATTCATCGCGGCCTCGACGTTGTCAAGCATCTCTAAGAGAGTAGATAAGACTACTAAGATTATTATAGCCAGTATCAAGGACTGAGTATTTCTTGGCAGGAGAGAGGCAGGCGCCAGGATCGCCCTAAAGGAGACTCTCAAGGTACAGGGCATTCTTTACAGCTTGAAGTTCCGCATAGGCTAGGTCAGGGTAGTAACTGATACAGTTAATGAGGTTTCGGATGTTGCCTAGAAGGACAAGCAAGGAGTTAAATATAAACCAAGATAATAAACAACTGGTTCTACTTTCTCCTGACAAGGCAGCCAGAGACAGAAACATGAGGGGTTTTATGAGCTATTAGAAGCGCCAAAGGATCACCTAAATCAGTAAATAGAGTACTTAGAATATGTTGCACAGAGAAATACACACGAGAAGAACTGTACAGCAGTAAGCAGTTAACTCTAAGATAAAAGTGGATGGTAGACAAGATGGGTATTGATGGATGATAAGATGAAGATCAAGAAATACGAGAAAGACTGTATAAGGTCACTGGGGTAGTAACACTGAGAAGTGGAGCAGTAATAGAAGTGATATCACAGATCTACTACATTTTGCTTGACTGGCTAGTCAACACAATCTTTATCCTAACATAAAGCTTGGCTCACCACATATTTATTAAATATATCAGAATTGTATAACATGTAAAAGGAGCAATGATAAACTCACTGCACTAGGAACAGAAATTTAAGTATCTAAAAATTCCAGGTAGATGCTGGTTACATTAATTTTTTTGATATGGCTAGTATATCAGCATAAGAAGTTTTTCGAGGTCTCTAAGGACATTGCTTGGGTGTAGGTGAGTTTAGCTGGAGGGATGATTCTGGTTCACCTGCTGTCCAGGTCAATGTAATTTAAGTGTCCTTATTATTATTAGGCTCCGTATGACTAATTTTCATGATATTCTTGAGTACAAAGAGGAGAATTGTCTTGGTAAAGTGGAATTAGATTTGTGTTAAGTAGACCAATAGACTTTGATAGATTGGCGGTAGTAGGTCACTATATTCACTGGTCTGCTCGTTTTCGCTTATCTGTTGCGGAAGATGGAGTTGAGAGTAAAAATTAGGCCATTGTTAGTAGAAAGTGTATGTTGTCTATTATTGCAAGTTATGGGTTTTTCTTAGATATTCCAAAGATGTGTCCCGTAATATATAAGTATTGGAAGTAGTAGTGGGAAGTTAACCCAGCGCTGGCTGTTCTCGAAGTAGGCAGTGACTGGAAAAGTATGCTGAGTCTGATTGGAGCTATTATAGACTGCTAATTGGAGGCGGTAGGGTAGGTGTTTTGAGCCGTTGTTCAGTTATCCTCCACATTCAGTCACCATAGCGAGAAGTGTAACGGCTGGTTGGGCTACCTCTAGACAGTGCATGAAGCATAAGTCCGTATCTGTGGTTTCCTGGATGGCTAGGCTGTTTGTGAAGAGATATTATTCAAGTTCAAGAAGCTTCTTACTGGTCTACTGTATAAGCATGTAGAAGAATATGAAAGTCTTAGTCTTGTATAGTGACTGTTAAAAAAGAGCCCCAGGCCTAAATAAATATGCTGGGTTGGTAATGCTCAGAGTGATTCAGTTCACTGAAGAATTGAACTAGGATCGGGATATCTTTTTGCTCAACATCATCTGAAAATGTATTTTTCTCAGAGATATTAAGTGAAACATAGCTGTAGGGCAAGATCCTTACCGGGCCGGGTTGGATCTGGTTCAACATGGTCAATAAAGACTTAAATATAGAGAGTAGAAGAGGAGTTTATATTTGGAGGCATTCTCAGGAATTATATTTAACAGTTCGTTAAGGAGGAAATCTGTAAAAAGCTGGAGGAGATTACTATATAGGAGCGAATTAGGAAACCGGAGAATATGGGGAAAGGGTTTTGAGTAGGGGGTAAGAAGGTGCAGTATTGAATACCTTTGTGTGACAGGTTGGATAGCAATTCAGCCTGATGACAGCATAGTACACCCTGTCCACATTGCATAAACGAATCGGCCCCAAGTGAGGTGTATTCTATTTCATCTTTATGAGATCAGAATGGCAGGTCAGAATAAAGGCTCCAAGCAGAGAGCGTTTCATATTACAGATTTTGCAGCTTTTCCATTTCTTTTAATAGCTGAGGATCAGATGTAAATATAAGATCTTCAAGGTCAGTGCTCTGTAGGAGATGAAGTCCTTAAATGATTATACTCTGGAGGGGTAGAAATGTGAGCGAAATAGTGGACTAGTTCAGGTTGACTAAACCACTGAGTCATATAAAGATAAGACGTGAACCAACCATCAATGGCAGTGGAACGTGACTATGAGGCTGTACGCGGCATAGGCGGTGATACGGAAGTCGGTCAAGGGCAAAGAGACTGAGGGTGAACTTTAGGGGTTGAGCTCTATGTGTAGAGCTATTTTGCATTCTTTTGCTTTTATGTGTTTTGCCAACCAAAATTACTACTAGGCCACAAAAAGCGTGCACACACCAATTGGGCTTTATACAGTCAATTTCAGTATTTTTTCAGGTTGATATGTTAATATACTTTTATCCCGCTACTCCCGCAACCACTGCATGCAGTGTTCTACGGAGCCGCTGGACGGCTCAATCTTGTATGGCGGCCATATAACATAGGCAAGCTAGGACAGGATAATGAGGACTACTGCTACTACCACTAATAACAGTCTATATTTCTTGAGCTATAACATAATGGATCACCCCGCTGTGAGTATGAGAAATCTGCCTGGAGAAAGGATTCGCTAAATCGCCACAAGAATAGGATAATATCAAACCAATGTGAGGTTTTTAAATAGAACTAAAAGTCAAGGTTGTACTGTTAAGAAAAGTTTAGGCCCGCCCTTTGATTATGGACAGTACTACCACTCTAACAAGCCTCTGCCACTATCGATTCTTCAATAAATCTTACGTAAATTCATAGCGTTCCATTTAGTCATCAAGTCCTCGGTGCTTGCTAGAGCTAGGCTCAGTAATCACCTGAACATAGCTCGATCAGTTGAATTAGGCATCGCCATGCAGGTCATGCCAGAAGAATTCTGAAAACCCTTCAGCTAAGGAGCGGGTATTGTTACAAGTTAAGAAGACATTCCTTATTTTATTGCATCAGATACCAGAAATTGAGCTTACACTGTAAAAAAGGAATTTTATACGTTACCTAAAACCACCTACAGTAATTTCGGGTATGTTTGATCTTTCGCCATTGTGGTGATCAAGATAGTAACATGGCACAATCGGAACTTACTTTTAAAGGGCAACGGTGGCTACTTCATGTTTGCTTTTGTTGAACAGTAAGCGACCAGATACCGGCTGGAAACCGGGCTGAACCGGACCGGGAGACATCCGAAGGCGCAAAGCCGCGAGAATATCTTAGGTTTTCTGCGTAGAGTCTTTGGTTTCCTGTGTAATCTTCTATGTTGCGGATAAGTTAGCTCATCGTTTTGTTGTGCGTGGCTTGCAGATCGATGCGCTGGCGCCTTTCTATTCCGGTCCATGTCTGCTGGAGCCCTTTTACTTATACTGTATGCTCTAGATTTGATTGAAGCCAATCTCTTATATAAGACATAGCCCGCACACAAAGCTGACAGTTGATCGATAACTCCTAGCTTCGTTGACACTGACGCCATCCTAATTCCTTGGACAGTACAAAAGCGATTCACCTAGCAGTCATGGCAGCACTAAACCTCCATCTCCAATCACTCCTTCATGAGGAAATAAGTATGGTCGAAGAGAAAACGGTTCAAATCCTTAACAATTTCCTCCAGCGGGCTAGTGCAGTGCCCGCCCAAGTTGCTGCGTGGAAAATGTACAAGCTCACCCCAGAATGCCTGGAGAAAGGACAAAGTGAGAAACTAGACCTCGAGACTTTCCTCTGGCAGGTGTGGGATATTTTTATCCAAGTTGCTTGGCGGATTCCTTATAACCATCCCTTTCAAGACCATATGGCAAACCTGGTCGAATCTCTAGCCTCATTGCCCCCGCTCACCGTAAACATTTGGCAGGTAAGCTCTATACTCACCCATACCAAATTTAGGCTAAACTACTTTCCCTCAGACTAGCACATGTCTCTGGACTGATTTGCCCCTTCTAGGCCCTAGCATGAGGGAGGCGTGGATTTGTAAGTTATGACTTTTCCAAGCAGTTGTTTGCTCCTAAGAGACTGCAGTCACAAGTTGATATTTTTGATGTTTGCAACTCATGTAGCTCCGACATATGAGGGCAGAATACCAACTATTGAGGAAGCGCAGTCGTGGATTAACCTCAATTCATTCGCGGCCCGACTCCTTAAACTTAATATGACTTTGTGGACTGTGTTTGCTGTGTGGGAACTTCGTGAAGCGCTTGAGGAGCCTTGTGAGGGGTCCAGGCTCGATTGCAATGTTCGGGTAGCTGCACAATGGATCACACATGGTGCTAGCTCCCTCTACAGAAAAGCTGACAAGCGGATACAGGATAATAGGGTCATTGCAAATGGGTCTCTATATAAGGGTGATAATACGCTATGTTTTGAACGGTGGAAATTTTGTAAGGATTGTTTCGGCATAATTGGTGGTTCAGCTGAGGGAATAACAAAGCAGATGGCATTGGAAGCTAAAGCGAAGATGGAGTTGGCTGAGCAGGCCAGTAATGCTTAGCGGGGTCCTTTTTGTTTTTCAGTTTTTATTTTGAGTATACGATAGAGATATTATTCCTTAGGTACTACAAGCATCATGTGAGCCTTTGTATTTCTACCGCCGTGTGTTTTGTGTTTCGCCTGTAGCTTACGCCGCCATTGTACACCTTTGTCAGCGTCAAAAAGTGCGGGATGGGGAATTTGTTCCAATACTAGTTGAAGTATGGGCCATAGAAGGTCCTTGGGTTGAAAGGCTGCTTGGCCTGCTTGCCCTTTCAGCGCGAGATGTTGCCGCGTTGACGAAGCGAAGAACCTGATTTGTCCATGCAGTGACACTTATTGTATTGTACTATGACAGCCCTGTGCCATGTGATTAAGGTATCCTTCGGCATCCTGGGGAACTATCTTGCCACAAAAGCATTTTAGAAATCTCAGTACTCAGAGAGGTGTTCTCGAAAAGCGGTGAAAGTAACTTTGGAATAGTTGACCGCATTGAAGGGTACTCTGTCTTTTGAGGGTACCATGATTTGGATGTTCCTACATGTCCCAGTCAAATAGACCCGCGTGATATTTGCGTCCTATAGTGCAGTAACAGTTAATTTTGATAGGTTCCGACTTTTCCTTATCAGCATATAATCGCTTACGGATTGAGACAGCATATCCTCACGGCCCGCACCATTTAAAATTCATCTCCTTACTGGAACAACCTTTCTAAGGGATGAACTCTGGTCTTTTGAAGGCTCTCGTGTCCGGAGCACACATGACAGTCCCGTTCCGCTCTCCAATCCTCCGCGGTGAAACCAAAGAGCGTGTCTTCCCCTCCGTTGAGGGATCTGCCATGATAGACTCATTTGTTCAATCTGTCGATATCAGGCCACCTTCACCCGATAGCTCAAATTTCAATGTCTCTAGAAAATGCATTGCCCCGAGAGATGCGGGGGTATCTCGTACTTTTCCGGGGTCTTATTTAAATGAAATACACTCAGCGTCGACATTCCTCTAGCAATGGCATCACCCCACCGGAGATGTGCTTAGATAGCCCAGTGCGGCAACGACCAGGCAAAAAGTTAAGGCACAGTCTCCCGCGTTGCCAAAATGGTACATGCGGGCGCTGCTGACGTTTGGTATCCTTCCGCGCAACTTTTAAGATAGACAATAAAGCTGAGGGTAAAGCTGTTGCATATGAATTGGAGGCTATTGCCCATGAAGCTGTGGCCCCAGAGGAGGGCAAAGTTAGTTATTATTACACACCAAATCCGAGTTACTCCGTAGATGGTGCATCGGCGGTTATCCCTTACGGAGACAGTGGGAGACAGTCCGCTGTGCAAGTATTTAACTGCAACGGGTATTACGACATTGATGGCAAGGTTGCAGACCAAGAGTCACCGAACGCTCGCGAGGCTTTTCGTCTACAAGATACATATATTCAGGGAGGGAGTTCCCGCATGAGCTCTTTCCGCGCAAATAGTCTGTATGGTGTAAATAATATAGATATGGCCACCTATCCTTTGGACGGTCCGTCTACAGCCTACTATTTGACAGCACCTACTCTTTCCGAGAGTAGTCTTCCAATCTGATAATAACGGCACAGATGTATCTACATTGGGGATTCATATTTCCCAGCCGAACTCTACGGCATCAATGGCCTGTATTCAGACGACCTATCCATTAAATGGTTCAGATAAATAATCTAAATAGACACGAGTTACCACGTTCCCTTGTGCAAGGACTACAGTATCGATCTATAAGAATGAGTTGGCAAAGCCTGTTCGACCACCCTTCCCGAAGGCCATTATGCCCCCAGATACATAGTGATCTACCCTGATCCCAAACTTAAGCTCACCGTCGAAGATGTCGAACTACATATATTACTCTCCTCAGGCATCGAAAACCAATTTGTGAACTGCGCTTGCCAGCGTACGCTATCAGTGACGGTGCCCATGCAGACTATCAGATAGTCTAGCGGAGCTCCCTGCATACAGCAGACTACAAATCGGATTCAAGACAGAGACTTTGCAGAATACACATTGCACCCTACTCTCTGAGAACATAGTTATAGCGGGAATGTAAAATGGGGTTCTTGGAGACAACACGTGCTGGGTACACTTCTGGATTGAAGCTCAATAAAGTTTATTACAGGGATTCATATACGGAATAGATTCCATATAGAATAAAATTGACAGGAAATTAATCAGCCATTTAACATCTGTCTTGCACATAGAGTCTCAATTTTAAAGATAAGCATAAAAGCAATTATCTTTCCTCTGGCTTACAACAGGATATGAGCAAAGATATCTTCTGTGGCATTTTTTTGGTTGCTCACAGTCCGAAAATACATATAAACTAGAGCCGGCCGTTTGGTCGTAAGGAATCACAGCCGAACTTTATCATCATCCCTAGGGAGAAGCCACAGCTTCTTGGCTTCGCCAATCCAGCTCGATGGTGAACTGTCAACATAGGAATGGATCGCAACACATGCTAGTGATCTATGGTGGGAGAAGTTAGTTAAGCTATGAGCTATATATCCCTCCCCATACTGACCTAGTTTTCCTTTCCCAGGCTTTCGATCCTCTCTTCTAACTTCTGGATCTTTTTGAGTAGAATATCATCCTGCGGAGTCATTCATTCAGTGTCGTTCCATTTACCATGATTCGCCCCTACTTATAACCCCACGTAGTCCACCCACGTCTTCCTCATTAACCAGAATTGACCTGTCATGCCAGCCCAGAACCTAAGGAGTTTGAATTAAGCCATAACTTGGTATACAGTATAGTCAGTCCACTTACACATGCAGCACTTTCAAGGCTTGTAATACTTCTTTGGTCGACGAAGGGTCCACGGAATGTGACGCCACACTCATTTTTCAGCCTCTGCATATAGTGGGGTTCCCGGGCAAAAGCGAGGGGCAAAAGAGATGCAATTAGAACAGCGCGCATGATGTATAGAGAAGAGACCGGGCGGTTGATAAATTATTCGCTTTGTGTCTGAAAGGTTGTAGAGCTAAGTTTTGAGGGCATAGTCATAAGGCACGGCGGCCTTTATATACCTACCAGAAACGTGAAATCCCCGCCCTTATATTTTAAGTTACTAAGCCATGTCAGAGCACTTTTTGTTTAAAAGAAAAAATCCCACCCCAACGAGAGAAACCATGGGCAAAGATGACAGGCCAGAATCTTCCTGAATCACTTGCTGATCCCTCAGGAGTCGGTTATTGTTTGATTATCCTTGGCGCTAAGGCAGTTGGGTCCAAGAATTTCGACGTCGCGGAATATAGACCCGAGGATTTTTCTAGCTTCTACCAGGTGGGAGGCTGGATTCTCTAACGCGTAAATAATAAGATACGGTACCCCTGATTCTCTGCCCGGCCTGTGAGGGCGGTGGGCGGGACTTTGCTTGCCCTTGCCCGACCCTCAGCCCTCTCAACCGCCCTCATCGGCCCTCGTTTGCATAAAAAATTCGCAACCTTTCCAAATTAGGACGCATAAAATTGCCGATTCTGTAAAGATTACTCCTGGGATTAGCAATTCGATACATAGGATCTTTCCACTAGGTAAAAAGATCCACTATGATCAACTCCGATCGGAGCTGATTTCCCAGGCGCGGTATATATAGTATCGCAACTTGCCATCAGGGCCTTAAGCCTAAGGCTTACCCGTGACAGATTCATCCAAATATATTAATCGGCCACCTTCTACCAATTCCTACCAGCGGGCTAAATAGAGGGCCTTTATCAACCAAACAATTGCATTTCTAAACGAAAACTAGTTACTAAGTGGATTAGGATATCTAACCCTAGTATGCCCTTGAATATGGCAATTAGAACACGTTGGGGGGGCTTGTACCGCAGAAAGTACAGGATCTATAGGAAGTGTATCTTGAGCTTCATCAATCTTATTCTCGCGCTAGAATTGCTCTAGGCTCCCCTGAATAGCTAACACCTCTGAAATAGCTAGCTGTCTAGTAGATTGCTTCTGCTTTTGGTCTTTCTATTTATTATTAGCGCGATGTTTGTGTATTTCTTCCCCTGCAAGAACTAGACTTGTTAGGCCCAGCCCACGAAACCCGACCCAACCCGGCCCAACCCGCCAAGAAATGGGCTGGATTGACTAATGCAATAACCCGCCACGGGCCGGGTTACTTCCCCAGATAGCCCACAGGTCAACGGGTTAGCCCGTGGGTTGCCAAGAGATAAAATACCGTAAATATATTATTTACCCACAGTGATATCAATAAATTACAGTACTAAGGGACTATATTCTATCACAAATGTGAATCATTGTCTTATTTAGAAAGGATCTACAGCCGTGAGCCCCTGCGGGTGGTTTGCTGATAATTGTTGAAGTGAGAATAAATCGATTCTGGTTAACTTCTCTTGTTGGTTTTTTTACAGGGGCGGAATATATATATCTCTATCTTAAGAAGATTCTCTTGCCTTTTTGCAAGACGCAAGACTCTAATGAGAAATCCTTTCATATCTATATTATATATATTCTCTGGCAGTATCTCATATTCTTGTAGTTTCCGCTTAACATACTGTAAATATAAAGTATATTTAGCTGTAGAATCAGCCTGTTTATGTACAGCGTCTAATCTGGTTGTATAATGGGATATAAGATCCTTGTAATAGTGTTAAAGAAATCGAGCAGGCCAGTTTTTATCTAGCTTTTTTCCAGTAATTTCTCTTACAAAATTCTTAAGTATCTTATATAAATGTTAAAGTCCACGCTTGCTTAGCTTATTTATATAATTTATGAGCTCTCTAGATTGTTAGTTATTGAGAACTTACTGATTTTCATATTTCGTCTCCCTTAACTGCTACTTTTCTCGGTAACATTTTGATAAGGTTGACCGGTGTATACCAGACTGATTTGCAAGTTTAGTGTAATTAGTTGATTCGCTAGGTCCTTACGAACCGATTGCTGCTAACGACTCTTCAATTGGGGTCATATTGGTTGAGATATAAAGGTTGGAAATATGAGGTTTGAAAGTCGGTGAGTATGAGTGTCGTGTGGTAGGTGGTGACCCACGTTAGCGGCGGACGGAGCGGAACCGGACAGGATGAGCGCCACGTATTACCGCGTAGGCGGCAGGCCTAGGGGTTCTCTGAAATCAAGAGATTTCAGGCTTTAAACAGACCGAATAAGTGCTCCGGCGGCAAGATACTCAGGCAGGCAATAATCCTATTACACTAGAAGATCCTTTCTAAACAGTAGAAAAGATAAAAGATCAAAACTTTCAAAGCCAGCGAGGAGGCCAATATACAGTATTACCATTATATATTACATTACCTTCCTATTATAGTATTATAGGGTCTTGTCCAAATCACACATCCCTATATATAACAAGTTAGATACTAGTAAGTATTTTGCATCACGGGCTACTAAGTACCGCTCAGTGAGCGCTTAGGGCTTGCTCAGTAAACAGAAGCTCACATATAGTAATGCATATTGTCTTCGTAACGAAACATTTAACGACCATGTCCGGATTTTGGGAAAGACTTTCACCACTAGGGACAAGCCTGGCGTCAGCTTTTACAAGCGTATGTCCAGGTCACGAGGAATAATAGTTGTGAACTTCAAAGCCATCAACTGCTACCTCCTGTAAAGTTCAGAACCCTTTGTAGTGCTTCGCAGAACTCTCGCACTTCTTCAACTGTGTTATAATGCACGAAACTGACCCTGATTAGGCCGTTGTCATCGAGATTCAGCACGTCGTGCGTCGGTCGAGGTGCCCAGCAGTGACCTGACACGATCCTGAATTGCGTTTGTCGATTGATCCGGTCCATTATTTCTCGGGAAGACTCTCCTATCACTTGAAACGTGATTACCGGCACCCGTTTCTGGGGATTCGATGACTTCTCTCCAAAAACACGGAATATGCTTTGGTGCTGTCGAAGATAGGATAGGAATACTTCTTGCAGGATCGTCTCTTGTCCGACAATGTTCTCCCAGCCGACTTGGCCAAGGTACCTTGTAATGGCCACAAGAGCCATTTCGAGCTCGAAGGCAGGAGCACCAAGCCGCAGGCGCCAGTCGAGTCCGGGCATTTCACTAAGGAAAAAGTGGCTGATCCCAGTCAACATACGTTTCTGAACGCTTCGCCGACCGTATAGCTGTGCTATGTGGGGCCCAAAGACCTTGTACCAGCTAAAGCAGTAAAAATCAACATCTAGAGCTTTGACGTCGATCGGACGGTGAGGCGCCCAAGCAACCCCATCGACGATCAAGATAGCTCCAGGAACGCCATGGACCATATCCGCAATCTCACGGATGGGATGAATGGTTCCTATAACATTTGAAACATGATTACATGCGACGACTCGTGTATTTGGTGATAAAAGTGGCTTTAACGTTTCGAGTGAAAGGCAGGGATCGTCTCCCGCCGGTGGCGCCCACCACTTAATGGCGATACCGAGATCTTTGGCTAGAGATATCCACGCGGCTGCGCTGGCTTCGTGGCATAGGTTTGAGATTATCATCTCACAGTTTGAGTTCAGCGCGGGTCGTAGTGCCTGGCCCAAGATGCGGAGAAGCATGGTTGTCGACTGGCCAAATGCTGTTTTTTTGAGATGGTTTTCTCGTCAGCCACCTTCCTTGCTGGTCAAAGAGATATCTACAACTGGATGTCGCGTAGCTTACCAACTTCGTCAGGAGCCGCATTCATGAATGCCGCTAGTTCAGCGGTCTTATTCATCCAACGCTCTGTTTTTTTCTGACTTCGCGGATCATCAAGTCCGACTTCGATGGGGAACGAAGACATGTAATCATGCGTGCTTTCGATGGCACCCTGATACACGGCAGTCCCAGCTGCATTGTTGAATGCTATAATGCCTTCATGCAGGGCTGGAAATTGTCTGCGCACGCTTTGTATATCAAAGGCGTCTTGGACCGGCGCCATACTGTCCTCCATACTGTTCTCGGTGGTGGACGAGCGAGTCGGAAGGAAACCTGGCACTATAAAGAATCCACTTCCAATCAGTTGTTTAATGTTTGCTCGCAGAGCTTCTTTGACACCAACAGAAGGTCGACTTGGTCCGTTGGAGACACCGATGGGTTGGCCATCTGCTTCGAACATGTGCATGAGTGGAAACATGACATGTTTCTCTTGTTTAGCAGCAACACTTTGACGTAGCTTAGAAAGCCACTCCTGCTGAAGCACAGGCTGAATATTGTAGTCAAGTTCATCCTGTAGAAGCAGCCAGATATCCTGGAACTGAATGCCATCTAGGATCTTAACCACTGGCTTGCACTCAAGGTCGAATACGCTCTGAAGAATGGTTTCTGATACTCGGGAAATATCTGTCAAAAACAGCCATCCATTCGCATTGTCTTTATCGTAGGCGCCGATCTCAATTGAGGCCGCGATGTATCTCCAAATAAAGTCATCCTTACTGGCAATGCCTCGTTTCGCATTACCAATTATAAATCCTGGCTTAACAACTCGGATATGTTTGGCTTTCGTCTCCGCTTGCCCAGCGAACTTCTTCACGACAAGCTCTGATATGGCTTTTGAACGCGCGTATCCAGATCCTTGGAGAGCCTTCTGTATATTGACGGCGTCGTCATCGTCATCGAAGCTGAGTTGTTGCCCACCAGATACAAATACAAAGCTGTGTAGTGGCTTTTCACGGTTGTTAACCGCTTTGAGTAACTGGATGGTTGACGATACGTTCGTAGCCTCAAGGCTGTCATAGTCCATATGATAGTGGACTTTGGCGCCATTGTGGATGATTGCATCGACCCCCTGTGGCCCCTGGCCCTGGAGCATACGCCATTGAGCCAAATCGAGACCAAGTTGGGGCTGCGACAGATCACCCGGCCAAATTTGGAGCCTGGAAAGGTATTCTTCTCTCCACCACGTGGCGGCCACAGCCTTTTGAACGAGATAATTACGAGCAGCGTCTTCCGACGAGCCCCGAACGAGTGCGTATATCTGGCAAGTGGACCGTGTGAGAAGTTGTCGCAATATTTCTATGCCTAAATATCCAGAAGGCCCGGTGAGGAACACATGCTTTACATCTGAGTTGTTGTAGATCTTCTCGGAAGAGAGGAATATCGATTGGAGAAGAACGTCTGTGTCGTTCTCCGCGTTGCTTAGTTCTTGAGTCTCAGCTTTCGGTAGTTGGGGACTTCCGCTAGTGTTAATAATGGAAGCGATTGTGCGTATGGTTGATTTCGAGCTTAGCAATTGGTCCATTGGTATCTGGACCCCGAATTTGTCTTTTAGAGACATTGAAAGTGACATAATCTGGATGGAGTCAATGCCACCTGATTGTAGCTTGAAGTCTTGATCTTCGAATCGCTGGCGGTGGGAAGAATCCTCTCCTGCGACAATACTGGCATACAGCTTGGCTACGACTTTTGCAGTGCGTTCATAGGGAAGCAGTTGAGTGGCATCTGGAGGAGGCAATGATTGATTCTCCACCGTTGTATGTTCAACCGGCATGTCCAAGATCCAATTGTTGATAGCAGCCCTATCTAGTTTCATGGACGCATTGAAAGGCATGTTGTTGACGACAAAGAGTTTGCTTGGAATCATGTATCTTGGTAGACGTGATGATAGGAACTTAAGAATTTTCTCTCTGATATGATCCATATCTTCATGAATCGCGAGTTTTGTGGTCGAGTGATGAGTACTAGAATGCCCATGGATCTGAACAACGGCCACTAGATGGCCTCTTAAATGACCTTCTTTGACAAGAGTTACCATACAGTAGGCCGCATTGGGGAATTGGCCGAGGTGATGCTCAATTTCCCCAACCTCAATACGTTGGCCATGGTACTTCACTTGGCCGTCTGCTCGGCCTATGAATTCAAGGCTTCCATCTAGCGTATCGATACTATAACGGAGTAGATCCCCAGTCTTATAGAATCTTGTTTCTTTGACCTCTAGGTCTGAACACCACAAGGGGCGTTCGACAATAGCAGCACTTGTTTTAAGAGGATCGTGAATGTATTCCCGAAGCAGGCCTGGTCCGGCAACTAGGAGCTCACCTACGGCTCCTACGGGCACCAAGCGATCGTGGTTCTTGGGCTCCACAAGTACGCAAATGGAATTTTTAAGACCATGACCAAGGGTCTCCGCACGCTGAGCAAGGCGTCCAAGAATACAACTTCCTGTTTCTGCGGGCCCGTAGCCTTGGTAGAGCGAAATGCTGCTCTGTGACGACCATCGTGCCACCACATCAGCTCTCAGGGCCTCCCCTGAGAATATGAGAGTCCTTAATGTGGGAAATGAAGCAGGAGTCAACATATTCGCCAGTGAAGGGGTCATTATCGCCAGGGATACTTTATAATTAGTACAGAACTCGGCGAGATTGAATAACCGGTCCTCTTCACTCGGTATGCAAATGCAGCCCTGGTACGCTAATGTCGTGAAGATGTCGGTGATGAAGATGTCCCACGTAGATGCAGCAAATTGCAAACACCTGGATCCCCGATACCCAAGGGCTGCACCCTCCTCCAGTAAGCGAGTGGCGAGTGCTTGATGCTGGACGACGATTCCCTTGGGCTTCCCAGTCGAGCCAGATGTGAAAATGCATACTGCGGCGTCTTCTGCCCTAACATGAGGAAGCGATGGGCCAGATGAGTCCTTCTCGTAGTCGCCCATTAAGCTACCCGAAGAAACTGTCAAGACGGCTTCACCCATGTCGGCGAATGTCGTGGCCTGTGATGGTGAGACCAGGATGATCTTTGCCTGGAGTCGGCTGAGGATCTCTTCGGCTCGTGGTCTTGGCTGCGATGGATCAATGGCCACGAAGGCAGCTCCAGCTTTGACGATCCCCAACATAGCCACGACCATCCAAAGGCTTTTTTCGAATGAGAAGGCAACGAAGTCGGCCGGCTGTACTCCTTTAGACAGCAGTCGGTGTGCGAGCTTGTGGGCGAGCCTGTCCAGCTCTGCATAAGTCAGCGCACCATCCCATGACTCCACCGCTGTTGCGAGAGGGGCCGTTCGGACAGATTCACGCCAGAGGTCATGCACGGAAACCCGTGGCTCAGACAGTGTATGGGGCAAGAAGGACCGGAGCGTTCTCTTGTCTGTGTCACTGATCGATTGTTTCCACCAATTGTGAGAAGCTGAATTCAATATGTCTGAATGAATCTCGACGAGAGTGTTCCATAGCGCGGACGCAAACTTGCGCGGAACGCATGTCTGCTGGGTGTACAAGCGTAAATCGCGGTTTAACTTTTCAGATGATTGTATGATATAGCTAAATGTGCCATCGCCATCGTCAACATCAATGAAGGCAACGGCAGTATTGACTTGATTACGATGCTTGTCGGCCTCGAAATGAGTGAGTGTCAATCGAGGATCAGGATTGAACGTCGAACCGTGAGGAACAGACACTGGCCAGTGCGAGCATGCTAGTTGTTTACTTCCCCTACCAACCACAGCGAACGCCACCTTGTCCGACACGAGATACAAATGGAGCAACATGGCCCACGCCCTGACTATGCCATCTCGTTGTTCCGTAGCCGAAGTCACTGGACGGACTGACGGAGAAGGAGAATGGTGGAGTTGCGACAGCCTCGTCAAGAGAACTTTCGAGTCTGCCCCTGGCTTTGTCGTAGGCAAATTACCAGCAATCGTTTCCATGTCGTAGTCATATTGAGATGATGGTGGTGTTGGCTCTCCCATATCGTTGAATGCGTAGGCGACTTCGTCAACCCTAAGCTTGCTGTGAGGACTTTATGAGAACATGATGCGGCCTCGGTCCAGGGCAAGGGTGTCGCCAACGATCTAATTATTATGGTTCCTGAGAGGTATGCCCTTTTTCCAATGTCGATTCTCGGTCCGTTCGTTCGGTGTATTAATTCGGGGACCGTGACTGCTCGGCCCGCTATTATGTACTACTCAAAAGCGCCTATCGACGTTCGGTCACCGTGCCTCTAAGCATATGCCACCGGGAGTAGAGCCCCAACAACATCGCCATGGCCCGCCTCTACACCCCCTCTATCCTTTCGTGTTGTATATATTAGTCTCCAGTTTTGTTGTAACTATCGCATTTGGGCGCGCCCGTCTCGTCCTTTGACCCGATCAGGATTTCAGATCATGGCAGCTTCTCACAAAATTCAGATATGGAGCCAACACGGTAAGGGTTGTGTCTCATCCGGAGTCTGGTCTCTAGAACTGAATGTGAGCAGTCTTACTCGGTGAACACACATGGCGAGTTTTGCGAACATCATACCGGGAAAACTACCAGTGGCAATCTGTGGACTGTGTACTTACCAACGTCAATAGCGTATGCGCGGTCGGAGGAGCCAGCCTCTCCCGAAACTTCAATGACCTACGTGTTGTCGTCGTTCACCAGGAAAAACAGACACTGCTCGAGGCGAAATCCTTTGGCGCAGCAGAAGCTTACAAATTCTTCTTGCAGACTCTCTTAACGCCGGTGGCCCAAGGTCAAGAGCGGCTAATCAAACTCATCGTCCCACTGGCAAAGGGATACATAGTGCGGTCGGATATTATCCCTATACGTCTTCATGATTGTCTGCTTGTTGAGCAAATCATATCTTTTGCGAAACCACTGCAACGCTACGAAAGTGAAACCACCCCTATTTTGTTCCTTGACAAGGATGACATCTCCTTGCCAGCAATATTCACTGCAGCTGCAGCCTGCATACTTGTGCGTCCGGTGCCCCAGGCTGACCTGGAGGATGTATCTTCGGAGTTGGACGAAGAACTAAATAATCGACTCTCGTTCCCATGGATTATTCCCGAAATCGCCCGTCAGAGGACACTCGTGCTCGTCGAAGCGAATAGCTCACATCCGGGAGATGGACTTGGCCTCTACACTGCTGCCGCGGCTCTAGGAATCAGTTTGGTCGTCTTGGATAATGCCGGACACTGGATTGGAAGCCCAGATAACGCCCACATATGCGAGGCTTTCATTCCAACGCGATTGACCATCCCTCCAGAGAGAGATATGACAGACCACATCCTCGCATCTTTGCGGGCCTATGGTAAGCCTGTGGACGGCATTGTCACTTTTGCAGACAACTTTTGGCCTCATGTCGCCGAGGCCGCCAAGGTCGTGGGTCTGCCAACCGCGTCGCCAGAGAGCTTCAGGACTGCCACAAACAAGTATCTTACGAGTATATTCGCCGGTCATCAAGCCTATCATGCGTCGAGCCTCGCTCAAGCTATCTCGGTAGCGCAGGAGCACGACCTACCCTATCCTTTGATCGTCAAACCATGTGGTGGATGGAGTTCTGAAGGCGTGCACCGCGTCGATTCGCGTAGCGCCCTCGAGGATGCAGTAAGCGCGATCATCGCTTCCCGCCATGGGCCTGAGTTCGTCATTGAGCCCTACTGCGACGGACCCGAGGTCGATGTTAACCTCGTCCTACAGGACGGAGAGTTGCTGTTCTTCGAGGTGTGCGATGATTTACCAAAGTCAGCCGATGTCAATGGACCAAGCTTTGGTTCTTTGACCAATTTTCATGAGCTGGGCAGTGTTTATCCCTCAAACTTACCCGAGGCAGAGATTCAGCTGCTGCGCGAAACTTTTTTGGCCATGTTGCTGTCGCTTGGCCTAAGGAGCGGGGTGATGCACCTGGAAGGACGCATAGAGAACTCTGCGGTCGAGTATACGACTAAGGATGGGGTCATGGTGCTCTCCCCACGGGCCAGTGGCGGTCACCGTACACCAAAGGCATGGTTGATCGAGATCAACCCGCGCCCTCTAGGAATGACAGGCTCCCAAATCATTGAATCCACCTATGGAATCGACTACTGGGGCTTGGCATTACTTTCGGCTGTGGGCGATAAGACTCGCGTTCGTGCTCTTGCCCGCCCATTCCTCAAGGGACCGCAATACACCAGTATGATGGTTTTCATCCCGGCCGACTTTCCCTCCTCGTGTGAAGGCATCTTTGATTCGGACGACATCTGTGCGGACCTCATTGCACGAAGACCTGATCTCGAAGCATTCATTAGTAAATGTGGTTGTCTTGTAAAACGAGGGCAACATGTCCCACATCCAAGCACTGGTCGGAACACTTTTCTAGCTTACTTCAATGTCTTCTCACGGGATAGTCGTGAAGAAGCATTGAACATTGCCAAACAAGTTCGAGAGGCAGTTAGATATACTTTTATTTAAATAGCAAACAACCATCAAAAGAGTTCTTGCCTTAGAGCCAGGCAAAGTCCGAACTATTACGCACCCAGTACTAATTGCGAGAGATATTGGTAGATAGGAACGGCTATCATTGCATCTAGGAGAAGATCGTTCGTTATCACAGGTTCTGCTCACCTGTCTAAGAGGCAACAAATCAGCAAGCTTCCAGCTTGCCTGTAAACTCGAAACCAAACATAACAATAACACTAAATGATCACAGGGCCCGCAAATCAGTAAACCCGACTGAAGGATAGAATCCAATGTAATTTGCGATGAGAACTCTGGCTGTGTTATTAAAACGCAGCAGAAGCTCTTGTCTAAGTAGAAGCGTCATGGGGCCACAATTTCCTGGCTGACCTTCTTCATCCTTTTCTTCTAGAGCATGGAGCCGGTCCCTTCCTCGACTATCTCCTCGTGCCTCTGCAAAGTAGCGAGTAGTAATGCTATCTTCTGTTCTTGGTAAGCGCAGGAGCTTTTTAGACGATCTACCGGTCGCTGGCTATTCTGACAGCGACTCGAGTCATCAAGATAGATCCTGAGTACTTCAATTAGCCTATGTAAGCGTTGAAGCTCAACTATTGTAATATGTCTCCAGATGATAGCGGCCTCCTCGCTTTCAGCCCTATATTGACCAAGTAATAGGGCGCGTGGATTTTGCTGGTCACTTATGGAATAATTATTAAGGCTCGTATTTTTGCTGCTGCTGTATCGAGAGATAATGTGTTCGATCAGAATTAGTGCGACCTCAATGGCAACAAGCGCTAGCATCGGACCAATTACAGCTAGTTGTCGCTGTCTAGACTGTATCACACGCTGAACCTCTTTGGTGCTTGTTTTTACGGTATACATGATCTTGTCAATGCTAGAGCCAGGGTCGCCGATTTCAGCCTCCAGGTTTGTCATAACATTAAAGAGAATGCTAATGCCAGTTTGCTTGTCGGAACTGCCTGGGACTCTAGTCGTCTGTCGTTGCACTATATTTTCGGAGGTGTGTTGAGTCGCTGTGCTTGCCATAGTTGTATAGGATGTATGGGGAAGCGTTGTATGGACATGATCAATAGCGGAGGATGCGGTAAAGGCCATATGCAACCCTGAAGTGTAGTCTTCAGTTAGACTCGAGATATCAGGCTGGTTCAGAGCATCTCTGAAGGCATCATCCGTCGTTGACGCGTTGCGGTCAGCAAACAAGATGTTACTATCCTCGTCGGTACATGGTCCAGCGAGATCAGGCCCGGTGCCAGAGTCCCAATTGAGAAGTGGGGTGAGGTTTAGGTCGATGGGGACACGGTCCACGCCGGTAGATGAGTCTGCAGATACTGGAAAAGGTCGGAAGGCGCTTGTTTGGCTGCTATTCCCTAAACCACCCGGGTCTGTGGCGCTTGTCCGTTCCGTAGCCATCGGGCTTGAGTCCGGGCCACGCTTGCGGCGTCGGCGTCCCTTAGAGCACCGTCCAACCATGGAGACTTCAAACTGACAGTCATGTCCTAAAAGTGGTCAGTAAGAGGCTGTATTGAGTTCTGAAGAACACATATCACATACCGGCGCTGATGCATCGCTGGCAACCTGTTCTTTCGCCGCTACATTTGACCTGTCCAACGTGTTGTCAGCTGGGCTTTCGCTTGAGTGACAGCTGGTGGGACAAGGACACCTTTGATGCGTGACACTCATTACATGCAGAACGTAAACGTTGTCCCACAGTGAGGCTATTCATGACTGCCACGGGTGTTATCGCGTTCGGCGAGATAGACTCCGAGTTTTCCGGTCAGCCGCAATAAGTTTTCAATGCGATGAAATGATATAAGTGTTCTTTATTGCCCATGATGAAGACGTTGGTAATGTCGTACTTTCTTAAGCGTCACGTGTCCATGTTTGAAGGGACTACGGCCGCAAACACGGCTGTCAGCTAGTCGTTGGCTGTGCCGCACCTGTCCTGTTAGCCGATACATCAATTAGGAAGTGCCGCAGCTGGGGTGCAGTGTGTGATTGTGTGATGCGTCTCGGCGTAAAGGTTGTATCACCTCCTTGTAGTACTGACAAGGATATATAGAACCTACCCCGCTGGCTCGGCGGTCAGGCCGACTCAGCGGTCAGATTTTTTTCAAGTAAAATATTGAGAAATCCATGAAAATTTAAATATTCGGAATACCACAGTAAAAGTAGAGAACCAAAGCTAAGAACCTAGATATTATTATTCGTTCTTCTAGATCGTTTAATAACTAAGCCGCGACTAGACTTGTTAGGCCCGCGGGTTGGGCCGGCCTTTTGAGGTTGTTCAACCCAGCCCGTTGGGTTTGGGCCGGGTTAAGATGATATACAAACCACCCACGGGTCAAGATATATATATGTGAACCACCCGCGGGAGCCTATAACTGTAGATCCTTTCCTACTATAGTAATGATTTATATTCTTTATATAATATAGTCTTATAATATAGTAATTTATTCATATTACTATAGGTAAATAATATATTTACAGTATTTTTTTGTCTTGGCAACCCGCGGGCTAACCCGTTGACCTGTGGGCTATCCAGGGAAGAAACCCGGCCCATGCTGGGTTATTGCATTGGTCAACCCAGCCCATTTCTTGGCGGGTTGGGCCGGTTTGGGCCGGTTTTCGTGGGCTGGGCCTAACAAGTCTAGCCGCGACCTACTGTGTAGTCAACCGACTCTATCACGGCCCCCCTCCTATCTGTTACGCAACTAATTTCTTTGCTTTGCGAGGCCATTGCTAGAGATAGGACCTCTAAACCATATGCGACATCTTGAGGCTCTAGATCTCGCCTGTATAGCATATTGAGCCGCGGTAAATTATTCCAGTTCAGTACAGAGGGACTTGGCTATCTTAGCCAAGTAGGCTGACCATTGGAATGGGATGGGGCTCATGAACACGTCCTCTAGACAACATGATTTCAACCACCTATCACACTACAAATATAGGGTTCTCTACTAGAAAATCCTTGATATACCTAGTAGATCGGGTGGTATATTATATTTATATATCGTATCTTGTTGGTATGGGATTCCGACTGGCCGTTTCGATTGGTCCGGCCAATTGAATGATCCGGCCGATAAGCGAGCCCAACACCACTTGAACAGACAAGTTCTCAGGGCTGGGTGTTGTGAAATCTCTAGGGGAACGGGGCGCAGGGAGCTATCGTATCGGCTACAGGCTCATCGGGTGCCTAATCAGGAGGTAGATGTCATCGGTGGAACACCAGGAATCAACGTATCTCGACTAACTGAGCCTATTGCATTCCTAGCTATATCATTCTATAGCCCTCAGGGTGCTCACCTATCTAAAGGCTCAGGAGCTGGATGGCTTCCGCTAGTATTTCCGCATGTTAAGCCGCCTGCGGGATATAGTGTTTCCATAACACTGGGAGATTAGATAATAGAGATAGGAAGGAATAAGACCTCGTTTTGATAAGCTTAGAATAACCCCTTAAGAACGATTTCTCATTATTGCCTATCACTATCTAACCTGCCAACAATGAAATCATGTGTTGGAAGATTGGCTCACTTGCCGGCCGGGCCAATCAGAACGGTCAGCCGGAATCCCATGCCAATATATACTCTTGCGTACGTTTTATCGGTTTCAGGTACACTAAATCTATTGTATTGTCAACAACAATTCGTTGGTAGCTCAATATATGATGGAGCGATTTGATGAGTTGGTTGACTCTGTTCATTGGTTAGTTGAATGGGGCTAGACTGATCGATAGTCTAACAGTTTATAGCCACCTAGTATGCAAAAATATATCTTTTGTACCTAAAAGCTAGTAAAATACTATAGTAAGCGGTTATTTAATGGACGTACTGTATACATACAGTACTATTCTGCGCCTTAGTCTGCTACAAGGAGAGAATAGGTGTGTGTCTGTGTACTGTATCATCAACATCAGGCTATAAGATGGGGATCTAACAAGATATACTAATTGCTCCACTAATTAGTGTATCTGAGTTAAAATCAGGATGCAGGGAGAGGGGCACACCAACCTGATACACTCTGCTGCGAGTAATCTCTAATCAATGCGCCTATTTGCCTCCTGCTTACGCATATCATGGATATGATCGTTGAGCCAGAATCGCTGCAAATCCCGGTCATCCATATCTCTAGCTCCTTTGATGATTCCACAACACTTTCCCTCCCCAGCACCACACCAACACTCAAATTCTCGGTCCATGGTCCACTCAGTACTCGGGTAAAAGACCGATAATATGTCGCCCTTCTTGAGAGGTCTGTCGCGACTGACTCTCATTTCCCATGTCGACGTGTCGCATTCTAGAGATGGCGCACATGAATGATTACAGTAGTAAAGATCAGAGTTCCAGATAAAGTGCAAGTTAAGCCCACTCTGCACTGTGGCGTAGTCCTGCTTGGAAGTAGGCGTTATGCCATTGATGCGGGCAAAGACGGCTCCAGCGGGCAAGTCGACTTTGGACTCGGCCCAGGACCGGAAGTAGCTGTCTTCCATTTCCTTGTGGACGACCATGAGACGATCGAGATCCGGGTTAACCCAGGCTGGAAGAAGTAGAGGCTCTGCCACATATTCCTCCTTAGGGCGAGGGCCAGTGGCCATTTCGATAAGTGGAGAGTGTTTTAACACAATTTCCGTTGTGTAGAAGTATGATAAGTGAGATTTGTCACGGAGCTGGAAGCCGTCCCCCTAGGCGCAGTGGCATCCTCACGGCCTTATATGCCTCTCGGGGATTGATACATGCACGTCACCACTGGACGAGATACTTCTGTATATTGAGTTGCAATGCGTCGGGTCCCGACAGACAAACCCGAACATTTAATTGGCGTGTCTCTTCACCAGTCGTGCAGTCGGCCTGAACGTTCAGTTTTATCTCTATTTGGCTTTAGCCACTTCTATGATGCAGCTATGCCTCGGATAACAGCGGGCTTGGCTGACAGCTGACGCGTCGCCAAGCCTCCGCATTGTACTTTGGTTCTACAATCGTTTGTTGGAGAAGGATATGCAGTTATCGGAATCGTCGTGTGTGCTCTGTCGCGCTAGGTCTGATCCACAACCTTCCTAAATCGCGTCCATTCTTGTCATGCATCTATCCCCTAATCGTTTGACAGGCTGTTCGCCCCGATTACCCCGATACTAAGTAGTATGAGTCGATCCCCGCCTATATTACCATCGACTGTCGCAGGGTTTTGTATCGATGAATATGAGTTGGACCCGTCTAATAGGCTACAGAAATAATAGTATTCCAGTCACCACTAGGCCCCAGATCTTGGCAAGTGAGAAATCACTCATAACAACGAGCGTTGTAGAAACGTCAATACATACTGGATCCCAGTTGGCTTAATGGTCAAGCTAGATAAGCATGACAAAACATGGTATAGATGGCATCTGACTAAGGAAAGGAAAGTCTCTAACAGAGACAGCATTGATATGAAGAAATGAAAGGAGCTTTCGACACTACTCCGAATTCATGTTGTGGCGATTAATATCCACGATTTGTGAACACCGGAGAAGTTTGTAGCACACAAGATGTGCTGGAAACTTCCAAAGTTGGAACAGCTCTTCTATCGAAGAATCTATGGGCGTGGAAGAGCTAGACATAGATGGTGAAGGGCTATCGACATCACCTTTTCCCCCAAAACCGGTAGAAATTTGAACGCGTGATCACAACCCCCCGAAGCGACAAAGAGACTCTTGTCATACGAAGGGTGATAGTCAACGATAAAATTATATGTCGGCGTGTCATTTTACCAGCACTTAGCTCTACTATAGCTATCTAGTAGCAAGCGAGTAGATGGGACGTGCTCTATAATAGGTCTGTACCGCAGCCTTATCGGTGACCGTACCGGACAGCATTTCTGAAAGCTCGCTCGACCTCGTCTTTATGCCATACTGCCGAGGAAGCTCCAGCTCTGATTAGCCTCTAAAGATGTTAGGGCTTACGCACTGCTAGACCTACCAGCACTGACCAATACAGTGCCATATACGAAATACTTAAGGTATCGTCCTAGCTGGATTCAGCGAGAATCTGCTCCTGCCAGTGCCGTGCCTTGCAGACCCACGCCCTAAGAGGTTATAACCATTGAGCCTCCCTCGTACAGTATATGGCGATAAGCTTGTATCCAGGAAACTGGACGTAGCAGGAACCTCTGTAGGTATTTCTTTAGCGCAAGATCCACGGTGGGTCCATTGTAAGAGTTGTAGCCCTAACCCTATATCTTCAAGTACCCACTAGGATACGTGGTGCTGGATTCAAACTTATTGCCATACACTGTATGTATCCGACTTATGTCCCACACCATGGAAACTTCAAGTTTGCAGAAGCAATTTCTAAATGTACACATGAAGAAAGTTTTATCTAGATCTCTCCCCGGCAATGGTAACTTTGATTAAGTCTCTAGTAAGACTTGCGACTGTCGGCCCGCTTTTAGCTCACTCCATCGGTGTCCGAATTCCAGCGGAATGTACAGCGAGCTGAAGTCTATTCGCTCCCGACAGTATTATGCGCGTACGTTTACAGTCAGGTTCATTAATCATAGAGATTCTTTACACAATATCGCTTCCGTGGAGACCTTGGTGCACAAGCTCTCTTGGACTCGATCGATGGTTGTGTATGCCGACTTTGGGTGATCTAGTTCAATTTACAGCAATGTTGTTCGGCTCACTTTGTCTAAGTTGCAAACGAGCTTACTCTTTACAGAATATCTACGGTGAGCAGACATGCCGGCGAAGCTAGGCTTTCGTACACAGGGCAACTCGGGTTCCTCGTGTCTCAGCTTATGCAGGTCTACTGCGCACGCCATGGCCACCAATAATAGTACCCTGCTAGAGGCACGGACAGACAAGGCTGATCAAATTGTCGGATACGTGTGTTGAGTGCTTGACAATGTACATCTACAGTTACATGACAGAAATTTGCAAGCGCCACCACCCTCACCCCCAATCTTATAATAATATCATCACCATCAAATAATCACACTTTTGAAGAGCCACAATTTATCGCAAAAGACGCTAGAATACGCAGTTTTGATACCAAAAATAGCGCTAATTGCCAGAGGGGCCACCAGCAAGACGTGTTGTAACAAAATTTGATCGAGCGAGGAGAAGGATTATGCTGACATCCAAAGCCATTCTACTAAGGCATGCTAGACCTTCATCCTCTTCATCTAGCCTTGACTATGTCACGCACAAGACGAACGGCAACCCATGGATAGAGATAATTCATTTGCCACCAATTCAAGCTGGAGGGTTGAGTTAATTAACTGACCGCCATGATCAAAGGAACAAAAACTCACAAACACTTGCGTCCTGTAATCCGTGGGTGGGTAGCCCAGGACCCGCCCACGACGGCCTTGTGCTTCCCATGCATGAAATCGGCTGCAGTTGTCATGAGTTAGCCATTGCATGCTGCAAAGCCATGAGTCATATACGTACCGCTGTAGCCGGGATAAATGTCCATGGGCTTGAAATTAGGCTGCGGACCAAACTGCGAGCTAGTCCACTCCCACGCCCCACCCATGTCTCCCAAGCCAGAGATCCGACTGCCGTTTTGAGTGACGGCAACGGGGTGAAAACGTTGCAAGCCGGTATTACAGCCGGTCAAGTCGACAAAAATCTCCTCGGGATCAGGTTGCAGTCTTGGACTACGTCCGTTGCAAGGGGGGTTGCGCTTCGCTTTCTGCTTCTCAGCATACTCATGAATGCTTCGCACCTCGTGCAAAGTAGGGATACGCGCTTTCGCCCATTCGGCGTAGCCTTCGACTTCATTGTATGAAGCCATAAGTGGCCAGTCAAGCGCCAATGAAAGAGGCACGGGACCATATACCGTCTTGATGGCCTGACTGTCGATGAATTGCGTGAAACCATCGCCATTGTCAGTCATCAGCTGGTGGACGGTCCCGTTCCCAGATGGTTTCAGCGACGCGTTTGGGTTTTGTGTCCAGGTAATGGGAACCGTTCTCTTGCCAGTAGCGAAAAGATATGTAGCATATTCTTCGTTACACACCGGGCGTGCCTGCGCTTCAAATTCCGGCATCGTGACCGAGTAGGGCTCGCGTTCGTTGTCCCAGGCGAAAAATCGGCTCGGCCCTTCATCACTCTCTGGGTCATCGAAGCCAATCGTAAATGTCTGATCGGGAATCCTGAACCATTGATTGTCGACACGTTCAGAGAAGGCCTTCTTTGCCATTGCATCGAAGTCAGGCGTTGGTCCAGGTGGAGGCAAGACAGATGGGCTTTGTAGGGTCAAGTACAAGAATGTCTCGAGATGGAGGCCTATAAGACTGTAAGCTCAGCATTAGGACGTCGAGGGGTTCTTTGCTTACCTTCATGCTCAAACCCCACCCAGAGCGCACGCATGATGGTTCGGTTGCTCATTGCTCCTGGATCGTTGTACAGCGCAGTAATTCTTTTATTGACTTTCTCTCGGTAGTCAAGGATCTCTTCAAGTGTAGGCCATGACTCTGGCAGTTCGCTGTGGTCATGACATTTGGTCGGGTCATCCACATCAGGATCTATGCCTCTTTTAAAGAAATCATGATAGATGGCTGGCTCAGTCGGATTGCCGCCGGTGGCCCGTGTCAAGTGTATGTCTTCACTACACAAAGCCGATTATGTCAGTTGGTGATGTGTATCTTAACGATCGATCAGACTTACAATGCTGGAATGTGACCCAGATAGAATAGTAGGGGATTGCGCAGGGGAATAGGTCTCTCCATCAAGGCGCTGGCGGGGATCATCTTGGTGGTAACAAGATCCCACGTCGCCCATAGCTTGTTCCATTCTTCGAGAGAAGGCAAAGGCGCCGGCGCATATTCTGTAGGCTTGAGCGGGAACGCAAAGACGCTTTGCTTGGGATATTCGACAGACATTTTTACCAAATAGCTTGTATCTAGAGCTCTTGAAAAATTCTTGTTTGAAGGTTGCCTTGCCCACTCACTTTTTGAACTTCTGTTAGAGATATAGATATAATCGAGAACCAGAAATAGAAAGTTATTATTCCTTAATTGTTTTAGATAAGAGATCTACTAACTACTGTTATCTTCTCGCCCCCAATTTGAAACTAATATTACTTGGTGCGGTACGAGTTGCATGACGCATGTAAGTCTATCTTGACCGAGCCTCAGTTTGTGGTCGGTCCATTCGGTGCCCGTAAACATTCGGCGTTTATATCTAAAAGTCCGGTGACCAACCGTACCGCACTAGAGACTCATGAATCTTGTTAACATTGCAGCCATTGGATTAGCAAAGACATTTAGAAGGGGAGCACCAGTCAGATTACCGTAGGTGTCCGATCGCGCTTCGAGCTACCTCTACACCTCTCCCTCACACCACTTGTACCTTGTTGGCTTCCACCCTAAAGCAACCGGTCCGGGACGAGTAGTCATGACCTTATCGCAAGTTGATATGAGCTCAGAGGAGCGTACGCAAGCTGTTCTTCAAAGGCAACTGTATGGCCTACCCAATGACGATAGAGGCAGGCTGAAAATAGTTACCTATGCAACGAAGCTTGACAAGGCCATCCTTTGCTTCAGTTCGGCCTGCGCGATTATTGCAGGTGCCTTGAACCCTCTTGTTCCCGTACGTCTGAGCCTTTCTTTTGCTTACTCAAAGGACGACTCTCGCTTACCTCGTCTTCTCACAGGTTATATATGGCCTCCTCGTGGGTATCTTTAACGGTTTCACCACGGGATCCGTAGATGCTGCCGAGTTGCGGTCGAAGATTTCGACGTTCAGTCTGTACTACGTCTATCTCAGCATTGGCCTTTTCATTTTTACGTACCTGGCTACGGTCGGATTCTATTACAGCGGGGAACGGATCACCCGGGCTTTCCGGGTCGCATACCTCTCTGCTATCTTGCGTCAGAATATGGCTTTTTTTGATGTTCTCTCCCCCGGTGAGATCTCGAACCGCATCATGTCCGACATGGGTATCCTCCAAGAAGCCATAACAAGTAAAGCTTCAATCATGCTGAGCGCAATCGCCACTTTTTGTGCGGCTTTTATTATTGCCTTCGTCATGTACTGGAAAACTGCTCTGATATTAACTCCATTTTTTGTCGCCATGCTCCTGATGTTCTCCGTCGGCGGCACGTATACTGTCAAGCACCAAAAACAATCCCGGGAAAAGTACGGTTACGCAGCTGGTATCCCCGAAGAAGCCTTCGGTGCTATCAGACAAGTAGCCGCCTTCGGGATGCAGACTTTTGTGCGACAACGCTATTCTCTGAGCTTAGATCAAGCCGCACGAGCGGAGAGGAAAGCGCAGAACATGGTGGCGGGTCTGGTGGCGTCAATGAACGCCATGCCATGTCTTATCTATGCGCTCTCGTTCTGGGCAGGTTCGATCTTCCTGGTGAAAGGTGAGATGTCTGTGACTGATATTACTACAACTACACTGGCTGTAACGATCGGCGTGTTTGCCATAATTAGGATCGCACCATCCCTGCAGGCGCTAACTTCCGGGATCGCCATTACGGGGTCACTACTAGAAACTATTGCTAGAAGGTCCCCACAAGATCCTTTAGTAGCAGATGGTGAGAAACCAACCAGTTTTGGGGGCGACATTCTGTTCGATCATGTGGATCTTGTCTACCCATCGAGAGGCCATGCCAAAGTGTTGGACCGCGTCACTTTGAAATTCCCCGCGAACAAGAAGACAGCCATAGTTGGCCCTTCTGGGGGAGGTAAAAGTAGCATTCTTGGTCTTATCGAAAGATTCTATGAGCCAACACATGGGGCAATTAGTAAGTGTAAAAGTGCATCGACAAGGCTTACAAGTCGCTGATTGAGTCACAGCTATCGACGGACAAGATATCCACGCCCTCAACCTGCGCTGGCTCCGGCAACAGATAGGTTTAGTTGACCAGGATCCAATCCTCCTCGACGTTTCTATACTCGACAACATCTTTTACGGATGTTCCGATGTCAATAATAAAGCTTCGGACAGCACGCGGCTCGAGAGAGTCGTCGACGCTGCCAAGAAGGCTTATGCGCATGACTTTATCATGGCATTACCTAACGGTTATCAGACTCGAGTAGGCGACAAGGGGCTCCAACTCTCAGGGGGCCAGCGACAGAGGATTGCCATTGCCCGTGCTCTTGTTCGAGACCCAAGAATTCTTCTTCTGGATGAAGCAACCTCCGCGTTGGACACTTCGTCGGAGAAGAGTGTACAAGCAGCTATAGACGCCGCAGCAGAGCAGCGTACAACTATTATTATTGCTCATAGGTTGTCTACTATTAGGAATGCTGACTCAATCGTTGTGCTAGCTCAGGGCAAAGTCGTAGACCAAGGGACTCATGTCGAGCTCATGGCTCGAAATGGTTTATATGCTGAGCTGATTGAGAAGCAACAGATTAAAGAAAAGGGTCAAAATGCATCAATCTCGTTGCACTCTGATGATTATGGGGTTAATGCGATTCTAAAAGATAGTCCAGACCATGGTTCCAAATCAAATGATGAAAAGACTAGTGCATCTTGTACTGCCCAGGTTGAGGAGACACCCAAGAAGGAGACTTCTTACAACCCAAGTGCGAGAGGAGCAATGTCATTCATTTTCTTCATGAGTAGACCAGACTGGAAACTTCTGCTTATTGGTCTCGCATGTGCAATACTTGCAGGATTGGAAATCCCAGTGTGCGTCCTTACAGACCTCCATATATTCAGCCCTCAAGCAGGCGCTGACTGATTGATGCCAGACAATCCATATTCTTTGCAAAGCTACTAACCATCACTGGGTTACCTCAAGCGCAGTACGTTCAACTGAGGCACGCTGTTGATCTGTGGACCGGTCTCTATGTCGCTCTTGCAGCGGCAGGATTCATACTCTGGTTGGGGCTCGGAATGACTCTGTCGTGTGCAACGCAGAAACTGTCCCGGCGAGTTCGCGAGATCTGCTGCCATCGTATAACAGTACAGGACATGGCTTTCTTCGACAAAGCCAAAAACTCACCAAGTGCGCTTTCGAGCGTGCTCTCAAAAAGTACTGACGATCTTGCTGGTATGGGGGGCCCGGTCCTGGGCGGCATTTTGACCTTCATTTCCACTATCGTTGGGGGTATAGCGGTCTCATTGGCCATCGGCTGGAAGTTGGGTCTTGTTTGTACAGCAACGATACCTGTTGTTGTTGCTTGCGGTTGGTTGCGCCTCCAGGTGCTTGCAGCATTTGACGCTCGAATTAGGCAGAGCGGAGTGGATTCGTCCGCATACGCAGGACAAATAGTGCGCTCTATGCGAACCGTCGCTTCATTGGGCCTTGAGGAGCAGGCTCTTACGCTTTACGACGGATTCCTAGCTAAGCGAGCAGCGAGGTCTCTCCAATCCATACTCGTAGCCTCGGGGCTCTACGCTGCGTCACAATCCGTTGTGTACCTATGCGCCGCCCTTGCGTTCTGGTACGGTGGAACACTGATTGCGAACCGCGAATACTCCGATTTTCAGGTCTATGTATGTTTTGTCAGTCTGATATCGGGCTCTCAAATTGCCGGGTCGATCTTCACCTTCGCACCTGACGCCGGCAAGGCGATACACGCGGCCCAGGAGCTTCGGTGTATAGTGGAGCTCAATGATCCCGAGAATGAAGTGCGGCGGCGGCCTGCAGAGTCTGACATCCTGGAGCACAAGAGAACAGAACACGAGCTTCTTCACGGCCTTGACCCGTGTCAAGTGATCTTTAAGAATGTGTCTTTTGCGTATTCCTCTAGACCAAACAAACATGTTTTGGACAATTTTACGATTTCTATTGAGCCTGGGCAGACACTCGCTTTGGTTGGCCCGAGTGGCAGTGGAAAAAGCACATGCCTTTCTCTGCTCGCACGATTCTACCCATTCCATCACGGGCAGATCCTCGTTGATGGACATGATATACGTAACCTGGATCTAAACGCTTATCGATCGGCAATTTCACTAATCAGCCAAGAACCCGTTATTTTCTCCGGTACCATGAGAGAAAATATTGCGGTGGGTTTAGTAGGACAAGAAGTCAGCGACGACGACGTTCTGGCCGCGTGCAGACAAGCTAATATTCTTGACTTTGTTCACTCTCTCCCGTGAGGATCCTCCTACCCAAGCTCGTAAAGCCCCAAGTGGATAAGATCTAACAACATTGCACGTGTAGTGATGGATTGTCGTCGATAGTTGGTATAGGCGGCAGCATGCTTAGTGGAGGGCAGAAACAACGCATCGCTATCGCGCGTGCATTCCTGCGCAAGTCCAAGCTTTTACTACTAGACGAAGCCACGTCGGCGTTGGATAGTGAGTCGGAGGCTGTCGTACAGGCGGCCATCGATGAGGTCAAAAAGAACCGTACTACCATTACGGTCGCCCATCGTTTGAGCACAGTCATGAATGCCGACGTAATTTGCGTGATGCGTGAAGGATCTGTAGCCGAGATTGGCAACGCCAAACAGCTTATGGCAAGACGCGGGCTGTTTTGGGAGATGGTAGGCATGCAGAGCCTGGATTGACAGCGTAATCCCCAATAACAACAACAATCATGGCAGAACAAAAGAGAGAATCGACGAGCCAAAATATATGATTTCGGGCAAAACCAATTGGGCGTGCGTAGAGAAGCTAGGATTGGCCTTGGCCGTATGGTAGAAGTTAAGTGCATGTGCCTCTCAAGTCTACGCAATCTCGTTTAAGGGCCGTATCGGTGCTTATCCAATCTTCGGTACTTCGATTCGGCGTCCGAAGGAGACCGAATTACTCGTCGTGCACAAAGAGAAACCAGCACTTCTAGGAGCCGTATTCCTTTGGCACAGTAGAAGCCTATCGATTCCCCTTACAGAATCTCTCACCAAGCCTAGCGCCGGAGCGCTATCGTCAAGAGCGACTAATGCAATTCATCGTGTCCATGGGGTACAGAATTACTCGTTCAACTCACCGTCGCTCTCATATTCATCACCTAAACCCAGCATAACAACTCCCATCTTGCACTACCCCCCGGTTTTACGAGTCCAAAGATGTCTTCAGATTTAAGAGCTCCATGTGTCCAAGCCTTGTCAAGAGAGAATATAACTGCTAGGCAGTCATTCGCTCAAGGCCACCTGTGGTTTCTGGACTGATTATACCGCGGTTCCATATGGTACCTCGTGCCCTTTGCTCTGCGCCCCCGTGGGCTGCTGCGGCTTGAGGCACTTAAGGTGGTGCTGATAGCGTTAGAAGAGCACCATGAGACGTTTCGCACGACGTTCTCACAGAGGACGCCATCGGCATGCAAACCGTTGGACCAATCCAGCGAAAAAATTGAAGGTGATCGACACATCTGCCGATGAACCAGAGCTCTTTCTACGGGCCTTACGGAACGAGCAGAAGACGCTGTTCTATCTGGATACTGAATCTGGGTGGACGACTTCTGTCTTCTGACTGGGCAAAGACGACAGTTGTCTGTTCATTGTGATGCATCGCATTATCTCGGACGGCTGGTCGGCCGATATCCTTGGCCGAGAATTAGCGACGTTCTATTCCACCTCGACCCGAAATCAGGACCCGCTGTCACTAGTCGTACCTTTAACTATTCAATATCGAGACTTTGCCATATGGTAGAAGCATCAGCAGCGGGCAGAGGAGCACCAACTGTAGGTTGAATACTGGGTCAAACAGCTGGAAGGAAGCCATCCTGCCGAATTTCTCTGCGACAAGCGGCGACAGACTATACTGTCGGGAGCAGCGGAGAAGCAAGAGATTGAAATCGGTGGGTTGCTGTATAGAGACATACAGCACTTTTGCAAAGTACACCGAGTGACCCTTTTTTCTGTTCTGCTCACTGCGCTTAGAACAACAAAGTACCGACTTACTGGCGCAGATGATGCAACAGTGGGCATCCCGACAGCGAACCGGAACCGGCAAAAGCTAGATGACCTGAGTAGTTTCTTTGTCGATGCATCAGAATCCGGATCGAGGATGATCAATCTTTCGAACAGTTGGTCCGCCAAGTTGACAGAACGATACTGGACGCACATGCTAACCAAGATGCCCCATTCAAGAGGATCGTTTCGGAGCTGCCGATAGATGTTAGAGACGGGTCGCGTGATCCTGTCGTTCAGAACACATTCTGCTTGTACTCTCAACGGGACTTAGGGCGATTCACGCTCGAAGGCCTGGGATGGAGCAGCTGAGCGTCGTGCCGAGCTCTAGATTACCTCGAGATTGACCTGTTCCAGGAACCAGATTATATCCGTGGCACCGTCCTATAATAGTGGTCCGAAATTGGCTGTGGCTCATAGGCTCGGTTTCAAGGTCGAGCGTCCGCGATGTTTAGGCGCCAGTCAATATCAACATTGCTCAAGTCCTGTTACGAGGTCCAGAGCATAGTTATTAGATAGGCTAAAAGAAGCATGCTAGTGTATCGTTAAACGCGATTCAGTCTTCTTTCGTTTAGACCACAGGGGACGCGCCTTGTTGAAGATCGTAGGCTTTCCATTTCTGTGCTTGGCATCATTTCCGGGCCTGGGCGAGGGTTGAACGCTGAATGCTCGGCAATCTGGTAATCAAGAACTGTAGAGGATTCCATGAGGCAGTAAAGGTTCGCACTACTGAGATGGGATCGGATGCATGTAGTCAACGGGATGCCTTGAGCATACATCTACTGGAGCTGACAATATGATCAGCTTAGCTTGTATGATTGCGACCAATACCTAGTCTATGGTTTATGAACAGCCTGAGGCAACCTGATGCGAGGGACGCAAGGGATTTCTGCGGACATGGACAAGAAAGACACAAGAAATAATAAAATCAATAACTTTTATACCATAGATCGTACATAATTAAGATCAGCCTCTTTGATACTTAGTGCAAGGAAATGGAAACACGGCAGCGTTATGCAAATATATATAAGCACAGTAGGAAGATATCATGTTGTTAAAGATAAAAAGCTCAGTATCTTTCTTCTTTATACCCTTGAAGACTAGAGAACACCCATTGCTGGTATATCAAGACTCAGTCTCTGGACCAACATGCCCCCCTGGGATAAGTGTTAATCTTCCTAATTTTATACTGATAGTAGGATATCTCAGCATTAAAAGCATGGGCCTGCCCAACTGTTTCTCCTATTTCTCCAAAGCCTCTATATATAACAGTACCATTATTCTTACCAACTTTAGTAGTGGTGTTAAGATATATCATAACAGTTATATTTATCTTCCAAAGGCTTGTTACCTTATTCTATTTCTTTGAGAGGATACTGTCCTTATTCTGCTCCTGTTACTACCGCCTCTAACCCTACATTTTTGCCTAGAGTATCTCAGTGGCTAGTTATTTATTTCTAATCAGTATTAGGGCTTTGATTCATCTCTCTATGTATGAAGAGCTCAGATACAACCTCACCTCTCATCTCATCAACCCCACATAGATAAACTCTAACTGCCAGTCACGGTTGCGCGCTTAAGTCATTCTTGGTTCCGAGCTAAAGCCCAATAGGTAATAAAAATTTGGAATTAAGGGCCTCTATCAAACGCATCTAGAAGGTTCATGAGCTAACAGTAGGCGTGGTACTACTCTGAAAAACTTCTAGTAATTTCCTATAATAGCTGCTACCATCATCCGAGCTAGATATATTGGTGTAGTATGGTAAGGGTGATGTTTATATATGATCAGTATGAGGCATTTGTTGTTTTAGTATTTTATTGTGGATGATCCACAACCTTTGCCTGACAAACCAGCAGAAATGTGGCAATTTTTACATAAGTGGTATGAACTAACTCTGTTAATATAGCAGCGCCTCTGGCAAAGACTTGCATAAAGGACAGAAGCATAGGAATGAACCCTACTCTCATTTACGAAGAAAACATGTAGTGAAAGGTATACAGTATCATTATATATAGAGCAGTGATTATAACTTGAAGTAGACTCATTAGGCCCGCGAGTTGGGCCGGATTTTTGAGGTTGTTCAACCCAGCCCGTTGGGTTTGGGCCGGGCTAGGATGATATACATTCTTGATAAAATACAGTATCTGAATACAGTACTTCAACAGCTCTTCTGGAGGATACAGGATTGAGATGGTGAAAGCTGGGTAAAGTGGCTTATTATAATATTAAGGTTATTGAAGATACGTCGTCAATAACTAAGCAAATAACGTAACCTGAAATTCTATCATTTTTCCTTTTATTCTCTCTTCTTTCTTTCTCGTAAACCTCACCATCATCGCCACCACCACTGCCACCACTGCAACTACCCACCATCATCATCATCATCATGGTATATGAGCATAATGGTTTTCCTTGTTGTTTTGCATGTCTTAAAGCATATACTAATTTGTTCTTGTATTATTTATACAATTCTTGCTGAGAATCATATATCTCATACAAGTATTAACAACGCCAGCCGCCCGTTCAAGCGCCCAATGACTCAACAGGAGCTGGAGGGCCTTTTATCCACCTTCTTTCAAGAACTCCAGCTAACCTGAATCCTACCCTTCCTATCAGACATTGTGAGTTGGTTCTATATATTCACAATAATCTATAGCGAGGCATGCTGGACCTTCCAGGTTCACCTGTGTCTTTTATCCGTGGCAAGATAAATGCCAGGCAAATCTACAGCAACCATCCATCCTTCATAACTAACTACATCAATGCCCTGCTTATATAATCAAGAGACATTCAGCTTGCAGTCTTGTGCAAGGTGTCACTCTGTACAAGACTGCCAGCTCTTCCCTGAATGCCGCCATGCTCCAGGAGAATTTGGCGGTGTATACGGCAATTGCAAATGGCCTGATACTGCTCGTCAGTGCACTGTACAAGATGAGTTATGGGGGTATATACATGAAGCTGACCGCGGTCTACCCTATACAGGGGGGGTGGTATACAGCATCAAATCAACTTAGACCCTGAGGAGGGCGGAGCACCAGAGAATCCAATTATCTTGGATAAGAAGAATAGAGACAAAAACAATCTAATTGTTCTATAGAGATATATACAAGCTTTCATTTGGAATCTATATCAACACCAGCACCCCCAGTTGTACAGGCCTGTACAACAACCTGAGCAAGGACTTGCACCTCTGTGGTGCTCAGGATAAGTAACTAACTGGTGAAACGAAGCAAGTTATGTAAGTATATCTGCTGGCAGAATACTAGCGTGAACATGAAATTTCAGTTTTTTCCCTTTTGTCCCAAGGGTCTGCCGTACATAGCTGTTTTGTGGACTGCGGTAGCCACGTCCCACCCAATAGTGACCAGCCCTAAGGCGCTAACACCTGTCCCCCAATGCCTCAGCGTACCCTCAACTCGCACTGCTGTGTAAAAGGATGGTTGTCGGCCAAACCCCTTTCCGCATTGACCCACCCCCTTTAGATAGTGGGGCTTCATGGCCGATGTTTCTAGAGAGCTACCTGATTATTTGTCTCCTCCTTTGAGCGAGCGACAGCCTGATAGCACGCTATTCGTCCGCAAGGCACTGGTCATGGTATGCATAGTAACTAGCCACGAACATTCGTCTTATATGAGTGCGTACATTTGTGAGACCTGTCTTTGTAGAACAAAATGAATCCCTTGCAGCTCTTCAGCCGTAACTGACTGCGCAATGCAAAGCAAAAACGATACATATCTTCTCTTCCCCATTGAACGGAAAATGGCCGTTTCCATGGACGGCACTCGGTTGAGTAGTTGTCAAAAGTCAGCGTCCCGCACAAGTATTTCCACGTTCCACGCTACATAATCTACCAACACGTCTTGCATTTCGTGCATGTATTCATTTTCCTCAAATACAAACTTCAGCAATTTGACAATATCTCCAGTTAGTTCTTCAAAGAGGGTAAAGCTGACCAGCGAGCGAATAAGCTGATAGGGCGACAGGGCACAAAGCGAAAGCCAGTCCGTTGTGTAGGCAAAAAGATAAACTTCAGCATGGCTTAGAAAAACACCCGCATAATTATCTTCTGGATCAGTGTTCAGGACTTCTCCATCTTTATCCAAGGGCGCCTTGTCAAGGTTTTCCTTAATGAAATTACATATATCGGGTAGTTTTATGGGATGGAACATATTTCCTCGGTGGTTCAAAGGATCCTATTGTCTGGCAGATCCCCGAGACAGCGCCTGGTTGTCGCTGGATTGGTCGCCATTGACCCCGCACAGATTGGCAGTCGGCAATGGAACGGAGTAATCACCAGAATATACGAACTCACAACAACGGCCAAAGACAACCTCATCAACTTGCCCATTTATGGAAGGCTGAAATATCTCCTTTGCAAAAGATCCAGCTAATGCTGCGTGTATTGAGAACCGTCGTCGGTTTTCACCTATAACAAACTCAACGATCCCGGATTGCATGATCCTGGGGATATGTTAACTGTAAGGGCCACCTGCCCCGCTGGACGATGTTGGGACCTTATGATAACTAAGCGCCATTTTTGCAAGCAATAATGGACCTGGAAAGGTGCTGGGAGTTGAGGATGGTATTTCGATTGGAGGGAGATATGTCTGCTGTTCAAAGAGCTTGCTCTGGTGAAGATGTCGAGTGAGACGACTGACGCATATAGTATTATCTCTTTACATATGTATTACTTATACGTCCATCTAACCAAGTAATTTCCTTATAAATTTCTTATACCTGAATACTGCATGGTACTAGGTAACTATGGCTGTGGCTCCCACAGCGGTAAACCCACGACTACGGCATTTAGGTCCTAGCGGTCGAAGTGGTGATACTTTGCCCTCAGCGCTGAGGAATCTATAATAGGGTTACATTTGTCGGTAAAGACCCCCATGATTGTAACTGTTCAACAGGTGAGACGGTGATCATGGAGGTGTCACTTGGTATGATGATATTGTAAATCGAACTTCGTGTACTGTCCCGATTCAAAGGCGTCTGAAGCGGGTGCTATTATCCATGCATGATACGTTTTCTGTATCTAGTCATACAAAAAGGTACATTTGCACAGTAAAGAGAAGGAATGTTGCTCCTAGAATATATCTTATGACTCCATTTGCAGCGAGAGCTACTAGTTGGTCAGTAGGGCAGAACAGGTCACAGTGCAGCATTAAAATATTGATTTCTTACCTGAGGCTGCGGCTCTAGCTTTGTAGACATCAACGAGATACGTGATAGTAGACAGCTAAGGAGACCTGTTAGTGATGCGCACTAAGACCTTCATCCTTTGAGACTCACGAAAAGAGAAAATGCCCCTGATCCAAAAGGGACTCCTGAACAGACAACGGCAGACCAGCTAACGCGATCGTGGTCTTCCCAGGTACACCTAAAAATAGAAGATTAATTAGCTGAGCAAATGCAGGTTTCCTTTGTATCTCACCAAAATAGCACGACGGATAATAAAACGCTGCTTGATCATAGTGGACCTTTTTACCTAGTGGAAAGATCCTATGTATCGAATTGCTAATCCCAGGAGTAATCCTTTACAATACTTATATGAATAATCAAGCTATATCAAGATTTTATTAGACTAAGTCTAATAAATAATTATCTAAAAGCTAAATATTATAAATATAACTCTAAAGAATCTATCAGACTAATTAGAATTTAATACTAAAGTAAATACTAAATACTAATATCTTTACTAATCAAACTAGATCTAGATAATAGCTATTTTCTATTCAAGAATTACTTATATATTAATAAGTTAATCAGATTATATAATTAGTTACCTGAATCAGTAAATAAGAATCTAAAATGTAAATAAATATATAATTAAGCTATAAAGAAATTTAATTAATTAAAAAATTAAAAAGATCCTAATAAATTAACTCTTATCTCTATAATATAAAAATTTAATTTCTTAATTAAATTAGAGCTGCCTGCCATCGCTGAGTAGAGACGAAGGTCTCTGGAGCGGCAATACCACCACCAGCTTCTCGTGCGTTCGCATAGAGACTCTTATTGAAAACTCCAAACATGAAAGCAGCGAGGAGGTGTCCAACGATGACGCTGATATAGCTCAATCCAATATGCTGCCAGTCAAACCCCTAGTACGTGCTCAAGACATACGATGAACTGGCGAAATAGCTGAAGATCATCGCGTAGGGAAAGCAGTATACAGGGTCAACAAGAGAACAATGACCTCGGTGCGCAACATCTTTACAAGCATTCCAAGTCCAATAGTGACGAGCTGTCCCACCGTGGACTTCGCCTTCTTCGACATAGCTTTCTCGCAAGTATTCGCTTTCGCCAATATTTTCTCCTTCAAGGTTTCTCTCACCTGACAGACCCTAAACACACTGGCGCGCAGAGGATCACCATTACCCACTGTGTGAATCTCCACTCGCAATGGTGGTCCTGAAGGGCATAGGCGCCTGCAACAGAACCCACCGTGGGCCCTAGAAACATTCCCAGGATGGAAAATAGGGATGAGGGACTGCCTTCCTTCTCCAGATGCCAGATATCAGCTAGAGTTCCTGCACCAAGCGCTACTTGAGCGGACCCAAAGAATCCAGCCAACTCACGGCATATGAGGAGAGTTGCGAGGTTGCTTGCGGCCCTGGCGCCTGCACTGAAAGCTAGCAGAAGCGATGGGGGATAACATAGATCCAGCGGCGGCCGACAATCTCTGATAGTGGTGCGATCCACAGCGGCCCGAATGCTAAACCAAGCGTATACAGCGTAAGTGTGAGCATAGAGAGTGCCTGAGAGACGTCGAACTTCCTTGCGAGTATTTCTACCGCGGCGTCATTGACAGATGTTCCAAAGGTGCTGTATGAAGTCGTGGTTTAGTCCTCGTTCTGCTCTCTCATGATAACTGGGTTATACTTACATTACAAACGCCACGATGCATGGCACAACAGCGTGGAACAACTTCTTCCATACTGGCCAGTTTCGGGGATTTAGCTTTTCTCGGGGATTATTCCACTGTATCTGTTCAAGCTCTTGATCATGAAGAGAATGTTCAGAGATTGGAGCGTCCATTTTGGCCGGAGGGCATACCAGAAGTCGCAGGTTGAAAATTCCTGGACATGGATGACGCTTCTGGGGATCTACGGCTTTACCTTACATGGCGAAACGCATGGATTTTTGCGAACTCACAAGTAATTTATTAGTGTAATGGGTGAAGTGCATACCCAAAGAGGACAATGCTCAGCCCATCCTCTAAGTACTATTCGGATTCTCGGAGTCAGCTTTTGATGCCATATTGTCTGGTTCAGGACGCCTCCGATGGTTTGACCCGCCAGCACGCTCGGTCTGAACATTTCATGTTTATGTGATCGTCTGATCCGTGTGGCGCTGATGAGTGATCTCCCCGCTGCAGCGCTGCCATGTGCAGGCTTGGTATGGCCCACTGTTCTCGCGTTTCGCCCGCCACTGCTTGCTAACTGAGAAGAAGCACTGGAACTCCCACGCCCACTGCAATCGCCGTCGCTGCAGGGCTGGTTGATAACCTTCATTGATTCTTCACCAGTGTGCAACTTGACACCGTACACGGCAGCTTTATAGACCCGCTTTGCTTGCTGTAGTTCCATTCCCACAGGAGGTGATATTTTACTGCCTAGCCTCCTAAAATATAACTTAGGTTACCAGGTTACAGGTCAGCAGCCCTTAGGTTACCGAGGTTCGTCCCGATAGGGATGATTAGTAATCGGAAATGATTTCCAAGAGCAGGGCAGCGAAATTTGGCAGCTCATGCCACGAATTTCCTAGAACCAGGGTGCTAATTGTAGTAGTCTGTATCGTCAACTGGTTTAAATGCCCGCTGGATCCTGCCTATCTCATACCTCTAGTATAACCACTCACACAAAGGACGATCTGGCATTGGTTCGCAGGTGGGTTCTAAGACATCCCTACGCCCCGATATGTATAAATGGTGCCCAACCAATTACATTACCCGGTTTCTTCTGCCTTAGCTTCCTCGTCGCATGATGCAGAGCGAAAGCAACCACATCATGACTCACATCCGAGCCACTCTCCCTCAATTGCTGTATTAGGTTCCGATAAAAAGCTCCTGCGACCTCGGTTGCACACTGATTGTCGGCCTCCCACAGGGTTCCAATAACGTGCGGGAACCCAAGCAGTTGGAAGGCGCTCGCAATATGAATCACTTCGTTGGCCAAGTCGAGGGATGAGTTCTCTGCAGTGGAGCACGCAGACAAATAGGCAATCTGTGCAAGGCTATGTCGCACTCCCGCCAGTTCTCGAACAGTCAGACGCTCCGGAGCCTCGTTTGTGCTCTCGCCGAGGAACAAACTACCCTCTGACGGGTTCTCTGAATCCGAAATCCCATGACATGCGAAGTGAACTATCCTACAGCCGCCGAGCGCATCCAAGACTGCACTCTTAGGAGGCTCTATCAGAGTCGAAACGGCAATCGAACTCATAGTTTTGACGGTCTCCGTAACTAACTCCACCTCTTTCTCCGTCACCAGCGGCTCCAGACCGACCGTCCGCGGCATGGCAGTAATGAGCATCCTTGTATTTGGCTCCAGTAGATAACGCAGGTCTCGTTCGCGGGCATACTGCAGAGCCTTGAGGGTTGGGATATAACTGGAGATGACATAATCTGAGGTTGTCTTCTTTGAATCGCCTGCGGCGTGTATTGGCATGAGGCCGAAATATCCATTCGTTACCCACCAGATGTGCGGAAGAGGTTTTGAAGCCACTGGCGCAAGCAATTTCAATTTCTTCAAGACCGGACGCACAGCAACGTCCCACAGCCATTTAAGGACTCGCTGGAGCTCTTGCTGCCTCTCACGCTTAGTTGATGATAATCCCACTACTAACTTCTGCTCTCCTACAAACTTGTCCACATTGTCCCGTAGCTGTCGAAACTTGAGCTTCTTCAGAGGTAAATGTGTTATGCCGTCTGACTCTGTAATGAGCAGGGCGTCGCTGCGTATCTTAGTGGCATTATAGACCACAATAGGACCGCGTTTAGCCTGTTCGATAAGGTCCGCGGTAGTAGGAGGTAAGAGGAATCGTTCAAGCCCTTCTTCTTTTCTAATAGCGGACTCTAAGTCCTTCAATCTCCGTATGTCCTTGTACCGTTGGGAAATCATCATGGGCACATTGCTGCGGCTGGGCTTTTGCACACCTGCGGAGGTGTCACTGGGTTCTGGGGTTTCCTCTTCATCCAATGGCAACGAAGCTCGATCGCGGACCTCCATGTATTCTGAATATAACGAGGGTTTAGATTCCTTCAACTTGGAAATGTCGGCCTGGGAGTCTATAAGGAAACTGGCAATGATACCTCGACCGGCTTCGAGAATCTCAAGAGCTTCCGCAGCTGTCCCTTTTGTTTGAAGCGCAACCGATGCCGCGTCTCCCGAGATATTGCTAAGATCACTAAGGATACCTTGTTGGACACGTCGTGGAAGTGAGGTGAGAGAAAGACGTGGGAGCAGTTTAACAATGGCCTCCGACACAGATCGCGCCCCTTTCCAGTTCTTGTCCGTTATATTATCACGAAGAGCAAGTTGACCTGCGGCAATACGGTCGTGGACAACTCCATTTTTGAAATTCAACGCCTGCACATAAAGGCTTGTGGCACGTTTCCTGTCGTTAGGATTTTTGCTAATCCAGTATCTGTAGTCAAACTTGCTGGCTAAGCCCTTGATTATCTCCGCTAGTGCCGGATGACCTTCCGGCATAGTGTCAATTGCTCTTTGAGCAAGTCGGAGGGATTCGTCCATGTCAGACTTTCTTCCTGTAATTCCCCTATATGTAAATTCGAGGTGGTTTGCCAAGTTGTTTAAATGGTAGGCTTCTTTAACTGGGTCATCAGTCTTGATGTCTACGACTGCTTTTTGAATCCGAAGAGCTATCTTCAGGTCGGCACTGACCCGTTTTCGCTTAAATCTAGCATCGAGGCAGTTTGCCAGGTGGTTAAGGAAATCGCTTCTCTTCGGATGATGATCTGAGGTACTTCTGATAACCTCCCCGACTAGATGGATGGCCAAGTTCAGATCATCCATACGCTTTTGTCCTCGATATTTTAGCAAGATATAGTGAGAAAGGATGTCCTGACACTCGGTCTGTTGTTTAGTGTTCATACGAACAGCCTCGTCGGCAAGGCGAATTGCCTCCTCCAGATCAACGGCTGCACCTGTCACTTCCAATCGGTCACGTAGGCTGATGCTTAGGTCTATAAGCAATATTGCTCGGCGGCGATCGTCTATTGAAAGAGCATCTATTGCCTCCCTTTTAAGTCGGATGGCTGACTCCAAATCTTCCCTTGATCCTGTCCTTTCATACCTAGACGAGAAATTGCGCGCCAGGTAACCCAGGTATTTTATTCGACGCGGAGTGCCTTCAGGGATAATATCCAGGGCTTCTTGTCTGACTCCAATCTTGATATCCAGATAATCCTCTTTGGTTGCATCCCATATTGAATCAAGATGATCTACCATTCTCTTCAGAACTGTTGGCCGACCTGGGTGGTCCAGAGGAATGTTCTCCACCTCAGCCTTCATGAGTCGAACCGCTTCCTGCAAGTCGTCTGTGGTGTCGTACCTGTAAATGAGATGGTCTATCAGGTTATCGAGGTACTCTGCACGATCGTCGCGGGTAATCCCAGTCGCACGTATGGCTTCTTGCCACAGTTGAATTGCCTCATCCAGGTCGTTTGCCTCATCGTCGTCTGCGCCATCATCTTCCTCCCCACTTTCCTCTTCTTCTGGTCTCTCCTCTCCGTCTGCACTCTCCCGTTCGTCTCGGCTCTCTGCTGGATCTTCCGTTCTTTCTGACAGGGCGTCCGAATCATAATCTGAGTCATAACATGTGTCTTCCGTTTCCTCGTATCTGGCGGCGAGATAACTGGCTAGGCTATTGAGATACCTCGGCCGGTCAGGGTGATCTTCTGGGAGTACCTTAACAGAGTCTCGCATGAGCTGTATAGCCTCGTCTAAATCACTGATTTTGTCTGTGCTCTCTTCTGAATAGTCTGATCCTTTCTCGGTCTCACCCGAGTTCTCCAGTTCCATAGTCTCCTTGTCTGTATTGAGCGAATCATTTGACCCCTCGCAGTCTGAAGATTCCTTGCCAGAATAATCTGAGCTACTGGTCACCGTGACAGAATCTATACTTGAATCTATTGCCTCGTATCTCTGGGCAAGGAGACTGGCAAGAGAGCTCAAGTGTTCCGGCTTGTCATCGTGGTTGTCTGCAGCAAGATCTATGATCTCTCGCATAATCTCGATAGATTTTTCTAAATCATCAATATCTTTAACAACTTTATATCTTGAGGCAAGAGCGTTGGCTAGTGAGTTGAGATATGTCAATCGCTTCCGATCATCATCCAGCATATTGTTGACAGTTGCTTGCGCGAGTTCAATCCTTCGGTCCAGCTCATCAGTTGCTTCTTGGTTGGATGATTTGTCAACCTGATTCTGTAGATAACCTACCTGGCGAGACTTTTTATTCAGAGAAGCCTCCATATCGCCTTCATTGTGATCAATAGCTCCTTTGTTGACACCGGATGTTTTGTCTATAGTTGACCCGTCCGACTGCGGAGCAAATTGTGACCTCTCGTTTTTGTCACCAAGTGGCGCCTTGTCCAGATATTCAAGCAGAGCTGCTTTTAACCCGGCCTTTTGATGTGTCTTCTCAAACCTCGAGACCAGCATGTGAGATAAACCGTCTTGGAACTTCATATATCGGTTGAGTTCTGGTCTCGGGAACATAGCAGTCCCTTTCAGCGCCTCGCGCCCAAGCCGAATAGCCTCTTCCATATCGGCTGTGTTATCTCTGGCCCTCCATCTACATGCAAGGTTCTCAGATAAGTTGTATAGGTATTGTGGTCGCGTGTGGTAGTCGTCGGGTATGATTTTTAGGACCTCCCATCCCAGATCAATGGCCTTGTCTAGGTCATCAATGGAGCGTGTTCTAACGTATCTCACGTATAGATGATCAGCCAAATCGTCAAGGTACTTCGCTCGGTCAAGGTCTGCTTTTGGCGTTAGGTCCACGGCGACCTGTGCCACCTTGATAGCCTTGTTCAGATAGTCCATCGCAGCTGATGTCTTGGGCGAATGTTCTGATTCTTCGGACGCACTATCTGTGTCGTCCGCTGCGATTGTTGCGTCAAACATACGCCCAAGGTGACCCGCTAGACTGTTTAGATATTTTGCCTGGTCCCTGAGGCCTTCTGTAATTCCTACCGCCTCCCGCCCCAGCTCAATAGCCTTTTCCAGGTCTTCTAATGTCTCTATAGCGTCATGTCGGCAGGCATGGTGATTTGCAAGGTTGTCGAGGTACTCAGCACGAGTGAGACCTTTGTCTGGGGTGGCACTAAGTGCCTTTTGTGCAAGCTCAATAGCCTCCTCGATATCAGCATCTATGTTGATTGGCTCGCCTGCATTGGACGTGGTGCTCTGCGTGTCGGACTCCTCTGTGGTGTCACTATCATCATCCAAATCATCACGCGAATCGTATGCTTTGAACCTCCTCGCGAGATACTCAGACAGTCTGCTAACGTCCCTCATTCGATCAGGATGGTCGACGTTCACGGCTTCTCGCATCAACTCAATGGCCCTGTCCACATCATACATTTTCCTTCTGTCATCAAACCGAGCCGCATGATAAATGGCAAGGTCTCTGAGATACTCCTGTCGATCTGGACTATCCTCTGCGATGAGACCAAGAGCTTCCTCTGCCATCTCAATAGCTTCGTCCGCAGCAATTTTCGCGTTGTCTAACCTCTCCGAGATGGGGCCGGTATTCACAGCGTCATGCTTGTCGTTGAGGAGCTGGGCGAGCCTGCTTAACTTCTTTGGTCGACCACTATCGTCCTTTGGGACGCCATCCAAGGCATCTCGAGCAAGCTGGATGGCCTTATCCAGATCCGCTGTTCTCATTGTGTTTTCCTGAAACACCAGTTTCCTTGACTAAATGTGTCAAAGGTATGCCGCCTCCGTTAGCCTGTATCAGAAAATGTTTATACAGAAAGTGAGGAAATAAGCGAGGGCTGAACAAAACTGTGGTCAGCTATTCTGCAGAGGAAACGGAGCTTTTTCCAGCCGTGCCAAGTACGCCACAGAGACCTGAGAATCCATCGAGGACCGAGAAAGGCCACATGCTGCCTTCTGCTTGAAGGGACCGTATTATGTGAGACAATCAGCTGGGCGCTCCGTCCGAATCCTGGCTAGCAGGCGTATTGGGAGAGGTCGACCCTCTCTTCTGGTTCGTATGCTCTCAATAATTTGGGAATAATGAGCCAATGCTAGGAAACTATCTCTAGCTTCGCAAGGCTCTACGGCTCAGCTCAGTGGGGCCTGTAAGGATATGCAGACCAGTTGTTGTGTTTCATCATGTTCGGAAATCTGAGTGTTCAGCCAGCCAGACATAATCCTGTGTTGAATGGAGAACTCTTCTTTTGATTCCCCCCTCACTTCCATCCTTGTCACCTCGGATCCGACCTGGAGTAAACACATTTGTTATCACTCCCTAGAAGGAACCACGCTAATGCCGAGTAAGAGGGCACCAATGCAGATTCCAGTTTGCTTGCTTTTTCTGGACCGCACTGCAGCCGCCAGTCACGGAATATCACCACTTGATTGGATAACAGTTCACTCGTGGCGCGGTTCAGACTCTAGTGAGCGACGTGTTTCCATATCATTGAAGCATGAAATCTGTCATTTGTGGCTTCGCATAATTTTAGCGCCCGGACTCGCCGATGGAGCTGATTAGCAGCGTCATGATATCGCAGCTTATATTGATAGGACATCCAGGAGAACAGACAAAGGGATCACTCGATAGCAATTACTTTGACTGATCGAGATGCGAGACCAGTACATTTTCAGGGCTCCCTTTCTATCCAGCCAGGAAATAAAACTAGGAAATTTGATTCCCAACATCAAAGACCCTGAGTTAGACGCCCAGGAATGTCCTTGGCCCCTGGCCCTGAACGAAGATTTCACCATTAAGCCGATTGCCAACTTCCACTCTTTCTTTAGGTCCGAGAAGGACGTGCGCCTCGCTGGATTTCTCACTAGTCTTCTCAAGGCTTCCGGCCAGCACCAATCCGCAAACAGTGACGAGTTTGCATCAACCTGGGGCAACATTCACACCTTGAAACAGCCCAACCTGTTCTTCAAGTCTCTGTGTAAAGACCAGGGTGTCAGGCAATGGCTCCAGGAGCAGATTGAAGATGGCATGGATGTCCACCTGGTCGTGGGCTTCGTCACGTTCTTGGACGCAAGGAGCGCGGGTAGTTCTGGGTCGAAGGACGCGTTTCAAGGCCAGGGCGTTATCCCTGTGACACAGACTTTAAGCAGTGGCTTCCCCAGTGATGCTTTGGATGTCAAACTCCGGGGCGGCTACCAAGCTAACTCGCTCGGTGGGCGGAGCTATTGCGCTCCCGGCGAGCAGATATTCGCACTGCGAGTCAAAAAGCTGGCCTTTAAGTTTTACCGATCCAAGAACGTGGCCAACGCAAAGTTGGAGAAGGATACATCATGGGAGATGGTGTCATACAACCGAGCGGCGACAGGCAATGAGTCGGAATGGGTTGTAGCGTACCTCGAGGGCGAAAGTACTGATGAAGCAGTGGATGACTCTGGCGACATGTTGCAATTGGATGACGATGTTGAAATAATTTTTCTGGATGATGACGGTGAGAGCGATGGTGACGGCGAGGAGGAGGAGGATGATGATGATGATGATGTATAGAACCGTTAACACCATTTCAGACAGTGTTTACATCTCATTTGTTATACTGGTCTTCGACGAATTATATATATTCTTCCGCTCTAACTAATAGGGCTTTGGAGCTTCGCCCCCTTTTGCCTTCTCTTTTTTCCCATACCGAATTCCGATAATGTCGCACAAATACTAAATGAGAGGTAATCCCTGGTGCATTAAGTGCACTAATGGATCTCACAAAATCATCCTCCCAGATGATAAGCGGAGGTCCCGGACAGTGATATTCTTCACCAAAGGAGGCGGTCTCCCCGGGTACAGCACTCTCATCCTCCTCGTGCCGGAATACGATTGGGTATCACGATTCTCACTGCCGGAGAGGAGACATACCTTGATGTATTACCGGAAGTGACCACCGTTCCACTGATTCGTGCGACTGATGAGCTTGCTGCAGGGCAGGTGAAGGAAACATATGTGGGGAGATATACTTTTCCTTCTACCAAGGAGCGAATAGTCAACTCCTCACTAACAGTAAATTACACACCAACACATGGCCTCGAGATCAGCGAGTGGGTTTCAAGTTCTACAGATGTGCCGATCATCATATTCCGGCACTTCCAATCCCAGAAGAACACAAAATTCCACGCTCAGTTGATCCCATCCGGTCTCTATAGAGATGAGGAGAAGCAAGTAGGAGAGGTATGGAGGATTACAATTGTGACGGATAGGGAGGCGCCCCCGGAACCAGTGCTACGGCGATGGAGCCAACACAAGAATAAGGCTGGCTTATGGCCTAGTTTACCACAGTGTGGGAAGAATTCTGTATCACTGATGAAGATAATATAATGTATGCGGGGACACCCTTGAGCGAGGTCGTCTTTTGGGACAGGCATGAGAAGACTGGCATGTCCTTGCTATAGACCCTTGTCTAATGCACTTATCGAACGCGGAATCAATCGGCGGAACCGGCGACGCAACAATCGGTGGACGAAGATGACCACCTCAAGTATTTGAGGACTGAGCTGATCACTGAGCGCTCACCCGCCCCACTGAGCACTAGTACTGATACGGAAGATACTAGAGAATATCCACATTCCAACCATTCAGAGCCAATGATCAGTAGCAAGGAAATATTTAAACTCTATCCCGTGTCATCCCTTATTGTCTATTAGTGATACTGTATATATTTCTAAATCACCTATAGAGTACCCGATTATTTGAAAGCTGGACAGATTACCTGTGATTTTTATAAATATACCAGTATGGTATATGGCCAAGTAAAATTATACACCATTTGAAAAGCAGTGTCCGCGGGAAGAAACATGCGGAGGCTGTCCGGATCCAGGGAAGCATTCAGTAGTGGGAGAATACTGGCCCAGCATGCGGAGGGCCACTGAGATCCCCTACCAGATCAATCAGCCATTGCCCGGCTTGTCCATCTATCCCGGTGGGTATGCTACCGTGATTAACCCCAATATTAACCATCACTTCAAGGTTGAAGTGGCCTCCTGTGTCGGGACCTAGGTCGAACCCTGTCCGAGGCGCCAAGTCTACTTTATATACTGTTGTTCTGATCCTACATCACAAAATTCCACCTTATATGATAGAATTCTCTCATTCTTCCTCTCTTCCTCCGCATTTGATGTTTCCTTAGATCGCCATGTTAGATACCAATGTGAAAAGAATCATTATATAACATTAAATGTCATTCATTCTTTATAATAGAGTAGTTACCCGTACATGTCAAGCTTTTTGTTAAGCGGTGACCCCAGTCAGCTAATCTCTCCTATCAATACATATCAGTGCGTTGAGTATACAGGTCAGGTGCCGCTTCAGAGAAGCCGGAAGCCGGCCCCACCGGTCTTGGCAGTAGGGGCGCGGCACGTCAGCTTTTAAATACCGTACCAGTTACCGCGAAATTCAGTTTTGTCTTCCATAAATATTTCGTTGAAAATATCAATATACCCAAGTATATCTCAATCAATTACTAACCAATTATATTAGCTATATTTGAGATGGACCTGGAAAATATTTTATTTAGCTTTAATAATACTGCTTCAAATATTGGTAATATTAATATTCAAGAGATAAGAGGTGACGGCCTCGCCGCGAGTATTTGGATTTGGGTTAACTCTGCTGCTCTTTTGGTATGACCAGAGATATATAATAGCGGATACATAGCTCCGTACAGCGCTCATTCCTAGGGTGCAGATAATCGGCTCCCCTTCTTCAGTCATATGCGGCTTTTTATAGCGACAGGACCGGTCTTCACGGCAGAGCACTTCCTCTTTAAGAAACCAGACAAGCTTATGTTCAGTGAATAGCTCACCGTCTGGAAATCCGATTCATTTGGTCCACTCTATCCATTCTTTCTGCTTTGGATTATAGCTTTCGAAGTGTTCTCAGGGCGGTTAATTCGAGATAGATTTAACACCTCTTCGCCGGACAAGACGAGCTGCCTTGCTATAGTCACATGACGCTCTGTTACAGAGGCCATGTGCGAAGACACAGACCTACCAGAGGCAGCAAGACCACGACATGGGTGAGCCGAAGAAGGATGCTGTCGTTTTCGAGCCATATTAATTAGTTATATTAACACGGACAAAGTAAATAGAGAAATCACCACCTACTGGCAAGACAAGTACACGTCCCTAAATGACCTACCAACCGAGATCCTGACATTTATCTTTCAGCTCATTCTCCCTCAGCAATTATCTCTACCTGCCTCATTTCCAACGCCTTCGTGAAGCTTACCTTCCCTTCCTTTGCTTCTTGTTAAAGGCGCCTGCAAACCAAAGAAAACTTGGAAAACTTTCCAATCGCCTGTGAACGTGATCAGGGGTGATCATACCTCTTGTCGACAGATTAAACGTAGAATATGAGGACCTGTGAAATCGACACCGAAAATAACCGCTACTGAGATCATAAACGGACTGTAATTTCCCTGTAAGGTCAAGTTAGATACAGTTTGAGGGTCCTTTCGTTTAGCAGAGCTATCGTCCCCGTGGGAGGACGTACGATTAACTCCATTGGCAGTCCAGCGCCGGTAGTTATAATGGCCAATATCTCCCTCAAACCTAGCATCTCGACCTATCTCATTGAGCACTTGTCGACTTGAGTCATACGTCATCGGCAGTGACTTATGGATCTCGTAGCCGTCCAGAGTGCGCTCAATTCGTTGAAGGAGAGAGGTATCAAGGATCCCTTGCTTCCACCGGAGGGGAAGATCCTGTCGGCACTTTGGAACTCGAAGCCACCATATCAGCTCTGTAGTCAAATCATTAAGAAAAGCCCATCGCGGAAGCTAGTTAGATAATTTGGTTGATTGGGCAATAAGCTATTTGATAATCACTATGCATGAAGAATTTTGTTCTGAGGAAAAGAGTTAGACTCAGTAACTAGCTGTCTATGGATTCGCTTACCTGTCAGTGCCTTCTGGCCGGCCTTTGAAATTGCGAAACTCAATAATGGCACAAAGGACATCATGCTTGCTATCTGGGTCTTTAAGAATAAAGAGCTCAATATCGCGGTAGCAGGCTAAGTCTGGAAAATTGCCGGCCGAAGTGTGTTGGGAAGGTTACTCTGAGAAGTCTGCTCGCGTTTATGTTTGCCCAGGGATGGCTTATGGCCAGTTTAGGAAGATTTCCAAGGAAGCAGTACACCCGGTCGCGTTCCAGTGATGGCAGACCAGAGTTATACTATGGCATATCAAATAATCATGCTTCCGTGACGGAAAAATCTCAAATATATCCAGTGATAGCGATATAAATGCAGAAGACATCCATGTCAAGGGTGTCCTTCTTCTTTATATGCCTGGGGATCTTTCGCTCAGCGGGGAATACTTGATTCAGAAACTACCGCTGATCTTAATAGTTGAGCAGTTAGGGCCAAGAACGGCTAATATACTCATCATATCTGTTTATAAACATTGCTATTCTGATGGTGCCATGCAAATAGACTAATATATTGGTAAAGTCGTTGTTAGTACTTATTATATAACTAAAAAAGCTTCTCTTATTAGATCCTGTATATCCAATTAAAGAAATTTATGTAGATTGTTTGGTCCTCCAGAAGTAAATACTCCACTTAGTCCTCTTTTGAATGGATGCAAAATCTGTCGGCAGTACATTAAGGATATATGATCCCTACAGTAGTTTGAGAAAACATGTATATACCTTCACCAGTATCTTTGGACCCCTGCAAGACCTTCCAATGTCTTGGGTTTGAAGTTCAGGGGCAGCAATCCAAGGCTGCGGAAATACTCTATCCTAGCTCAAGTTTCTTCACAGATGATCGGGTCAGTCCAGTATTGATGCTTATTAGGATCTACAGGAGGGAGAGGAGGCGGTGAAATCAAGATAAACTGATCTAAATATAAGGGAAAGGTGATTTTTTTCTGAAATGATTCAAGCAGCAATCGACTTGCAGATTGATGTGGAAGGTGCCAATATGAGAGGGAGGCGCGAGAGTGCGAGGGGGAAAAGGATGGTGTGAGGATGGGCGGCATTTTATACAGCATATGGGCAATCCGGTTGAACTCGAGGGAGCTGGATCTGGCTGCAGAGGAGGCTATTGTCTGCGTCGCTTCTGGTCGTGAGTTAAATGGAGCGAATGCTCGCTGAGGTTTGTCACCTCAGGACAGTGACTAAACAATGTCTGGCGGGTGCAGGATAGTGGTTTGTAGCACGTACTCGAGTGCTAAAGCGTCGGTTCGCTGAGGGAACTTCACAAGTCAGGAGCGGCAGAGAGAGCTAGCCAGTCCGGCAACGCGGTTTTCAAGAGGTATTACCAGTCACAATTTATCAGCCGCGATCTCCAGCATGTTGTGCTTCTCCGACCCTTTCAGGAAGGTCTTCTTCGGGTTGCTAGAAGCATGCTCAGGAAGAGGGATTCCCTTGCCCTGTCAGATCTTACTGACCAGCAGAAACATGCTATTTGCCGAGACTCCAGAATCCTGGAGCTTAGACAAGAGCAGAGGGAGCTAAAGGAGGAGATGTGATTGCTAGCTGGTACAGTAATAAAAGCTTGGGAGTCATTCTCTTATCTGTATAAAAGACATGAAGCAGTTAAAAAACAGCTCTCTTAGCTAAGGAAGAACCTGGTAAAGGATGCCCGCGAGACAGCTAGAAAGGAATATTTTCACAATAAGCTGGTGCTTAAAGTTGACAGACAGATTAAATAACTGCTTAGCCAGTCTAATACTGAAAATTGTGAAGATAATGACTCTGACAATAGAAGACTGGGATATTCCAATTCCAAAATATATCTTTTCCTGAGCGAGCACAACTTGTGGAGAATTCCTATAGCCCTAAAGCAGAGTGCTTCAATGCGGATAAGCTACTTGCACAACGTATCCAGGTTACCAAGGACATGGTTGCGCTCTCGAAGCTGTGCGAACCAAGCCAGCAATGCAACCGAATCAACTGGGCTATGAGTGATGACACTGAGGCCGATGAACTTGAACGTGAATAGTCAGAAGAATCACAAATCTGGCTTTGTGTATTATTTTTATATAGTATATTTGCTGGTATCTACTCTTGTAATATAGCTGGTCTTGTACCTGCTAAATGTACCTGGTATACTTTAAGTCAGTCCCTACTTAGCAGTGTAAGTATCTGTTATATGATTCACAAGCCTGGTCTATACACTTAATCTTAGAACCACTAATCATGAGTCTATATACAGTAAAGAGAGAAATAGCTAAGATTCAAATGGCTGTGTGTGGTACCAGTAAATATCCTGGAGTGTCAGTTGGTTAATTTCTCCTTATCATATACTAGGGCGTAGAAATATGCTATACGAGAACAGCAACTCATAATATAATTGACATAGAAGGAAAAAGAAGAATATAGTAGTCCTTAGATATAGGATTTTATATTAAGTCTGATTAAGCTATATCTATTATTTCTTCTTCTGTCTTCTAGTTATCAAGTACTTGTTGGGGTCTAAAAACTATATTTAGGCATTCTTTATATACTTAATATATCCATGTTCCATAGTAACAAACCTATATAAGTAATTTATGATATATAATCTACAAGTGCTGTCTCAAAATATGGCTTCTACTAAGTCTATACTAATCTCTGCCACTTTCTATCTTTTCTCTCTATATCCTTCAGTATTCCTTCTATTTTACCTACTCTTATATCGCGAGGTTGACCTCTCTATTCTTAAGAGTGATATCCAAGCAGTCTAGATATAAGTAGTAGCAATTAGCTCTACTGCTTTTATCTAATTTCTGCTGAAGATCCTATACTAGATAATGTGAAAAAGGCTGAATAGCATAGCGTGTGGTAAAGTCCTTGGGTCACGTGATATGGTGATCTTCCAGTCAAGCGTTATAAACAGTATAAATCCCGGACTAACAATCAGGGTGTTGTCCTGGAAACTACCTTACTGACTCTAAACAAAGCATACGAAGGGGGGCTTAATTTCTATATTTAACAGATTACCTCACACCAGGGCATCCAAGACAACAAACAGGCTATCGAAGGCAGTAAAAGAGGTAACAGGTTGGTGACAGGCCTACGGGCACCTGTGGCAGGCTGATAGAGATAGTGACCAACAAGACAGCGCTGAGACCAGGATACCTGAGAAGCCTCAGCCCGGGCATCAAGAGAAGGACAAATGAGGTTGGTTGATAGGTTGGACAGGAGTCAGCCAGCCAAGGATTTTATGGAAGAGGTTTCCAGGATCTCTAAGGCTTCTGAGAATATCAGACTATAAGTGATGAAACCTCTACTTTAATCCAAGATAGCAAAAGACAGAACCCCTATCGCGCTCTGTATATCTCTGCGGGGTAAGAACTACTGCAGGATCCCGGACTGGTATACAGATGAGGTGGATTAGCCAAACCAGGCTGTGTGGTGAAGTAGGGTCTAGACAATAATTTCCGTGGAGATACTTGAGAGGGATATGGCTAAAGATAGCTTACAAACAAGGCTATAGGGGCCATATGATTAGAAGAGAAATCAATTCATTTTAATCTACCAGGGATGGTACATTAGCCTAAGAAAGCTTACATTGTTATAAGTGTTAGCGCAACAATGGTTTACTATATCTCTCTAATAAAGCAGTATGAGTAGTTACTGGAGTAGACTGTTATTATTCCCACTGTTAGGTAATATTTAATGTCTATTTCTATATAGTAAAAGAGTCTACATGATCAGACATGGTTACCCTTCTTTATGAACTGGATGGATTAATAATAGGTCTACCATAGTAACACATAATACTACCTTAGAGAGGGTGTCCTAGCCATCAAAATTTTGAAGTGAACAGGGACTGAAACTCAAATATGTATTTACTAAACTATGCCAGTATAGAATATGATGATATTTTGTATATATATCTATGTTAGGGTGAATAGAGAGAGAAATAACCGTTTTAACTACTAACAAAAATAGGTAATCTCTATTAGCAAAAACCAAAGCGTATAGATAGGGCTGAGTTTCCCCCTATGATTTAAACATATCACCTTCATTTTCACCTCGGCTCCTGGCCTAGACCAATTATAGTTAATATTTGACTGGTGACCTAAGTAGTAGCTATCAAGTTAGCTAAATTTTGTGTAGGTCTTAAGAAAGCATCTGCCCGTGGTTTTGCCACCAGCCAGGACCTTGCTTGCGAATATAAAAACAACTCTGATCAACTATCTAGTTTAATTTAACAAAGTCTAATTTTGTCTAAATATTATTATGGTAAACCTTTTCTAAAAGCTTTTTCTTTTTCTTTTTGGAGACTCCTAAATTCTATTCTAACCAATATCAATGTCACTGTTACTGTCTTATTATTTACACTCCATAAATACAGTTCTGACAATAAATTCTATATTATTCTTAAGGTAACTCTTTTTTAAATCCTGAATATATCTGATAAGCTGCTTACTATTCTTTTATTTGGCATGTTCCTAGACTCTAGCGGTATAGCCCTTTATGATAAAAGCTTTAACTTTATCAATATTGATATAGGTACTCCTGCAAAGTATCTAAACCTGACTAAATATTATAGCTTTAATAGAGTGGCTAGTATCCCTATCAAACCCCAGTTTAAGTGATATTTTGTTATCCTTCAGCCTAGTGTACCTTACCAAGTAATGTTTATCTTTATACCCTGTTCTAGGAACTAGTTATACAGTAAAGATAATTCTGAGCAGCTTAGAGCTGCGTGAGGAGCTACTTATAACTAATGAGAATAAGGCCATAGTTGCAGCAGGCTTTTCTTGTGACATATATTTAGAAGTGGGATTGATATATTATGTTAAGTTCAGGAATAAGCAGAATCTAATACTCCTGGTATCAATATAGACTAAGAGAGCAGGTCCTAGAGGGACAGGGTGCTAGAGATAGTCTTGTAAAACAACAGTGAGAGCTCGTAGGGGACAGTGAGATGCAGTCAATCCCCCTCATGATGCAGGGTTCCGCTAGCTTCACTGTCAAATTTTAAGAACTTACAGGATTTAAGATAGGCAAGCTTGTTTTCAGACCTCTAGATGGGACAGTTGACCGGCAATGACACTGATGTGCACATAACCCATTAGAATAAAAGAGGGCACCTAACATGATCATAGTATATCAACCATAAAGAGCTTCAATGGAGCCCTGCCGGAATACCGATAGGGCAGCGCACCTTCCGAGCTCTGCATTTAAAAATGGGACTTCTCTGAAGTCTAGCGACATGTTACTGGCAGAAATGACTCCCATCCAATGAAAGACGGTCAGCGATATGATCACCATGGTCTAGGGTAACCATAGAAGAACTATTACAAGGAGCACCCACCCCATCGCTGAATACAACGCATCCTAATCAACAGTCTGATCGAGTTTGCGACCGCAGCGCCAATGTAACCACCGAGTACTATTGTCAGGGAAACCATATACGCACGCTGCTTCACTTATCAGTGATATTGCCTTTAAGAGGACGTAGTGTACCATAAGGTACCTTTCTGCCGACCAACTCGCTAGTGAGACTCCATGGCATTGGGAAGATACCCGACAGCAGGATGAATAAAGAAAGGGTCAATGAGATGTGCCAATCCTGAGTACGGAGTGAAGATTTGATTGCGTCAATGGCAGCTGATTCTTTATTGTCAACCAGTCATGGTGAGCGTGTATAGCGATCACTATACCTCACTATACAAGGCCGCATGGTATACATACGATTGTAGATATTCGGCGCAAACCAAACGACCAATGAGCTGTTTGCCACTTGTCGCTAGGGTTATCCACTTTAGGAAAGTCAGCATTGATAATAGAATGTCATTAGAACCCGGATGAAGGAGAGGCCCCAGAATACACACCTTTCGCATAGGCGACCATTTCCTGGGATCATCCTGGAGTTCGATCGTCTCATGGACAGTGCCCACGTATCCATTTTCTTTGCAATAGCCTTGGGCTTCGGGTTGCTCCTCGATAGAAGATTCCTAAGGACCATGGGTTGGCCGAACATTATGTGAAGGGCTTTCATCGCGATTGGCCATTGCGACCAAGGGGTGACCAGGTGCGACTGGTTGTAATTGCCGGGGGAACAAGGTTGTTCAGCTGAATAGTCTTCGTGAACAGGCACGAGGGGGAAGCTTCCATACACCGAAACTCAGTACACCTTGGGTGAAATTAGTTTGTGGCACTTTGCGAGCACGCGGAATGGAGAGAAATTCGCGTCAAGTTACCATAGGGTGAGTCACTGACATGCCGATCGCTTGATACAGTATCTCTGTACTTACGGCATATAGGCGGGCTTTTCGATACACGAGTTATACCATTTGAAAAAGAAACAAAACAAGAGGAAGAAATATGCTACTTCCAATTTTAAATTTACAACCCGAAATGTACTCTGTAAGCGCTTACTGAAAATCTTCGTAGATTAGGGTTACGTGCCAAGCACTTGAAATCACGTCAGATCGATAGTATCTCTGCGACCCGTAGGCCGTGGAAGGATCCGATTGGCGCCGACTGCGGGATCCCCGCAGGTAGGGCGGAAGAGAAGCCTTGTCAGGCTGAGCCAAGACATCTAGCCTATTTTTACCCCAAGTGTTGTTGGTTACTGCGAAGTAAGCACTAATGTTTCCAATGTGGCGGGTAATGACTTCCCGATCTATATAATAGGCCTTCTTCCGCTCCATGGCAATGACCTCCTTGGGATGCGGATTCAACCGCAATGCCTTTTGCACAATCACTATGCCGGTCACTGTGATCACCCGGGACAACACGGGGAGATGTGTTTCGGGTACCTGCCACCCGCTGGGTCTAGGTTAGGGCTGGGTTACAACAACCAGGTAAACTGGTAGGTTGTGCCACTCTAATAGTTACCTAGACATTATATAATGGTATCTATCTAGCACAATAGTATATGTATCTCTAGACCTGTGTCTAATCTCTTCATCATCTATCATTATTTCTTCTACCTATACAACAGCCTTACGATTGTTAGTGTAGTCTCTGTGGATGGATCAGATACGGATTCTGCCACCAGTCTTATATATCTCATCCCATTTCTGCGCAAGGTGTTTGGGGCCCAGCTCCTCCTGGAGATACTCACAAGCGGCCTGGTTGGCTTTTTTGATAGTAGTCTTGGTTGCAACCAGAGCTGGATAGCACTCCGCCACTAGGGATTCAACAGTGTAATTTTCACACATCTCCGCCTTTACCTCATACCGTTTTACATGAATGACACAAGCAGATTCTCCGTGGCGGAGTTTAACCATATTAGACTTGGGACCGATGGGTCGGACAGTCAGCCATTGGACTAGAATTGATTGAATGTACCAGATACATGCTCGCCATGCAGGAGACATGGCTTCCTGAAGCTCCTCAAAAATGTCAACTGGAGGGCGTTTCTCATCACGATCAAGCCAGTCAAGGGGCACTTCATCCAGTGCCTCAACAACCTGCCCTTTTTGGGCCGGGCTCATTCCGTGGCGTGATGCGTCGCCAGGCCATCGAGAAAAGGCATATTCTAGCGCCAAAGCACGGGTATAATGATCAACAGCCTCAAGTTTTGCGAGAAATCCAACGTATCTTGGAGTTGGGCTATCTGCCAGCGAGGATGGTCGTCCAGCACTTCCGTTTGAATCAATATTTCAACCACCAGACCAGGGGATTAGCCTGGGTTGTTGCCTGGGCATCGGTGATCACCATGGCTCGCGACGCGGACCGACGCCTGTCCCTAAACACAGGTGAAATCAACTAACCTGAAGAGCTCTCACTAGGGGACTTCCTGAAATGCTGTTATGAGACGCTAAAAAATCTGTATAACAATCTCCTTAAATACTTCTATACCCTGATAGCAAAGGAGAACAGCTATCTTAGGGAGATTACTTCTCTTAAGAAGTTTCAGAATCTCTAGAATCCCTAAGACCCCTGGCTCTGCAACCTGCATCCAGAAGATAGAGAAAGAATTTACTAAAATAGTCGGTTAGTTAACTGTTAAGAACTCCCAGAATACTAAACTCTATGAGAAATAAGACTTATATTACAATACTTTCACCGCTTAACAGCTTAAGTATCGTTAATCTAAAATCAACTCTTGCCAGGAATCCTTACAATTAGAAAGCAGAAGTAAACCTGAAAAAGTTCCTGACTCTTCTGTCCTGACTATTGGCAAGAACCCTAAGTTCAAAGTCTGGTTAATAGAGATCTGTAACAAATTTAAAGCTAATGCAGACTTGCATGACACTGAAATTGCAAAAATAGTCTTACCTGATATTATGTATCTCTGGGCTAGCCTGTTAGCTGTTGAACGCCTTTCTACAAGAAGACACCATGAACCCTTACCAGTCCACTAATGAGATGCTTGACACCTTAACCCGAACTTTCCGTAACCCCCACTGTTAAATCAAGGCGCAAGCAGAGCTGCGTAACTTGATAATAAAAGTGGGAGATGATTGCCACGAATTCCTGGCGAAGTTCTTATACCTAGCGGGGAAAGCAGAGTTGTCTGAAAGCCAGTATAAGGTGGAGTTGAACCTGCGCCTTATCCGTGCGGTGCGTGAGATGAGTATCGCCTACCGCAGAAGTGATAAAATTTGATGAGCTCTGTACATTTGTGGGATCTGTTCTCCTGTCTTTAGATGAGATTGACAATGATATCAAGCGTCGCAAGGGACCGACCACCGGTAGAGAAACTATTAAGTTTAAGTTTGAATAAGGTGAGAGGAGCCTATGCTATCTTTATCGTACAAGCCTATCCTATCTTATTCACCTCACGTGCTTTTTAGAAACCAACCCAACGGGTGACTTGCCTTCCTGGCCCACTAGGTATCATTTTATAGAAAAGTTGCGAATCATCCGTCGGGAGAAATATTTCTCTTCTCCAGGTGCGTTATGACATCACTCAAGCTGTCATCTCTTTGGGCTTTGCTCTCTCAGCGTCAGACTTCTCTTCTGTCGTCTGGTCTGTCTTTTCCGCAGTTTCTTCCAGTGTTGCTGACGGCGACATATGTGGCACCTCAGTCTGGGACACCGTGCGCATAGCTTCAGGCCCAGCAGTCGTCGCTACCTTCTTGATCTCACCACCACCTGGGCACTTGCCGTCCTCAGCAGCCAGCTCGCTGTCAGGTTTCTTGGGAACATTCTTCCTCACGGTACGCCACTCCATGGCGAGAGCGCCTATAATGGATATACAAGTCATGATGAGTCCGACCTGGAAGCACACGCGCAGCGAGTCGTTATACGCCCTCAGAGCTGCGGTGTGGTCCTTAGCGGAAACAAGGCTGAGGATTTGGGTGGCGCCTGTGTTCTGGATCGTCTGAGGATTGATACCAGGAATGCTGGCAAGACGGTGGGTCAGCTGGTTGTCGAGCACGTTCTGACCGACGGAGGTGAAGACGGCGCCAAAGAGCTGCTGACCGAAGAACATGAGCGAGGCACCGATGGCGACGTCCTCGCGTGGCAGCACTGTCTGCGCGGCCATGTTAGGAGCCTGGGTGCATGAGCCGAGGCCGAAACCGTAGATGATCTGGAAGCCGATCCATTTCCCCTTTGTAGTGTCGACCTCCAGGGTAGTGAGCAGGCCGGCGCCGATCGCTGTGAGACAGACGCCGTAGATCATGAAGGGCGTGTAGTATCCGATGCGGGAGACTAGCTGACCGGTGAGGATGGATGCCACAACGAGGGGTATTATCATGGGAAGGAGGTGGATGCCGCTTTCGACAGGCGAGACGCTGTCGATGGCCTGGAACCAGAGGGGAAGGTAGTAGACTGGCGCTCTGGTATTAGCACGCGACCAAGCATTCCTTCCAAATGTCCTGTGCTTACCAAACATCATCATGTGGGCGCCGAGACAAGACGCCACCAAGAAGCCGGAGGCGATGCTGCGCTGGGTGATGATACGCGGTGGCACCGTGGCCTGCTCCGGTTTCCAGACCTGTATGAAGGAAAAGGCGACCAAAAGCACGAAGGCGAGCACAAGCAATGTAATGATACGGCCCTCATTCCACTAATTTGCGGTCAGCGCTACTAGCCTGAGATGAGAAGAGAATAATCACTGTCGAAGGAAATCCAGGCTCAATCTCACCGCATACGTAGTGCCGCCCCATTGTAGGGCCAGGCACAGGCAGATGACCCCAGGAACAACGGAGAGCATGCTCAGGGCGTTGAGCTGCCGCAGCTTTTCTTCCAAAGGTTTCTTAGTGTTGGGACGGTCAGGGACTTGGAGCAAGAAGAAAACACACGGCATGACTACTGCTCCCAAAGGAAGGTTAATATAAAAGCACCATCTCCAGGTGACGTGAGTGGTGAAGGCACCGCCGATTAGAGGGCCGGTCACCGAAGCGATCCCAAACACAGCACCAAAGAAACCCTGGTACTTGGGCCGCTTGTGAAGAGGAACACAGAAGACAATGACGACCATCATGCCAGAGAGAATTCCTCCGGCTCCCAGGCCGGCGATGGCTCTGCCCAGGATGAACGCGATCGAGTTCGGGGCCGCTCCGCAGATAGCCGAACCGACTTCGAACAGTGTGATGGATATCATGAAGGTTGATCTAATATCGAAGAAGGAGTATAGCTTTCCGAACATCAGTTGAAAGGCGCAGTTGGAGAGCAAATACGCCGTGCCGTACCAGCCAATATCGCCCGCTGAGTTGAACTCGTCGGTGATTTGGGGGATGGCGGTTGAGATGATGAGGCGATCCTGCAGGTGGGTTAGTTTACATATATGGATAAATGTATACATCCTCCATAAGCATACCAGTGACACTAGAAACATGCCAATAAAGATAGACATCATCAGCAGTGCGAGCTTCATGCCCGAAGGGTAGATAATGTCAGCCTCCTTGCCCTTGGCCTTGTAACTGGCCGGAGTCGTGCGAATCGCGGGCTTCTTGTCGCCATCTGGGGACATGGTGATTATTAAATGTAAGTTTTTTTGATTGACGAAAGACGACTTAATGGCATTTCAGAGCTCCCTGGCCAGAATTTAAAGGATTTGCGAAAGGTGGTTGAATTCTCCCATCGTGGCGTGTATGGACATCGCTTTTCGGGGCTCAAAAGTTATTTTTTCACTTCCGAACCCCGAGAAGCACCGAACACTCGTTCACCTCATGCGAACTCGCCCAAATCACTCCCCCTTCGATTCTCGCCCCCGAATGGTAAGGCTTAGTGATGGCTGAATCCTTGTTGCCGGGGGATTTCAAAAGCTACTCTTGCTTAACTTGTCGGCAGCGTAAGGTCAAATGCGATCGGCGCACGCCCTGCTCCAATTGTGTTAAGGCAGAGAAGCAATGTAGCTTTATTCCCCCCGTGCGAGGGAAGCGAAAAAGAACAAAACCTCCCCGAGAAGGTCTTCATGCTAAATTGAAACGATATGAAGAGCTGTTGAGATCGTATGGTGTAAAGGTTGAACCATCTGACGATTACTACAACTCCGAGTCAGAGACGGCTGATGCTGAAGTTGATGATGATGCTGAGCCTCCAACCAAAAGCCGCAGAGGCTCCTTCGAGCTTACTTAAAGAGACTAAACCAAAGCTCATCACACCAGGGGGAACGTCGAGATATTGATAGGTAAGTTTATGGCCCATTCCGTCCTAAGTGATAGCTTCTTAATGCTCTTAGTGCTCCTTGGACCAAATTAGGAGATGAAGTAAATGCTCCCTTTCCCTTCCTCGCTCTTTTTCTCTGACCATCATTTACTTAGTCTCAACACCTGGAGGTTGCCGACCCTGGTGAGCCAATGGATGAGTCGACAGTCCACGAAAGTGAGCTGTTCTTCCAACCGGAAGAGAACTATAAATTTGAGAATCTTGCAAGCCTCCACCCTTCTTTGCAGGTATTGCCAAAATCAAAGGAAATCTATAGTGATAGAGTGGACGCACTCATGAAAATCTAGCATCTTCCTACATTCTGGACCGCATTAATGAAAGGGCTGCAACATCCTCAAGACCTGTCCAAAAGCTTGGAGGTGGTGATGTTTGCTTTCTATCTTGCGACTATCAACACGCTGAAAGAATACGAGTGCCGAAATATATTTGGGCTCCCACAACCGGTCATGCATTCCCGCTATAGACTTGCAACTCGACAAGCTTTGGTAAATGCAGGATTCCTATCAACTTCTAGTCCAATGACTCTTCGGGCATATGCGATGTTCATGGTAAGCTGAAGTTATCAATCTCTTTTTTACTACAACAAAATAGATGTGTGTAAGGAACAGTTACCAATGTGACACAGTGTTTGTCTTATTAGGAGTCGCCATACGACTTGCACGCAAAATGGGACTCCACCGGGAAGGCACATCTCTTGGGCTATCTCCGTTTGAAACAGAAATGCGGAGGCGACTTTGGTGGCATCTAGTCCATGTGGACTTTCGCACAACCGAGGTACTGGGCACACGGCCATCTCTGGACCTCTCCAGTGGGGATGCCAAAATGCCTTTGAACGTCGATGATGAGGATCTCCACTCAGACATGGTCGATCTCCTGCCAGCGCTTAACGATATCACTTCAATCGCACTTTGTTTGATCAAATGCGAAATTCTCGAGACTTTGCGCAAATTCGCGACGGTGTGTCCGGGTGATGTGCGCTGGGAAATACTCCTTAGTCCGGATGTCTCGCTCGCCAAAAAGGACAGCGTCATAAGCCAGATTGAAGACCATTAGGAAAGGAGGTATCTGCGGTACTGCGACCCATCGAATCCGCTCCACACTTTCGTATCAATCATAATCTGATCGATCATCAATATGCCAGATGAATCTTTTTGCTCATAATCCACGACAATTTGCCAATAGCCCAGTCAAAGTTCCACAAAGCGAGCGCAGCATAGTGTTTTCAAACGCTTCGAAATTATTAGAATATCCCACATTAATGCAAGGTGGCGGCAACGGATTGCAAAAATACGTATGGCAGACCGGTACAAGTTATCTCTGGAATACAGTGCTCTACATGCTCATCGAAGCTCGACATCGTAAAACAGGGCCTGAAGTTGATCAGGTATGGCAATTGATTCGAGTGGCGTTCTCACACTACCCTCAGAATTTCGAGAAAACCACTGGAGCCGTGTACTCAGCACTGGGCAAATGGACACTTGAAGTTTGGGACGACTACGTTGCAGCTTCAAAGGCTGAAGGCCTGCCAGAACCACCACCGCTGGAATATATCAATGCGATCCGTCGCTGTCGAAGACCAGCCACCAGTTCACCATCCAGCACCAAAGATCGAGCAGCCGATTCTGGACCCGCCACTCGATATTCGTCTAGCTACAACCGAGTCCAACCTAGATATGAAGGAAGTCTCTCGGATTTCGGACCGTTTGAATCCTATGATTTTCCCAGTCTTATGCCTTTTGAGACGGACCCAAACGAATGGATACAGTGGGCGCAGTTGCTTGGAGAGCAGGGCAGCTTGGCTCAAATTTTACAGTTTGCAATAAATCTAGGAATAGAGTCAACAATAAGGTGCGTTTCTCCTCAAAAGCTTTACGGACACTACGTCCTTAAAGTCTGAAAATTTAGCCGAAAGCCTGCTTCTAGATAGCAGCCTGAATGGGTTATGCATCGTATATTACTATATATTCTCTCTGTTATTTTCCGATTCATGCACTTTCAGTACCATGGCTTTCATCAGTGTCATAGCCCTAATAACCAAAATATATATCGCTATATATATTATTGCCATCGATTACGGGGACGATAAAGTTTAACCTCGGATACACGAAATACTCAGCCTATGTAGGAGTGCTATACATATACACTCGTCCAACTAGAAGAAAGCCAAATATTTTTGAGCGCTGACGAGTTATGGTTCCATAGTCCATATTGTGGCGTAACAATAGCGCTATCAAAAGAAACAGCTTTATACAACGAATATCCCTCTCCTGGATAGAAACATATACAAGATTCCCTCCGACTGACTAGTCAATTCTATGAAAAGCCTACCGCTCGCTACAACGCACTCACACTTGAACTGCGGCGCAAACTATTCCCTAGGCCAACCAGGTTTATATTTAACCACTAAAGAAACAACAAGCCCGTTACTTGCACAAAGCCTTTTAGTCACCACCAATCTGCCCACACTATCCCTAACTAAGTCTATTATTCCCAAAAGCGCGACCATTTCCATCTCGCCCTCATTAGTCAACTGGAGCAAGGCCAGATCCCTTGAGCGGGCCATGGCTTCGACCTCGGGATGGGGGAGACTACCCGGTTTAGGAAGTAGACGAGCCGTTAATAAAAGCATAATACCGTGGCGCGCGCAGAGAACATCCCGATGAACTGCCAGCTCGGTATGTACTGCACCCGGGGAGGATGGAGGGAGATGGAGTATATACACAGCTGCATCAGAGGCGGTTTGCCTGTTACCGAGGGTGCAGTTGGTGACCGTGATTCGAGAGTTGGAGTTCTCTGGTTCCTGATAATATAAGATGGCGGTTGCTGGGTCGCTGATCTACACGATGAAGTTGAGGGAAGGGTATAGATTTGCGAGGCATTGGGTGATAGATGTTGACAGTGACTGAGCGTCAACCTGTAGTGCAATAGTCAGCTAGCAATATATAGTACATACACACATATTCTATTTCCAGGGGCATGCAGACTTGTTTCAGAAATACCTCCACTATTCATGCATCTGGCACGTTGCTGATTTTAGACCAGCTTAGCTGCATGAGAACGTCCGCCACGTCATCGGCCGTATACAACCCCCCAACATGGTGAAGATAAGCAGACCACTGGCGATTCAGCTTCGGCTGTTGCTCGCGTGTTGCGTGGAATGGCTTGGCTGTGAGGAGGCCAAGATCGTAGGGTCTCTCACTGGGCTAATGAGGAACCCCTTGCTGCTTAGCGGCTTGGATCATTTGCAAAGTAGCGGAGCCGCGGACTCCGAGAGAAACATGGCGGCGTCAAGCAACGAGGGATTCGAAAGAAAAGGAGGCTGACAAGGGCGTACGTGCCACATGAGAAGGTTGTAGTTCGTGAAGGAAGCCAGCCGTAGCTGTTAGTCGAATGATGCGGGCTAGAGTTGTTTGTGGAACACCTGTTAGATCGGCTATGTCCTTAATTGGGACGCTGCGGATCAGTGGTATGCAGGCGAGAATTTGGAACTCGCGTAACCATCGCAGGCATGCGAGGATTTCACTCTGGGGTGCAAGATTAGCTTTGATCTCTTGTCTAGTTGGTGTTTAGTTGGGAGTAAGACAACCCTGGCTTGCAAGATATTGGAGGAAGTCTTGTTGGTCCACAAATCAAGGTCCTGATTTTAGAAACGATGGATAGGATGTGTGCTTTGGCTCGCTGGACTTCTTCTGAGTCCAATGGTGGCTCATGGCTGGAAGTTTGCTGGATGTTGGCACTTCGAGAATAACCCACGAGGCTTGTTATGGCCGTGGCGAGGTCGCTGCTATAGTGTTGTAGTTGGACCACGTTATTCATCGCAGCAAATACAATCCGATTTGTTTCAGAGACAGAGGCAGGGAGGACGGCAGAACCCGAGCAGATGTTCTCATGTGTTACTGCTGGGGTTGTATGGTCTCAAGACTACCAGGTGTGTTTCGGTTTGTCGCTGCCCTCCCACGTCTTTATATCGGCAGAAATATCCCGTAGCAGATTGTGCCTAAGCAAACGCTCCTACTCAATCACAGTACATATACTAGATGCACCCCTGCATAAGTACTCATGCTTACGATAGTGCAGATCATGGGTACACTTTCAAAGCCAGCCCGAGCGGTGGCATGCATTCACCAATGTAGAGGCATTACTTCGGACTTCTCGTTAAGAAATGTATATCCAGCGTACAAGCTCCCTTTGATGGTTTTTACAGTACACCTTTACGCTTCAGATAGTTCGCAGCTGATGTGAGATAAATAGAAAGTCACCTTCTACACAACCATTAGACAATGAACCTTGTCTCACACCAACCTCTGATATTCCCTTCACAACTAACCAGTTCTAGCGCTCATATATCTCAGGGCCAGAAGCTGCATGTACGACAACAAGTTCTCGTAAAGGGCATACGGGTGATTACCCTTTTAGGAAGTGATCCTCTCAGCTCGAATTGGCTGAAGTGCCCAGGATACTTCTACCATAGATTCTTTAGTTGCCTGACCTCGTGTTATGCAGGGTAAACACACACAACGTTGTCATTGGTTTCATCAACTTTACTTTATGGTGGGTCCGAACCTCCTGAACTAACTATTTATTCCGTCGGGCGTGTTTTCTATAGTGGGGGCGGCCTACAGCTTGTTCGGCCTAAGCCTCTGCTAGTATCTTGATAGCAGCGCAGGTTATTGCTTGGCTGTGTCGTGGTTACGAGCTTTTGGCTTCTGCCTGCTTATCTTTAGGGGCTAACTGGAGAACCACATTAACCAGGCTAAAAGTAAGAATACAGTAAAGTCCACAGGCACTAGGATGTAAACCGCAAGGCTAAAGGGTCTATACTCCCGTGCAATCTATTCTTTCCTTTTCTTCTTTCTTTTTTCCGTTACTTGCGGGGGGATTTACTCGGCGCAGAATATCAACTACCAATCCAGAAAGGCGTTGGGCGAGGGGGGAGTAAGCAGCCATGAGAAACGGGAACTACACTGCAACCATGCCCTATGTAGGAAGTATTATCTATCGTGTTGGGGGCTAGATATCTGTAGGTGTTCTGCATCGATGGTCGTATTCGGGTGGGGTGGTGGGCATATTTTACGAAAGGGCTCATTATCCGAAATATAAGCTTCATTGGTTTTGAATTTATCTGGGGTTGCAATGGTTTCTTTGGTGTGCAACTGCTTACGGCACCGATTGTGGTATATTGTCCGGAGGATTGGTGCCCTGTTTGCCACCTGCAGGTCTGATGGAGGTAAGCTTACGGGTGAGTATCACTCAGATACATCTGACCCTAACTGGTGTGTGGTTCGTTTGTCTATAAATTTACGAGGTTTAGATCGAATTCAAGGCGTGCCCCGCAGTGGTTCAAGATAATGCCTGCTTCTCTGACACAGTGAACACGAAAGCGAATCTTCAATCCAGCCTAACAGTGGTGTGACTGTATATTGACTTTAAGTTCATCCGATGTGGGAGATAAATACACCGGAAGTGCCTGACCTGGTCAATGCTTGGGTTAAAAATGATGTCGATGCAATATCGTTGGTGAGGCATGTACTAGTTCTTTTCATGTCTTGAGGTACTCAATTTTTGTAGGAACGGAAATTTTATCATTACTCTCGTTTTCATTCGTTCGGTAGTCAGTAGTCTAAGTCAATATACATTGATTCGGCTTATTTATGCAGTTATATTTGTCTAAACAAGACATAGATGCCATTGAGACAACGCAATAGCCATAAGAAGCTTGCTTGAGGCCGAGCTTGCGTCGGGACTTCTCCGTTGGCGAGCAGCAGAGAGGTAAGAGGTTTTGTCACTAAGGTCCTTTTCACGGAGCCTCCGTCAGGGACCATATTAACAAACATGCTTCGCCCGGATATAGTCTGATCCGGATCAAGTACCATGCTAGATTCAATATCCGGCACAAAAGTCCGAAGGACACCATACTCACAGACACCAACACACCGTAAATCAGGTTCCACAGCGTCGAAGCTGCGCGACAGTTGCCACGCCTTTGCATCGTCCAAAGTTAGGTGCCCAAAGGTGAAACCAACATGCCCGCGATGCAAAAAACGGGGCATCCCGTGTGAATATTTTGTTACAAAACGTCCACGGCGCAAGCGACACAATAGCCAGGGTAGAAACAGTACTGGAACCTGTAATGCGACTAGCATCGCAAGTCTTACCCTCGCAGATAGACAAGGCACAGACTTCTCCACAGGTAGCCAGTCCTTGGCCCCTCCCGACCTAAGCCCGTGCTACCTGGAGCCTAGCCATGTGTCGGCGACCGCTGAATCCTCCGCTTACATGGACGTCTTCGCCGACCTGTTGACGCCTCTAGAACACTCTCTGTCACCTGGGCTCTGTGGGACGCGTAACCACATTAATGACTTTCTTGCGCAGCCCGTAGACTTTTTGGAACTCTAATCGTTGGACGCGAACTTGTCAAAATTCGCCCAAGGCCATCACGACGACGCAGAGCTCCTGTTGTCAGAGGATATCGATCCAAACCCTTTTTCTGGAAAATCCCCACACGGCTATATGATCCTGTCTAAAGCCTACTCTCCGACCCCCCGATAGACAAGTTCGCTCCACTTGCGGCGATAACGCCGGCGGCGCATGGGAGTTAGGGCCGACGTGCGGTTGTATGATACAAGCGCTGGACCTCATGAATAAGCTCTTCTCAGCTGAATCACCGTTTCCTGCCTCTTTACCAACCAGTCCGCACCATGGCGCTACAAGGTCAAATATCACAGTCTGCAACAGCAATCCCACTACGCAAACAGTGGTTGCGCAGAACAAGCAGTTTATAGAAGACATCAACAGTATGCTACAATGTCCATGCGCAGCAACCGGATACCTGAAGGCTATGCTATCAATTATCGTGTTTAAGATACTAGTGCGATATGCCTCCGCGGTGCGACAAATCAGGAGACCAAGCTTCGAAGGTGATAGCACGTTAAGCAGCCACCGGAGGAAAACGCCTACAAAAGAGCAGATGCGACCATCTGGCAGCTACTGCAGCTCTCACGACGACGAAGGAACCCGGAGGATGACTGCACAGCCGATCCCCAGCGAGCTGTGTCGCGTACAGGGCTTGGTAAACCAGTTTGCCCTACGGCTCAATTCTTATAGAGTAGGGGAAATGAAGCATTCTCTAGTAGCACCAAATACGACGACTTTCTCGGGTACTTCTTTGAGCGTTGTGGGGGCTGATTTGCGCGAGTGTCTCATTTCTCTGTCCTCAGAAATCATCAATATGCTACGACATAGTTAGAGTGTTACAATATATATTACTTCAATGGCGCATGCGTCATATGGCTTCAGGTTTTTATAATAACCTTTATCCATTTATTCTACCCAGGAGCTTATATACGGCGTTTTGTTTCTATATTGTATGTATAATGGAAGCTGTCTGGATATTTCTAGGCACCGTGTTTAGCTACTGCTACACAAAAGTATTTACTCGAGATATTCCTAACCCCCAGTACTTTCTGATTCTACAGAAAAAGCTTAAATGGCGCCTAATATAGAAGTAAATATAGGTTCGTGGCTAACCGCTCTAGCGTATTTTTATGAGCCCTTGTATTGAGACAGTATGTGATAAGAAGCGTAACGGATGCTAGTATAATCAATACTTCATACCTATTAGCAATCCTTCACTAAGCCTAGCAAACAACTTCATAAACAAGGAATCATTCAAGCCGTACAAATTGTCAGACATAATCTAGAACGCCCGAACAGATGAGAAGCCTGACTGAGCCTCGGAAGGGTCTGCCATACTCGGGCTATTCGGGGCAATTGGTTTCTGGACCGATGGCCGAGCATCTATGTACCGGAACCCTACCCCATGTACTACATTCCGCAAGCTGAGGTCAAGCGGAAGGCGAAGAGAGCCTCCCTCGCACACTTTTATTTACACAGCAAACAAGAGATATATAGTCAAAACATCGTAGCATTTACTCTTCAAACCAATAAGCCAGATTATAATTTTGAAGTCGAGACAAGCAGCTGTACGACCAAGATGGCTATCACCACCGAGTCCAAGACCGAACTAAAAGTCGTGCTCGGCACTATGACGCTGAGCAAAGAAGGTGAATACCTATCTAGATACAATACCCCAATCATTTCCCACGCCTCGATACCAAGCTAAATAATCACTGAATCTAATAACCCTCACAGCCCGCGTGCACGACCCCAATGACTGCGCCACTATGTTGGACGCGTTCCAGAAGCACGGGTACAACGAGATCGACTCCGCGCGCGTGTACGGCGTGGCTCACAGGGCATGGTTGTGGGCACTAAGCTCAGTCCGCACCGGTTCGGGCCGCCCAAGCCTGGTAAAAGGTTTTACACACATAAGAAAGATGATCTCAAGCCTGGACTCCTGGAGAGTTTGCAGGCGTTGCAGGGTGAAAAGATAGACTTGTGGTATCTGCATGCGCGGGACGTAAGCACTTTCTGGATCCCATTCAATGCTACTGTTAACTCTGAACTATCACAGCACAACACGTCATACGCAGAAGCCCTAGAAGTGGTCAACGAACTCTACAAAGCGAGCTATTTCCACCATTTCGGAATAAGCAACTACTCAGTCTGGGAAGTCGCCCAAATCTGCGAACTTTACGAGCGCAGCGGTTGGAAAAAGCCAGACGTCTATCAGGGCTGCTATCACGCGCTCCAGCGCTCCGTCGAGCCAGAGCTCTTCCCCTGCCTCCGACAGTACGGGATCGCCTTTTACTCATCCAGCCCCGTCGCCGGTGGATGTGCTCACGGACAAGTACCAGCGTGCCACTGGCGAACATGAGGATGGCAGTCAGTTTGATCCGAAGAAGATGCAGAGGGCGAATTCCGCCGGCGGTACTGGAATGAGGCGTATTTTAGTGCGCTGGATGTGATTCGGCCGGTGGCACATAAGCATGGGATCACGACGGCTGAGGCGGCGGTTAGGTGGGCGAATTACCCTAGCTCAATGAAGAAGGAGTATAGTGATGTGGTGATTACTGGGGCGAGTAGTGCGGTGCAGTTGGAGGAGAATTTGACGAATTTGGAGAAGGGGCCGTTGCCGCTGGAGCTGGTCAAGGCGTTTGATGAGGGTTGGGCAATTGTGACGGGGGTTTGCGGGCCGTATTTTCAGTGGTTATCCGGCTTACGGATCAAATTTAAGTTTTTGATTGATTGCTTGCTCTAAATGGCGGCTCTTACTTTAAAAATCAGGCTCAATGGCGTTATTTCCGTGTAATATTTGTCGGACAGCCGCCTAGATTAGCCTATCAGATAACTGACGTCTGATCTAATTTGGACAGATCACTGCGGACTTTTGAGGATATATGACTGACAAATGTCTTATTATAATATCATCTGTATGCGAAAACGAGCTGGTGGTATTCATGTCGTATTATTAGGCCATAATAGCCTTCGTAACTTCACTTGCACGACTATTAACGACTACCTCAAATGAGAGCAGAAGCTAAACCCTGTCTATCTAGCACACAGGGCTTTCTTGATAAATCCACGAGCATTGCTGGGTAGAATAATAGTGAGTAGAGTTACTTTGATTATGTTCTAGGGATTCTTTAGGTCTACAATTGAGGCCGGGTTAAACCCCATCTTGAAGCTCAAATTCAATCAAGAAAAAATTACGCTTGGGCTGCAAGAGATGATAAGAGTACTTCTAAAATCCCCCTGAATACTATTTTCCGTCGTTGTACCCTCTAATACGACATAAATGCAGGTAGAATTTCAAATGCACGAGATGTCGTGCCTTCGTATGTGTAGCGGGCTAAGTCCGGAGAAGGCTCGGCCTACATTTTCGACTAATGAATCAATATCCATCCTAGGCTAATGCTGGTGAGATTTACGCGATCGACGAACTAACTTTATATTGTGCCCGATCCCCGTAATGCGAGTGGTTCGGGATGATATGTATGCACCGACGTGCTCCTCGGTTCATTGGACAATTTGATTTGTGAAGTAGTAGTTAGTATAAGCGCGAACTCACTGAAGTGTCTGTGGATATGTCCCGAGTATACTGAGCAGTAAGGGCACGAATAGTGGAGCGCACACCCATGAGTATATGAAGTATATGAGCCATAGAATCAACCCATTCTGGGTAATTTGTAGTGCGTTTCGAGATCCAGCTTTCAACATGGACTGCACTAACACAACGTCGAATCAACTCCCGCTGAAGGTAGAAGTCAATTAGTAGTTTTGGTGTGATTGGAGTGTAGTAACTAGTACTTAAAAGACGGGAAGGAGGCTTTTCCATGCCGATCCTCCCCTACACCCTAAAAAGTAGCACCATCAGCACCGCCGAGGCTCTCCTATTATTGAAGCATCTTCATTTATCACTTTTCGGTTAATGAACAATTCCTGAGCATAGTCTGTGTGTGTGTGGCATACATGGCCCGGCTAAGCCGTCTGCAATTTTTGGGAGTGGCCATAACTTTCCATCTGCTCTATGTCTGTTCCACTTTCGATGTTTACTTTGTGAGCCCCGTCGTGGGGGGCATGAAGGCCCACCGTGTCCAGACTTCCGGACCTCCTCCCGCTCGACGCGTTGTGCTCTTTGTCGGTAGGCAGCCACCCCATACCTTTTCCCAGTCATTTTGCTTAAAAAAATATAAAAAATAAAATAAAAAATAAAATAAAAAATAAAATAAAAAATAAAATAAAAAATAAAATAAAAAATAAAATAAGAAATAAAATAAGAAATAAAAATAAAAATAAAAAATAAAAATAAAATAAAATAAAGGAACCGGCTGTTCTACTGTTTGTGTTGGCTGCCCACTAGCTGATGGTCTTCGCGCGGATAAGACTTTCCAACAATTCCCTGACCCGTCCCCAGATGCGCCCACGAATGAGACGGCCCAAATACTACGCCACTTGTCAGAGCCTATGGGAGCCTAAGGGAGCAACCACGTGACCTGACCACAACACCAAGGAATCTCTGTATGATAGATTTAGACCTTAAGACAATCAATCCCATACACGTGAGCTACACCAGCTCCATCACCACTTGACCCCCTTTCTGCGCTCACGAGTGTTGGAATATGGTACCTTCGGAGTCTCCCACACACGAGTGCCAACCGAGTCGCGCCCAGGCCATGTGGCCCTTCTCGCGGGCCTCTACGAGGATGTCTCCGCCGTGACCACGGGCTGGAAGCTGAACCCAGTGGGTTTCGATAGTGTACTGAATCGCAGGCGGCATACATGGAGCTGGGGGAGCCCGGATATCCTACCCATGTTTGCCGAGGGAGCAGACCCGGGGCGCGTGGATACATATATGTACAGCGCGGATGCGGAAGATTTCAGCAAGGATGCCACTGAATTGGACCGCTGGGTTTTCGACGGCGTCAAGCGCTTCTTTTCTTCAGCGGCGGAGGATGGAGAATTGGAAGCAGCGCTGAGACAGGATCAAAATATCTTCTTTCTTCATCTCCTTGGCTTGGATACGTCGGGCCACTCCTACCGTCCCTATTCTCGCGAATACCTGTACAATGTCCAGGTCGTGGATCAAGGGGTGCGGGAGATGACTGCTCTATTCGAGGCCTTTTTTGCAGACGATCAAACGGCCTTCATATTTACCGCCGACCATGGCATGAGTGACTGAGGCAGCCACGGAGACGGACATCCGGATAATACACGAACGCCGCTTATCGCATGGGGCGGGGGCGTGTCTTGTCCGAAAACAGGGGCCCATCGGTAGTGTCGCGTGTGGGCACGATGGTTTCTCCGCTGATTGGCATCTGGACCATGTCCAGAGGAATGATGTTGCCCAAGCTGATATTGCTGTCCTAATAGCATACCTGGCGGGAATCCCGTTTCCAGTCAATTCGGTTGGTCAGCTTCCTTTGTCATATATTGATGCGGACAAGTCAGGCCACGCGGAGGCGATGCTTGTAAATACCCAGGAGATTTTAGAGATGTATCGAGCTAAGGAGCATCTTACAATGGCCAGGAAGCTCTGGTATATACCTTTCGCGGGGCTGACTGACAATCGAGACCAGACAATAAGCCAAGAGGAGATAATTAGTCGGATCCGCGCAGCAATTGACCAGGGTAATCCTGAGAAGGCAATCCAAGACTTCTAGAAATTGATCAATCTGACTTTCCAGGGCCTGCGCTACTTACAGACCTATGACTGGCTTTTCCTTCGAGCTCTGATCAGTGTGGGTTATTTGGGGTGGATAGCGATGAGAATGTCCAGCTCAACCGCTCCACTGTTAAGGTATCGGTGTTAGTAATTATCTCTATTGTTCTTCTGGCACTTCTGTATCGACAGAGTTCCCCTTATCAATACTACGCTTACGCCACGTTCCCGATTCTCTTTTGGGTAGACGTGCTGGCGTACCGGGAGTCCTGGATCCGAGTTGTTAGGACGAACTCCAAGCAATTTTCCGCCAGCAATGTGACTACAGGCGCTGTGGGTGGATTGGCGCTTGGCCTTCTTCTGGAAGCGATCGTATGTTTTAACAGCCTGTTGGTGCCGCGGTACAATCCACAGACAGCTCACTGCAAGTAGGTCCAAAGCTTTCACGACCGAACGATTTACACGCTGGTCTATCTTCTCGCCATCTTCTGGCCGGTATTATACGGCGCGGAATTTATTCTGGCCAATTGGTTCCTATGTTTGGCATGGGCGCTCCAATGTGCCTCCATGAGCATATTCACACTTCTTCCTGCAAACAAAACAGAGGACACTACTCTGATGTATGTTCAGCCCGCGGCGTCGGTGCGGTCCAAAGTCTCCCAGCTAATACATAGAACGGCACCCTGGGCGGTCTACTCATATTTGCATTCGGTGTGTGGCATCTAATGTGCGAGACGAAGATCCTCAACCGAGCATCCTCGGGGCGTGAAACCGTTGCGACCGACCGAATCTCGAAAGTGCTTCTGACATTGCAGGTTGGACACTCCGGGGAAAACCTTACTCTCTGATCATACTGATAATCGCGACTAGGTTGGATTAGTACCTCTGGCCCTTCTTGTTACACTTTCTGCTGCAGAATCTTTACGGTCTAAGGAAGGACGCCCGCGTCTTACGCAGATACTGGGCTGGGCAATCCTTGGTTAGTGCCTGACCTAATTCTCTGGAAGACAACCACTTGTACTTACACGAAAGTCTCCTAAATAGTGACCTCGTTTACGCCCCTATTCTTTTACCCTCGAACCGGAACCCACCGTCTGGTAGTGATCTTCTTCGCCTTTGCCCACTATTTATCCTTCTTACCATCTCCTACGAGGGTCTCTTCTACTGCTGCATAAGCGGCATGGCACGCTCTTCACCTGGGTGCAGCTAGAGTCCCGAGTCTTCCAGTTCCACCAGCTCCCTCCTATCAGCAGCAGCAGCAAAGAAAGCAATCCCCCCTTCCAAGTCCGATCCCTCTATCTCTCCGATGCCCGCATCGCTCTCTTCTTCCTTTACCTCTCCCACTCCGCATTCTTCAGCACCGGCAACATCGCCTCCATCTCCTCCTTCTCCCTCGATGCTGTCCTACGCCTGATCCCTGTCTTCGAGCCATTCAGTCAATCTGCCTTGCTGATCCTCAAGATCCTGGCGCCCTTTGTCCTTGTCTCGGTCAACCTGGGCATCTTGACCCGCTCGTTGCGGTTGCGGCCCGGTGCGCTTTTTGTGTTAGTCGTCGCCGCGAGCGACTATCTGACGCTACGGTTTTTCTGGCGTGTGCGGGATGAGGGCTCGTGGTTGGAGATTGGGGAGAGTATTACAGTCTTTGTGCTGGCGTCGTTGCTGTGTGGGTTTGTGGCAGGGCTGGAGATGATTGGGGTGGGGGTTGTTGGGGGGCTGCCGGGGGGTGGGGTTGATGGTGTCGATGGTGTTGTTTCTGCCGGTGAGGAGATTGAGAAGCGGAAGGTTTTGTGAAGCTCTCTTTATGGGTGGTGTAGAAATGTGGTATCATGGACGCTTGAATTCGGTATGTGTAGAGATATTAGTGTATGGACGGAAAGGAATAGCATGCTGCATAGTTATTGTGTAATCTGTGTCCTCGTCGGTTACGATCCCATTGCTAATTGAAATCATCTGGAACGTGCAACTACAAGTTTGTGTATACTTTAGTAGGTAAATCGACTTCCGGGGAGGATTCCTACCCTGAAAGAAAGATCTAGTCATCGTGCTGTATCCATACACTGGTTGCACTTCCAAATAGGACCTTCTCACTCTGGAGATGGGAGTCGGCGTTGATGTTCTGAATTTGATTTGATGGCAGCAGCCCAGTTCTGCCAGTACTCAGTTCTTATATCGTTACCATATGTCTGCATTTTATGCATTCATCTGCTCACTAACCTGTTGAGATCTTTACGCAAGCTTTAAGGCCTGTTGTTATTCCGCCTCTACCAATGAGAGAACATTATATACTGCGCGATCTCAAAAGTTTCGAATCCCTCGACTGCGATTCCACAACTTGCAAACTATACAATTCGACAGCAAAATCCCCGCAACCCTGCGGGACTGTTCCTCCGCAGTGTATCTATCATGGCAACCTCTCTCGAATCGCTATGGTTCACCCGGCCGCCGACCAAAGTCTCGACTTAAGTACAGATCTGTCCCGCGCAAATTGGCGAATAGGATTGCTGTCACTCCATCACTGAATTATTTCTAGAATAGACCTAGACGTAAGAACTTGTAATAGAAAGGCTCTATATCCACCGAGTCGCCAGAAGCTCTAAAGAGTATTCCAAGGATGTTAGTGATGTAAGACTTCGTATGACTTGTCTCTCCTTTTTAATCGGCGGAATCCTAAAACAGGGCCGCATACATTAGATTTCTACATCGTGAACCTCGCGTTCCTGCGAGGGCGTCTTCGTAAGTTCTATTAGCTGTTTTAATGACGTTGTCAGTCGCTGCAAGGTATGCTGGAGCGACTCGGCATCCATAAGCTGATACGTCAGGTTCTCTCTGCTTGCACCAAGTGCTATTTCGTCCATTCGAAGACACAAGACCTTGACGGCGGACTCGTACGCGGCGAGGATTCTCCGTGTTAGCACGCCCTTAATGAGACGAGCATCTGCCTCGGGTACCTTCCAATTGCCAAACAGGATTGCAGGTGAGTTTTGAGAGGATTTTTTCATGGTGTATTCCACTCGCATCCAGTTCAGTACTGTTTGCAACACTGTCATAAGCAGCAGGAGTACTTTGGAATCCAACCGACAGGAGTAGCACCCCAGTATCCTCCGAGTGCAGCCTAAGACTGTGTCAGCCTTGGAGAGGGTCACTTCCAGATCGATGATATTGTCCGGCTGCCGCTCCATCAAGTTCAGATTGCTGAGATGCTCCATGAGTCTCCAGAAGCAATTGAATGTGCAGGTCTGTCCCTTATGATTCCCTCCCTCATCTGCTTGGGGTTTTAGCTGCGCGCTGGACTTTGGGTCTCCGCACCCTTCCGGGTAAACATGGTCAGGACCGCCATGCGTAAACCCAGAACGCGGCTGCCTCTCGGCCCCCGTGCCCGCTATCAACCTGTCCCAATCCGCATCAATCCAATTCTCCTCGAAGTCCATCGCAAACTGGGTCCCAACGTGCGATGAGGACTCGTCATCGTTGGTAGCCGTGCTGACCCGATCGATCGGAGGCGGTAAAGGACCTACTTCAGTTTTCGTCAGCGCAGGGATAAGAATGATGAGGGGGTTGAAATATGACAGCCTCCTCCCCCCCCCCCCCTCTCCTTTCAAGAGGCTTACCGTTCGTAGCCCATAGGTCTCTTGCAGGCAACTGATTCGACGAAATTGTCTGTGGGAACGCATGTTAGCCACATGACGTATACTTCCAATCTTACCTAGATGGGGTACCCAAGTCAGCTCTCCTTTCAAAAACCGTGACTCACTGACCGATGAGAAGCCCGGATTGGGGGTGTATGCACCGGGCAGGGTATTCTCATTGGCTTTAAATGCCAACTCTAGATCGTCCCAGGCTGTATGCGATTGTAATTCGGCCTCGCTGGGAAGATTCAGTGCCGACTGTGCCTGCGGCACGAGCGAGCCGGATGTGTTGACATTCTTACGGGTGGCTGATGCCTGCTTCTCGAGCGTCTTCTTATTGCGACTACCTTTCGGTTTTCCCAATTTAGCCATGTAGCTATATTGACAATCGACATCGCTGTGCCCCGAGAGCAATTAGTCCTTCACTGCTGCCCTTCATATCATTCGAGAATCTCTTTGGGGGCATTTGGGGGGGGGGGGGGTGAACGAACGAGTCTTGACATCTTTTACAAGGGTCTCCCCCAACACATCGTACCTTTGCCTTGTGGCATGAGTCACACGCTAAGCGTAGCTTTCTCATCAAGTGGCCTTCCCGTAGATGATACGCGGATAGCGAGGTCGATTCCATTGCGTAGACTCGCAGATGAGAAGGAAGTTGCAAACGTCGGGCATCAGGGTGACGCACCGCAACATGCCGCACTTATGAATTGAGCCCTATGCCACCCTCAATCGGTGTTTCTCCTCGATAAGCGATGACGTTGATCAGTAAACTCAGTCGCGAGGAAGACCGACCAGAACACTACGGTTTTATCTATCATTAACTCTGATGTAAGCTACCACTGCAAGATCAAAACAAGATTGCGGGGTCTGGAGCCAATGAACAAACAACCCCAACCCCCCCACGTAGTTAAATGATCCAAACCGCAGTGTGGGAGCTTTTTCTTTCTTTTATTTATATACTTTTATCCGAGTCCCCCAAATCAGGGAGATTTGTTTCATGATTTAAGGCCCACACGCGGGATTTGGTAATCGTGAAGTTTGATAATCATTTTCTCCCGTGATCTCCTACCCTAATATCCAAGTGGCAAGGTAGATGTGCCGTTGACGAAGGCAGAAGACCGATTCGTCAGGGCAGGCAACCATACCCAACCTTTGCCCAGTAATGTTTTACTGACTTTAGCCAGGACAGTGGTGCCAGAGTCTAGTATTTGATTAACTATACTTACCCCCTCGTCCACCAACAGTCATGCCAAGCTGCCACAGCCAGGCACTGTGGGCCAGTAGTACTGTACTAATGCAATAATACACTGTCTTCGATAGAATTTCCGTGTTATTTAAGTTATTTACCGTGGTGTAATTGGAATACAGACAAAATATACATATTAATCTCCTCATCCCATGAATATCCATGATGGGTGAAGGCAGTGGGTATATGTAAACAGTCTTCAGTCAACGACAACCCCAAATATAACATCCTGTTTGCATAAGAGAAGCCTGGATATACAAGAGTGTACAGCTTATCACAAGATGGGTCCTGATTTAGTGTTTCGCACTCACCTATATCTCTACTACGACAGGTGCCTTCTAGTGCGTAAGCACAAGAGTAACAACTTTGGGGGCCGCTAGGAGCTGCCTTCGCCACTTCCTGTGTAGGCGAGTTATGGAGCTGTGCAACAAATGATATTGGAAAACTGGAGAAACATCAGCAGGTTTGAGAGGATCTAATGAATACTCCACTGACCTTCTCGAGCTGCCTGCCTCTCGAAGTATGGAGGTCGCTGCAGGTGGCCCAAAGCGTCCAATAACCCCACAAATCTCAGAAACAATATCACCAGTCCTATCTGGTTGTCTTATGTGGTGGAGCGGGGATCCATACGGGATTCTAGCTCAACAGGATAAACGGTATTTATTTAGGGCCTAGTTGACTAGTCACTCTTAGCATATTCAAACCCTTAATAAACATAGGGCATCCACAATTCCCTGAGCTCTGTCTCACTTGATATGAGGCCCCCTAGTGAGTAGCAGTCTATAGCACGTGCCTCTGCAGGACAAGGCTTCGGGGAGGGGGCGGCTTGCTCCATAGTAGTGGATCTGTCATGCAATGGCTGATGACGACCAATGAATCGGCGAAACACGGGCGCATATGTGACACTAACGGAGGACCCATATCCCATGCCTGAGAGCATGTCGCCAAGGGAGATATACATACTCGGTACGTATAGTATGCCTGATGGACATGCCCGACCCTAGGGGAAGAGTATGGCTCCGTATGTCAAAGGACATACTCGGCCATGATGACGATAGATATAATGAGGACTGTCATTACGTGTACTTCCATTGATCTTACTGTCTCTTATTGACAGAGCATAAACTAGCCTACCTTTCAACCTAATATTGTTCTTGCATCTTCCCCTCTCGAGTGTATCCAGAATATCCATATCACCCCAATCTTGTGAAGGATCGGAAGGTCTTATCTGACAGTATCGTGCTTGATTGCGCGGCTTATGGCACCAAAAGGCTATCACAATTATTTTTTGTTCTTTGTGGAGATGATATCTCAAAACCTAGCGCGCATGGTGGATAGAAATGATCGGCTTTCACTCTCCCCACTTGTCCAAACCTATCCTGCCATCGGGCAGGGCAACGGTGTATTTATACTCGACTCAGGACCAATGGGCAGAGACGAAGGGCTAATCCTGGGACCAACAGTAACGTAAGTGGTGACGTTTCCTGCCATGAAACCTGGCATGTTTGATGTAATTGGTTAAATGAAATGCACCGTGAGATTTCTTACCCAACTGGGAAAATACCCCTGCGCACGGGGAAAATCCTCTTCCCCGCTCGAGGAGCCGGCGACGATCAACCGCCAGTACCCCAAGTCCAACAACAATTTCATGCTAGGGTTGTTATTTTTAATTGGGGGATTTCAAAGAAAAAAAAAAACCGAAAAACCGGACTTTTGCTTAAAATTCAAGTAAATGAAAATCTGGAACTTTGTTGTAACTTTATAACCCTAGTATATTCAGGGAAACTAGTTCCGTTTCTCTTCAGAGTTTAAAGGTTTAACCTCGAAAGTTTTAAAAGTTGATTGGGGGCTATTTTTTTATAATAATCTAATACTTATATAGATATCTAGTATTACAGATCATAAAGTAGGTAAAAAGAAATTATACCATAGTCAACAAAGTGTGAGAGTAGTGTTACAGACCCTTGTCTAGCGCCCTTATCAGAAGCGGAAGAACAAGGCAGAATGATAGGCTGAGGTGACACCAGGATCAGAGGACACCAAACCACGCTACTTATGTCAGACCAACGGCTGGAATCACGTGACCAACTAAATGGTATACAACCGATCACCAAATGGTATACAAATCGATATACCGTATACCACGCATATACCACTGGTATACCAACCTAGTTACCACAAGTGCCCAGGGATGAATATATAAGGACACTCATTCATGTACTTAGTTTAGTCCTTCGTGATCAATCCAAATTGTTACTTAGGATACACCTTTGGTATTAAGTTAGTAATCGACTCGTTCGCACTTCCTTAACTACTGAGTATACGTACTTAGTAGGCCTGGCCTTATGGACTTGGGCTATCCACGGAATAGCATCGTCTATCGTTCGAACCTTGGATTAGGTCATACGCTCAGTTCCTGGATAGGATCATATTCGGAACCGTCGTCGTTCACAGTCACGGAATCACATCGGATTCATTGTTCAGGTTTAAGTTCTCTCGCTACACAAGGCAGCTAACACTCACAGAGCTCTTGCCCGAATACCCAGGCGTAACAAGTAGTAGTATAGGAGTAGTTACTATAAGGTACTTTAGACAGATATATTGTGGAAATATCTCTGAAAGGATGAAACAATAAATTTAATCTTGCCTACGTGCTTAAACTAGAACTATCTGAGGGGGTAGGTGAGGCCCTTTATATAGGGTTTCCCATACAAAGGTCCTCAAGATCTCACAGATCTCCCCCCTCCCCCCCCCTCAAAAAAAACACTAAAAAACAATGAAAAATGCCGAAAAGGCTCGAAAATTACCGAGACAATCAACACACATATACCTATCGTTTCGGCAGTCGGTAGCGGAGGTGGCGGTACGCGACGGATATATATTTACATGGTACGGTTATAGTAGATAGAACGCGGTATATAATTCACGAGGGATTAGACCCAATAGATCACCTGACTTCTGCGATTCGCAACAAAAACAAAGGGCTTGGATTGCGATTTTTCCTTCTCTTCATAAAATTTCACGTCCCTAATTCATGCGTCTGCTTTTTACGTAAAGATAAATACTAAGCCTATAGATTTGATGTATACTTGGATATCCAATCAATAGATTTTGAATAAATATACAGTGATCAATAAATAGAATAAAAGTAAATACACAATTGTCACGGTTTCTGCCTGCCTGCCTGCGAAACACCCTTACATATGGGGCAACCAATGTACACCTTGGTCGTACATTCTAGTACAAGATGTAGTGCAAGTAGCTCCAAATGGTTGCCGCAGGTGCTACTACCCAATGACAAAAAGAAAAAGAAACAAAAAAAAATTAAAATAAATCAATATTAATAGAAATTATAAAGAAGGTCATAATCGGTAAAAATCCTCAGATAGACCAATAACCCAACCCCTGTCAGTATCAGTGAACTAAACGGCATTGATAAAGCTTCTATCTAAACAACTTGGTTGGTTCAGCTACGCTGCTACTACACGACTTTTTTTTGTGGGTAATGTCCCATGAGTTCAAGGTCCGATGCCAACTCTCTTTGATACTATTGTCTATGTTACGCCGTTCTAAGCCGAGCGGCCCCCGGCCGTTGCGTCACCAGTAGCTCCTCCCAGCGCCAGCCTGATCTGCTCAGCCAAGTGGCGGAGAGATGGGCTCTGAACGATCAAAATCGTACTGATCTCCACCCCTACCTGCTGGCGAATCCAGTTTCGCACTTCCATCGCAACCAGTGAGTCGAGGCCCAGACTGTCCAGCGGCCGGTCCAGCGGGATATGATCTTTATCCTTGATGAGAAAGATGGACAGCGCCGCAGCCAGCGCGCGAGCAATAGCCGCTGCCTTGCCCTCGTCATCTGGGATGAACCCCAGTTTGGCGCGCAAGGAGTCGTGCTGAGACAACGACCTGTTGCCATCGTGGCCGTCGGTCCAAGTGCTGGATGTGCTCTCTAGATTGCGATAAGTGCTCATACGGGCGTCACGCCGCCAGACCACGCGGTTGAGGGGCGACGAGATGGGGATCGTTGTGCTTAATCCCAGAATCACCTGGCTGGGGTTCCGGTACGCCATGTCGCGAGGCAAGAGAGAACCTGGTCCGGGAATAGGCTCCGGCGAGGCGGCAGGCTGAGTCGGTCGAGATCGCCGAAGGGCCAAGACCATCGCGTCCAGCAGGTCCTGCTCCCGAAGGATGCGCAAGCCGGAGCGGTCGAGTCTATCGAGTACGTCCGGGTTCTGCGAGACGAAGCCTACGTCGCCCATGACGCCGACGTCGATGACGGAGGCAACGAGGCCCTGCCGATGGCGGAACTGCACGAACGAGTCAAGGAAGGTGTTGGCTGCGGAGTAGTTGGCCTGGCCCCAATAGCCAGTGATCCCACCGCAGGAGGAGAAAAGGACGAAGAAGTCTAGTTCCTGGTTGTTCAGACCGGCTTCGTGCAGGTTCCACGTTCCGCGGACTTTGGGCTCCACTGCCGCGTTCCAGTCTGTAAAGCTCATGTCAGCAAATCCGACGTCCCTCAGAACCATGGACAGGTTGAGAACCCCGGCGAGGGGGCGGGCAGCGGTGGCATCGTTTTTCACCGCTCTTTGGACGTCGGCTTTGTTGCTGACGCTGCCAGAAACTAGTTTTACCTGGCATCCCTGGGAATGCAATTCTTGGACGAAGCCGTCAGTTCCGGGCCCATCAAGAGCAGATCTTGAGAGAAAAACAAGGGAACGCGCGCCGTTCTCTACCATCCAGTTGGCGAGGGCTCGTCCGAGTCCTCCAAGGCCTCCGATGAGTAGGTAGCTGCGGTCTGACCGAAACTGGAAGGCTGCCGCTGGCGCAACCGGCTGATGCTGCTCCAGCTCCAGCTCCTGAGCATCACCGGGCATCTGTATAACGATCTTGCCAATGTGTTTCCCCGCCTGCATCGTCCGGAGAGCTTCCTGAATCTGGGCGGCGCCGAACGTGCTTGAGATGGTGGGACCGGCAATGCGTCCTTCGCGCACCCATTGAACGCAGCGCTCGAGGAGAGCGGTGGCCTTCTGCGGCTGGGCCTGCGATACGAAACGAAGTTCCAAGCCGATGAAGGTGCGGTTGGCCTCAAAAGGCGCCATGGCCAGTGTGGCGCCGCGCTGGAAGTCGCGTTTGCCGATTTCCACCATCGTCCCAAATTCCGCAACACATTGCCACGAAGCCCGCAGCAGGTCTCCCGATAGCGAGTTGAGCACCACGTCTACGCCTCGTCCATCCGTGGCCTGTAGAACGTCGGGGAGGAAAGATGAATCTCGCGAATTGAATATACGCGAGGGTTGAATCCCGTAGTGTTCTTTGAGATACTGTCGCTTGACGTCGCTGCCCACTGTGCAGTATATCTGTCTGATTGTCAGCGATCAAAGGCCTGGGCATTAATGAAATAGGCCCTCGTGATCCACCGAGGTTCTATGTACGTGTGTACATCACTGGCGACTCACCTCCGCACCAAGCATCTGCGCGATTTGGATCGCCGCGAGGCCAACCCCCCCGCAGGCGGCGTGGATGAGTACAGACTATAGCAAGTCAACCATGCGTGCGCAGTTCAAGGCACCGGTGGTACGTACCTGTCCACATTGCAAATTGGCCTTGTCAACCAGCGCTGTGATAACTGTGGCGTAGACGCACGGCAATGCTGCGCCTTGCTCGAAGGTCATCGAGTCATCCATTTTAACGCACAACGCCTCATTCATGGTGCAGCTCGTCTTAAAACATCCGGTTCTTAGATACATGACACGATCGCCGACCGTGAAGCGCGAGACTCCAGGTCCTACTGCTCGGACAACACCGCTTCCCTCGAATCCCATCTCGTTCGGGCTATTCTCTAAAACACCTAGAGCAATGAGAACATCCTAACACGGTTTGAGTCAGAGCTGGAAGACACTTTCTGCATGGATTGGCTTGCTCCGCGACTGTGTATTCAGACAAGCGCATTGTACAGCTACTCGCTGGACAGGGGGTCAAGGATCAGCTTGGTGATACGTACCCGCAAATTAAGTCCGACAGCCCTAGTCTCAACCAGAATCTCCCCCTCCCCGGGTCCGACGATGCTAGAAGCTGTCTTGCTCCACATCATCGTATGCAGCAGACCTGGCTTTTGCATGACGATACGATAAGGACTCGTTACGTCGTCAGCGTCGTTCTCGGTTTCGGGTTGACTCCATTTGAATGCCTCGGACATCCTCTGCCAGTGCAGTCGTGGGATAAGTATCTCTCCATGGATAATGGCGTACTCAAAGTCAGGATCCATGAACTCGTGGTCGTTTAGATGCTCCGACTTGGCCTGGCAGAGGATCTTGGCCACAGCGCCCGCTGCAGCCGTCGCTGAAGTCGTTGCCTCGTCGACTTCGACAGTAAGGAACCGGCGGAGCATCTCGTTACGTACAGTCCGGGCAAGGCCGAGCACTATGGACCCCCGTGGATCTTTCACGTTACCGACCTGCGAGGCGGGCATCATCCAGAGCATTGAGGCCTTGTGCGAGACCAAGTATCCCTTGACAATCTCGAATGTCTCTTCGGACATCTCATGGAGTACGGGTTCCTGGAGATCCAGCAGCGAAACAACGTCGTCCTGGCAAGGTAAAGCTTGCCCAAAACAACAGATATCGACAGCCACACCGAGAGCCTCCAAGCAGTGCTGCACCTCGGCAACGTAGGAACCGTTAGGAGCGTGGCACAATAAGCTGACTCGCGACAGGCTAGTCTCTCGGCTCTGACAGGACGCTACGATCGCAGCGTTGACATGATATGGCGCCGAATTATCGAGAACAATCGTGTCAGGCTCCGAAAAGCCGGCACCAAGCAACTCCTTGGTCCACCTCTCTGGCGAAACAAAAGGCTGGTCGACACGGTTATCTAGGGACCCTAGCCACCAGCCCGGAAGGAATCCCTGGAAGAATCTGTGGTTACCTTTGATATGCTGTGAGCAGGATGTATGGAGTGAACATACCATGACATAGTTGAAGAACACTACCTCTGCAGTGAGTAAATAGGTATCAATGTCAGCGTTATTCAGCCAGCGTTGTTTGGATGGATCATTCTCATATCCCGCACTCACCAGGACTGAGCTCCTCCATGAAAAGCCTTCCACCAGGGCTCAAGAGGCTTCGTAAGTTGCCGAGAGTCGTATTTAAGGATGGGGTGGCATGAATAATCTAATGCCGAAGGCGGCGCACCGTCAGCAAATTCGCAAACGTTTGACTTTCTTGGACGAAGAGATCATATCAGATTAAACCTACGTTTGCGGCAATGATTAGATCAAAGCTGCCCAGTTGGAATCCTTGCTCAGCCGGGTCGACCGTAACATCCAGAACAGCATAATCGATAGCCGCGTAATCAGCGAACCGCTCCTTAGCAGCCGGCATAAAGCCAACAGATACGTCGGTATATGTGTAGGCGCTATACAGGCGCTCGCCGTACGGTGAGGTGAGGGCTTGCAGAACACGAGCTGTGGTCCCTCCTGTGCCGGCGCCGACCTCGAGGATGCGCATTTGTGGGTTCGTGTTAGCCAGGAGCTTGATCAGATCAGTGGAGTCTACTGCAAGTGCCTCGTAGAACTCGGTGAGCACGTTGTCTTCTAGCAGGACGTGCAAAGGGTGCATCTCGCCACTGAAGATCGCTGACGCTGCCGCAAAGACCTTATAAATTGTAGTTGAGAAGATAGTATATTGTGATGGAGCGCTTTCGCTAGAGAGTGTTGCCAGGATCTCGTTGATTCGCTGAAGTCTCTCGTTTACGCTCTTCTCCTCAATGTGCAGGTCCTTTCTCACGAACTTGTTCAGCCCCAGCTTGTAGCGCTCAATCTGCTGTTGCATCCAAGCTGCGAACTTCACGAGGTGCTCTGCAGTGTCGCCGTTCGTCTTGATGTTGTCACTGTGGTCGAGCATGCAAAGAAGAATCAGTTCCTCCAGCAGCGGCCATTCCTTTACGCGCGGTGTTCGCCGGTGGATGCAGCTCCCTAGGTCCGCGAAATCGCTATGAGGCCTCCACTCAAACTGCGTAAGCAAGGGGGTCTTGTTCTCGTCTCCATCGTCGTTGCTGCCGCTGGTGAGAGCGCTAGACTTAAGCCCTTTCAAACTAATGCATGTGGAGGTGAGCCGTTCATCGCTACCGGTGCTCTGAGCCAGAAGACTTCCTGTGAAAGAGCCTCGATCGAGTTTATTCTCAACGTGAGCTGTTACGTTTAGGGTCTGATTGGCTGGACAGGGATGTAGGACCATCTCTTCAATAAACGTTGGCACTGAAAGCTGAGTCATGTTGCGGCACATACCGCGGAATGATGCCACGGTAAAGAGCTGGAAGCACCGGTCGATGGTAGATGGATGGAACACGTATCGAGAGCATCTTGAGGGACTGGGTAAAATTCCTGTTGCCACTGTGGCTTTGGCTTCGGTCGTGGTTGTCGCGGCCGAGACGTCTTGCATACCCTCGAAAAGCCCGGTGTAGTTGAATCCAATGCGTCTTAAACCCACGTACCAGGCTTTCTCGTCTACGAGCCTTGGGAACGGAGCGCTGCCAGGATGCACCTGGCGAGGAGGTGCGAAGGAGTTATCCCGAGAGGTTCTTGCCTCGCCGAAGCAGTTCCTGGCCCACCTTGTTCCATCAAAGGAGCTGATGGTAAACTGGTACCATGCGGAGGCTTCAGACGCGTCAAGCATGATGGGCCTCAGGCTGGTGATGAGTTCGATGGTCTTATCTATATCGAGTATCCGCGCTGAGGCGATGCGTACGTTCTTGATGCTGAATGTGGCCTCATGGCTCGCGTCCGTCGCCTGGTGGAGTTGCTGAAGCGCCTCCCCGACCATAGCGATATAGCCGGCGGCAGGAAGCACAATCAGGCCGTTCACCTCATGTCCAGCCAGCCATGGTACATCCTCAAGAGCGAGAACCTTCCTCCATGTGGGTTCAATGGCTGCAGCTTCCAAGACCCTGCTCCCAAGAAGCTCGTGCGGAGGATTCCCTCGGAACCTCCATTCACTGGACAGCCGTGACTCAGCCCAGTAAGTTGTGTCTTGCTTCCAACTGTAGCGAGGGAGATCTTTGATGAAGTTGCCGGGCGGACAGAGAACCGAGTAATTCAATGGGATGCCGTGCTGGTAAAGCTTGCCCGCGAGATGCATCATGCTTTCCTGGCAGTCTTTGCCCCTGCGGAGAGTGCCGATGTGGAGGATATGGCCGGCATGACCAGTGTCCCGGAGGATTTGCCCAATTGGGCCAGCAAGGGCTGGATGAGGTCCTATTTCAATCATGACCACCTTGCTGCTGCTTTCCAGAGCGGCGTCACCGATTGCAGAGCGGAGCGCCGTGTTGAATAGAACGGGACGCTCCATGTTGGCACGCCAATAATGTGCATCAAGACATCCATCTCCAGTCAAACTTTTCCCGGTCACCGAGGAATACAGTGCTACTACTGGGTCACGACTGCAGACGTACGGCCGAATTTGCTCTTCATACGATTTTCCGTACTGAAGCATGTGATGGGAGTGAAACGCCTTCTCCACCAGTAACAAGCGGGCCAACACTCCGGGTCGCTCAGCCCTAATTGTTTCGAGGACCTTGTTAACTTGGTCTGTATCCCCCGACAATGTGATGCTCGAGTGACTATTCTCACACGCAATGTCCACCCCCGGCACCATATATGGCAATACGTCATCTCTACCGAGTCCAATAGCAGCCATGGAGCCCTTCTGATCGGTTGATACGTTGCTAGATCCGCGTAAGGTTGCAATAGCCATGGCAGCCTCTGCTGAGATAGCTCCACTGGCATAGGCTGCAGCCACCTCACCGGATGAATGCCCCACAATGACGTCTGGGGTTATTCCCCACGAACGAAGAACGTCAACAAGGGCTATCTGCAAGGCTACGCAAATAGGATGGCCAAGCTCGGCACGGTGGACTTGACTATTATGCTCCCCCTTGCGCAATTCGTGCTCAACCCTCCATCGCCGCGGCATCGGGAGCATCAGCAGGAATTTATCCATCTTGCGAATCATTTCCCGGAAGGTTGCATTCGTATCCAACAGTTCTCTGCCCATTCTAGGCCATTGGGCTCCCTGGCCGGTGAAGACCCAGGCAACCTTGGTGCCACTGGCTGAACCCCAATCCGCTGCGACTGGAGGCTCAGAGACTTGGAGGCTTGACGTGTTTCCGTTCATTACAGCGAAGGCGCGATGAGCACGGTGTTCGCGCTTGTTGGCTAGCGTATACGCGAGGTCACGTAACTCCACATGACTCTGGCTCTGCATGTATTCTTGATAATCATTGATTTGCGCCTGAAGCGACTCTGCGCTATGGGCAGAGAGAAGGAACAAACTCGGTGGCTCCCCCTGACGAACCACGCCAGTATCAAAACCGCCATTGATGATATGGTCCTTGCTCGGAGGTTCATGATGTGTACCGTTGGCAAGAGTGCCATTGGATTGACCTGTATTACTAGGTTTACCGTCCACATCCACTTTGTCAATGATGATGAAATCATCTAGTCGCGAATGATAGTGACTATCTACTTGCGATGCGATAGCAAACTGCCGTGGCGACTCAACAATCACCTGCGAATCATTTAGCAAATTCTCCTTCAAAGACGGTACTCACTTTGCCCCAACAACCACACTACATAGAGTACCAGACTTACATGCGCGTTAACGCCCCCTATACCAGATGAGTTCACGCTCACTCTTTCGGCACGGTCCCTGGGCCAAGCTTCCAGCTCCGTGGGAACGCGTAGTTTGCGCTCCTCGAAAGGGACTGTTCAACAGTCAGCTTGTTAGTACAATGTTGAGGCAAATCTACAACTCACTCTCCGGGTTCGGCGTGTCAAAATTGATATTGGGCAACACGGTGCGGTGCTCGAGCACCAAAACACTTTTGATTAAACTCGTTAGGCCAGCCGCGCCTTCTGAATGCCCAATATTGGGCTTGACCTATCACGCATCGGGTTAGCTATAAATCCCAAGCAGATAGGTCGTTGTAACATACCGATGTAATGATGACACCTTTGTCACCGAAGCAATCCGCGATAGCCTTGGTCTCGAGCGGGTCGCCAACAGGAGTCCCCGTACCATGGCACTCCACTATGGCTGTTTCTGACAGGTCCTGAATACCAGCAGCAGCGTAGGTGCGACGAATCAAGGCTGCCTGTGCCGAAGGGCTCGGGGTAAGCATGCCTTGTGTCCGACCATCGCTGTTCACTCCAGTGCCACGAATGACCACCCGGATAGGGTCATTATCTCGTAGTGCAGAGCTGAGCCTTTTGACTAGCACCATGTTGACAGCTTCGCCACGAGCATAACCATCTGCTGCGGCATCAAAAGTTCGGCACTGCCCGGTCGGTGAAAGTACTCCCTGGTCATTGAGCGCCATCCACGTAGTTGGCGAGAACATCAAGTTGGTCCCACCCACGAGCGCACTCACACACTCGTTATTCTGGATCGCCTTACATGCCAGGTCAAGGCAAACGAGGGAGGATGAGCAGGCCGTCTTGACCGTCATGCTAGGGCCGAGCAGGTCAAACTCATAGGATATCCTGTTGCTCATGGCAAAGTCCCCGAAACCTGTGCCGCGATAACCACCTCTGTGCTGTGTCTCCTTCGCGTTCACATCAGCCCAGTCCTCCCCGAGTTCCCCCACGTAGCATCCAACTCTGCTACCACGCCAGGAAGATATACCAGCGCTTTCGAAACATTCGTAGGCTACTTGAAGCAGTTGCCTTTGAGCAGGATCGAGCCGTGCTAGCTCCATCCTGGATGTAGGAAAAACATATGTGTCAAACTGTTGGATATCCACGTCTTCCAAAAAGTATCCCTGCTTGATAGGGATAGTTCCAGCCCGGCCCGACGCGTCGGAGAACCCGTGGATATTGAAGCGGTCCTTGGGCACGTCACACAGCCCGCTTTCCTTCGCGGAGAGCAGGTTCCAAAAATCCGTACCGCTCCTGACACGCCCGGGGAGGCGCATCGCCATGCCGATGATAGCGATGGGTTCAAAAGGCTTGAAATCCTGGCCACCATGTTTGCGAACCTCTTGTCGGGCGGGTAGTTGGTCCTTGGGTACAGAAATTGCCATGCTGAAATTGTGGGGGGTCGAAGTGATTCACGTTAGGCCAGCACGGAATGGCCTTTTCGTAGGGGGCAAGAGTCGTCTTCGATTTCGAGGGTGAGGATGACCGCTGCTCATACGGCCCAGGCCTGATTCCAAAGCCGGAAAGGTGGGATAAAAGTAGTTTGTGTGTGCGAAGTATTTACTGAGCACTGTGTTGACAGAGCTTTACCCTCAATGAGCCACAACCTCGAGTTATGGTTGACTGACAATCATTTATATTCCCTCTCGTGACCATAACTGTAGAGTTTGTGAGGGCTGGTTCGTACCCATCCACACTTATTTTCCGAGAAACCCCACAACTGACGGGAGTTCAATGTCCCAATTGAAACATGATGGGGACTGACGGATTACATTAGCATGCACTGGCCAAGTGAGCTCAGTACACGTCATGATGCCGGGTACTTTTGAGATTGAGGTTCTTGCGGCCTGTCAGATCGGGAATTTTCGACTACGGCTTCCAGTAGTGGCCGAAGGAATGGCGAGGCTCCTCGGCGACTATCCTTCGGCTACCGGCCCGGATGGATGAGATAGGCATGTTAAACATGGACGCCCTCGAGGTTTCTCCCTCCCCCCGTTATCAGGATTGACTTAACTCTGATCCGCTGAAGATTTGAACATGTCCTCCTTCCATCCCAGCATTAGCAGCTCGCCAGGCTTCCCGCTTGGATTTGCATCCTTGTGTCAGACACCTAATATGTGGTCGCTGCAGCATGCTGGCGTAACTGGCCCTGGGATCTTCCCATCGCTGGCTGGCTGCGTCCTCCTGATAAGTTCTTATGTAGATACACGCCCCCCTAACTGGTTTCGCGATGACAATAACGCCCTGGTGCAAGGTTCTCTGTCGGATCATTTATCAAGCATGGTTTCATCCCCTAGCCAAGTACCCAGGCCCCGTGCTAGCCAAATTCACCAACCTCTACGGCGCATACCATGCGTGGCGAGGCGATATTCATCGCGACATGCACCGCTGTCACCAGAAATACGGTGAGCGCTTCATCCAACACCCTTCCAATCTTTAGGAACCGGTGCTAATGTGCCTCAGGAGACCACGTCCGTTACGCACCCAACCGCGTGTTGATTAACACAACAGCAGCTCTTCGCGGTAAGTGGTAGAGTGTTCGCCACGTCCGAGTAGCTTGACCCTTTCACTCACTATGCTGGCTGTGGCAGACATTTATGGCCATGGCGCACACCTGCGCAAATATGCGGGCTATCAGGTTTTATCCTCGAGGGCGGCCAATACGCTCACTATGTCCGACAAGGTGCAACACGCCCACCGCAGAAGAATCATCGGCCAGGCCTTCTCGGAGAACAGCTTGCGGAAGCTGGAACCGGCGATCCAGGCGAGGATTAATCGATTTTGTCATCTGTTGCGCCGCCAGATCCCCCAACAATCACAGTTGGCGGATGAGTGGACACCTCCGTTTGATATGGCGCATTCATGCAAGTTGGCCAGTCCCCCTGGTGCTTTAGTCCGTTGCACTCCCTGACATCGCTCTTGTGCATTCTAGTTACCAACCTCGCGTTTGACCTCATGACGGCGGTGTCCTTCGGGGCAGAATATCGGACCATGGAAGAACCACGATTCCGCTACGTGGTGGACGCCATTGAGAAGTCGAACGTGCGGCTGGGCGTGCTCATGCAGGCATCCGAACTAGCCACTGGAGGCCTGGACCGGAAGCTGTTTCCATCCGCCGCACAGGCTGGGGCACGGTTTGTCAAATTTTTGCGCCAGCTCTTAAAGAAGCGGTTTCAACAGGCGCCGACGGAGAGTGTGATTGACATATTCTCATTTCTGCAACAGTGCAAGGATCCCGACACCGGCGAAGGACTCAGCTCCATGCAGATCAGCACCGAAACGGCAACCTTCATTGTGGCCGGTAAGGCTTCTCCCGCTGTTTCCCTCCTTTCTCCCATATCTACCCTCTCCCCTTCTTTATTTGTGTTGACATCATGCCCGTTATTGTAGGATCCGACACGTCATCCACTACGATGGCGGCTCTATCGCATTATCTGACCTGGTCACCACGATGCTATAAGCGCGCGGTGGGCGAGGTCCGTACAACATTTAGCTCCGCGGACGAGATCGTGTTTGGGGCTAAACTCAACTCCTGCATCTTCCTTCGAGCCTGTCTGGATGAAGCGCTGCGCATCACCCCTCCCGGTGGGGGACCTCTATGGCGCGTGGTCGAGCCGGGCGGAACCCAAATTGACGGCGAATATGTGCCTGCTGGCTCTGAGGTTGGCGCCGGCATTTACGCCATGCACCATAACCCACGAAACTGGCCGGACCCTGGGAACTACATGCCCGAGCGCTGGCTGGAGAACAGGGGCAATGATACACACGAAACCTCGGAGAAGAAGAAGAAGCACGTGCGCCAGCCATACTTCCCCTTCAATATCGGACCGCGGAGTTGCGTCGGAAAGCCTCTTGCCCTTGCCCAGGTCATGTTGACATTTGCCCATCTCCTTTGGGCGTTCGATATTCGCCGGGCAGACGCTGACGAGGGGTGGCTGGAGACGGAGGATACCGAGCCCCCGGAGTACATGCTGCAGGATCATGTTACAGGTCAGAAGGAGGGCCCCTTCTTGCAGTTTCGAACTCGCGTTTGAGACCCGTCCCAACAGATTGCAGGTGACATATTGGACTCCATTGGATGCAAAATATATGGCCTTATACATAAACTGTCGTTTGGTATTCATTCGAGGCAACATTTCAGTATTGCTCCTCACAGCTACAGATCTAGCCGGCATAACGTAATCAGCTGCGTTTCGACTTAGCATTCATAACTGAAAAGAGCTCCAAATCCCAGGCTTGGCGTATAGATAGGTATTTTTGTGGGGCATCAACGCTGCCTCCCTAGATTACTCGGACCCAGTAAAAGTTCGAGAATTCTAAATGAAAGCACTATCAAGGCCACAGATACATGTGGGTGACCAAGCCGGATTATTCTCCTCTGCCGCCAGAGCCATAGCAGCGGCATAGCTGAATGATAATATGATTCTGCTCAAATACCGTCCGGTTAGGCGATTCTTTGGGCGTAAGCCTCACAGGAAATACAATTTGTCCCTCTTACTTGATTTCTATCGCGACAGGCAGCAAAGTATTGCACGGTCCAAGTGGACGGCAGGAAAAATAGAGTAGAGGAGAATCCCTTCACGGCGGCAAGAGTCTATGAGATGATGACTATTGGGTGCTTGAGGCAACAAAAACAAAACCAGTGAGGACAAGACCGAGGTCGGGCAAGAAAAATATGGACCGTCCATGTTCGGGACTCTAGCATGAGAGTGGATTGCAGAATCTAAATGGTAGGAGACCTCGAACAAGGTGTTGATTGAGATTAACATGAGGTCTGGTAGTTCTCGACTCCATGAAACAAGAGGGCTATTTCTCCAGATACCACTGGGGTATTCTACAGGAAGCGACCAAGTCATGAAGAAAGTCCCGAAACAAGAATCAGGGCTAGGAATGCGTAGTCAAACTTGATTTGTTTCGCGCTACCTTTTCTCAAAAGATATACAAGCGACCTGTCATTTCTCGCAAGTTGGGCAAGATCCGGCCCGGGAAGTTCAACCACCAGTTACATGTAGTGTTGCTCAGTAGCTTGTGTTCGTGCCACGAGCATGATGGAAAGTACATACGTTCTGATCCTGGTTCAATTCTATTCAGTCTATGGTCCTCGCTACGAATCCACCGATGAGTTATTTGGGGCCAAGAACAAAGTAGGGGTTAGGGTCTCTCGCCCGGCAAGAGGGAAAATCTGAATGTTGAGAGCCAATTGCTGTTCAGCCGTTACTATGCAACAGTCCTGTTTCAATGACTGTGTATTCGCAATGATGTTCTATGTCAAGATCTTGCTTTTTGCCTCGACCTCTCATATTAACAACACCATACCAAGGGAACTGGCTCGTTAATTACTGGGTGGTCGGAGCATATCGTCGGGAGCGTCGGCCAAAATCTCGCTCTCCGAAAGCGCCTAAAGCATGTCAGATACCCCACTCTTGTCTTCGAATGGGATGATAAATCAGGTCATTATAGAGTTATGGTCGATATTCGGTTCAATGGGCTCCTTGGCCACAAAAGCACCGAGCTGTACACTTGCCTCTTGTGGAAATAAGGATTTGTCCATTGGCATCATAGCATTGGGGTATGGACCTTGGCCATATCTACTCAATACAGCTGGTTTTCTGTGGATCCAAAAGACACAGACTAATGCAGTCACAGACATAGTCTCAATTATCAATGTGGCGGGGAGCCACAATGAGCCCAAGAGGGATATTAGTTCCTACTCATCGCGCCTAATGTATATAAAGCTGCCTCTCTTCCCAGATCATTTACCGCTGACTGCCTGTCTCCTGCGCTCAGGTGGTTTTGGCTGTCTGCTCCTATTGCCTGGATCCGGCTGACGTTTCAAGTACTGCCCAACCGCTACCAAACAAGTTCATCGACATGGGTATACTCGAACTGAGAGAGCTAGGTACAACTGCTCTGCTCAAATACGTTACTGTACTCTGTATCTCTTACTACGTTTTCTCCTCTATCGTCGCATGGTATAAGCTTCGCCACTTTGCCGGTCCCTTCTTATGCAAATTCTCGCACATATGGTCCATCTACCACCAGTACGCTAAAGACGTGGGCCCCGCGCACCTGAAACTGAGCAAATACAACTATCCCCTCGTCCGCACCGGTCCGCATTATCTGGTGACTACCGACCCGAATATCTTCAAACATGTTAACGGGGCTAGAAGCACCTACCAACGGGATCCGTTGTGGGCCGCTGGCCGCATTGACTACTACCGGCCCAGTCTAGTGGATACGCTAGATGTGGCCTCACACGACAAAAAGAAGGCCAAGGTGGCGGGCGGCTACAGTGGAGCGAGGTCGACCTGGAGAGAATCATCGACGGGCAAATCGCCAATCTCGCTGACGTGATGCGAAGAAAGCATGTCGGCTAGAACAAAGTAGACTTCGCGCAAATCAGTCGGTTTTTCACCCTCGACGTTATCACCCGACTGTCCTACGGTAAGGAGTTCGGCTGGGTGAAAGCTGACGAAGACTTATATGGATACGGCTCGGAGATCAGCAAGGCTGCCGTCATGGGGGCCTTTGTATGAGATGTTACGTGGCTGCATCCTTTCGTGCGCTGGTCGTTCTTCAATCGCCGACTGAAGCCGGATCCGACAGCGAGCCATGGGGTAGGTAAGGTCGTTGGGTACGTGGTAAAATGGCTTTCTTTTGTCCACATCATCTCCGTCTTCTATGTTACTGCCTCTTTTCCGTGTTCATTTTCCCGCTGATGGCCCTTGACAATCCAGACTGGGGCGGGAAATCATCCAAGGTCGTTTCGCCGAGGATAAAAAGGATGACCGAGACATGATTGGGTCTTTCATGCGCCATGGTCTGGCCATGGACGAGATTGAGGATGGATTGAGGATGGATTGAGGATGAGGCCCTCATCCAGATCTTTGCGGGTTCAGATACGACTGCCTTTGTGGTCCGCTCGGCCATGTTGCACTTGATTGCAACCCCGCGAGTTTGGTAAGTGTACTCCGACTTGTGAAGACACTATACGAGGATAGGTCTTCTAACTTTTCTTCCAATGTAGTACGTTCCATAATTCCCCCTCAACCTTAGCAATGCTGCACACCACCATGGTAGCGTGCGTTGGAATGAGCTGACATTCTCCCGTCTACTTTCAGACTCACGCCTGAAGGCCGAGATCAAGTCTGCGGTCTCCAGCGGCAAAGTATCAATCCCAATTACTTTGGTGCAAGCACAATCCTTGCCCTATCTCCAGGTACGTTGGACTTTCCACCTTTTCCAGGCCCTTACTATGCCTCTGCCACTGCACCAGTTCGGCTACCAGCATCCAGAACTTCATGGAAGACACAATGCACTAACATGCATACCCACGCCACATACAGGCTGTGATCTGGGAAGGTTTCCGTATGCGACCCGCCGTAACGTACGCCACTACAAAGTGGTACCTCCGGGAGGCGACACGATCGCTGGCATGTGGGTGCCCGGCGGCACCGCCATCGGCCACTGCCACTACGGTATGATGCGCAACAAACAAATCTTTGGCGATGACGTCGAAGTGTTCCGCCCCGAGCGGTACCAGGACGAGCCGAACGGCGAGGAAATGCAGCGGACCGTTGAGCTGGTCTTCGGTACTGGCCGTTGGATGTGTGTCGGCAAGCAGGTTGCGCTGATGGAGCTGAATAAGATCTTCTGGGAGGTGAGTCGACTGATCATTACCGCACCCGGCGAGGAAATGATAACCATCTTTGGCTAAGGCCGTGTGAATCCTTGGGGAGCTGGCTAACTTTGGATGAGCAGTTGTTGCGCCAGTTTGATTTCCAGCTGGTGAACTCAGGCCAGGCGGGATGGAAGGAAACGTCGAGCGTTACCTTTACGCATAGCGACATGTGGATCAAGATTATGGAGGCCGAGGATTACTCCCTTCATCAGCCAGGTTCCCTGCCTGGATACCGAAATATATGGAGACAGAAATCATACGCTCATCGAGGGTGCTGCCATGAAGACATCGCCATCATAGCAGCTGGAGGACTTAAGTGTTATATGCGCACTAGATGGATTGATAGGTGGCCTCTCACTGCTCCTTTTCAAGGATCCGGATTTCTTGTATTTAGAACTGTCGGCTCCGTTCTTCCAGAAGCCACTCTTTTATGCAAATATCCACTTCCTTGACAATCAGCCCATCATGATAAAGCAGACTGCAATATTACTCATGCCAAGATCATTTGTCTTATGAACAACGTATTCAGTACGCAAGTGGCCATCGTCAAGAGGTAGTCATCGGCTATATTCTGTGTAAAATAACCACTTCTTAAAGTCTATTGTCTCAATTGCTTTTGCTCAATATCCAACAAAAAGGGATATACTACTTTTACTAACGGTATGCTAATAGTGTTTCAAAGCCTTCTTTAATTTTGGCTTTATCTCCCTCTCGGATAAGATTAAAATCTGTATACCGTATAAAATTTATACTCTATATAATTTTCGTTTAATCTGACTTTCATTAACCTTCAGACTTCAATATAAAATTTACCATATTGAAGATATATCTCAGTAATATATATTAAAATACAAGCTTATAAATTTACTAGACGTTGAGATGTTGAGTTTTGAAAAGTGGCTACCTTGTATAGATTAGAGCGAAAACATAGGACCAGCCTCTGAAATATCTCTATATGTTGAGCGCCACATCACGCATTACGCTTGATTTGGCTACAGCATAGTCAGGCCTCGTCTGCGGGACCACTAGCAAGAACAACAATTCCCAACCAAACGAATAGGTTATAGATTTGTTATTGCCGCCTTCCTCACTTAGCATTGCCAAGGTGTAAGCACCGGTTCTAACCCCCGATCATGTAGCCAGCAATACTCGCCGCGCCAATGAGCCTCCAGCGAGATGCGGATATCATGAATGTCTCCTCAGGACTGGAACTTCCCGTATTAGTAAATCCCTCGCCTAAGATCCATGGTGCAATCTGGTCAGTCCGGTCTATATGGCGTTGTGTCATACCATTCCAAGGCCATCTCGGCCTCTATGAAATACGTGCTGTCCATGCACTTAGGGTACTGGTGGGTAAAGACAAATCCCACAGACAAGTAGGCCTCAACTCTGTTCATCTGGTGGGATCTACAACTACAGTCCTCCGGCGGGCCTTAAAGGAGTTCCAGCAACGACGGCTTCCTTCTCGGCTTTTATCAACTTGGGCGCATCGTTCGGTTGCTTACAGTTATACTCTGTACTAAGCAACAAGCCTGCGATTTGCACTAACGTGGTATTGCGCATTACATGGTGATACCTTTTTCATCTGGATCAGTGCCTAGGTATGGGTTTATACCTTTTTTTTTTCTGCGCTTCAACTAGGGTTACCCGACGAGTTATCTGGTTTTGTGTCTCACCCCGCTCTCTAAGGTACATTTAAACATCGGTGACAACATTTGGTCTCAATTTCGGCTTGCGTTGCAGAAGAAATAGGCTTTGAATTGTCCTCAGATCCGCGATGGAGGTTCTTCAAGGCTTGCCGGTGAGCAACAGCATCCTCGCATGTCTGCCCATCCTACTATACGTTGTGATTCGAAAGTACGGTCTATTCATATTAGAGGCGAGTAAGCGAGCATTCCATTCTGCAGTGCCATCTTCTCACACACATACGTATCCGTGGCTAACAGGCTTGGAAGACGGTAGTTCAGAATATCCTTTCGGCAGTCAGGCCGGGGACTCTGCCCGGGGGGAGGCGCATTTCCGGTCCCAAGTGGCAGTTTCCAAATGGCCACATTATCGACAAGTTCGTGAGCGGACGCGCAAAGTCGGACTAATGGAGACAAAAATATGGGAATGTATACCGGGTCTGGGGAGGTATTGCCCCGGAAATGTAAGGTCCCCCTATCCTTCAGCCCTGGCGTTCTGTTTGTGTATCCGGTCGCTTGCACTCCCGATATCTGGGGTCCTGGATGCAAATTCCTTCCTCGCCTTTTCGTCTTTCCTTGGAGTCCAGACCAGTTCGCTAATGATGCGTTCTGCTTTCTGCATCAGTGTCATCACGACCCCGGAGAACCTTCGCGCCTTTTACCTGGATGGAGAAAAACACGGCAAGCACTCGAATCTAGGATGTTTTCTTGACCAAATCCTGGGACGCTGTATTGGCTTTCTCGAAGGGGATGGATGGAAGCAAAAGCGCCAGATCTTTTACCCCCCGTTCAGCTACGATGCCACTGCTAACCGGATTGGCGCGACAGAGGGCTCTGCCAGGAAGTTCGTCGATGAGCTGCCCTCTCTGCATCCAAAAGCGGCCCAGGACGACGACGGAAAGAAAAGGGTCAGCTTTGACATCATCAACGGCTTCCGGAAGTTCCCTCTGTATTTGACTGCCAGCGTGCTCTATGGTGCTATGACCGACACCGAGAAGGCTGATCTCTGGGCCTTGGCTGAGAAGCGGCTCGCACTCTGGCCATATGCGGTGATCGGCGGCCCTTACCGCTTCAGCTGGGGCCACTGGATTGATCGAACAGGCTTCGACCTTCTCAAGGATTTTAGCTCGGAGTGGCGCAAATACAATGAACGGCTGGTCCTGGCCAGGCGTGCCCGGGGCATTAAGACGCCTCTGACTTTGTTCTGGGATTCATACGAAGCGGGGGAGGTGACATTGGAAAATGTTAGTCCATCACCACATTTGCCTGGGGTTGAGTTGGAGCTGACTACAGACGAAAAAACAGGTCATGCACAGTCTGGACGAGATACTCATGACGAACCTCGATGTGACTGCACATGCAATCACCTGGATCATCACCCTAATTGCCGAGCACAAGCAGGCTCAGCAGGAATTGCGTGACGAGGTGGACGCCCATTGGAACAGTCTGCATGAGTATCTTTCCGAAAGCGACACACTTTTGCACCGGGTCTTCATGGAGACTTTACGTCGCAGCCACCTGCAAGTAAGGACCTCCTCCTCTGCATCATCCGGGCATGATGCCATGCCAAAGAATTCAGCCGCTGAACCAGTCTCTATCACGATTATAGTCTTCAACATCGGGGAAAGTTCACCGTCAGTCCAGACTTTCGACGGGATCCAGGTCAAGCCCAAAAGTAAGTCGACCGTGGTCGACTCCTCCTTTAGGCCCAGTGTTTGCTCATCGGGACTGATTATGAACATCTTCATTAGACCATGGTTCTGGTGGACGTGTTTGCCATCAACGTCCGGAACCCTTTCTGGGGCAGTGACAGCGAGGAATTCCGACCCTCCCGCTTCCAGAATATGAAGCCCACAGATGTACGCATTCTAAACTCCCCCATTCATAAATCTATTACCCCTCTCTATACCTACCGACCGCGGGCTATCGGAGGAGACTCGATGACTACAGCCTTGCTGACTATGATTTGTTACCGACAGCTTCGATACAACTTGATTATCTTCGGATTTGTCGGCCGGAAGTGTCCCGGACAATACATGGCTGTGCAAGGAACTAAGGCCCTCCTCGTGCGTTACTTAGGCAATACGACATCGACATCCTTAAGGAACATGAGGGAGGTAATAGCCAGACCAAGACCGAGACGCAGGTGATTCCCATGGCGGATGTAGTTATTCAGCTCACGTCTAGGGACATGGCTTTGCCTTTGTAACAGAGACCAGTTAGGACTACCCGCGGTGTGGCACTGTGTCAATATTCTAGCAATGCAATTGAATAATTAAACTGTAGCTTAAATGAGTCGTGCATCGATCTCTCTTTTCACCGTACCTAGTAAAAAGGTGCCTTGGAGGAACCACCGCGTCATCCATTATTGTTGGCAGAAACTATCGGCTGAAGGAACCGGGGCATTGTGCATTGATGGAAGCTCAATCGGGCAAATCTCGGTTCATATTTAGAGCTGTAGATGGCGAGCTGATTTTTGGGCGGGGAATAATCGTCTGCCGATGGTAACTATATAATATCGGTATAAACACGACTTATGCGCCGAATACCGTACCTGATCACCTGACGCACGTCCCCACCTGCCGCACGAATTTCTGTATGGCAACCAACATTAAAAATGAAGCTTTAAAGCAACATACGAAATAAATTATACTTAGATTTTTTGATGAAGCAGAGATATGATGCCAGTAAAGCTATATATAGCTTTTTTTCAATCCCGGAATCGTTGTGGGAGGCGTATTTGTCTTCCACGATGATTTACAGATATACAGCCCTCTGCATTAATCTGAGGCTCTGGAATAGCAATATCTTGCTTCTTTTAAGATATAGCTGGCATAGAACACTTCTTCTTGCCTTTTTGGACCACTTTGAAGTTATTTTGAAGCTGGTTATTAGCCTCCTTAGCCAGGTGCTCTTCCTCCTTCTAGCGTTTCTTTTACTCTGCTTTAAGAAGATATAATTCTTTATTAGCTGCCCTGATTTATTTTCTTTCCTTAACTAAGCGCTGTTTCTCTTGCTTCTCTTGTTGCTGGTGAAGCTTTTCTTACTCTTTAGAGACCTTAGCAAGCTCTATAGCAGCTTTCTTTTCACTCTGAAGCTGCCGCGCTTGCTGTATCTTGTCTAGCAAATAAAATACAGCATAGCCATCCTCTGGAGCTCTCAATTTAAATAAAAGAGGTTTCCCACGCTGCCGCTTCTTCTTCTTATTTAGAAGAGTATTCTCAAGGCTCTCACAGCATAGCTTTAGCAAGATATTCTCTGTTAAGAGATAGTGCATTGTAAAACTAAGTTTTTTTAACCTCTCATCATAAATATCAGAAACAACCTGTCAAAGAAGCTTTTCAATTCTTCTCCAGTTATCTGTATATAATATAGACTGGGATGACTCACTACTAGATGGCCATTAATTATCTTCTTTGCTAAACCGCTTGAGAATAATCTCAGGGTCCTAGAGTAATATGCCAACAGATTTTCACACAGAATTGATATTTTTAGATAATAAAGCTCCTTCCCAGCTCAGCTAAAATAGGCAGAAGAAGTCACGCTTTGTAATATAACTTAGGCCCTGAGAGACATGTAAAAAGCTCTCCAATTCATTGCTATAAGCCATTAAAAGCAGGCTGAAGATACCAATATCAAGAGGCTGTAAAGAATGAGTTAAATGCGGTAGATAAGTCATTAAATAAATTTAATTCTCTGTACAGAAGTTTATAAACTTCATTATAATATAGGATCCGTGGCTATTAAAAATTAGAAGCCTCCATTGTCTCTGTGCCTTGCTCTTTGTCTCCGGATTGAATAGATCCTGAATCCATGCGAATCCAATATCATCATTTGTCCAGCTGCTTGCTAAAGAGGTAAAGAAGCAGCGGTGCTTTGTAGTATTAAAATCCTGGAACTAAGAGTCTTGTGGATTGCTTGAAGCCGTCTGGTAAATAAGCCCTGGTGGTAGAGCTGTTCCATCCACGCAAATATAAGCAATTATAGTAATCTATTCTTGATTACTATCTTGTAGACGTTGCTTTATTCTATCCTGCTCATAGCAGCGCCTGGAAAAGATTCTTTTGTCCTTAGATAGCACTCCAATAAGAAATCCTTTTTTATCTATATTATATATATTTTTAAGCTGTATGTCATATTCCTTGATCTTTCTGGCAAGTAACTTAAAGTATAGAATATATTTAAATGCAGAATTAGCTCTCTTGCATATAGAATCAATTCCAGTAGTGTAGCGAGAGATCAGCTTATTTTGATATTTCTTTAGAAAACGGCTTGGCCAGTGCTTTCTAGGCTTTATTTCTAAGATCTCTTTAGCAAAATTTCAAAGTATCTCAGAGGTAGGATACAGGCCTCTCTCAGAGAGTTTATTAATATAACTTATAAGAGTTTTGGCCTGCTGGTTGTTGAGTAATCGCTGGTTTTCGTATTGGTTCTCTTTTGAATGCATAACACCGCGGTGACGCCTTGAGAGAGTTGTACGATCAACACCAATTCTTTTTACAACTTCCGCATATTTAAACAATTCTCCTGGATCTAGGGATTCTAAAAAGGCAAGCGCCTCATCAATTGAACCCATATTGATGGAGTTGTGGTGGTTTGAAATTGAAGTCAAAAAGTCGGTGTATATAGAAATCCGTGCGGCAGGTGGGGACGTGCGTCAGGTGATCAAGTACGGTAGTCTCCGACGCATTCCGGACCGTTTCCCTCCTTACACTTCCCTCTCTCTTTTTGTTTGCTGATAGAAGAATGAATTACCAAAGACAACGGCTGCGACAAACAGACGTTCGTGGTTCATGCATATGGCCCTTATTTTATTTATTTTATTTTTATTTTTATTTTTTTGTCGAGGGGTCGTCAGCAGGCCTTGGAGTTAGAGTCCCGTCTAAAAGGGACGTATGGAAGAATAGCTTAGGATATATAAGTGATTAGAAGATCATACAATAGAGAATTTATTTGTTCTCAAGTCATAATTACTGGTTCGAGCTCTTTATTTAACCCGGTTTCGCTGCTTGCAAGGAAAGGCATGGATGGCGAAAGGGCGGCCACGTCCATCTGTGAGCTGTTGGAAAGATGGGCATATACACAACCAGATCACGTAGCCATCTCTTTGGGATCGAGGAATATCTCCTATGGGCGGCTTGATGCTGCGGCGTCTCATATTGCTGGGCTTTTACGGCAGCAGCAGGTGCGGCCAGGAGACTTTGTCCCTGTGCTGGCTACGCACAGTATCGAGATGGTTGCCTGCTTTTTCGGCGTCATCAAGTCCGGGGCATGTTATGTTCCTATCGATATTGAAGCATGGCGTGAGGAGCGCATAGCCACAGCCCTGAAGAGAGTCTCTGCGCGACTGGTGATCGATCTGGGCGCGCCGACCCGGGCTGCGCATCCCCCACTGTACAGTGTTGTACCTTGCGCCGACATCACAGCAGCGTTCGAGCATGACATTCGATTCTCCCAGTATCACGGCCACCCAGGAACTCAACTCTCCGACCTCGCCTACATGATCTTCACTTCGGGAACGACCGCGGCGCCGAAGGGGGTCATGATACCTCACTCAGCCATTCTTAACTACGCGCTTCAGGGCGACGACGAGACCCCATTCAACTTCAATGCCAACCCAAGCGATCGAGTCCTGCACTTGTTCTCCCCCGGCTTCGATGCCTGTGCGGGCGTCATGGTTTCGGCGCTCTACAACGGGGCGCAACTGGTTATTGCCGGCGCGCACGATCTGTTGGAGTGCGCAGCCCGCTCAACCATCCTCGTGGCCACCCCTTCGGTGCTGGCAGCCTTGGGAGAACCAGAGGCTGCTGGCACTCAGGCTCGGACCGTCATCTTGGGCGGTGAAGCCCCGTCTCTATCGTTGTTGCAGAAGTGGTGGGCTCCCACCCGCAGTATCTACAACGCGTACGGGCCGACAGAGACCACCGTCATGTCGATGATCGGCCGCGCCGTGCCTGGGAGGCCTGTCACGCTCGGCCAGCCCATGAAGAATTCCCGCGTGGTGCTGCGATTGGACGGCAACGATGCGGAATTGGACGACTGCGACTTCGGCGAGATGTGCATCACAGGGCCCGGATTGGCTGTGGGCTTTTATCAGAACGAGGCGCTCACCGCAGAGAGATTCATCACCTTGAAGAGCGGCGAGAGGGCGTATCGGACCGGGGATTTCGCTAGGCGGACGGAGCATGGTTTTGAGTTTGCGGGTCGCATTGACAGCTTGGTCAAGAAACACGGGTTTCTGATCAATCTGGAGGCGCAGGTCATCCCTGCCCTGCTCGCACAAGGCGCCTCTGAGGCTGCAGCCTTCATGCACCAGAAACAGCTGGTAGGCATTGTCACCCCGGAGAGTCTGGATGTGCGAGAGATGCGGGAGGTCTTGTCGCGCAAGCACGAAGACTACTTGGTGCCAGATCAAATGCGAGCCTTGCACGCCCTGCCACTGACGGCCAACGGCAAGGTTGATACTCACGCCCTGCAGCGTCTGCTGGCGATGGAGGAGCGCAAGGTGCAGAAGCATCTGCACCTGGATCAGGTCGAGTGTTCACACGGCCCCCGTGCACGCATGTCCAGAATGGAGACATTGAAGGGAGCCGTTGCCGCTGCAGTCTCGCTACCCCTCGACTGTATTGTCGAAGACTGTTCCTTTTGGGAGCTGGGCGGAAACTCTCTCGCAGCTATTCGATTGCTGTCCTACTTGCGGAAATACGATTACCTCAATTGCGCTACAGGCCGTGTTTGACCTCCCCGACCTCAATACGGCTTGTAGCGCGTTGCAAGAGATCGAGGCAGAGGGGGACGCTGGTGCTCCCCAGGATCAGTATGAAGGGCAGCTCTCGCAGGGGCTCATGACGAGTCTGCAGACCAAGATCGTGCAGGATAGCCTCCGAACGCCGGGGCTCAACTACATGCTGCTGCACCTCCGAATTCCTGGTTTCCCGGCAGCTCCTTCCGAGCTCGAGAGCATGAAGGCCGCGTGGCAGCAAGCGTTGCAGCGACACTCCACATTCCGCACCTCGTTTCTACTCAAGGGCGGCAGAAAATCTGGCCTCAGGTGAATTAGGATTAGGCCCAAGAGGAAACCACGCCAGACCGAGTGGACGCGGTCATTCACGCGCGATCCCACGACTTGCGCAGGCAGCTTAAGGCTGACGAGTCCTCGGAGGATTCCTACCTTCCTGTGAATGCGTTTCGACTCATCACTGTGCCAGACCAAGCGTCGACGCTTTTATGGGCGGTGCATCATGCTCAGGTCGACGGTTGGTCCCTCAGCATTGTCATCAACGATGTCCAGGCCATTCTGCACGGTAGTGGTCGCAGTGCTCTACCTCCATGCTTGAGCCCGGAGGACCCATCCATCAGACTCGTGTCGGTGCAGAGGCAGCTCCAAGGTGATCCCGCTGGATTTGCTTTCTGGACTCGGGTTCTTTCAGACAATCAGGCCGCGTTCCTAGAGCTGCCTCTCGCGAAAGGTCGGTCTCCATCCCGCTCATCATCCTCACCCTCTACAGGCTGGATGAGCAACCATACGTTGTCCATGGACCTCAGCATTCGTGACTTCGAGAAGGCCGCCCGTCGCTTCCGGGTTGTTCCGTCTGCTCTGATGTATCTGGCCTGGGGCCTGGTGCTCTCCGACTACACCCTTTCGGACCATGTAGCCTTTGGGGCCGTCTTCTCGGGTCGCAATCTCACCACCAAGGCCGTGCCAGGGGTCGCCATGGACTTGGACGTGGAACGTGCCGTCGGCCTGCTGATTAACATGGTCCCCTTTCCCATTCAATTTGGAACCGGGCAGCAGACCATATCCGAATGTGCAACATCCGTCCATAATCACCTGCTGGAGACGATGGAGTTTCAGTGGTCTGCTACCGAGGCGATGGCTACCATGAGAGGAGAGAGCATCAACGGCATCTTGCATACCGTCCTCGCCACCGAGTACGACGTGCCGCCCCTGCGCGGGGACTGGTCTGTCGAGCACCAGGACCTTTTAGTGGAGTTTGGCCTGTCGCTGATGGTGGAGAAACAGGGTTCAGATGGGCTCCGCGTCCGTGGGTACTTCGATGCCAGCCGGTACGCTTCGCCGGTGGTTTCTAGCGTTTTGCGACACTTTCGAAACGCCTTGAAAGGCTTTGTGGACCCCCGGAACATGTACATCCTGGATGTGCGTCTGGGACTGTTGGAGGGGAGCGAGAGGGCAGCCCTAATTCGGCCCCCGGCTACCATGGCCCCGTACGGCGTGCCTCGCACCGTCAAGGAGGCACTCGAAGCTGCTGCTGCCCAGTGGCCCAACCTGTGCGCCCTCGAATCTGCACAAGACGGCACGATGTCGTATGGAGAGCTGGATGAGGCATCTAATAAGCTTTCCAGGATGCTGCGAAGCCTCATGGAGGGGAAGGCGCCTGGAAAAGTCGTTGTTGGGGTCTTGACCGATCGATCGCTCCCTTGGGTCGTGGCGGTTGTGGCGGTCCTTAAGGCTGGCTGTGTCTGCTGTCCCCTGGACGTGACTTTCCCGGAACGGCGCATAATGACGATGGTCAAGCAAAGCGGTGCCTCGATCTTCCTCGCCGCCAATCGACACTGCAGCCGACAATTCGGGAGTGAGGCATGCATCGTGGTGGACGAGTTTCTGCAAGGCGCTGCACAACATGAGGCGACAGCTGTGGAGACCATCACGCACACGGCCGATGTGATCTATTGGATCTTTACTTCAGGAACAACCGGCGCCCCAAAGGGTGCGTGCGCGCCCGCCCTGTCCCTTTCCTGCCTGTTAGTTCATCAGACTGATGAAGAACTCTTTTCTAACGAACAGGCGTTCCCCTGCATAACCTCAACATTCTGCAGGTTATCGAGAACCCCGATGTTCGCCTTGCCGCGGCGCCTGGTCGTTGAATCGCCCAACTATTCTTAGCCGGCAAGTTTCACATGTAACTAGCTCGTTTAACCGACTAAGATAGACGCGCTGATAGGATATGCAGGTTCCGACATCGCTACCCTGGAGATGTTTGGCACTCTCTGCTATGGAGGTACCCTGGTACTCAAAGAACATGCGGACCCGTTCGAGCATTTGAAACGCTTGCAGGCCTCCGTCGTGACTCCCTCAGTCCTCTCGGCATGCCTTCCTGCGGACTATCCGCTTCTCGACACCGTTGTGATCGGGGGTGAGGCGGTGCCGCAGTCCATGGCCGAACTATGGGGTGCTGGACGCAGCCTGAGAAATGGCTACGGTCCGAGTGAGGCGAGTCCCATGTGTCTCTTTTGTCAATTCTCTCTGTTCTTTCATTTTATTTTTCTTTTGTTCATATGCTTCACAGGTGAAACCTACTGACATTGAACGGTTGCTTCCGTAGTGTGGATCCATTTCAACAACGGCCCAACTCTTACCTGGCGACCATGTCACAATAGGCCACGCCCTTCCACGCGTCAGCGTGTACGTGCTCGACCACCGACAGTGTCCAGTTGCTCAGGGAATTACAGGCGAGATTTGCATCTCGGGGGCGCAGATGACCCGCGGTTACTGGGGGGAAAGCGCCCAGGACGAGGCGCGGCACGTCCCCAACCCATTCGCCGCGTCGCAGGCCCAGCAGCTCCTCTTCTACACTAGTGACCTCGGATATTGGGACAACGACATGAGACTTAGCTATGTCGGCCGCATCGACAATCAGGTCAAGATCCGCGGGTTCCGGGTCGAGCTCGCGGAGATCGAGCAAGCTATCCTCGCCAGTGATCTCGACCCTTGCGTCCAGACTGCCGTGGCCATAGTTGTGGACGATCATGCCGAAGATGGAGGCGAAAGTGACACCGGAGAGTACGCGGGAGATAGGAAGCGCGTCGTCTGCTTTGTAGCGCTGCAAACCGTCAATCTGGCGGCCTTGCGTTCTGGGATTTCCGCCGTGTTGCCCTGCTATATGCGGCCGTCGCAGCTGATAGCATTGCCGGAGCTTCCCACGACTTCCAACTACAAGGCAGACCGCAAAGTCCTTGCGGCCCTGGCAGCATCCCACTGGTCTGGCGCGTTTCTCACTGCCATCGAAGACTCGATTCAGGAAGATAGTGACCCTGAGCACGATGAGACTGGGCTTACCACCACCGAGAAAATGATTAGCACAACCTGGAAGGAGCTGCTCCACTTAGACCCGCGGGTTCAATTACAGAAAGAACAAGATTTCCTTACAATCGGAGGGAACTCGGTTCTGGCTATCAGAGCCGCTCGACAGCTGGCTTCCTTGGTCGGCCGACACGTCCCAGTGGCGCTCCTCCTACGTTCGACGACCCTTAAAGAGCTAGCCCTCGCTATCGACGAGTATGGCACCCCCCGGCTGTCGGCAAATCTTGAGACAGAATCGTTTTCAGCTTATCTTTCCTCGCCACTCTCGCATCCGGTGTCGGGGGACATCGTGTCGAAGTCGCCCCACTTGTCGTACCTGGAGGAGGAGCTCTTCTACTCCCACCAAGCATCAGACACCAGATGCGCCTTCAATACCGTTATTCAAAGCGTTCTGAGCGGCGCGATCGTAACAAAGGCTCTTGTCGAATCCTTCACGGCTGTTCTGTGCGAGAACCCCATCTTACGAGCGCGGTATCCCACCGATGCGCAGGGACGTCCTTACCGTCTCATCAGTAATGATGTTACCGATGCATTATGTATTGCCGGCAACGAGTGGAGTGATGAGAAGATGCAGGCTCTAGCCGACAGGCCATTCGATTTGGCCAGAGATCAACTGGTGAGGCTGGTGATCTGGAACCGAAGAGACGACAGCGGTAGCAAAGACAGTCAAATGAAGACCGTAGAGATGACAGTCATCACCCATCACATAATCACAGATCGAGCGTCGCTCTCACTACTGTTGCAATTGATGGGCCGCCACTACCAGGCGCTCCGAGCCCACAGCCTCTCCGGCGAAACTGCAGCCATTCCCTCTTCGAGAAGGCAGAAACCCAAGCACCGAGAGACAGATTCTGCGGAGTGGTCACAATGGCTGCAGACCCATCAGCAGACGCCGTGCGCACAGATGCAGCAGCAAAAGAAAATTGCCTTCTGGAGGGACCTCCTGCGCAGTTGGCAGCACACACGCATCCTACCATCCCACGATCCGTGTCTCCGGCCACACGGTCCATCGCCAGAAATGGTGGTACATTATCGGGGAGCATCCGAGCACCTCCCCATCGCGCGCCCCTGCGGAAGCTCCGATGGGCCCTCCTATTCCCAGCGGTTTGCTGTTGCCGCAACGGCTCTGGCTCTCCGCGCCGTCTTCGCCACGGGCGATGTCACTCTGGCCATCCCGTACATGAACCGCGATGATCCGGCCACGGCCGACATGCTGGGGCTGTTCGTGGACCGGCTCCCGATTCGACTGGACCTGTCGGTTGCCGACCTGGCGAGCGCGCCCGCATTGCTCGACACAATAGCCTCGGCCACCCATCGCGCCATCGAGCACCAGATCCCCTACGCGCAGATCCGAGACGAGTTCTCATCGCCCCACGAGCATTTCATCGAGGCCCTGGTCATCTACAATTGGCATTCCGATGCGTTAGACCGAGCCTGGGATCTCGGGCCCGGGGTGCAGGTGACCCCCTAAGCGCCGCGAGGGCTGCGCGGCCGCACGGTGCCATGTTCCCTCTGTCATTCGACTACAATGAACGCGCTGATGGCGCCCTGGCAGTCCACATCGAGTATAATCCGGATTTAGTTCCGCGCAGAGCTGTGGCAGCATTGAAGTCGTTCCTTCCAGGCGCGGTACAGGGCCTTGTGTGCCAGGTGATTCCGGCAACTCTTTGCTCCGGGGAAACTTTGTGAAATTCATATACTGGACACATGGGGGTGTGTGCGCCTTGGCCTCTTCAGGTCGAGATGGAAAGTGCGGGCTGAGGGTAATACGAAAAATGCCACAGCATGTTGAACGGGCCGATGTTTGGAGGAGAGTGGATTAACAAATCGACCTCTGTGTGTAGTTAACTAGACCAGGGCTGGTTCCTCGGCTCAAGCGTGTACTTTCAATACAGATTTCAATTCTTGGTCTTTATGCCTTAAACTCTCCGGGAAGCAACTGCGCCTTCTTTGTCTATATTACACTCATTTCCATCTCTCTTCCTCTCTCTCTCTTTTGATGCCCCTCCCAGGATCTAGCCCAGTGGTGTTAGCAGCGCAGTTTGAATCATCTTATACTGCGGAAAGTTCATTCTCAAGTATGCATATATACAAAGGAGACTTGCCCGGCCACAACTTTTCGATCTGGGGAAGATAAGTTGGTTGCAAACTTCAACCCTCCTAGCTAAGGGTGATGGCTACTTTCTAGTTGTTCCGTGTGGGCCATATTTTACTTCTCCGAGCTGACAAGATCCGAGGTTATCACACCAGGAACTATACCTCCTCGCACGTGTCCGTGACGATCCAACACCAGTCTGGCTTAACATGGTGACACCCTGTTAAACCTCCAGGAGCTTGTTCGCAAGGTCGGCCCCCGGTCCATCTGGACTGAAGTCATACTTCTCCCCAGTGGCTGGGCGAGTGATGGACCGCACAGGCACGGTGGTTGCGCCAGTCCCGACGGCAAAGACCTGCGAAAAACGATCGAGCCCAGCAAACGTGATCTAGTCTAGTGTCAGTGCGATCCTGAAAACAGAGCTGTAGTTCTCCAATGGACTTTAATGCCTACCTTTTCGCGGTGGACTTTCCATCCTTGCTGCTGGGCCAGCGCGAGGAGTGAATCGCTGGTCACACTGCGGACAGCATTAGGGGTGTCCGGGACGTGGACTTCGCGCTTCCCATCGGAGGCGACCAGGCCCACAAAGCCACTAGTGCTGAACTCCTCCACCGACGACCGGGTCTCACTGTCGAGATGCAGGGTGAGGGCGAATCCCGCCTTGGCCGCCTGGGCCGAGAAGGGCCAGACGGGGGCGTAGTTGCCGCCCAGCTTGCCCGCGCCGCACGGTCAAACTCGTCCAAGACGAGGGCGTCGACGGCGGCGGTGCCATGTAGCGGGTTACATACCGGCGCCACATAGACGGCGAAGATTATGTCCTCGGGCGGTCGCAGCGTCAGCTGCGGGCCCGCGCCAAAGAGCACCGGCCGCAGGTAAAGGAAGCCGGTGTCAGGCGGCACAAACTCAGCGTTGGCTGCGACCGCCATGCGGACGCACTCCAGAAACAGATCCTCCGGTACCTGGGGGAGCAGTACCAGCGCTGCCGACTTGCGCTGCCGTGCAGCGTGGGCCTGCGGCCGGAAGATGTGGATGCTGCTGATAGGCTGGCCCCCCGGCTGGGTGCGGAACGCCTTCATTCCCTCGTAGCATTGCTGGCCATAGTTGAGCCCGGGGGCCAACCCGTGCACCCGCAGGTATGGGTTCTGGACTAGCTGTGGCGTGCTCCAGGTCTGCTGCGATGTCGAGTAGTGGACCTCGACGTGTCCATTGGTCTGAGGCAAGTTGGTTAGGGTCACGGTGGACCAGTCCAGGTTGGCGGGCTCCGGAGGGAATACACGCATTTTTCACGTCGACCAGAGGGGGTAATGTTGACGGATGGGGTTCAAGAGGGCAAGATCTGAAGGGCCCTCCCCCTGAGGGATGGTCGCAAGATGAGGAACTTATAATAAAAAGATGTGTAGAGTACTGGACTGAGGAAACCGGCTTCAAAACTATAATCGCCGGCGATTATGCTGTCTGGGTTAGGGCTAAGTGAACTGGCGTCAGGCACGAAACAACACCAATCATTAGCGACTCTTTAACCACTCAACACTCACTATCTAAGCTCAGGGGCATAACGTCACTGGGAGTGTCTATCAATACTAGTAATAGAGCAAATATATACTACTATCTCTCCCATATATATATTACTTCGTTAACAGCCTTGCCCACACCGAATACCTTTATCTATTATTCATCTACCCTTACCTACTACTACTATCAGGATAAGATATTCGGTAACCCCCCTCTTATATCTACCTAGGGTCCTGTCACGGGTAAGCCTTAGGCGTAAGGCCACGATGGAATGTTGCGATCTATGAAGTTTGTCACTAGCATAGAAATGTCACATGGGCTTGGGGTGTATTTGGTTCTAGCTTCGATAATATTGGGCTGGGCTACGGGTCATGACTAGTTAGGAACTGGGACCCGACTGACCCATCATATCATCGCACTAGGTAAGAGTCGATGAGCTCAAGTCACACATTATACAGAACAGCCTTTAAATAACACACGCATACACACACATATTCCGGCATATATTGAGATCTAAGGAAGAATAAAGGTACGGTGTCCAGCAGCCGCGTCTGTTAAGTTATTCACAAGCCCGCTTAACACAATGACAAGTTTTATGTAAGTAATAGGAAGGTCTTCATGTGCCACTGTACTTATGCTTTTCATATATCTAAGACAGAAAGACTATAATTTTTCAGCATATGCAGCATGACGTCCTTCGCCCCCTCCAGCTCTTTTCAATGCCATCTTAGCCTACCACCGTAATCCGTGCGGCCTGTGTGTTGAATCAGGTTCTGGTCATGGTGCCGCAGCTCGCGTCTTGGCCAGACACTTCACGTTTGTCCTGGGAGTTAATCCATCCGAGGGCATGTTACAAGAGGCCAGGGCACTGACAGTCTACAATAATATCCGATACTGTCGGTCCAAGGCTGAGAATCTCCCTTTTATCACACCACAGACAGTTGATCTAGTGATAGCCTCCCAGGCAACACATTGATTTGACCCTGACCTGCTTTGGCAGGAGATGGCACGCATAGTCCGCTCAGGGGGCACTGTTGCGTTCCGGAACTGAGACAGGTACTTCCTGATTGGGTGTCCCCATGCTGACCGGGCCCTGCGCCAGTTTTCGTCAGATTATCTGGGGTTATACTGGCCTCAACCGGGGATCACAGTCTAGAATGACAGGATGCGTCCGGTAGAATGTCGCGCATTACTCTAACTGGAGGGATCTGACGAGGCTAGAGTATGAGCCCACTCTTGCAGCTCCCGCTTCAGGTACAGGAGGTACGGATGCATGCTCGTCAGAGCCTAGGGGAGCTGGAAGCACTGCTAAGAATATGGAGTGCCGTCCATGAATGGCGGAGGGCACATCCCGAGTCTCGATCGGTGATAGAGGGCGGTAGTGGTGACCCTGTTGATACCCTAATGACACAGATGGTTGAGTCTGAAACTGAGTGGCGGCAGCTTTCTGCGTCAGGGGGCAATTGGCGAGAAATCAAGCTGGATGTGGAAAGGTGTAAGCATTCTACTTTTGGCGCGAAGGAGACAACAACAGTGATAGTACCGCATGCCTTAACTACTATAGCTAGTATAGAATATTCCTAGTGAGTCTCGAAGGACAATATCCGAAGCCCGGGTATCCTTCTATAGAATGATTGATCTTGTCATTACCCCGGATATCAATGCCCTATTTTTAATTTCTTTTTCGTTCGCAGGGTTCGTATCGATTTGCAGTATTTTATTTGTCTGTCGCCCAAGGTGTTGGCCATTCTATCAAATATCAGCTGTTGTAATCATGAGCCTGTCTTCTTTCTAACTCAATAGCCTTTCCTTTCCATATAGTGTATGTAGGATGACGAGAAATCCAACATCGAAGCTGATTTCCACTGACTTTACGAGGTGGTGTGGTAGGATCGGAATGTGCCTCCTTTAAAATCAAATTTACGCAGTTTTTCAAACATCTGAGACCTCGGAGAAACGCCAATCTCCTCTAATAAATCAATATATTGACATAATGCAAGATCCTGAGCTTTATTTAGCTTTATATTTGTAAGTGGGCGAGCTGCTAGGGAAGAACAGCCATTGAAACGTGCAGATAAAGTTGGTCTTGGGACATTAAACGCGCGCAATTCATCAAAGATATAAAAATTGCTCGGGTGGCCCCGGAATACTACGAGGGGCCGGTTAACTATCTGGACAACACAAAACGACAACAGACACACCCCTGAGAGAATGGTATCGCTGTGCAGTCAGTTTCTGATATCCTAGTATCCGGTCATATCAGGATACGTAAGTCTAGAAGAATGTATTCTCGGAGGATCCCTTACTTCATTAGGATATCTGCACGGGGCGAGCCTTTGGTTCAGTGATTGTTGTTGGCGCTACATAGTTGGCAGTGTTCCACCTCCTTGCTTGGAGTAGCTTGAGGGTATTGCGGTGAAGCGAATCAAGCCAGTAGAAATTTATGATCAGAAGCCCTTACTAAAATACCAAGAGCTGCTGCAAGGGATCATCATCTGCTCCTATATGACTCGAAGGCAATTTCTACAATAGGCCTAATCTTTCATAGAACTGCAGGTAGTCATATAAAGCGGGAGGAATTGCTCCTACGTACTCCTTTCCAGACTCCAATCCGCCCATGTGCTATTTCTTCGAGGGTGAATTTTAATTCAAGTACTTATTAACAATGGGCGAATTCAAACCATTCTGGGAGCAGCCCAGCCACCCAGATAAGATCGAAGTCGTCAAGGGCAACAAGCCATACAAATCGTCTGCATACTCAAAGATCTTCCTGCCCGCTGGCGCTCTTTTCACCAAGATTGCCGCCGCCACTTTCGTTGACCATGATACCTACACAACGGTTGCTACATCAAAGAACTCTAGGATTTAGCTAAACTCCGACTTGGTCTACTGCAACCATTCTTGCAATCCAAGTCTTGTTTTCGACATGACTCGCTTCGAGGTTCGCGTTTCAGAGGACCGCCCTCTTTCCGTGGGCGATGAGTTAACGTTCTTCTACCCGAGCACCGAATGGAAGATGGTGCAGCCATTTTCAATGTGAATGCAACGCCGGGCCGGGCAGATGCCTTGGGTTGATTGCAGGAGCGGGCAGTATTGAACCCTCGACCCTGAAGAGATTCTGGTTGAACAAACATATCCATGAACTACTTGATGACAAAAGAAGGATGATGATTGATAAATTGCCGCAATTTGGTGAAAAGGAACTTTCGCCTACACCGGATAGAGCTGATATTACACCCTAGTTTATTAAACGCTAAAGCTGCCTTTATGACTGATGGCTCCATCTGCCCTTTTTCCCTGGGTGGGCTGGGCTGGGCTGCGAGAAGATATGAGATGCAAGTTGCTTTAGGGTGGAGGAAAGTATGCCAGATCAGTATTTAGATAAAAGAGCTATCAGACACCTCTAGCTTGCATATGCTGGGATATCTATTTTAAAACGGGATTTGTTCTGATAAGGGTATATTGGGACATTCAAGTGTTACTCTCTAATTAATTAGTAATATTGGCTGGCCACTGAAACTATCCCTTATTGTGCCCAATATTTCTGATGTTTAAACATAGCGACTTTCCCTGTACCTACTCAATACGAGGGTGGTGGGAAAGGGGGGAAGTGTAGGCATAACTCAAGGCGCGTTAATCACGACTTTGCGGCGAAGAGTCGGCATATGTTCTATAATATATCAACCGTGAGTAGCGGGTTCCTCCTGCTCTGTCATGACATAGGTGAATGAGGTGTGCACTGTCGTCTGATGGCTGGGGATGTAGGAGTGAGTAACCACTAGGGATCCTTAACAGACAGATGCAGGTGACATCCTAGCGGATGCGACATTTGGTACTAAATTTCTACCTTGTATGCTCCTTTGTATATACATCCCTTAACCATTTGTACCCTTCAATAGCCTGGTCTCTCATTTAGCTATACGGGGCGTTCAAAGCTAGTTCATTATGATGACTGTTTCCGTGTTCCGGTTTCATGCGGCAGCCTGGCAGTAGTTCAAAACCACACATTAGCACTATATGTATTCTGAAGCGCTTCAGTCGCCTGGAATAATTAAATCGCCGTACGGAGAACTTGGCACATTCTGAAGATACCGCCTAACAAGCAACCAAAGCGAATCGGAACAGGAGGCCGATTATAAGATTCTAAAGAGAATATATTAAAGATAAATAAAAATAATATAGACTATTATATTCTTTTGGATAGATTTATATACAACTTATACAACTTTATATATAGATAATATAGAGACAGTAATTTTATTCTTGAGTATCAAGAAAAAATACTGTACTAGAATATGTTATATATATCAGCAGTTGCTGCAGAGGCAGTATGTATGGTTGCATCCCTGGGCTGCCAAGGTTCATTGCTGTATGAATTATGTCAAGGGTATCTACTATTCAGGGTAGAGGAACCTGTCAACTAGGTAAGGTACGTAGGCTAAAAGAAAGAGGGAGGTCAAAGGCAGGCAATAGATACTATTCAGACAGGAGACTGATTCTTGATCTCCTACTACTACTAACGATTCGCTAATTTATAGCTGAAGGCTCCATGCCTAAAGGATTCACAATCCCCCTTGAACCCAATCTGTCGTGTGGCCTGATATTCCTCATCGGTGGCCGATTGTCTACACACCTGGGTCTGGGTATCCTGTACGGTCATCAGGCCGAATCGCTATTTGATCTGTGACAAATTATGAGAATGAATGTAGAGTGGTCTCGCCGCGGATAACCTTTCCCTTGGACAGTTGAGCAGGGAGGTATACTAACGGCAGCGATGGATCCGCCGTAGACTAATGATTCCATTGACATATCCCTATTATGGCAACACCTGGTAGTCGAGGTCATGTTGATGCAACATACTTTCGGTATCATGAACCGAAACTCACAACTGCGGGATGGCGGCGGAACGGGCCGGCGTAAGCTCTGAAAACCGCTACTAGGGCTCTGATGTTTTCGGGCAGCAATCAAACTCGTTTCTTCATTCTCTGGCTCCCTAGGAGATACTCTCATAAAATACATTTTAGGTAAGAAGTAAGTAAGTAGGCTGATGAGATGGTTGAGGGCGGTGACTTTGGCGGCTCCCATTCTGCCTGTCAGGATCCCACAACTGAAAATCTGTCGTCCCGACAGAAGTATTTTCTTCTCCCAGTTTCCATCTCCCTCTTCAAGGGTCATCTCTCTCCAAGGATTACTGCTCTCTGCCCTGCAAATGTGGCCATCGTCATCAATGCTCAATCAACTATCAGGGCAGGCGCAGGTATCTCTGAGCTGTCCTCTCACTGAAAGGGATCGAACTGATGTTAATGGTATAAATGCAGGTTATCTATATGATACTTTTGTGGTCCCTGGCAGGGTCCTAGCCTATAGTATAATTCAGTAACTATAATTGTCCTCCCTCCTTTATTTACTTTAGTCACACGTCGCGGTTCAATTCATCTAGTATCCAGCTTACAGCCGTGCACTTTGTCTCTCTGGAAATCCCTTACAAGAACAAGGTTCCTAACCCGGAGGGTGGGTATTCCCTTTAACCTTTCCCGTTCCTTGACTGCGGTGTTACTAATTGCAATAGCTTCAATTAATAGGGTTTATCTCTCTGAATATATCATGTGATAAAGCTGAATCAGATATGCCGGGATCAGGTTTAAGCCCTTATCCATGCCCCATCTATCCAGGAGCTCAGTCATAAAAGGAATAGTGGATATATTATAATGCCTGGTTCGCGGATTAAATCCCATCAACAGTTCCGCAGGTATATATCCGTGAACCTGTATTAATCTTCTATTAATATCCAGTACCATGTCCTGAATTACTAGCCCCCACTGCGCAGTGTTAGAAATGTTATTATAATATATTTTCTGGAGAACCGATAGAATGGTTTGGACCGCTCGTTCAATTATTCTGACTGACTTAGAGTGGGAGATTAGCACAGTAATATAGGATATCTTTTGGCTGTAGAATACTCCTGCAAGCTTCTCTCCAGTGAAGTGCAAGCCATTATTACTAAATATATTGGCTGGCTATCTGAAGATAGGCTCCAGGTGCTGTTTAAACATATAGATTATCTTTTTCTGGACTGCCTGTGGACATGGATATACCCAAATAAATCTTGTAAAATAATCAATGACAACCAGAATATACTGTGACCCGGTAGATTGGTAAGGCAGGTTTACTGGCCCTAGGAAGTCTATTTCTATTATTATAAGGGGCTTGAATTATTAGGACTGCAGGTATATACTTGATAAGTTCTTCTTGGCAAAGCGCTGATATATATTGCAGGTCAGATACCAATACTTAATATCCTTCACTTGTGTTGGCTAGTAGACTCTCCTGATTATTAAGTCCAGCGTAATGGCGTCTGCATAGTGTCTGTGGTCATTGTAAAAGATATGTAGGACATGTCTAATCTCCTTCTCAATAATATACCGGCTTGTCTCCCTGTTTCTCTCCTGGAAGACCATTATTTCCTTATAGTTGTTAATAAGGCAGAACTGCGAGGCCTTCCTAATAAGGGCCCTCCGTTCATGGTATTGCAGATTCGCTAGATAGGCCTGGTTATTGCTGAGATATTCAACAATCCCTTTATATATTAGGGATTGCTTGTATTTACTATACTTTCCGGATAGGTGCAGGCTTGTCAAGAGTATCCTGTGTTTATATATAATTACTGTCGCAGCTATCAGGCCCGGGTTATTCTCTGCAACTGCATTAATTTAATAGCGGGTTGGCATCCGGCTTAGTCTATCCACTACACTTATTATATTGTCTGTATTAGCCTGGTAGTATATAATATAGTCATACTCTCTAAGTCTGTTTTCCTACTATTAGATCCGTTAGTTATTTGTCCCATTATTTAGGATAGCCTTTAGGGCAATATAGTCAGTATACACTATAGTAGGGAACTTACTGCCTGTAATAATCTATCTAACCTCTGCCAGGCATCGGACTACTGTGAGGCATTCATGCTCAGGATTTGAATACCATATTTTGGCATTATTCAGTTGGAAGGACAAGAACATGACTATTCTTTTGGCTGACCAGTGTAATGGGCCAGCTTCTGTCTCTATAGATAGATCCTTTAACTGAAAGAGCACCTCTCTAAGGCCTGTTTTGGATATATCTATAATTAGGTAGAATTAAAGTTTATAATTAATGCCTGAGCATGTATTATCAGCAATCACTTTCTTAATAAAGTCAAACTAGATCTGTTGCTTCTCTTTTTAAGTCTATTCCTTTTTAATCTATTTTATCTATACAGTTATTTGTTTCACATGTTAGCTCTTTCCCTTTGGCTTGGCCAGATCAGTATTATAATTGTCAAGTTCTTGCTTTATTCTCTTGATCTTTAGTTTATATAGTTCTGCCGGGACATTCTCTAAGTATACCTGCTTTAGCACTAGCACCTGATCAGCTCATCCCGGTATAAAGTGTCTCAAGAAAGGAATTAGCCATAGGAAAGTATTAAGCTTCTTCCTGTTCTTTGGAATTGGCTACTTAAGTATTCAGTTATAATGCCTTATAGATAACTGAATTTACTTATTTAATCCCTCAAAACCAACCATTACTAGGGACTTTATAAACGCATGAACCTTTTGTCTATTCAGGTAAATAGATCTAAAAACTAGGCATGGGAAGTATTCTTTATACAGAAAGTAGAATATTATCTTAAAGCTTGTGACTTCCGCATCATAGTCATTGATAAATAGATAAAATCCATAGTTACCGTGGTCTTCTATAAGGGAAGGGAATGACTGGCCACCTGGCTCCACCGGGAATATTGGCCCAAACATAAGATCCGCAAATTGTGAATAAGTGTATATTAATCTCTTTAAATCCATCCCCATCCTCAGATACATATATTGACTATACAGAGTAACTATGCCAGTCTTGTATTTATTGCCTTTTCAGATCAGGATCGCCCAATAGCTCCATAATATATCTGAGATAAAGAACACTGTGAACTTCAGTTTCATAACTGTATTAATAAGTTTATTTATAGAGTAGATAGGGTATGTGCTCTTTATTATCCATTTATTAACAGAGATAAAATTGTTGACAACTCACAGCTTAATTAAATCAGGCTTCTTTAGAGAAAACTTAGTACAAGCTCTCTAATTAGTAACTATCTATCCAATTACTCTGGTCTCTTTTATCTTCAGAAGAATCCTATTGGCAAATTCCCGCTCGTGATGTGTGTATCTCAGGCATTTCAACTTGGATAGTGTAGTCCCCAGCATGAGGTTAATTAAGTGCTTGACCATATCAGTAGCCTTTATATCATGACATATCCTCGCGAAGCAATTCTTCTACATGTAGAATAGCCACTTCACCTGTTGGACTCTTTCTTCAGTATTGGCAGCTGGGCTAATTGTAATGTTAGACCTATTAAACTATTCATTGACTATAGCCTGGTCTATATTAGATATTGGCCTCTTCACTGGGTATCAATCAGTTGGAAATCTTCCACTCTTTCTCAGCCGGTATAATCTTTCCTCAGGACCAGTATTCTTATCCTTATTTTTATTATCTCTTTGGTTTTGGTAAGTAAGCAATACAATTAAGAATGGACGCGCGCTGCATAATGGATATGATATATAAAATTAAGATAGTAATAATAGGAAAGGAGCTTTAAAGATTAGACAAGATATCACTTTAAACACTTGGCAGTCAAAATTATCAATACTCTAATTTAATATAATAGTGGATATATATACTTCTGTGGCCTGGCTCTTTTTCATTTCTGGACCTGTATCTCTCTCCTCTAGCTGGAGACTTCCAGAGAGAGATACTAGTTTTCCAGATCCTCATTAGGATTCTCATTGATAATTTTCTAAAGATCCTTATCCAGGTCTTCCACGGTTGGTAACTTCTCCAAGCATTCTATCAGGGCTAGCTGGTATTTAACTGGTTATGATTCTCTATCTCATTCCCGACAAGTAATAATCCCTGTTCTGAAGTCACAAAAGAAACAGACCCGGCATATCTATCTCAGGCCCAGCAGGATACTGTATATAGTTGCCAGGATAATATAGTATTTCACCTCAGCTACAATGCCTGCAATGTTAACTAGCATGTGGATATACTAGATAAGGCAGGTCCTGGTATTATTAGTAAGGCTAATTTCCTTTCTCTTATCTATATATATATTAAACTGAATCCCTTGTTTCTTGAATACTTTAAGGAGCCATTCGGCGATTAGCTTAATCAATAATCCACTGTCAAGCAATATAGCCGGGATCTTGTATTCTTAGATCCATAAAACTGCGTATATCAGCATGGAATTTCCATTATCATCCAGTATCTCTAACATGACATAGGGATTAAATGCGGTATTAGCTATATGCACTGCTCTCTTGCCCTTCTCTTTCGCGGATGCTTGGCCCGCCAACTGGCAGGTAACCGGCTTCCATCAATATCTCAGGACTGCTGACTGCAATATCCACACTAGCTTCTTTCTAAGATTAACTGACTTGTTTAAAAGTTAATTGAGTTTAATAATCACTTCTATATTACTGAGAAGCTTTATTATTAATAGTCTTTTACTTCTGACTACAGCTTAGATCAGGCCTGATAACTTTATCTTCTTCAGCTTGATCTTCTCCTGTTTTATTTCATTTCCTGCTTGACTAGCTCTCTGGCTGTCTGGCCCAGTAGGGACATTTCCTATCTTATTATCAGTTTCCGCGGCACTATCAAAGATAATTTCAGGTTCAGATTATTGGGCAGTGTAGGTTAACAGTATTTCACGAGCCTGGGTGGATAGTTCCCCTTATGTAGCAGGGGTGGGCTTATTTGATTAACTGATCCCTGGATTCTTCCTCGGGGCTTTTCTTACCAGTTGCTCTCAGTTATTACTGTTTGTTGGTCCCGACCTTTTCTGCGCGGCCATGGTGATGCGTATCTCGGGTAAACATGGGATAATATACATGGCCGGCGTGGCTGCTTGTTCCTTCTCTTTCAGTTCAGTATAGTCTTTAGCTTGCGAGGCAGTATTTGATGCCGTGTTCAAGGTATTATTTGGATATGCAGAACTATAGGACACATGGCTCTTTTGACTATAGCTAAAGCACTTGATGTTCAGGTTATAGTTCAGGTAGGCCTGGTTAAAGGCAAAGTATCCAGCCTGTTCACAGATTCAGCAGGTCAGCTTATCTCCTGGGGTCCTTCCTGTAATACGGTCAACCTTTGGTGGACTTACTTTGGATTGGGTCTCAGTATGCTGTTTCAGCAGGGCTTGTATTGACTGAATCAACACCAGTAACAATTGTATAACATACTCATCAGTGGTAAGGCTATGTATAGAGATGATCTTGGGAGGCTTAATAGCCTTCTTCTCCTGTACTTGGATATTGCTATATACTAATAGAATTAGAGCCCTTGTATTTCTGTAATCATAGTTCTGCTTATACTTGAGAGTAAATTAAATAAGTTATTGTTGATCCAGGTTCTTCAGTTCTTTAACTATATAAAGGCTGAATGTATTTATAACTGTTAGCCCTGCTTGTTCAAGAAGCTCCTTACATTGAGTTAAGTATACAGTAACTGACTCAGCAGGCTGCTAAGCCAATATAGTAATCTTTCAAGTAATAATAAAGAAGCGTGTAGCCTCATTAATCTCTGGAAGTCTATATCTCTTAAGGAACACATTCCGCAATGTTTTTTAATTGTCAGTAGTAGAGAATAGGAGCTGGTTAAACCAAGCTCAGGCACCTTTCTTTAGATATTGTTAGAAAAGGATTTGTCTGTCTTAATCTCTCTATTCAGTCAGTCTGCCCAAGTATTCAATAGTGTACTCAATGTCTTCAAGTAAATATTTCGGATTTTCAGTACTATCTATTCAACCATAGAACAGGTTAATGGATCCCCCCGGCATCATTACAACTTGCCTCAGGCCGTGTCTATTAGATAACATACCGCCTTCCATTCCGGCCCTTACTGACTTGTTAGGCAGGTCCAACTCCATTATTTCCAATATATTAATGATGTCTCGCTCCTTCCCCTTTAGTTCAAAGGAGGGGTAACCTCTGAATAGCCTCACTTAGGAGGTCTTCTGGGTAGATTTCTGAGAGCTCAAAGAGAGGGCCCACAACAGTACAGTTAACTTATTGAAGATAGCTGGTTTCTGTTCATAGACACAATTAATGATAGGATCAATAGGTGTATAGCTCATTCAACTGATTTTAACTGATCAATCAACAGGAGGGAGAGGGATAGATAATGGAGTAGTAAGAGGAAAAACTTCAAACATACTAGACCTTTTAGATTGCAGGTAACTTGTTACAGATGACTTACTTCCCTGTGTCACTCGCCAACTGAAAACCGCTACTAGGGCTCTGATGTTTTCGGGCAGCAATCAAACTCGTTTCTTCATTCTCTGGCTCCCTAGGAGATACTCTCATAAAATACATTTTAGGTAAGAAGTAAGTAAGTAGGCTGATGAGATGGTTGAGGGCGGTGACTTTGGCGGCTCCCATTCTGCCTGTCAGCTCCCAATTCATGCCTAAGGTATATCTACGCATACGTGGTAAATAAATTACATATTCTTCCTTCGTATTATATGATGGCAATCAAAACATGCTGGGGTTCATCGAGGCCTGAATAACCGTTGTCCTCATTCCTCGAGACCCCGCAGTTTGTAGAGCACTGGTTTCACCTGATTTGCTGGTAATGATCTTATTAGAGAAGATAGGGAGTTTGAGGTAGTAACGCATTTTTGTCTGTTGCAGCCCTAGCGATGCAACCATACATACTGACTTACCGGCAGCCCTATATCATGGGATGCTCTGCCTAAGGCATCACGGCCAAGCCTTTACCACACAAATATTTCGTACAATACATTCTTCCTGTCAATTAGCTATTTCTTCTTGTTCAATAGGCACGCTTAGGTCAGAACAATCTATTCGTCCCGTAACACTACCCCAGGACTTGGGATAATTATAACACCATCACCATCACGATCAAGCTTATCGCCGCCATCTATAATACAAGAACTTTGTCAAAATATTAGGAAAGTACAGAGCTTTATTAATAATAGCCCAGAGCTTGATCAAAGCTTTATACAATGCCTCGACCGTGTATTCTAGAGTTTACTAGAAGCCACTGAACTAGCCGCTCAGCTTAAAGATAATCTATAACAATATCTTCAACACTGAAAGCCTCAAGACAGACAGAAGTTACAGAGAAGAATCTGACATAATAGCCACTAACTGTATATGATACAAAATGCCGAATTGCGGGTTGTACTGAGGTAGAAAGACTACAGGATCCTAGGCAGATTGGAAAAACGGGAACTTTGGAATACAATAAATCACCACAACAGGCAGATACAGGGGATCTGCCTAGTACAGAAGCTAGTCAGGTGGATAAGGAAGGCCCTAGGCTACCTTATTGGATAGATACTCAAGGCGATGTTGTATAGGAGCTTGAATAGCTTCGTTTTTTTGCGTTGAGATGGGAATTTGCGTTGAGGCGAGGCAGACCAACACGCCGAAGGGCGGGTGGGGCTGCTGACCTAAGAGACGGTTACTTGTGACGAATCGAGGGCTGTTTGCGCTGTTTGTACATAACTTGCCCCCACAACACTTCTTCTCCTCACGCTTGTAATTCTAGATTGATAGCACCAATATCATCATATTGATTGGCCGTCACACTTGCTATGTCGGGAGGCCCAATCGGGCCTTCATATGCTGTTGGCCTTATTGCTACTTATACGAAGTGGGAAGCGATCGACCAACTCTTTGTGGTGCTACGAGTATGCCAAGAGTCTCCAGGGGGGGTCAATGCGGTTACCCTAAATAGGGAATTTTACTACCAATACTGCGTAAATCAACCCATGTGGAGGCAAACATTACGTGCTGGAGATACCACCTGCTGTGGAGGCTCTTGGCTATGAATTTGTGGCATGGTCGTGAACAGAGCTCTGGCGGAACCCTGCAACTGGGTCACCTTAATATAGGGCTACTACAGCATTTAGTGTGGCACTAAAAATACAATTAAACAAAGACAGGGATTTTGTCCAGTCGCTAGACTCTGTTGGAGGTGGTACAAAAGGCATCCTTGCGAAAACTCTGTCACTGAGACCCATGACTGATTCAGTCGCGTAGTGAATGTCCCCTTGATTAATCTTACCATATCCCTGGTAAAAGGTGGTCTGCATGATGTTGTATTGCCCACAGAAGTCTTTACTCGAAATATATTCTTCACCAGATTATATACATACGCACCTACACACCTATAAATTGCCTAGAAGTCGGAGTTATCATTGGGCAAGATCTTATTATTCACTATTTGTGCACCGTCTACATGGCTTTTGAATAAGTATCCTTGACAATGCCATCTCCGTCGGCAGCTATTCTCGCCCTATGTGCAACCTGCCTTCTTAGCCTAGCGGTTGCTTCTTCCACCCAAAGACCAATATTCGCGATCGCACACAGGGTCCTCAGAAAGGAAGCTGTTACCGCGGCATCCTCTCATGGTGCGAACGCACTGGAAGTCGACTTAACAGCATGGTACTTTGACTGGTGGGCAGACCATGATGGGAGGTTATTCAGTGCAGGCACTACTGTACAAGAGCTGTTCCAATTTATTGCGCAACAAAAATGGACTCATAGCCTTGATATCTCCTTTGTTTGGCTAGATATTAAGAATCCAGACTTTTGTCGTGAGGGTCGGTCTTGTTCTATTGAGGCCTTACGGAATTTAGCTCGTGATATTCTTGAACCTGCAGGTATACGTGTGCTTTACGGGTTTTTCCAAACTGCCAACAGCCGTGGGTATAAAGTGATCAGAGATACCTTAAATGCGAATGAAGCCATTGTCTTAAGTGGTGAGACTAATAGTATCTTGCACTTCTATAACACCACTGGCATCAATATACCTGCACAGCAGAGAGTTATGGATTTTGGGGATTCGTGGCTTAATCAGGGGGTCGATATATATCCACAGCTCCGATATGGAAGCTGGAAACGAGACCAGGGCACATTAGGAAAGGTCTTTAGCTGGACTAGTGCAGAAGGTGATACTGAAATGGTCCAGTATCTCCTTCGTGAAACCGGCATTGATGGGTTTATATATGGTTATCCGATGGACGAGTACAAGGATGCTGGTGCTCCAAAAGCTGCCCTGAAAGATATTGTTAATTTCGTTGAGGCCAATCCCGATACTCATCGAATGGCTACGGGTAATGATGCCCCGTGGTAGTGGAACGGCAATCTATGATTACGGTCCGTACGGGACAACAATCCATTCTCATCTCATTCTACTGTTCTATCCATGAACCAAAAAATAGCCAAATCACAGATATATGTAGCCCAGATTCACAATCGCTAATACCGAATAGTACTTTTGAGAGATGAGTATGGATACCAATCAAGATGCCTAGCCCCAGACAGGACGAATGTTTACCTGAGGCTATGTCTCTTTGTCCATGTTGAAGAGAACTTTGTATTACTTTCCCTTCACTATATTGAATTCCAGCTTAGTGGCTTGTTCCCTTGTGTTGTGGTTCTAGTAAGCGCCTACAGTTACAACCTACCATAACGCAGAATCGGAGTACGCATAGAATCGAACGTATTTGGAGAGTATATATTGGCTGAACAGTAGTCGAGGTTAACAGGGAATCTGACCTATAGGATATATTATATCTATAGTCGGTCTTAGGCAAGCTTTTCGTAGATAGATGAGACAGCCTCGTGGGGAATGTGTGGTGTATTCTCAAGTTGACCATGTGATTGACGTAAAGGAAGACCACCCATGTTGAGTTCTCGTGTTGAGTACTAGTACATAGGTTTCTGGCTCTGCCTCGCCACTAGCTGCTCAAATACGGTATACCCTCGGAGAAACTTGGCACACTAAACCACTTGAAAGAGTTCTGAGAGATCACAAAGCGTGATTAGGCGTTCAACTAGCTTTGTTTTAGAAAAATGGGTTTATCTCCGGAGTAGATAGTGGAAAGGCCCACTGGAATGCCATGATGTGACAGGAGATCGGCGTGGTTCGGCGAAGGATTTGGACTGCTAATTGGTAACCGTAGATACCCCATGCATCGACAACGTCGCAGTGGAAGGGTGGATCTTACAAGGATCATTAGACTAGGGTTCGGGCAAGAGATAGGCACGTCGATCGTCAGGGCTGTAAGTGTTCTTGCGAAGCTTCGTCTTCTGAAATTAGTACTTCACTCACAGCTCGGTTTTCCACTCTTGTACTTATATATAAGAGTAAGGGCTTCCTTGAGAGCTATAAGGAGGGAAGAGCTTTGAGCCTATATTCACCTCCAAGCATAACAGAGGACTAACACCAAATTTTCTTATGGACCAGTGAAGAGGCGTGCGAGTCAGGTACTATGGAGCAAATTTGCGCTAAGTAGGGATCAAAAGCAACACCTACCACATTTGGCAGTGACCTTCTAGATAAACCTGCGACCATAAGAGGTGCAGTGGTTCGCTAGGTGGGGCTATTAATTGGAAGGTTTCTGGAGGAGCTCTTTTTCGTCGGCCGAAAATACTCCGGTAAGAATGTTAGTACGGGTGGGCCTACAAGGATCCCAATCCTTTTGGATTCTGCCAGAATTATCAAATGATCAATCTATCTAATATTTCGTATGGCCACCTTCCTCCTCTATAACTGCCTGACACCTAGCCTGCATAGATTCAATAAGACCGTTTAGTAAGTCCGCAGGAATTGCTTCCCATGAAGCTCGTATAATATCTCATAGAGTATTATAGGATAGCTGCTGGTCATCTAGATATTTCTCCTGAATCTAATCTATCTTCAAATTCCACACTATCTCAATAGGGTTCAGATCAGGTGAGAAAGCAGGCCAAGAAATAGAATAGATTACATGCTTCTAAAGCTCCTTTATAGTCTATTTACTATTATAACCAGGTGCTCCATCCTGTATAAAAGAAAGATAATTACATTGCTGCTGAATCAGGCGAATGCATCTATCAATAATAGATACAGCTCACTCGCAGTATATCTCTGCATTTATAAATTCCAATTATTTCGCCCAGAAAAGACAAGGGCCTTTTAAATCTTCACGAAAAGATCCCAAAATCATCTATCCACGCTTTCTTGGAGAAGACGTTCAGAGACCCGGATTCGGGTATGGAAGCCTGAAGTAACCCAAATCTTATCAGACCAAATATTCGATTTCATTGCTTAATTGTCTAATTCACATACTCAAGAGCCCAGGCAAGACATATATATATACTTATATTAATCTGATAAAGACGGCTTTCAAAGAGCTTTACATCAGGTATAACCTTGCTTCTTAAGTGCTCGTGTAGGGGCAGTCTCTCTACCTGGAAGATCAAGTTCTTCAATAACTTTTTTGTAAGATAACTGGTGCGTGTATTTTAATGAAGTAATAAAAGCAATAATATGTTCTATATTCCCTTTGAATAGCTTTAGACGCTGACCAGGAGGCTTTCAAAGAGACATTCGCTCATTCTGGGACGTATATTGAACTTGGTAATAGGTAAATCCAGCATCTCATAAAGCTAAAATACGAATTCAATCATCGCGGTTAACCCGTCGGGATTTCTGGCTTTCTTGAGGAGCCCCTGGAGGCACCCCTGGAGGGGTGCTAGGCTCAGATGTAGCTATATTAGCAGTGGCTTACTACTACGAATCTCACGAGGGTGGCTACATCGGAGGTCTCTCTGGCCTCAAGACTAGGCTATTTTAGTAAGACGGTGCTTTGAAGGCCTCACCGCTCCAAAGGATTCGAATCCTTGTAGGTGGACCGGCCCTAACATTCTTACCAAAGTCAACTGGAGTCAACTAGAGTAGATCTATCTTTACCCTAGTTTGCGGTTAACAAATACCCAGGCAATTTGCCTGATCAATGAGTCAATACATATAACTTGGCTGCTGGAGCATTTAAACAGTTCTATGAATGGTGTCCATGGTCTAATGGCAGCCTGTTGGAAGTATAGGTTGGCTAACAACTTTGCCTCAGATCTACATCGGTAGCATAACCTAGCACATGCATATCCTGGTGTACAATTGGGACCGCAACCAACCTTAGTAGACACCATTATTGGTCCCCGAGACTGAGACATTCGATAGGTAATGTGTATTATCTCGATGATGGACGGACTGCTTAGAGTGCCCAGGGGTGATCAGGACCATTACTCGAACGGGTTTCAACGGCTCCTTTGACGTTTATGAGAGGTCCTGACCATAATAAAAAGCTCAGCAAAAATCAGGATTACGGGAGTTGACTTATAACCGGAAACGTTTCTTAGTTACTATCATTAATTAGAGGCTTGATTACCGATGCTTATACGGTGCTCCCTCTAACCCCCGTCAACGTGTAAGTAAATTCGTTTAGAACAGAAATGCATCGACGCTACGCCACAATGAGCAATCTAAAGATTCTGAGTAGCAAATATTCGACCCATAACCCGGAAGGTTTGCCGTATTAGTAGTTTCGTTTTACTCCATGCTGTATTACGGACTTGCTATTAGCTTCTCTTCGGGGTGTGGGCCATTTCCCCTGGAACCCGTATGCCAGGCTAAAAGTAGAGAGTGCAACATTCAAGGGTAATCGCTTTGGACACAGCCTACCCAGCCTACTGGCTGTAATTCGATAATTTACCTCCCAGAATCTGTTGGGTTACATCCATTAATATTAGTGAATTTGATCCTAATCATATTAGGGTTAGACCTAGCTACAGTGCGAGGGCGTAGTCCAGTAGTATGATATGCACTCATTAAAGATACCCGACGAAAATAATATAAATATGACGACCTCAGCTTCCCCGTAGTCGGCATACCCTCCATCAGTTCTCAACTCTCGTTGTTCCGAACAGATATTTCCCCACCGAGTTCAGTGCCAAAGAGATATACCCAAATACAAGTAAGTGAGTCACCTGGATATGACAGATTAAGGCTAATGTCTCTCAGAATCGTGAATATGAAGCTCAACTTTGGTCTTCTGCTGATTGCAGCCATGCCTAGTGCTGTGCTTTCTCGTGTTGTTCCTAAGAGCGAGGAACTCGCAAACGATGATCCTATGGCCAAGGAACTGGCCAACGTATTCGCCGCCCAAAAATGCTGGACCAGGTCTCCGTACGGTTGCTCCAAAGATAGATATTGCTGGAAACAATGTGGAAACAATGGTCAATGGTGCTGGACGGCTCATGCTGGTGGAACTGGCCCCTGGACTTCTTGCAGTACTGACGCAGACTGTGTGCCTGGAAAGGATGACTCCGATTGTGCGTCAACGGGCTGCAAGGCTTGTGGTTGCAGCTGCTAACTGGTGGAAGTCGTTGGCTCACCTTGTGCGAAGCCACTGTACTTATAAAACCATATCCGCTTCTTGTAAAGGAATTTTGAGAGGCATCGCATAGGATCCAGCTTGTTACTGTGCAGAATCATTAACAATGTATTCCCTGCATGATTAATGTTCCTTCTCACCTCAAGTAGAACCCAGTCACTGCCCTTTCTGCTTTGAATACATGGTAGGTATATTTAGTCAGTGATTCATCCCATCTTGTTCCGGATATCCACGGGGATGTTCACTGTCCTGTAGCGCTTCATTCTCCAGACATAGTTTCTTACATTTTGAAGGAATACGATTAGATCCATCCCATACGACTTGATCCAGGTCTCATCATAAAAGAGTGGCTACTCACAAGGCTACTACAATTGTTATGTTACCTTTGCCACTGGACAAGCATTCATAACAAGGAACCGCTCTCGGATCTCTATTTGCTGGCTACCTGGATCGGTCATTGTATATACAAGCTAAATGAATCCCTGATTAGTCATGTAAGGCGATGCCACATTTTGTCCGAAACCGGACGATATTGTGTACGTCAAGATATTCGGATTGTATTTTAGAATAAGCACCTCTGTAGGCCAGAGAGAGACATTACTCGAGGAGTAAAGACCGGTGAGATGCCAAAACTGCCAGAAATGCGGTCACAAGGAAGCGCGATGCAAAATTCCAACAACATGTGTGGAAAATGTGCAGGACCTCATAGAACTACGGAGTGCACGGCCGAGGAAGAGCGCTGTGGAGTTTGACCACCTCAATGAATAGGGAACGATTTTATTCGCCGGTTCATACTAGAAGACTAAACTGAAGGAGGAAAGAAAAGGTAAACAGATCACCACTAGTGTACAGTGTTGATGGGGAGTTGTGAGTCAAACAGTATGAACAACACCAACAGCGCAAACAGTGATTAGGACATTCGGTAAGTTTATTATATTACCCCCCTCTTCGGTAGATGACTGCCCACAGTCATGTTGCTGGCCTATTATCATCGGCATGGTCTGTCAGGAACTTATCACTCTCCGCTTCTCGTAGCCTGTCTGAAAGCCTCGAAGGGGGTCCAGGTAGGGCTGGATATCGCACATGAAAGTCTTGTACGAGCGTCGGTGAGTTTTTGAAATTGCCGGCCGGATACCAAGTATTATCATCATCATGTCTGGCCCACTTAAGATGATATTGAAGCTTCCAATATAGATGGGAGACTAGTATTGATTCAACTTTCTATTTCTCTTGCCTGTTAATCTCTATTAGGGGTTGGGAATCTACAGCTTGACCTGTTAAAGGCTCTGTTTTCAAAGCATACCGTAGGTTTTCTGAGGAAAATACAGGATAGACTTTTACAGATAAATCTGCAGGAATTGCTGTTTTGTCTCCTGCCTGAGATATAAGGAAGAGAGAAAAATATAGGAGACATTAATTATTGCACCCTGTTTGGCAAGCTGGTCTGCTAGTTCATTCTCTACTATCCCAGAGTGACCTGGAATCCAGCGCACCTCTAGGAGCTTATATGGCAAGCCTAGAAGAAATGGAGCTTTCTTCTATTGTATAGAAAGCAATTAGAAGGTGTCTGTAAGTCCACGCCGATGGGGAGCCGGTCTGTTATCTGCCTGTAGGCTGGCTGCTGCTAGCTTATCAAATAAGATAGTTAAGTGGGTGGCAAATTATATACATGGTTGATTAATTGCGGCTTTAAGGCCCTCTACTGCGCGTATAAGCTCTGCATTGTAGACCTCGGTTTTGGGGCCAGTAGGACCAAACCCCTGGGTAATAAGGATACAGCCATAGTATATCCATAACTGGCACCTTGTGTGACGGCTCAGGCCAATGTAGATAAACTGATCTAATTGGGTAGCTCTAATACGAGAGAATTGGTTGAAGAAGAGAATATCCCACAAGCGAAGCTCTGTGGGATATTGTCTATCTTGAATACAAACAGAATAAACAAGGATCATGTTACTCTGTATATTATACCACACCCCCCTTTAGAAATAGCTGTCCTCAGCCATTCTACCTTGTCCAGTCTTGTGGTCCATTATTATCTGGATAATTCTTTAAGAAAGTATCATCCTCTATAGCTGCTAACTATTTTTATAATCTTAATAAATATCTGAGATGCTTTTAATATTATTCTGCTCTAAATATATTTCTTAGTATCAGTAAAGGAACAGAAATATCCTAGCAGGTATAAAATTCTAGATAATACTTAAAGATAGTAACTAACTAATATAGTAAGGAATTATTCTTAAATATCTTACAGCCTATCTGTTTCCTGTAATTGATCTTGAATGGGAAGAAGGAAAACAACAGACCTTGTTATTAGGAAAGAAAGTGTTATTGAATTGCCATGCACCTCACGGGACAGGAGCACGCGAGAATATGAAGCCAATCAGAAGGCTTGGATACCCACTGAGGGTGCAGTGCATCGTGTACTAGGGTATAAAGAATAGATTCAATTCATGTGCCCACATATCTTGCCACAGAGCCCCTATGGAACTCGGTTAATAGTCAATGCATGCTACTGGTACCTAAGAATCTCAGGGATGCTTGTGTCCAACCCCAGCTCGTCCAGCCATTTTAGGAAATCTTCACTTGTTTCAAGCGCGTCCATGTTCTGTGCTGTCTCTCTCTGTTCGTAGGCATCCAAGGACTCACCAATTGCATTCGAACTATCCCCGGCTCGCTCACTGCTGTTCGGCGCAGGACAAATGCCTATACCGGGTTGTGACCCATCTCCTATCTGCCCGCCCGATGGATAATCTAATGTACTATTCAAAAGCCTAATCATGACCTTGGTGACCTCCACGCACGCCTGATGTGTGTCACTAGTCGGTAGAGTAGCACTTTCGAACCAGGAGGCAAGCAAGCTAAGATCACGGATAATCCTGGACCGAGGGGTGGAACATGGTAGTTGCACCCCGGACACCGTAGAGCGATGGAGTTCAGTGGCAACAACACCTGCTGCCGGGAGAGCATAAAACAGAAACTAGTTGATCCCAACAAGTCAGATAATAAGAAAACAGACATGGATACAGGTAATAGTGGCATACAATCCACGTGTACTGCCCCCGGATGCTACTTTCTTGATCGCGGTGCTTCGCGAAGTCGGTGACTGCCGAGACAATTTGCATGGCCGAGTCGAGAAGATCGGTTATGGCGTCCGGGCTCTCACTGCAACGGATACGCTCAACTTGAAACACTGTATGGAGGTATTCCAGGTGGATGACCAGGCTTATTACGGACAGGTGCGGGCTTAGAAACCCCCAGCAGTGCTTGTTGTAATGAAACTCACTAGGGACTCTATCCCATAATCGCTTACACTCTTGATAGGTGATCCTACAGGCATATTAGCTTTCACTATACTGAGAGAGAAGTCCTCTACGCTATTCATCCTACTGAATCTCATTCTGTCTGGAACCAACGGCGCCACGCCCCAAGGACAGTTCCATCACCTGCTCTCGCAATATCGCTATCATGTATCGTAGCCGGATGACTGTGGCAGGGCGAAGGCCACCATCGAAAGTACCCCATCCATCCGGTGTAAGCTGCTTTATAGTTTTGTCGAGGGACAGATGATCCAGGACTAGATTATCGTCATCGATATCCAAGGGTAGTCCCACGTCGCAATAATGGTAGGGAAGTCGCGGAGGCCTTCCCAGAAAAATAGCGAGACTCTTATCGGTACGATATGATGCTGCAAAAACCCTCGTGCGGGCCTCCGAAAGAAAGAGTGGGATGGAGGACTCAGCAGGTTGCGGATGGTGTAGGCCCATGGCATAGATATAGGAGACTAAGTCCCCAAATTGCGCGTAAATCTGATGGCCTATTCTCTGTCAGCCTTGTGCGTTTGCGGGCCAACCCTATAAAGTAAATCGGCATTACTTGTCTCTCCCATTATATTCGATGCCAACACGAAGTACGTGTAGTTCAGCCATACCACCAGGTCATTTACATTGTCGTACTGTCTGCAGATTTCAATACACGCACGACTTGCTGCCGCCATCTCCATAGCAAAAGCCTCTGAGCTCAGTTCATTCTTTCCATTCAGAGAGAGCAATGGAGAGCTAGACGACACACTAGCACCGAGTCCTGCAAGGGCGAATATAAGGCCGACAAACTCCCATCGCAGATTCACACCCGTGAACAAATGGTAAAACTGGTCCGTCGTCATGTTCGCTTTAACCTTGACCAATTGAGTGGCCGTGTTCTGAGTGATCCGGGATGCTAAACCCTCCTGTGGCCATCCCTTCCGGTCCCAGTGGCTTCGAAGCAGTCTTAAGAGAGTAAGAACAAGGGGAGCTGGAATCACCGTGAACGGCCTTCGATGGTATTCGTCGGTCACTAAATCTTCATAGAGTCTGAGGGGGCGCAAAAGCTGCACCAGTCGGGGAAAAACGTGAGTGAAGTCGGCACTCCACGCCTTGCTCAGGGTGGATGTATGGGTAATTTTCGGGATAGAGAGACTCAGATACTGTTGATCATGATGAAATGCTGACATAAAGCTGGTGGATCCCAAGTAGGTTGGCTGGGAGGTAGGGGTTAGATCCATTTGAGGCCCAGTTGGCACGATACTGTCACCAGGGTTGGTAGAGACGTCGAGGACCTCATCATCCTCACACAATGGGTGAACTGGAGACACGCTGCGAGGTGCCTGAGCCTTCTTCCGTGGTCGAGTCAAGGGGGCCGGATGGTAGTAACACTTGTAAGGCTCTCTGTCAGTCCGCGCCTTATTGACCTTCACGTCTGGATCCAGATCCGAATCCGAATCTGAAGCAGAAGAGGGTGTACCTTGGAACTTAAACCCCTGAGGTCACATCGTCTACACGTCGGGTGTTGATGGTCACACCGAATTTTGGAGACGCGACATGGTTCGCAGGAGATTAATTTGCCATTCTTTCGGATCATATCCCTGGAGGTGTTTTTCATGGTGAGCAAAATCAGTGCGTTTGACCATAGCCTATTCTCCGCTTGTTAGTAGCAGTGGTAGAGGTAGAAGAAGGGGGTTTCTTTAACGACACCACGAAAAGCGGAAATCGGAGTTCCTGCCGGTTCCTAATCGTAAATTTACTCCACTCGGGATGAACCCCAGATATATTCCGAGCCCTGTCGGAATGAAAAGAAGGGATGCAATCTGTAGGTAGGGTTCACACCCTCCTCCCCCTTCTCTAATGGAGTTCCCTACCGAAACGCTTCCAATATTTAAATTTTCTATTCTTTTCCCCTCAAATAAATTGCTATATACCCTACCTGTCGTCATCGACCTAATTTCTACTTTCCGTCAGTATACAATTGAATTCGGGAGCTGGACGATCGTCGCTGCCGTCGACTTCGATTCGTCGATTCGTGAAAATATACAGCAGCGTCAAGCAGAAGGGCCAGCAGAGACAACCATGAACGTACCGGATGGAGGTCCGGACCCCGAGAAACCTGTGCATACGCAAGATGACGTCCAAGAGGAAGGTTTAAGGTCAACCGCCTTAAGAACCGCTCCGGCCTTACCTGAAATCGCTGCATTTCCTACCTCGCCGGATGACTTTGGCATGAAAGATGACGAGTATATCAGCGGATATAGGCTCTTTGCGGCCCTGTTCGGTATAATCTCTATCTTCTTTATCGTTCTTTTGGATTTGAGTATTATCTCTACGGTGAGTACGAATAGCCCACAGAATCACTGTGTGCCCAGGGACCTTTATCATTGCACCCAATGATGGATACGATTAAGATATACTAGCTAAATGGCTGATGACTTTACCTCCTCCATTTTGACGTTTAGGCTATCCCGAAGATTACGAGTGATTTTCATAGGCTACAAGAGTATGTATCTTTCAAAACAGCTTCTTTCTGACTCTTTCGGGGGATTCTACCCAAAACCGGATCATCAATTCGGTTCTAAAACAGAAAACGGCACATTATAAAGGTTTTACTAACATGGGGATTGATCAGTGTCGGATGGTACGGAGGTGCTTACCAGCTTTCAAGGTAACTATCTAGCGCTCTGACCTAAAACACAACAACAACTACAACTACAACTACAACTATTAGTGCCGGCCCAACCACCCATACCGCCTTCGCGATATGGGTGTTTGGCAGCGTAGAGGAATTTGCAGCGTAGAGGAAGAATTACAACACCTTATCTTTATGAATCTATACAAACTGCCACAGATGCCTAAAACTCCTAAATTTAATGATACACATGTAAACAAGGCTGTTGAAGCTGCCTGTCATGAAAAAAAACTGAATATCGCGAAATTCACTCAAGAATTTGGGATTCTATATTGCACACTCCATGGCCGCTTTAATAATAAAAGAAAGTTATATATAACTTGTATACCTGTAAATAAAGTGCTTAATCAGTATCAAGAGAATATCTTAGTCCACTGGATTACTAAAATATGTGATTTATATATACCGATCATATTTTGCTTACTAAACAAGTGGGTAAATCTGTAACGTAACCGGTAAGCGACCCGCACCTGTAAGCAACCCGCACCCCAACCGCGTTTTCTACGCGCCTCAATTTCTTAGGTGATTCAAACATCAGCCATACCACCAAAAATGCCTAAATCCTCAAAATCACGTGTTGAGCAGGAAGGCAGGATCCTCCTGGCTATATCGGCTTTAAAAAATAATGAAATTTATGGCGTTAAGAAGACAGCTTAGACATTTAATATACCTTTTTCTACCCTACATGATTGCCTAAAAGGAGTCTCTTTTAAAGATGATACTTGTGTTAATACTTATAAATTGACTTCTAGTGAAGAGGAATCGCTTAAAGAATAGATTCTATTACTAGATAAACGTGGAGCATCTCCTCAGCCTACATATATATGAGAAATGGCCAATATCCTGCTTTTAAAGCGTAATACTACTTCTCCCCCTACTACTGTAGGGAAGAAATGGGTATATAACTTTACTAGGTATATACCTGAGCTTAAAATCTGCTTTGCATGTCGCTATAATTATCACCGTGCTAAAGTAGAGGATCCTAAGGTCCTAGATACTTGGTTTAAGCAGGTAAATAAAGCTATTCAGAAGTACGGCATAGCTTCAAGTGATATCTACAATTTTAATGAAACGGGATTTATAATGGGCCTGATAGCTGTAGCTAAAGTTATTACTAGGTCTGATATACCAGGCAAGCCATTTTTATTGCAGCCAGGGAACCGGAAATGGGTTACTGCCATAGAATATATATATTCTAATAGATAGGCTCTACCTCCCTGTATTATTTTTAAAGGCAAGGTATATATAGAGGCTTGGTATGAGGATAACAAGGTTCCTTCTAATTAAAGAATTAAGATTAGTCCTAATAACTGGACAAGCAATGATATTGGTCTATATTGGCTACAGAATCATTTTATACCTCTTACTACCGGCTGATCTATGGGAAAATACTGTCTACTTATTCTAGATGGCCATAATAGTCATCTAACGCCTTAATTTAATCAGATCTGCGCAGAAAATAATATTATACTAATCTGTATGCCTGTGCATGCTTCTTATAAGCTTTAACCGCTTGATATTACTGTTTTCTCGCCTTTAAAACGCGTGTACAGAGATCTAGTTTAATCTAAAATATGCTGCGGACTTAATTATATTGATAAACTTGATTTCCTGAATGCATATCCTGAGGCCTATACAGAGGCCTTTACCAGCAGCAATATTTATAGTGCTTTTAGAGCTACTGGCCTAGTTTCTCTGTCTCCTGAGTGCGTTCTATCTCAGCTGACAGTTTAGCTTAAGACTCCTATATCTCCGGGTAGTAAACCCAGCAGCCAGGGCAGCTCAGCGCCTAAAACACCTTATACAGTCAAGTAGCTAGAGAAGTCAGAATCTAGCTTTAAAAAACTGCTTAAGAATCGGTATTGCAGTCCTGATTTGCCTATTAAAACTCGCCTAAATTAAATAATAAAAGGCGCTGAACAAGCTTTCCATGATATAACAATATTGAAGCACTAACTTGAGCAAAGTCAGGCTGAAAATGAAAGACAGATTAAAAAGCGAAAGCGCTCTACTAAACAGATTATTTTTAAGGAAGATATATCAGTATCTGAAGCCCGAATTCTTATAGAGCGCCGAAATCAAGCAGATGAAGCCATACAGGTAGATAGGGCTCTGCCTACTGAATCGGCTTCTAGGCGCGCCCCACCTAAATGTTCTGGCTGTGGTGTACAGGGTCATAAAATCACTCACTGCCCGAATCAATAGAAATACTTATTTTTATATAGAAGTCTAAATTCATGGTGTTTTGGTCATTTTAATATTTTATGTGGCGGTTGGGGTGCGGGTTGCTTACAGGTGCGGGTCGCTTACCGGTTACGTTAAAGGATTACTCCTGGGATTAGTAATTCAATACGTAGGATCTTTCCACTAGGTAAAAAGATCCACTATGATCAACTCCGATTGGAGTTGATTTCCCAGGCGCGGTATATATAGTATCGCAACTTGCCATCAGGGCCTTAAGCCTAAGGCTTACCCGTGACAAAATCAAGCAGTACAGCGGGACAATCCTATATGATATATTAATAAGTCCTGGGCATATTACTTTACAAAAAGGGCCCTTTCACATCTTAAAATTGGGCCAGAGACTCAGCGAACAAAGGAGAAGAAATGTATAGAGACAGAGAATATTAAAGAGCTTCAGTTCTGGTATAATTAACTTAAAAATCTATTTACTGGGATATCTAATTGTCTTATATATAATTTTAATGAATGCGGCTTCCAACTAGGTAAAGGAAAGGCACAAAATGTTCTCAGTATAAAAGAAAGAAAAATTCATAATCTTACTAAAGCAGAGTATTCAGAGAATATAACTGTGCTTAAATATATTACTGCAGACAGCTGGATTATGACACCGTTTTTTATCTTTAAAGGACAGTGATTTATAGAGAGTTAGTATAATCATAAAGATCTTCCTGATTACTATACAGCTGTCTCTGAAAGCGGCTATATAAATAATAAGCTTATAATTAAATAGCTTTATTAATTTTATAAGGAGACAAAAAGTTATATATTTAAAGAAGAAAAATATATACTTATCTTTAATAGTTATACTGCTTATAAAATAGTTAAATTTCTATAACTCTACAAGACCTATAATATTCTTTCTTTTTGTTTTATACCTTATACAACTCATCTCTGCCAACCGCTGGACAGAAAGCCATTTCTTATATATAAAACATATTTTTACAGTGTAAATAATCTCATTATATAGTGGACTAGGATCCCGGAAGACAAATCAAACTTTTTACAGGATATCACAGCTGTATAGAAAAAGATATTTAATAAGCACTTAATCAGTAACTTATTTAAAGAATATAGAATTTATTCTCCAGATAAATCTTCTATAGTTAAAGCTATTCAAGATACTCTACTGCCTGTTCTAGAGATCTCTATATCTAATCTATATATATATAGGGAGACTATATCTTCTCTAAATCCTCTCTCTTCAAGTATTGAAAACACACCTCCAAAATCCTCTATATAAGTTAAAAAGAATAAGAAGAAGCTATTCTATCTACTAGAAAATACAGAGATTATTCTATAAGTTCAGCACTGCTTAAATCATATATTTAAACAGTAAAAATATTAGTCAGAACAAATCTCTATTATAATCTCTACTTTAGAGCAGATTGAAGCGGCCCAGAGATCTTAAAGATATAAAATAACTAAATAATCAATTCTAGACCTTTTAAATACTGGTATACTATATTCTTGGCATGCTATTCACTCAATTATGGCAAGGAAGACAAAAGATACAATAAAGGCAAAAAGAAAGACAGATAAAGCATATAAAGAAGTATACAGTTTTCTACTGTCCATGTAGGCCTCGCCATAACCCGCAAACGGGTTGGCAACTCCAACCCGTTACCCTAACCCGCAGATTTGCGGGTTGAAAAAACCAACCCTCACCCGACCCTCAAACCTGCATGGGTAACCCGCGGGTTACCTGCAAATAACCTGTTTTTACATAAATCTCCCAGACCTTTTCTAAACAGGATAGATAAAATACTGAATCAGCCTAATAAATAACTGTTATTTATATCTATCTCAGTTATAAGCATTATTTAGACTATTTTCTAATAGTATTTTTAGAGAATTATTTAAAATATATTTATATTCTAATCTTTTTAATATAGTAATAGACTATTTAGTAAAAATAGTAAAGCTTATATATTTATCTATTAATTTACTGTAAGTCTAGTATTTCAGGATTATAACAAGCAGAAATATATATATCTATATCAAGGAATTAAATATTCTTTATAGATTAAGAAAAAATAAATATAAATAGATAATTTATAGATTATCTATAAATTTTAAGAATTATACAGATTATTCTTAGAATAATCTATAGATTATCTATAAAAACTGCTTAACTTTAACTAATTATACTTTTATTCTTATATAGTAGTAGAGAAATTTTATAATATATTAATAACTTATTTAGTTATCTATAATAGCTAAACTAAATCTTTTTCTTTAGATATTAGAATTAATTTTTTATATTAAGATATAGAGAATTCTTATAAATTATTTTTTTTTCTTAATAAATATCTTTATCTTAATTTATTATATCTTAAAGATCTTAGTTTTCTGATATCTACTCTTTATTACTATATAGTAATACTATAGATTTTCTTTATATTCTATCTAATAATCTCTAGTTACTTATTTCTGAGTTATATTTTAGTTAATAGAATCTTAGATCTATATTTAATTTAGACTTTATTTAACTGTCTTAGCTAGCTATAATTCTTAAGACTCTTTAATATATTAGTCTAGATTACAGAAAGTTCTATATTCTTTACTTTAATATATTAAAGAATAACTTTATCACTTAATAGCTAAAAATAGACTTTAGAAAATAAAAGTAGATCTATTAAAACAGTAAACACTACTTTAATTACTAGAAATATTATTAATAAGTTATAGATATTAAAATAGAAGAGCTAAAGATCTTATATAATAGATATTTTAAGATTCTTAACTATTTATAGAATAGCTAATATAGAATATTTACTATAAATAAATATATTAAAAAAATAAAATATCTTAGATATAGAGAGAAGAAAGATTAGAAATAAGATATTAAATAGTTTATATAAATTATAATAAGTACTAGAATTAAAAAGCTAAATTAATATTAATAAAAATCTTTTTTAGACTTATTAAACTTTTAATAAGATTATAAGATTTATCTAAAAAATCTAGAAAAAAAGACTTATTAAATTTATTATTATATTATATCTTTTATTCTAGCTTATTAAATATCCTGAATTTTATTAGCTTATTAATATAGTATAACTTATATTATCTGCTATAGATATTCTCTTTATAAAGACTATCTAATATTGACTATAAAGTATTATTAAGAAATAATAATAAAGTCTTCTTTAGAAATTTTCTTTAAATACTAAATTATTAATTATATTAGATTATTAAATATCTCTATTTAAATAAGTATTTCTTACTATTATAGGCTATTTTCTTAATTAAGATTAGAACTATCAAGAGATTTTCTTAGAATTTAAATTATTCTATAAAATATACTCTAATATTAATTTAAGTAATATTTTTCTTGAATTACTTTAATAATACTAGATTATAGATTAGATATTAGTAATTATAACTAATAATATATTAAATAATAGTATATTAATATCTAGTATCCAGGAATTAGTTTAGTCTCTAGTACTAAATAGTAATATTACTATTATTTAGATTTTCTATATTATCTATATTATTTAACTTAGTCTTAAACAGCTTCTTGGGTAAATAAAAGCAAATCTAAAAAATAAGATAATAGAAATAAAATAGTTAGAGATCTATATTTAATTACTATATAGAAAATATTAGAAAAAAGAGATTATTAGTATATTTAATAAGATTAAATTAATTATTCTATTTCTTTTATTATATACTATTATCTTTAACTAATTTACTAGATCTAAAATCTTGCTATTTTTATTAATACTAGTTCTTAATATTAGAAAGTATTCTATAATCTTTAGACTAAATAACTAAAGCTTTTACTAATTTAGAATATTTATACTTACTGGAACTTAATATTTTTAATACTTTAATATATAAAATAACTTTAATTAACTTTTAATAAATTCTGCTTTTATTATAATCTTTTTTACTTAATTTTTAATTAAGAAAAGTAGTATTAAATTAAGTATTTTCTTTAAATAATCTAACTTTTCTTTTAGTTTATAATTACTCTTTCTAAGACTAAAGATATTATTATTTATAATATCTTTAGTATCTATAATAAGCTCTTTAAGTATCTTGAAATATTAATTTAGTAATTTTAATATAAGAAAGTTTCTTAAAAATAGTTAATACTTAATATACTTTATATAGCCAAGAATAAGCTCTTAGAATACTATAGTAAGATTAATAAGATTTATAATAATCTTTATATAATTAATATAATTATTACTCTATAATATAAGCTTTAGTTCTTTTTAAATAAAGATTAGAATAATTCTGAATATAATTAGTAAAAATAATATTATTAAAGCTTATAGAATTATTTTAAATTTTATTAAGAAAATATTTTAGATAGCTAGTTACTATTAAAAATCTAGTTATTAAATATATAAATATCTGAGCTTAATATACTTCTTAATTTAATCTAGTTATATTAATTATAACTAAGCTAAAATAATAAGATTATATATTATTTTAAAAATAATATATAAATTTTAAGTTACTCTTAATTATTCTTAGCTAAATATATAAATAGATATACTTTTAATTACTCTATATATTTTCTAGAAAAATAATCAATATAGATTTCCAGTACTTATAAGACTTTCTTAGGATATTCTTTCTATCTCTACTACTAGTACTAGTATTAAGTATCTCTTTAACTCTATATAAGATATATACTACTACTGTCAGGGCTTACTAAATATAATAACTATCCAAGATCTTATAATATTTATATATATTTTAAAATTTAAAATTAAGAAAAAATAGCTTATATTAATTAATAAATATCTCTTAAGTAAAGAATTATAGACTATTACTGAGAAAAAAGATACTTAACTTCTATAGTATAATTTTAATTTAATTAGTAATAATAAAGAAGAAGAGAATTTAGCTTATACTTAAATATAGTTTACTATCTAGACTATTAGTAAGTATATACTTAATAAATAAAGAAAGAGTATTATCTCTAAACTAGAAGATAATAAAGTATATAAACTATATAAAAATAATAATAATAATAAGATTAATCTATTTCTGTCTAGTACTTAACAGCAGGTATTAGAAACAATAAGAAAATAATCAAGACTTTTAAATAAATATAAAGTTAGTTAAGAATAGTCTATAAATATATTTTTAGCTTAATAATCTCTTAGAATCCTATTTTCTCTGAGTAGAATAGACTTGTAAAGTAAATACTAAAAAATATAGTCTATAAATATATAAACTATACAGATTATAGGTTTTTATATATTTATTATATTTGATAACCCACAGGTTACCCTCATAACCCATGCGGGTAACCCGCGACTACCTACAACCCGCTGGCGGGTTGTAGGCCTCAACCCAGAACCCTCAAATCTGCGGGTTTCGGGTAACCCGCAATGGGTAACCCGCGGGTTATGGCGAGGCCTATGTCCATGCCTGCTGTGAAAAATGAAAATCCTGCTTCAAATAGTGAAAAGGCAGAGAAATCGGATAAACTGCTTTTTATTATAGATTCTACAGGTTCTAGGTGTTGAAAATCAAATTGCTTCATTTTTCTTCCTCTACACTGCAAATTCCTCTACACTGCCAAACACCCATATCGCGAAGGCGGTATGGGTGGTTGGGCCGGCACTAATACAACTACAACTACAACTACAACTACAATAAAACTTCTCTACTACAGCTGAACTGAGACTAATCTGATCCGGGCATTAGCGCCGCTTTGCAACCTCTGACCGGAAAATTCTACACCTACCTCAGCGCGAAACGGACGTTCCTATCCTTCGTCACCATTTTCGAGATTGGCTCCTTGCTTTGCGCTGTTTCAACCTCGTCGACGTTCTTTGTCCTTGGTCGTACTGTGGCCGGGCTGGGAGCCTCGGGCCTGGAGAATGGTGCCTTGACCCTTATTGCTGGAGCGGTACCTTTGCACAAACGGCCTTGTAAGTTGTAGACAGCGTGGCTGAATTTTCACCACCACCTTATAAATCATCGTTCTTATGACCTAAACGCTAACCGTGGACTGTTATATGTAGTGTATACTGGCATAGTATTTGCAAGTTAGTAAATATGCTCGAGTTTCACAAAATACTGCAAGCTAATGATAGACACAAGCTGGTCAGATCGGTATAGTTGTCGGACCACTCATTGGTGGCGCCTTGACGCAATACGTGACCTGGCGATGGTGTGAGCAGTTACTTTCCACCTAAGCTTTCCGCGCACTTTCCGCTTCTCGGCTGAGAAATTCCAGGCTTCTACATCAACCTCCCCATTGGCGCGGTCTCCGGCCTGTTTCTGTTCTTCACACACATTCCAGACGAGATATCTAAGCCACCCTTCTCATTCGCCCTGCTCCGCAGCATCATTCCAAATCTCGATCTTACAGGCTGTGCACTTTTCGCGCCGGCCACCGTCATGTTCCTCCTCGCGCTGCAGTGGGGATCGGATGACTACGGGTGGAGCTCGCCCGCTGTCATTGCCTTATTCGCCGGCTCTGGCGCGACCGCGATATTGTTCTGCCTTTGGGAATGGCGCGTGGGCGAGAAGGCCCTCATACCCTTTCATCTAGTGAAAAGACGGATTGTGTGGGCGAGCACCATCCAGAACTCGTTTCTGTTTGTCACTAACCTTATCGGGGCCAATTACGTCCCCATCTACTTCCAGGCCGTCAAGGGCGTTGGTCCTTCGCTGAGTAGCGTTTACATGCTTCCCTCCATCCTGACGCAGTTGCTGTCTATAGTTATCTCTGGCGCTATTGGTAAGTCGAGCCCGCCTCTTGCCTAGACCTTGAATGGCACATGGCACCATCTATGGTATCACGAACGCTGGAGGGCGAAAAGCTCCAAATCTAACTCAGGATATATATTAGTGGGAAGGCTCGGTTACTATCTCCCGTTCAGTGTTCTCGGAGGAGCGATAACTGCCGTTGCCTGCGGCCTAATATCCACTTGGAATCTGCATACTTCAACAGCGGAATGGGTAGGATACCAAATACTAATCGGTTTACGCGGGATCGGACTACAAATAGTCAGTTTTCTCCCTAATTAACTAATCATCTATCTCGGAGTATGATTTACGCCGACTACATTGGACTTTACTAATACAGAATAAAAACTTTTATTATAGGCTATAATTTCAATACAAAACGCAGTTACGCCAGCCCAGAACCCAGTCGCAATGTCCTTCATAGTATTCGTGCAAAGCCTACTAGCGGCCATCTCTAACATCGTGGGTAACGCCATCTTCACGCAGACTCTGACACAGCAGGTCTCGGTCCTAGCGCCGTCGGTGAGCCCCGAGGCGGCGCTCGCGGCAGGCGGAAGCGCGGAAGCGGTGCGGGCCCTGCTGCCCCCCGGGAGTCCGGAGCTCGAGGGGCTGCTGCTCGCATACTCGAAGAGCGTCAGCACGGTCTTCTACCTGTTAGTGGCGGCCGCCGTCGTGTGTTTCGCCGCTGCTTGGGGTATGGGCTGGGTGGATATACGGAAGAAGGCGCCGAAGGAGAATAGGGCATAAGGGATGACCTGTGTAGAAAGGTTCTTGTGCATCGTCGAGAAGAGGAGAGACAGCATATATTGATGCTTCAATTCAAGCTTCGCGCGTAGGATATCGCGTGTAGATTAGAGTCTACGGGAAGCCGCACATAAAGTATTACAACGTCGATCAGTAGAGCGCCGCTCACATGGCATTCCGTCGTCACTGTATTGGATTCATCTTGTTGCTATCACATGACGTTCCGGTCCTACGTATCATGGTAAGAAACCCATTCTGGCCCTGACAAGGAGGAAGAATGACGGAGGGCTCTAAGGGCAGTAAGAGTTAGTTGGCTATTTCTTTCTCTCTCGCCTTTAGCGTTTCAGGGACTGTTACATGTTCTACAATTTGTTTATAGAATAGAGACCGTGATTGCTGAACTAGAGTGATGGTTAGGAGAATCTGTCGATGTACGGGAAGCGTCTTATCAGATAAGCTTGCTTCTTCAGCTCCTGAACGAGCTTTGGGCTCTAGTATTTATTTTTGCAGACATTTTGAGCTTAGTTGTGGCTACTAGAGTCTCTTCTATCTAGGTAATTACAAACCCCCACGTTCCTGTGGTTGGGGGAACAACACAAAGGCAGGAGCAACGGCAATGCCACGACTGACCACGATGAACGCGGGGTTGGAATGCTCTTACGGGCATCACCGTCGTTGACGTCGCTTCTGTATGATCGATGGTGTAATGTTGGGGGTGAGAACCTCATATTCCCTATTATCGATCTTTCTCGAATTGTTCCATGTTTAAGACTGATATTTTATTTTATTTATTCATTCATTTAGAGAATCCAATGTCACTACTCGATTGCCGCGCCCTAGCAGAGAGCGTCCATCATGTCCAGGCTACACTTGAAAACCTCGAGCTCCATATAAACATCTACTCCGAGTACGCAGAGAAAGTAGAATATATTTCCATCTACCCCGTCACCGGCCATCTTCCTCTCCGCGAGCTCACCAATCTTCGGCGCCTCAAAGTCCCACTCGTGATGTTATTCGGGTGGTTCCCAGAGGAAGCGCCGTCAATGGCGGAGGCATTACCCGTGTCGTTAACCCATCCTTATCTCACAGAGGATCTTAGAATGCAATGCACGTACGAGTGGAGAGAGGAACTTGTTCTAGCGAAGCTGGGTGAGTATTATAAGAACATTAAGGAGGCGGCACCGGCGCTGGAGGTGTTCGAGTTTAAACCCAATCGCTACGATGATCAGTGGGGAGAGGACTTGGAGGAACGCTTGTCTGCAGTGTGTGGCGAAGCCGGAATTCAATATATCATCCACTAGAAACTCCAACTCAGATTGAGAATCATTGCTGGTTTACCCTATGTGTTGTGCTCCCATATATATATATATCAAACGCCGGGGATCAACCTTGAGAGTGTGCCATTAGACATAGGAAGGCCATGTTAGCATCCTCAAATTTATACCTTTTTTATCACTCTCGTTTTGTTTCGAAAACTTTTTCTTATTACATTTATAGGATATTATAAAACCATGAATATTTGCTGGCCTTGCTTCTGGGGCGTTCTACACAGCAGCATAACTCGCTAGTTATTCAGGAATTATGATTATATTACATAATCACATGTTTGACTTTCCGCCAAACCTGCCAAGACTGTCGTCCATCCCATCTGAGCTGGCCCTCTTGATGTTGAACCTTTACTATGACCGACGACGTGTAGCCTCTGTGTGCGAGAGGGCGCCACATGATGCGGATTGTTCGACATTTCCTGGGTGATTGTCTCATGCAATGTCAATAGCCTGCGGGAAATTGCCGATGGGCTGGAGCGGGGTAGAGAGAGATCGGCGAACGACTGTGTTATTAACCTATGAGGGCCAAGGACGCCGATACCAGCTGCATCGCAGGTCACGTGTATCGTGGCAGTGACATGGTGAAGCGATTCAACGACACGACAAGCTCGTAGCAGTGACAAGATGGGAGAGGATATATAAGGACACTCATTCATGTACTTAGTTTAGTGCTTCGTGATCAATATACATAGTTACTTGATAGCTACATTCAAGATTCGTTACTAGCTCAACTCGTTCGCACTATCTAACTGTTGAGTACGTATATTCAATAGGCCTGGCCCTTCTACCTTGTACTGATACTTCGAATCGTTGCATTGTTACTCGCACCTTACGATCGCCTCTCTCGCCATTGATCAAAAGTGGATTATAGGCCTCGTGGTAAGTCGTATCTAACCAAGATATCTAACTGGTCGCAGAGTCCTTGGGCGAAGCCCTGGGCGTGACTATAGTGTGGTAAGTACAACAACTTTACACCAGCGTTTGAGTGTAGCTCGGTTATGCGGTCGGTATGGTAAAAGGATGTGTTATCTATAACAAGAATAGACTTCGGGTCTAGCCATCTACCACAGTGATGAAGGAGCTATTCAACAGATCCTCAAATATGTTTACATCTGTCAATCCTTGTAGACTCGTAACAGCAGAATGTCCTCCTGGCAGTATGCCAGGAGAATTTAATACCACCAGACCCCTTTAGAAACGGGAAAATGGGCAGGTAACACAACACAGGGAGACCAGCCTGTCTTCCTGAACCTAGCCCGTCTGCCAAAACTTGATTAGAGCAAACGGGGTAACGGAGGTCAAAACTCCTTTCAGAGCGGACGTAAATTAAAAACTTCCTCGTAGAGGTTTGGCAAGGGGGCCATACCTACTCTCTCCTGGCGAGTTAGAAGTAAGTTCAAGGAAAACATATGATGATACAAATCATGGAGCTTAGCTAATTTTCTATGGTTCAGGGAGATAATGTTGGCCTCGATGATACCTACTATGATAGCGATCCAATGGACGTTGATTTGGAACGCCAGCAAGCAGAAATAGACGGGAAATCCGTGCCGGTACTACATTTCCTTGGCACCAAGTGGGAGAATGAGTGCATCGTGTGTGGTGAATTTACTCTATTACCATTATTATGCACCGACGATCAATAGGTACCTATGAATAACATACGCGAAGAAGCCACCCCATCAGAGTTCGCCATTCAGCCGCATACGTGGCAGCTGAAGGGAGCAGAGCAAATCCATTACCTGGGTCGGAGCAGGTTCCGTGGGGGGTTTTGCGGCGATAGTATGGGCCTCAGGAAGACATTTAGGCGAGGAAGGGGCCTGGGTGCTACTCTCTGGTAGATTGTCCGGCAAGCTGCAAACACAAATGGGACATTGTGACAGTCTCTTATAACTTCTTTATCGTGCCACCGAGTAATATAAAAGCAACATGTGTCGCTTCAGGGAGGGGGATGGCCTGGCACTAGTGCGCCAGCCGTTGCTTTGCTGTCCGGTTTCTGGGAAATTATCGACCGTCCCATTAAGAGAGTTGTCCAGGACGAATGTCACATATTCAAGAGAGCAGACACTTCTTTTTATAGTGTGGTCAAAGTACTGTATCGGGCCGCAACCATTATGTTGTCTGGAACAGTTTTGAGCAACAGATGGACCGGTATAGGCAACGGTCATTTTGTTGCGAGGCCCCCCATTTACTACGGAAGAAGGATATAGTGGAGGAAATCCTTACCCACCGGGGAAATATAGATACAGTAATCCTACAGAACCAGACATCATAGCATTACAACGCTTTCTACATGCTATTGCCATCGCAAGACCTTCCTCATGCTTGGAGCTGCCGTGTATAGAGCTAAAGGATGCCGTTTTTGAGCTCGATGACACCGAAAGAACCTTATTCTGGAATTTACAACAAAGCTTGAAAGGATCAGAAACGCAATTCACAACAGAATGAAGGGAATATCTGTCACGTTGATGTCAGTGAAGCGCTGGGCTTTGCTGTGCGGGCGAAGCTGTATGCTGCACCCAAGATGTTGTGTGAAAAACCTACGCCATCAGATGAGGCCATGCCATCTGTTGAAAGTCGTCACTCTGGAAATGTCGCCGAATAGAAGAGGCCAGTCCTTTCAAATATCAAACCCTATATTATTAATTGATTTCAGGGGTTAGTACAGGGTATACTATACCTTTAGGCCCGGCAGTCCGGAGAGAACCCACAGGACCGATGCAAGAGCGTAGTTCATTTGTAACGGAAAGTGAAACTTCCAACACGTGAGAAGGCAGTTCTAGAAGAAGCGTACATGGCTGTCCGAGTAGAGTGTGAGTTTGTGGAGCGGCATTCCCGGCTGGTAGTGGAGCTGGGTAAAATAAAGACAGTAGATCATTGATAAGATAGCATCAAAGATATTTCGGCTGCTCAGTTATCTCATGTACTTTATAAAGTATCTGCTAGTTCTGCTTTAAATATCTCTTTTCTCTGCTCTAGAGATACCTGTTTAGTCTTCCACATGCCTGAGAGCTCTAGCCATGCACTTCCTGCCCTGGTCTGTCCATTCGCTAGGCATGAATCATCTGACCATATTGTTAGTGCAGAGGGTCATTACCTGCTTAAGGGCTTCTTCCTCTATAGATACTAGAACAGTACCTGGAAATGCCTTAGATGTGATAACCCGTATGTCACGTGGTTAGGCAAGCCTACTTCCCACAACACAACAATCCTTGTATGATGGTGTTTCTCCTCCCATAGTTGAATTCAGTTGGAAATGCTACCATATCTAGTTATCTATCGTGGAACAGCTATCTATGAATGAGCAGTCACCACAATCCTAGCCTACCTATAAGCCGTTATGATCTTGCCTCAAAGGGACTAGCCACCTAGCATGCCACATACCCTCTCCTAGTAGCATAAATCTACCCGGGCCGATGGCTGACTAGTCTGGCGTTTCCTAATTCTGAAATAGTGGTCCTTTTGGTTGACAGTATCTATATGGAAACAAATATCATCTGGAAGCATTCTGTGCCTGGAGCGTATCTCCATCTGTAATCTAAACTTGGATGTATTATATTCCATCTGGAGAATGTCATCTATTTTCCCCTGTAGTCGATCATCTCCCGTACAGTCTTGAAATCGGTCTGACCCGCACGCATACGATGATTGTGTTCCGGCCCCACTGGCAAGTTCCTAGCGTAAGTTTATAATTGAGCTATTCTAGTACCGTCTGTACGCGCCTGGCATGGTATCCACCCTTGTGGATGTAAGCACGCACCAATAAGCGGTTAATTGAGAGCCAGAAGGAGTATTCCAATTGTTTGTGCTGTTTAGATATGATTGTAGTGTAGAGGGGTATGCCACTCGAGTGTACTACTAGTATTGGGGAGAATAAAAGTTACTCCGTCAAACACGATAGTAATTGATCGGATTATCAAATGAGCCAGATAAACAGATACTTTTTTTTGTGAAAAGATATATCCCTATTACCTATAAATTAGTTATCCCTGGCTTTCTTTCTCTTAGTCCTTTTTTATTTCTTTATTATCTATAATAGAGACAATATAAGAGATTAGTTTATGGAGGTAAAGTATGTTTAGAATATACTAGATATCCGAGGGTCCTATAGTCCTTATAGACACTGATGATTCTAGTGCAAAAAGATTTCTACTACTACAAATAGAAGATTTGAACTCTTTCAGTCAGCGTGTGCCCCATTGTCAAGAAGCAATTTACGGACTGGCCCTGCAGCAAGAGAGAGAGGTGTTTTACCACTTATGTCTCTTATATTAATATCTGCCCCATGCTTGATAAGAATTCCCATCACTCTCTCATCACCAAATTTCGCAGCCAACGATATTGGTGATTGGCCACCTGCGGTCTTCAAATTGGCGTCTACCCCATATTCAAGAAGTAGTTGAACCACATTGGCATGTTTTCTTGCTACAGCAAGGCATAGTGGGACAGCGCAGTCGACATTCTTTGAAGGGGTTTCCACGGTATTATCAAGGATCATTTTAACCACATCCACATCCCCACTTTGCGCGGCATATGCTAGAGGTGTGCGACCAGAAGGACTTCTTGAGTCTAGACCCATCTTTTCAACCGTGATTAGATATTCCACCACAGGGGCGAGACCAGAAGTATAAGCAAACATAAGAGGGGTATCCCATGAGGAGCCACAAAGGCGAGAAGCAGAGGCTGTGATTGGGTCACCGGCCTTGATGTCGCATCCTTTGAAGTGGATAAGCCAGTTTTTGGAAGAATACTCGTCAAATGTATCCAGTCGCAGGCTCTGATTCGAAACTAGATACCATGTACAGACTTCTGCCAGGAATCTGTTTGAGTCCTTCAGGCTGATGGACCCTTTCCAGGTGGTGGTAGGAGAGGGTTTATCGGAAGGCATATGTGGTTCAACTTTGACCAAGAACTCCCTGGCAGTTTGATGGAGTAAGTAGACTTGTGAATGTATAACCATTACGAAAAGACCGCAGATATCTCGGAGGGTTTGTCGAAAGGTTTCCTCAGATTCCAAGTAATCCTCAATATCAGCTGATGACTGGCAAGCTTGGTGGAATGCCATCAACATAGACATTTCGCCCACCGACAATGGTCTCGTGGCAGCAACAAGGGCATGCAGTATTGTTTTCGCTCTCTCGGGTGCCTTGCTTTGACTCAGTATCTTCTCATATGCATCATTAACAGTAGAGGGGATGTTCTTGATTGCGTCACGGATATTGCCTCTCGTGAAACCTGGGGTCCTGTTGATGACGTCCATAGTGAGAGTGACCCACAAGTAGGTCTGGTTGGGAATCGGCAGGAGCTCATCGAGGAGAAGCTTGCACTGCTGGGATGTCAGGGCTCGTCTGCGACCAATATCCTCGATCCGTTTCCGAATGACAAGTTGGATTTCTTTAGATATCTGTCCAACTTCGGCTTCCCCTTCCCCGCTCAAGTGGACTGTTGAAAGGTCTTCGTGGACGCCTCGGAATTCCTGGTGGATATAATCATACGGCCTGCTTGTAATAAGAAACTCCACATTGCCGTTCCGTGAGCCCTCCGTCTGGAAACGCGTCACGGCTTTGATTAGATATGCGCGCCCATCATCTTGGCACTCATCCAAAGCGTCAAGTACACAGATTATCGCCCCAGCACTTGGTTCCGCCACAACTCTGGTAAATATTGACCATCGATCGCTGAAGGACTCTGTCAAATCCTGACCGGCATTATTAAGGGTCTGAAGTATCGAATCCCGCAGAAGATGTGGTTGTGATATAAAAATCTGATGCAAGAGTGCGCAAAGTGCGCTGGTCGCCGTCCGCTGGTCCGGATAGTCATCTTTGAAAAAGAAGTAACAAATTGTAGATTCCTTTGTGGCTGGGAGCAAATCGTCTATAATGTACTTGGCCAGTACAGACTTGCCGCACCCAGGATCGGCAGACACCCAGAGCAGACTCGAGCCCTGACATCCGCGCCAGTCTTGGAATTGACGGTGATTGGTAAACCACTCGCATGTCCCAGGGACGCGGTCACTGTTACGATCTTTCCGGGCTTTATAGGGGCATGTATTTTCACGAAGCGTTTGCAGGGCTTTTTGGGCTGCCTCGTCGCGTTCCATCATAATCTGCCGCGCCTGGTTGTATTTCTGGGTGTCTAGAATCTCGTTGAGTTTACCATCCACGTTCGCAGCGCCAATGGTCTGAGCATCTCTTTCTGCGTTGAATTCAAGTTCCTTGATGCCGCTCAATGTTCCAGCCCATCCCTCATAGTCGAAAGCGTCGCCAAGTAATTTAATCACAGTGTTCCGTCGTAGATAGCACAGTGCGCGGAATTGGAATTCAAGGATCACCGCGTATAACTTGGTCAGATGGTCCTCAAACCTGCCCACCAGTTCGCTGCGGTGTGGGGATTGCACGGCCGAATCCGATCGGCACAGATCGTCCATGACTTTGAAGCGGGATATTAACCCCGCATTGTAGTCCAGTGTCTGCAACATAGTTGTTTCTTGCTGGTTTGCCTTGAGGGCCAGCCCAAAGACTACCGCCAGCCCAGCACAGGCAATGGAGGCCGGTGGGCTGGCGCTGGCTGCCAACGCCATAATCTCCTTGACCTTCAGCACGCCCTCAAAAACCTTGCTCGCAAGCTCTTGAACCACAACTTCATGGTCACCAAACTGTATCTTCCATTTTTCCTTTTCCAGCTGTCCTGTCTTTCGCCCAAATAGATCGCTCAACTGCTGCTGTCGGCCAGGCGCTCCGATCGGTAGAAGCTCTGAGCCCAGCTCCGAGCCAAGAATTTTGTGGGCAGATTGCAAAAGCCGCTCCTTACTGGGGTCCGCATTTAGCACCATTTCCGCCCTCTCCCACAGGCTGGAAGGCTTGTCGTTGATTTCCGAATGTTGCTCATGGTAGCTCGGGGGACGTTTCTCTGCCGGGACGGCGGCAGTGTGTGTGGGAGCTTCTGTCGGAGGGTTTTGCGTGGGAGGATCTCGCGGTCGACGATGAAATACTTGTCTCAATTTCTTTTTCAGCTTGCTAGCTTGGGATCTCTTGGTCATTTTTGCTGATGCTGTAACTATTTGAGGCTGACCACAGTAAACCGGAACAGAACTGTTTATCTTTAAGAATAAATTGCTAGTCTTTGATTATGGGAGACTCAGCTCGGTTAAGCGAATAGTCGCGCCGGGGGGGAATGACACGGCTTGTCTAGTTACGTTAAGTTACAGTGATCAGCACCTCTGCTGCGGCTGAGAAGCCGCGGAGATTACGAACTGCATTCGTAAATCGTTTCTGACCTACTAGGTGGACGTCAAGGTCTTCCTTGTTATTAACGCATCGTGTAAGTGACCTCAGAGCCACCATATCTTATGGGTGCTGTGACGACTCAGCCGAGTATTTGATAGCTGTTGTATGACAAAGAGTTCGTCAGCCCCATGAGGGAGAGCAGAATATAGGGCAAACTAGAGGTAAAATCACAGTAAGATGTGACAATTTCCGACGATAATTAGCGCGTCTTGGCACGAGGTTTATGAGCTGAGGAGCTGAAGTTTGTGAAGAGGACAACACAATGATAGAAATTAAAAGGATTTGTAAGAGGGGTATCGGAAACGACTACGCTTGGAACCCTTGACACTTTTGATTCAATTTTTCCTGAGAATTCTCCTCTGTCCTGACTGTACGAACCCCCCTAAGACCTGATAACCATGTCACGTAGCGCCGTGACCCAACAATTATTGAGGCGCGTCGACGAACGCGAGGACAAAAGCCCGGTTATCTCCAACGTGGCCTTGGATCAACTGCGTCGTAGCCAGGAGGAGCTAGATCCAATCCATGCGACCATGCTTCTCGAAGTCTCGGACCGTTCACTCCTAGAGTGGATTCGTTGGCAGCGCCTACACTCCCTGCCACCTGAAGGAAGTAGCCATGATAACGTATTAAAATGGGCCGCAGCCTTCATTGAAAGGCTGCGAACCTTTTACGTGGCTATCGAGCAGTTCGATGGTGCCTACCTTGCATGCCGGCTCGGTTATGGCTTCTGTGGGATGCTCCTTGAAGTATGTTCCGGTCAATATCTTGATCTGTGTCTTTTTGCTTGGGTGGGATAACCTTTGTTACATGGATGCTAACTCGTCACTATAGCTTGGGAGGGACAATATGGCCGTCTTAGAGATTCCCTTTAGTTTCTTTAACCACATGTCCAAAATTTTAGAGGACCTATTAAGACACTCAGAAATAGTCGCTATAAATGCTGAAGTCCGTGAACAAATGGTGCTGGCATTCCTAGATCTGTTGACACTGGTTTGCGGTGTTTCGATTCATATCCAGAAAGCGCTCGCAGGTTTGGGCCTGTCAGTCTACAACATTAATGAGACATTCGCTAGTCAGATTCAGACTTTGCATCAGCGATATGAAGATGTCGGTGACTTTGTATTCAAAAGCCAGCTGCTGGAAGAAAACTTTGATGAGCAAAGAGGTACGGTCGCTTGTAACCATCTTCGTCCCATCCATAGAAAAGCCCGATCTGACTACGAGCACAGTTAGTGGCGAGCTCCATTCAATCAAAACTTGGCTTGTTTCGGATGACCCCGTCCTCGCCGGTTTTGCCAAAACAGGTGCACGTCTTACTTCCCGACGAGAAGCGATAACATGCAGTTGGATATGGCCTTATGTAACTCGGTTCCTGAAAAGTCAGAGAAAAACTCTATGCTTCGCTGGCAGCCCTGGCTCGGGAAGGAGTGTCTTGGCCTCAGTCATTCTCGACAACCTACAGGAGCCATTTCGTCATGTCTCTTACGATGTTTTGTTTGTCCCTATCAGTAAGTACGTCTTAGCATTTGCCAATGTGATAGCGCTAACCCATGTCTTCATAGATGCCAATATCCCCGCAGAGACCACTCCCAGGTCCGTTGCCTGCTCCCTACTGCATCAGCTTTTCAGGATGAATAGCGGCAGCGTTCCACTCTACCGAGTTTTAAGTGACGCTTTGGGGCGCAGTAGGCTAATGACGGACCCCAATGACTACGATACCCTTTTGTGGAATGCACTTGAAAGTGCGCTGGGAACTAGGCTCCCCGGCTCCAGGGATGTGGTCCTAATCGTGGATGGCGTTGATGAGGCAACTTGCGGCGAGCTTACCCTGCTACATAAGCTGACATCTGTGACATCCAAGATACCTTATGTTAGAATGATTGTTCTCGGCACACAAAACCCTTTGGGGGTTGAGGGTCAGACTTCCGTGCAAATTACAGGCGATAGAACCTTTGACGATATTTGTACAGTCCTTGGAAGGATTCTGCAGTCTAGCAAGTCGTCTATGGAACTGTCTGATTTTGAGAGAGAGACAATTGCTGATAACATCGCTGAAGCTTCGAACGGTTCTTTTCTCTGGGCCACGCTTGCTGCCAAATGCGCCGTCAAAGAAGCTGGGCCCGAAGAAGTTTCCAAGGCTGTGGATAGACTTGTCAGTGAAAAGCCAAGTACTGTTGATATTGTTTCTCTCATCCTGCAAGACCTCAACCCCACCGTCGAAGCCAAACAGATGCTGCTTTGGTTGGCTACCGCTGAACGCCCCTTATATACGAGAGAGCTTCTTGCCCTGGCCTGCGTTTCGATTGACAAATATACAGTCAATGAGAGAAAAGACGATATTCTGAATACACTAAGGCCTTTGAAATCAATTCTCCTTTTACAAGATGGTCTGGTCTATTTCCGCCATGGCGCCATCCGCCATGCAGTGTTGGAAGTATTTTCTCAGGACAAATTTGTCCCTGTCAGCGATCGGCACGCTGATTTAGCGACCCGGCTCTTGATCTATATCAAGTTCTACATAACCCAACAGAGCGAGCCATCGGTCTTGCCACTAGGCTTACAAAAGACTAATCCTTTGCTTAACATGCATCCTCTTCTTGATTTCGCCCTCCGATACTGGCCATTTCATTTTAGGAATACCACGGTCTTCCAGAATAGCGGTCCGATTAGTGCCTCCAAGGAGTTTGCCAAGGTACTGCCTATCTCGACCACATTCATCCGTCTCCAGAACGCCATATGGGACCCTTTGCCAATCTCTGTTTCCTTAGGCTATCGGGAGCTCTTGACAGAGATCTACCGTGAGGTATTAGGTGTAAACGATGTGGTGACCCTCCAATGCGTTATACTCTCAGCTGCGATGTACCGCCAACTCGAGAAACTCGACGAGGCTATTGCCCTGTTCTACGAAGCGGCCATTGGCAGCTCGAAATTGTTGACTGCTGGGCATGTTTTGACCTCCGAAATGGTTTCTGCTTTTCTTTCTCTCACCGAAGATAAGATCTCAAGCGCCAAGACCGACACTATGGTTAAACGAAGCGAATGCCTGCTACTTTCCGTGGAATGCTGCAAGATTCGCGACGGACCTGCATCTGAAAAGCACATTGTTGCAATGAGACAGCTATACGAGCATTATCACATGATTGGCGACGAGCAGCAGTCTCAGCAAGTGATGAGGGGTATTGAGAGTATTGCGCAGCAGACAAAGGAGTAGACGCATAACACTTCTATGGGAGACCAATGGTTTAGGATAGCAAGGCTATCGTAGAGATAGCTGCTATGCTTAATGAACCCTACACTTTACATGCCCTGAAACGAACGTAATAAGAGGAAGGCATAAGGCCAATGAGCTCGCGAGGACGTACGCAAGAAAATGGTGAGATGTATATAAAGGAAAATAACTACTACACGCACCTTTAATTTATTTCTAACATAATCCAACGACGAGCTGGCCGCTCCCCACTAAAAATATCGCCGCAACATACAAAGCGATAAAATGAAGCTTTTTATCACCATACAAATGTTAATCTTTATTAAATATTAGATGGTTTAGATACAGGGTATTTTAATTTATTATGGCCTTCTTTATTACAGATGCTGCAGCGCGGGGCACGCTTCTACTTTGCTAGTAAAGAGGTAGATAAAATCACAGTTCCGTTTCTCTTTCTATAGCTTTTTACTATTCTTCCTGGGCAGTTAAACTGCCTCTTATCTTAAATAAAATATTATAAGGCCTTTTCCTTCTCTATTTATATATCTCTAAAGCACGAAGCTGATGTATATCTCATTAGAGAAGGATAGTATTCTATATTGTAAACTTCTATGCCTTTATAACCTTTTTACACCTCCCCTGTGATTAAAGATAATAAATCCTGGCTTTAAAGATCCTAAAGCTACTTGTAATCCGTTGCAGTGAATGCTGGTTATCAATGGCATTACGCTGATCACCATTCAGCATAGGCTGCGGCAGGACCCTGTTACACCTGACGAATTCACCAGTGTCTGCGCTGTTTGTACGTAGCGTGCTATTTCCCCCCACACATCTTGTGTTCCCCCACAACACTTCCTTCTCTTTCCCCTCACGCTTGAAATTCTAGATAGGATAGCACCAATATCATCATAATGATCGGCCGTCGCAACGCCGGGTATTCGGGCTTGGAGCTCTGTGGCCAGTTAGCTGCACTTGCGTAGCGAGGGTCAAACCTGAATGTCAGAATCCACTAAGGTTCAGTACCGAGATGTCGTGGTGCCGGGATACTATGGTGATGACCTTAGCCCAAGGTCTGATCGAGGTTCGAGAACTAATCCGTGAACAGTTCAAGTCTAGAAAAGCCAGGCCTATCAAGTATATATACTCGATAGTTAGAAGAGTACAAATGAATTGAATACTGGCTTTGATACCAAAGACGTATTCTAAGTAACAAGGAGGATTGATCATGAAGAACTAAACTAAATATATAAATGAGTGTCCTTATATATCCTTCCTTGAGTATACTCTCTTGCATACCATGTGTGGTACCCCTGTTAGTATCTGAGTATTATATTATGTATGATTTGTGGTATTTCAGTTGATCCTTTGTTATGTGATATTGTGGCCGGTATTGGCCGCCTATTTACTTTGGCATCAGATACCCCCCTATAATAATTCTTCAGTGACTAGCCAGCTATTCTTGGCTGTTATTATTCTATAGTTGTTCTGCCTAAGTGTCTGTCTTTGAAAAGATATGCTCGATAAGGGTGTATAATATCACTTCTTTAAGCTTTTATTCTTAAAAGTATAAATTTGCGGGTATCCTTCTTTTATATAGACTCAGGATTTTTCTTCTATAAGTTTTCCTTTTCTATTATAATACCTTATATACCTCCTTGTAGACTTTCTCCATATCACTGTTATTGTAAGCGTATCTGTCAAGCTGATATATTGAGGGGAATAGTTATTTAGTTAAAATCTATATAAATATTGTTTATTCTGTGGTTTACCATGTATTATGGACTTAAAGAGCCAGAACTGTGCCTCCTGTATCTGTTATAGTCAAGAATGTGAAAAACGCTTCTATATTATTATTATTAATAATAATCAATTTTAGCGTCCATATCGAACCGTTGGCCATGACAGACACATGTGTTTAGGCAGTAGCCTAAGCCACTGCCTCTATATGGTCCCTAGGGGCTCTATCATGCCCCCTCTATCATTTGTGTGTTCATTCTAATCCTTATTCTCGCCCGTGTGACGGCCGATCAATATGGTGATATTGGTGCTATCCTATCGAGAATTTCAAGCGTGAGGGGAAAGAGAAGGAATTGTTGTGGGGGAAATAGCAAGCTATGTACAAACAGCGCAAACACCAGTGAAATCGTCACAGCCCCGAGCCGCCTATCTGTGCCAGAACCTTTGGGCTATACCCTTCTCGGTGTTCATTGCTTGCTGGGTATCATCTAGGCATGCCTAGATTGCCCTTTCCGCTATCCTTCCCCTCTACTTTCTGCTTCTTCTACTAGTTCTAGTCTCTAAAGGTTATCCCTAGAGGCTCTATCTATCTCCCTAGCTGCCTCCCCTGGGAAGCAGCTGATATTTGTTGTTGCAAGGAACGTTATTAGGGCCCTGAGGGCTCTGGGATAGTGTTGTTAGTGGCGCTTTTTGCGCTTCTGGGGATATTATACGTGCTAGGGAAGTTGCCTGAGTTGCTTAAGCTTGTTGAAGCTGTTGAACCATCTCTTCCAGAGCCTTAATTCGGGCCTCATATTGTAGTTCACGGGCCGGTTGCTGAGCTATCTGAGCCTCTATTGCCTGATTGATATCGGCCTGTATCTTCTCTAGCTCTAACTGATGTTCGAACTCCTGGTTCTCTAGTGATTCTACCAGGGCTTGGCAATACTTACGCAGGGTTTGTCCAGGATTTCGGCTCAGACCCAGCTGTATCTGGTCTCTCCCTCCCTGTTTTCGGATACTTTGGGCGCTTCATGTGCTTCGGCTACTCCTAGAACTGGCCCTGCTTGGGGCTCTGCAGGATTCGCTGTTGCTTAGATCCTGCTCTAGATCTGTAGGCATCCCTAGGGCCTTGGGGGCCCCTCTATACATCGGTGTTGGTGTTGGTGGTGGTAGTATCCCGCTCAGGGGCATCCACCTCGACGCGCTCGGTGGGCCACCACCATGGGGGTTTGGGACCTCCATAGTGGTTCCTGGGGCCTTAGGAAACCTCTCTTGGTTGGTTGACGCGTTATAACGGCGTATTTTGGTTGGGTGTTGATTTTGATGTCCCGAGCGCACCGTTAAACCACTATATGATATTGCCATCATAGTACTATACACATTTAACCCAGTGTATATATAGACTTTACAAAGGTCATATTATGCCGTAACACTAAATCACAAATCAAACCCACCTCTATCACACCATGTCTCACTTCATATCCATATGATGTAAATTAGTGCAAGACCACAACAACTAAATCAGCACCTTAAATCAGCTCTAAAGATCCACAGAGACACGATCCAGCACAAACCAGGTAGCTTAGCAATTCCGGGCTCATCTGTTCAAATCCAATGCTCTTGTGGGGATATTTACAGCGTTCCAAGGTCCAACTCGCACTAGTGCATGTTCTAAGTGTTGCACCGAGAACATGTTTGGTGTGCTGTACTATGATTTTAGGCTAAGGGGTGGATCGACATATTCCCGTGCTTAGGACTTCGGACCCACTCTATGTCTTTCCTGAATATTTTCCTTCCTTGATTAAAGTGAGGATGTATTCAAGCATAGACATAATCGAGACATTATGCACGGCTTACACTACGTATAGGATCTTCAAAATGAGAAAAGCAGCAGGAGCATGTATATCAAGATATATTAGAATTAACAAGAATCTAGAACTAGTCTTAGCACGATCTAGTGATTCAGCCCCGCTTCAGCCGCACACTTGCTGCCTCAAAAGAGGGTCTGCCTAGTTCTTGGGATTTGCGCAGTAGATCTGTTGATCGTGTAGCGTCGACGTATTTCTCATTGGAGGGATCTACCACAAGTGGCATTGTAGATCATGTAGAGTCGGCGAGCTGAGATCATGGTGACGATTTCATCACACACTAGATAGATGGTCTCGACTAGATCATGCAGGGCTAATCACACTCATCACTCATCTCACGGAGTAGAGTCTTGATTCAAATGGACCGAGAAAGACATAAAAGATGGTTCTTGCACTCAAAAAACATACAGACAACATTATCTATCTCAATCACTTTCACAACTGAACAATCATCAATACTTTGATCTGAACTTCACCATGCAACTCATCTCTATCTTGACCTCCCTCGCCTTGACAGCCACCACGATCGCCGCTCCCAGCGCTGATCTCGAGGAAACGAAGCAAATTAATTCAACAGTCAAGGCCGCTCAAGCCGGTAACTGGGAGTACTGTGCCACCGACTTCTGGGTATGTTACCAGATTTATTCCCCCACCTTGGCTTGAATCCGTCATTCATATAGTACAGTGTGATCCTTTGACAGACTACTACCAAGCGGGTGGTTGTTATCAGCAGGCCGATTGCCGGAACAAAGCGAGGAGTATGGATACCACGGACTTTAGCTGCGGCTACTTCCGTCCGTACACTTGCTGGGTTGTAAGTTTCCTTTGTCATTTAATGACGATAACTTCGGAGTCTCATTGGTTTTAGTATACGGATTAGATATTGTCAGGGTTATGGCTGCGGTTTGGCTTTTGTTTGGGGACGGCTTTGTGATCTACTTGAGAGTGGAGGATGGTTGTACAGGTGGATATTGATATTGAATTATGAGTGACTGAATATTATTTTCGATTACATAACAAGAATGTATTTCCACTGGCCCTGAAGAAACGACCATACAGGGCCCAACAGCGCTATCCACCCCGGAAAGGGTGGAAACTAGATCCGGTGGCAGGAGCAGCACCAAAACAGATCGCTCGCAGATACTATCAGCTCAAGGTTGGACATCTAGCAATACCGACCTATCTGAATCAAATAGGGGTACGAGACTCACCTGGATGTCAAAGCTGCCAGGCTACACAGGAACCAACAGGCCACCTACTGGTGGAATGCAGACAATGGTGCCACCAGAGACAGGCTCTGTACAGGGCCCTAGTCAAGGTAGGAGTATCACCACCTCGATGGGGAGAAACAGCCCCTGAATGCCGTCTCTTTAAGGATCAGAGAGCGACAAAGGCCCTAATGACTTTCCTGGCAACAATAATATCAGCTGCTTCCCAGCGGAGACAGACAGGAACATAGACAGGGCCTCCAGGGATAACATTTGCGGCCTAGATCTGGTAGATAAAGCAGAAAGTAGAGGAGAAGGATAGTACAAAGCGTAACCTAGGCATGCCTAGACAACACCCAGCAAGTAACAAACACCGAGGAGGGCATAGCCTAAAGGCTCTGACGCAGATAGGCGGCTCGGGCGAGGAAAATGATTAGAATGAGTACACGAACGATTGAGGGGGCTGATAGAGCCCCTAGGGACCATTTAGAGGCAGTGGCCTAGGCCACTGCCTAGGCACATGTGTCTGTCATAGCTAACGGCTCGATACGGACGTTAAACTTGATTAATAATAATAATAAGACTGTATTTCCTCTGTGGTAAACACCTAAGATTGTGGAGTGCTCCGTACTTCCCTGGTGTTTTTATCGCTTACTTCTTTATTAATACTTGCCTAACGCATGCGTATCTCATGACTGAATTGTCCTCTCTGAACTTCCCGGTGTCCGGCCGTCTGTCCTCGGAACTGTCTCTCTCCGCGCACCACCCAGTCCACGACAATGATGATCGCCACAACGGCGTATACGACCGAGGCGTAGTTCATATCTGGTTTCGCATCGTTAATACTCTAAAAGGCTGTTGGAGGCGTGAAGAGCCTACTTCCCGCATTGACCGGGTATACAGCCGGAAAGCTGTAGATCACCAGGCAAAACAGGGTCCACGCCAGGACGATCCAGTTGCGCACGAAGCCAAGCTTCCGTAGCCAGAACCGGCCATGCGGGATAATCTCCCAGCCCTTGCAGAGGCAGACAATTGGAACCACGTAGGACATATACAACAACACAATGCATGCGGTGACCATGCTGTTAAACGCCGTCAAGGATCCCAGATAAAAAAAGTCCGAGGAGTCCCTCAATAAAGGACGAAACACTGTGTGCGTCCAACGGCACATCAAGGCGTCGGGTGGACCTTGGCCAGGAACACAGAAATCGGCAGGCCGTGATCGCGCGCCAAGCTCCCGCACAAGCGGCTGTGCCAGGTCTAGCAGGCAATTTGGCACCCAATCCTTGTCACCAGGATGAGAGATTCGAGCACGATGGCACCCGCTTTGTTCTGCAGGGCTTGATAGAAAAGCGCTAGAATGGGCACGCCTGTTGGTGGTTCGAGGACTCATCGAGGTTTGTCACGCTGAAAAACATCCAAATACAGAACCAACTGGTCACAAAGCCAAGGAGCACAGTGCATAAGATGGCGATTGGAATGATCCGTTCCAGCTTATGGACTTCCTCGGCGAGATGAGTCGCACTGTTGAGATAGGCAAACACCCAGTTCTGGTGGATGAGACCAACTAAAAATGTGGTACCATCGGACATCTAACCAGTGGGGTTCTTGAAGGTCACAAGGACGCATTTGTCGTCGGCATGCGTTCACGCCGTGGCGGGGACGGTGACGAGTATAACTGCGAATGAGATCAGGGAAATATACAGCGTTGTTTTCGTAATTGTTGGTAGCAGTTTCCCGATGCCATTTCAAAGGAAGGCAAAGAAGTTAATGACTTCGTATCCGACTATCGAGTGCTATGTTTTGGGGACACTATTTACGTCGGGTGCAAAGCTCGACGCAGTAAAGAGAAAACCTACAAATCGGGATGACCGAGCTGCCACATGCGGACGCCCGCGGATCCCAGGCTTAAGGCGACTCTAGCGCAGGTGAAAATAGCCCGGGATTCCCCCTGTGGCAAGGCGACAGCTTTGATTTCGCGCATTTGTTGCGTGGCGGGTGGGTGAACAACAATTTTCGCGGGAGATAAGAAGAAAAGACAATCCAACGCGTGGAATGAAACTATTTATGGGCTGAGCTACATTGGGATGCAAACGCAAGCTTGAGGATGGTTGCACAGAATGGATCTCTGCAGAAACCTGTGACAAGTTAACCAGTCATTCAAACACTGCTAGGATCAGAATGAGCGCCCAGTCAATTTAACAGGGGGTCCCTCAGGCCGGTCACAATTGACGGAATGCAGGAATGCACGGTTACGGTAGATAAATAAAGGGAAATTATGCAAGCGGCAGATGAACGAGGGAAAAGAGGAGTTGAAAAGTAAGACACGGTTGGTCACCATGTAATCCTCGTGTCGGATTCTTACATATCCCTAGAGTTAGTCAAGTTGATTTGTTGTTTACTGACAATCTCTGCCAGAGAATAAAGTAGGAGATGGTTGATGAGTGTCTTTGGGAGATGAAAAACGTTGGCAGATCACGATACTGCACGTGCACTGCCAGGAACTGGAGGCCAGGAACATAACCCGCTAGTGTCACGGGTTGGGTATTGGTTGGGATATTGGACCCGCGGGTTGTTAGATCCATTCTAGCTGTGTCTGCTCGATGGACTCTCGTGTTGCCAATGGAGGAACGGCACGTCGGGATGGTCTTCTATGTTGGCGCCGTATTCGTATGGGATGAAGTGCTTGCATTTAGGACTTAGCTGACATGCTTTCATTGGGCTAACGTGAGCGTCGATATTTTCCGTTGTAGATAACTCTATGACGGAGATGAGCGTTTCGCAGCCCTCGATCGCCGTCACTAGAGAAGGGACTGTGTAGTCGGTGACTACTCGGGTGATGTGGCGAACTATATGAGCAATATAAAGCACTGGGAGCTACGCTAAGACATCAAGAGCTGGAACGCCAATCAGAACGTGAGGCAATACTGGCCTACATGATCCAAACTACGGCAGACCCTTGGGACAAAAGGGAAAAAACTGAAATTTCGTGTTCACGCTAGTATTCTGCCGGCAGATACTTATATGACTTGCTTCGTTTCACCAGTTAGTTACTTTTCCTGAGTACCACAGGTACAAGTCCTTGCTCAGGTTGTTGTACACAGGGCCTGTATAACTGGGGGTGCTGGTATTGATACAGATTGTAAATGAAAGCTTGTATATATCTCTATAGGACAATTGGATTATTTTTGTCTCTATCCTCACTATTCAAGATAATTGGATTCTCTGGTGCTTCACCCTTCTCAGGATCTAAGTTAATTAGATACTGTATATTACCCCTCCCTGTATAGGATAGACTGCGGTTAACTTCATGTATGTTTCCCCATAACTTATCTTATACAGTGCACTGACAAGCAGTATCAGGCCATTTACAATTACTGTATACACTGCTGAATGCCCCTGGAACATGGCGGTATTTAGAGAAGGGCCGGCAGTCTTATACAGTGCAGCACCTTATATAAGGCTCTTTAAGCTGAGTGTCTCTTGATTATATAAGCAGGGTATTAATATATAAAGGACAGTTACTGTAGATTTGCCTTGTATTTATCCTGCCATAGATAAAAGATATGGGTTGACCTGGAAGGTCCAGTATACCTTACTATACATTATTGTGAATATACAGAGCTAACTTATAATCTCTGATAGAAAGAATAGGATTCAGGTTAGCTAGAGTTCTTACAAGAAGATGGGCAAAAAGGTTCTCCAGCTCCTGGCAAGTTATTAGGCACTTAAATAGGTAGTTAGTGTTAGTATTACTAATATTTATATAAGATATATAATTCTCGGTAAGAATTGTATAAATTATATAAGAATAAATTAATATATATTTTAAGATATGCAAAATAATAAGAAAATTATAATACTTATATACTATAATAATAATAATAGTAATAGTAGTAATAGTGATAGTAATAATAGTAAGGTTTATAAGAAAGAAAGAAAAAAGAATATAAGAAAAAATTATAGAATCTTAGATTATATTATTAGCTTAGTTATTAACAATATATCTTTAATAATCTTAATATTATAATAAGCTACTTTATCTAGTTATATATAAGGCTTAACTAGTCTTTATTATCTTAATTTTATATCTTCTAGAAGAGCTATTAAAGTACTGTATATCTTAATTCTATATATTCTAGATAAGCTGTTAAAGTACTGTATACTATAATTCTATATATATTAGATAAGCTATTAAAGTATTATATATTCTGATTTACTATTTTAATCTTATATTCTTTAAATAAGCTGTTAAAGTACTATATAAATAATAGATTATATTATAGAATCTTTCTTTAGAGAAGATCTGTTTAAAATACTGTATCTATTAGACTTGTTAGGCCCAGCCCACGAAACCCGGCCCAACCCGGCCCAACCCGCCAAGTAATGGGCTGGGTTTATGTATACGAAAGTCCATACCGGGCCGGGTTATTGACTACCCCAGCCCATGGGTCAACGGGTTAACCCGCGGGTTGCCAAGATATAAAATACAGTAAATATATTATTTACCTACAGTGATATAAATAAATTACAGTATTAAGAGACTGTATTCTATCAAGAATGTAAATCATTGCTCTACTAGAAAAGGATCTACAGCCGTGGGCTCCTGCGGGTG